CCCTCAAACCGTAGTCTGAGAGTAGGAAAAAGACGAGTTTGGTTGGATGCATTGTTAGGAATATCCGATGTAGAATACGCACAAACTTGGATAATAAGTCCTCCTTTAGCAAAGTCAGCCAATTTCAGTTCCATGTCATTCGCTAGTTGAGCAATTTATTATTAATGCAATTTAGGTAGGCCGTAGTACCAAAATACTTTCTCACAACTCGCTATCAATGACTACGTGATGGAACTATTGCAGTAATAACTAAATACTATGCACGGCATAAAAAACATGTCTCATTCAACGTCAGCATATTATATCATATTGCTCTAGAACGATATGTATAGTATAGTATATAATCCAAAGAAAAACTATATTTTATCACAGAAAATTGAAAAACAACTCAAATGTGAGTATGCAAGATATTTTATCAAATATGGCTGCGAGGTGAATCTAAAGTTAACAAACAAGAAAACTCAAAATTCTTCTACGTTTGTAATAAAAATATTTGCTTTCTTGTGCCTCTCGGCGAAAAATTTCCTTTGATTTTTCCCCTCTTTTGGTTATATGTAGCTCCTCAAACATACAGAAGGATAATCAATCAAATCTCAAATAAGAGATCCTGAGCAAGCATCCTGAGAGCCTGTTCTTGTATTTGGAGAATGAAGAATGAAAATATTCTATCAACGAAACACCGCCATTATCCAATCCGGGCATCCATTGCCCCATTCTCAATCTTAATCTCTATAGACAATCTTATCAGAGTTGGACAACACTCCGTATTCGGCATGAATTACTTACATGATTGCTTGTGAAGAAGTCAATCCACTGCTTCCACTTTCCACACAAAGCCGACACACTGTTCATTATTCTGCATGACTATTGTTTGTTCACATCACACCACGATTCAATTTCGCGAATCCTATTGAATTTCGTGGAACGAGTATTCCGCAAGAAGTAGTTAATCTTTTAAACAAGGTTGGCATCAACCAGGATCACGGTTTTCGCGCTGATGGTCACCAATGGCGTCGTGTGTGTGTGTGGATATCTAATTATTTTGCTGGTCCAATGTGTGCTCGTTCGCTCTGACGCCACCTCCAATTGCAGAATGTAGAAAATGCGAGTGGGTTTATTTGCCTTAATGACTCGGTGTATTCGAGCATGTCTGGGAGACAGGAAGGAAGTGAAAGTTGGTGGGAGACAACTTCAGCTCCCATTTGCTTTCTCCAGGTTCAGAGACGACGCTGCTCCAGTCGTACTGCTTGCTGTGCTCTGTTCTCCGTGGCTTGTTCGTCTCGCTCTGAGCCCGGAGACCGGTGGGGAGCTGTGCTAAATACTTGGCTCACCCACAAAACGACTGACTCAGTCACTTCTGCAAGATAACATCAAACCCGTTTTCTGAACCCTTCATGTGTGGCTTTCGTACGTACATTGCGTCTGTCCAACTTTTATAGATAATTGGTCTGCTGGTGAATGCGTGGTGACAACAAAAGTTCAACAAGAACTAAAAAGTGATGGTCCATCTGGATCTCAGAACCTACAAACAAAGCCTGCATGTATCGGAAATAATTATGACGAGGAAAATAAATTATTGCTTTTGGAGTTTCTTTTACTTGCCACACGTATATACATTTCCAAGAGCTTGAGTGTTTTGCCCATGTTTAATGAGTTTGAGTAAAATTAGTTTGGACGCTACAATTTGAGAAATTTGAGAAGACGGGCGTTATAAATTGACTAGTATTATTAATAAAACGCTCCCAATATTACTAACAAATTATTGACGTCAGAGGCAGAGATATCGAGATATTTGTTTAGTCATGTATCAGGGGGTTAGAGGCGATACAATTATAAATACATGGCATAGTCATAGACGTTGGTTGTAGCTGTAGTGTATGTAAATACATATTGGTACAATTGACCTAGAAGTAACAGATAGGTGACATCAATTTTTAGTTGGGAATTTTTTAACCTGTAAAGTCAAAATGACAAAAGAAACTTTACAATGAGGCGGACTTTGACCATAAAATCAGACGCAGGTCTCGCAAGCATATGCACACATCAAACTAGGGATAAGCAAAGATGGATGGATAAATTCAATCATCTCTAACTCTGACATTTGGGACTACCACATGTACAAATACTCCGCTTTTACACAATCCGGCAGTACATAATCCGGGTAAGGTTAACCCCAAATCGTCGATTTGGACTTTTTAAGACCACTCTTCTTTGACTTGTATTTATTTGAAATTGCATAATGCGTCTCACCCGTAACCTCAGATTTCAAAATAATAACGAAAAGTTGACTACAAAATCCAAATCTGAAAAGCCTTTGCATATATTTTTTTAGTCTCACTCAGACTTTCCCAACTTCAAACCTGTCCATCACGATCAACAATCCTTCAAGACTGCACTCCACCTTGATACCTATGCATGTATGGATTCTTCATCCATTTAAATTCCCGGCCCAGTTAGTATTTCGACAACCTGCAAACCAAAATAAGGCAGAAGCCGAGTTATTTATTATCTGCAGTATATTCAATTCCCATTACTTACATATTGCGACACACAACAACACACAACGACAGACATTTCCCCTGCTTGGGAAAAAATGAGACAGTGAAGGATTTTCCAAGTAGCGTTTCACTTTCTCCGTTTCTTCTTCATAAATGGGGGAGAGCGACCGAAGGAGAAGTTGGATGAGGACTGATGAGTTTGCTTAAGCATGCTTTCACCAGCCTACATACGTTCGTACGTACCGTGTATTGGTTTATAGTTTATAGGACATTGCTTGAAAGTCATTGGAATTTGCTGAAAATGTTCTCGAGTATTTGTGGTGACTTGGTTTGAAGTTTCATGAAATCTCTCTTTTGCTGAGTTATTCGATATTGACCTATTTTCCAATGAAATGTTTTCACGTATAGTGATATCGGAAGAGATACGCCTCGAACCCGATACGCTGATAAAAGCATTAAAAAAGATGTTTGAATGGTTGAAGATTTTTTTAAGAGCGTAAAATCCAAGTATAGTGTCTCGCAGCCCTTTGTCCTACATCCACATTGCTAAAGAACAAACGAAGCAAAAGTACCTGGAGGCACATTCTGCGAAACATTTCCAGCAGCAGTTGAAAAATTCTCAGAAAATAAAGTATCAAAGAAACGGATTTATATAGTTTAACAATCAGTAAGAAGTATACTTAAGTTGGATGTTATTGGATATTTCCAAAGTCTCAATAGGAAATTATATATTTTGTAATATTTAATAATTGGATCCTGAGTTGGACTTGGAAGTTGAGAGGATTGTACTAGTGGAACATGTGCTAGCAATTTCACACCCAACAATTCCAGTAACTATACAGATTGTCGTCGACTCCTCTTTTTGCGACGTCTCAATTATTTTCTTACCAAAAATGATATACGACTCACTCTAAAATCCTGGCAAATTTGATGACTTTTATGCTCTCAAAATTTTTAGAAGTTTCTTCAATCGTATCTCGTTTACTTTATCGCAAACCTCGTCAACTTTTGGAGGAACAGTGAAACACTGGTAAAACTTGTGCACAAAGGGAAATTGCAAACAGCTCGTGGACCTATAAGTAGTAGTAGATGTACCTCTGGATCACAATCTGAGTCACCTCACCATGAAATCAGAGGAGATTATTAAGGCTTTGAAGTTACAACTGTTTGTTTCCTCCGAAGTGCAGAGCTAATTGGTCTGCTGGGACCAAAACTCCTTTCTTCTATTCCTCTGTTGTATCGAGCACTAAATATAATATCAGCAAATCTATCATTATGCACGTATATACGTGGCTTGCTTGGCTCATTACAGAATTACAGACCGCAGCAGGTTCAGCATTCAGTGTTTGAAGCATTTTCATCAAAGAGTACCCCATTCATTGCTGGAATTAATTAACGGGGTAAGAAATGCAGATATTGCATTTAATCAGAAAAGTAAATAAGAACCAAGCAAAACTAATAGATATTTCGTTTCATTATTCAAAACTTTCCTCTTCCAACGGAGCCTACATAAATTCAAAGCATTTAACTTCACAGTTTCAAATTTGTGTTGGTGATGTGATGATAATCAATTTGAGGTACATAAAGTGAGAAACAACCTGGAAAATTATTGTTTGATCTCACCTCCACTTATTTATAAGGTGTTTTTTTACAAATGAATGTTAAATTGTTCGTATTAAAGATAATTAACCAACTTCTTCTAGATCTAACTAACTAACCAACTTTTTCTATATCGATCTTCTAGTTGACGTAAGTTTACAATTTAACTAATTGAACAATCCGAAATTATAAAGAAAATTCAACCACTAATATAGAATTATACTAAACCTTACTGCCCTACTTATGCATGTAGTTATTTATGGAGGTGCTTCTTTCATGGGATGTTTGTGATGTTTGTGATGTTTATCATGTTACATGAGATCTTTGTCAGTTTGTCAATGTATGTGGAGGTATATTCAACATACATATCTCCGAGCAATGCCAATATTATTGATTTTGAAGATGAGAACCAAATTCAACTGTGATCACCCATCGCTCCTTGAATCACCCAAGAACTTTGTAAGATGTAAGTTATGAAATGAATGGAAACTACGAATTTACATGTCACCGCTAGTAGTGCATACTGGTCGTACATGCATATATACATATTATGCAAGTATGTAAATGTACTTCACATGATATCAATCACCAAAAATGCTTGTGAATGGGAAAGGTAGTCGAAATGATGATTGATTCAGTAGCTGTAAAGTTGGAGTAATTTTTTTGGTCCTTTCAAGTATTGTTGCATAATTCTAATTCAGAGGAATAATATGACGCTCGATCCACTATGAATGCATTTGATATTGTTGTGCGTATGGAAAGACGCCGAAAAGGCTTAAATAAAACACTATTTGATCATTTGCATAATTACTATTTGTATCTGATTTACTTATTTTAACAATTATTATGATCACCCAGCCCCAAGTTCGTCGAAATAAATATGCGTTCCTCTTCCTCAGCCAATTATTGTAAATTTTGAATCATCATTTATTCTCATTTAATTCATTTCAGTACATCGTGCAAACATTCAGTTCATTTGCACAAGTAAAAAAATTAGGCTTCAATAAGGGATAGTGAAATATTAAAGTCAAGTGTACACAAAGATTTGAGGATTATCTAAAAACAATTATGTATTCTTGTTTCGTTTCTCATGTTCAGTGACGCAGGTTATAGTTTTAAGTCAAGTACTCCAACAAAAATTAATAAATGATTGTCTCAATAAACTTACAAACATAACCAAGTTTGGCACCACACATCTTGATGTGTCAATTTTCATATTTAAACACAAGACTTACTAGATAGACAAATCAACAAAACTAAAACTTTGACGAAAATCTAAACGCGTCACATTATTTTCTTGGAACGGACAAAGCTCACCAAATTTTGCGAATTTCGTATTCAAATACATAGTTGTAAAATTCATATTGATTTCCGCATAGTGAGAATTGTGTTGTGATATATGATGTATTGTACCATGTGTTCCATGATCTAATTAAGTTATCTTACACTGTCCATCTTGCCCCGGAAATGAGTTGCTTGATTTTGGGAGTTTTGTGACGTGGTCACTGATCCACTTCCTGGGGTCACAGGGACATTTCTGGTGGCTCATGTGTCGTGGGGGAGACAGATGGAGGTCATCTTCCTCCCCAGACAAACTCAAGTTGTCAATACTCAGGTTATCTGTCAGCTTGGCTTTTGGTTTTCCGGTGGGGAAGAAGGAAAGCTCCTCTTCACTGAAATTACATGGTTTAGGAAATTTACCGGTTACGAACGTGCAAATGGTATGCATTATGCATTGGACAAATCAAACAAGACAAGGCGACTGACCTATCATCCGAGTCCCATTCTACCAACGGTTTAACTTCCGAAGTGGTTCCCGTGTTTGGAGTTTCACCTTCATCTAATTTGATTTTATGAGAACTATGTTCCTGTTCGTCCCTGGTTTTCAAACCTGATCTGGCACTACTTCCCCCTCCACTACCACTCGTCGATGGGTGTCTCCTATTGTTGTTCATATTGTTCATTGTTGGAAGGCTTTTGTTTGGCACTGCAAGTCGCTCCGGAGGTATAAGTCCTCCGACCACTTTGCTACGGGACGATTTTGAAATTATCTCTACTTCATCCTCTTGAAACTTTACACACGCAGGCTTCCTGTCCTCTGCAGAGGAATATCGGGTTTTGACGGTGTTTTTAGTTTTCGAGGACTTGGATTTTGATAAGCTTTTACTGGCTGATGATGGATCGGTAGAAGTGGAAGAAGAATTGGTTATTATCTGTTCGGATGAATTTGATTTCAAAGTGGGACTTGAATTCGAATTGGCTGGAATTTCCCGAGTCCCTATGTTCCACTCGCCAAATTCAGACTCATCTTTCGGGGACATTGAGTTCATTGCGGCTATAATTTACAAATATGCGACAACAACAAAATTATTATGCATCCATAACTTTTAACCGATGTTTGCTTAGATATTTGCTTGATTTTACATTGTGCATCGCGTCATATTTATTTTCACCTCGCATAAGACATGTGTAATAATAGAAATTCTTTGTTTCTAACCTGCAATAGCCGAAGCTTGTGCAATTTTCCTTTCCAACTTTTTTTGCAGCTGTACCGTACTCGTGACGAGTGAGGTGCTGCTGGAGTTAGGAGAAATTGAAGTTGTGGTTTCCTTCCCTTGTCCTGTCCCATTACATTGAGAGGTGGACATTATTCCTGTTATGCCCTTTCCAGTTGGTGTTGGAGTTGTCGTCGTTGTCGTCAATGTTGACGTTGACATTGATGAACCGCTACTGCCACCAATGTTTCCATTACGTACACACTGCTGACTTTGATTATGTGACACACTCAGGTTGAGATCTTGCTTCAAATCTAAGCTCAACTTGTTAATAATGTCGACATCTCCTCTCCCAGAACTGGAGAGGTTCAATTGTGAAAGTGGTAATGGATGGTGGAGAGGTGATGGTGACGAGGATAACAAGTCTGTGAAGGACGTGGATGGTGGTTGATTCTCAAATTGATTGACTTTGATATCCGTCGCTGAATAGGTCACTTGAAGATCGAAATCCGACGGGATAGATGCGTTTCGGGATTTGTGATTCTGACCTGCGGCGACTGTGCCGAAGCGGGTGCGGTCTGGACTAAAGGTGATTATTGACTCGTTCTAAAAAAACAAGAAACAAAAAAACTATATTTTAATATACTAGTTTTGAAACTAGTTAAAATACATTTTTGCATTTCTAAATCTACGCATCACCCGTAAATTCTAACAATAAGCTTAATCTATATTACGTAGCGTTGAAATATAGTCTCATGTAATATCATTTCGCTCTGTCTAAACACATAACAGTGCGTAATTAACAAATACTGTTTAGAATAAATTCATAAATTGCACAAATTGTAATTGGATTTCATAGTACTTATTTGCCAAATATTTTTGGCATCTACTACAATAAGCATACCTTAAAATATACTCTTGTATTAAATTTACTTACATTTTTATGCTGATCCACGTCCAATAGATTCCTTGAACCACTGTCAATTCCACAATTTTCAAAGTCCATATTTTGTATCAATACCATTAACAGTGCCCATTAAACAAAAGGCAGCACCAGAGAACTATTCTGTAACTAGAACCGTAAGTACAGGATAAAAACGATTGTACGCAATTTTGAATTTCAGTTTGGACTGCAATTCTAATTCCACCACAATACGCAACTAGGACATGCAAATTGTCTTCTTTCTGCATGAAGTAACGTAGATGGATATTGGTAAGTTTTCGCCCAGATGTTACGACTATGAATTAAATTTATTTTCACTTGCACAACTACCGACCCGGGTACTGGGGATGTCGACCAAATCCGAAGTTTGGTGCTTTCCTTCCTCCTCCGGTGCTTTCTCCAATGAGTGGCATGCAATGATGGGGATTGGATTGAATGATGAGGATTTTCTCCCATGTTTCTACCAACAAGCCTGCCGTCTCACACAACGATACACAATTATTTAACTAAAATACTGAACAAATTCTTCATAATCTTGATGTACTACATGATAAATATTATGCATGAATGAGGTGCATTAGATTGCAATTTAATTCAACAGATTCTTTTATCCCAATATTTATGATTATGATTATTTATAATTAAATCAAATCACATTTAGATTATTTTTTGAAAATTCTGAACTCAAATACATTTTCAAGTATTACATATGCAATTAAAATCCTGGAGGGGGAATTGGTTCTTCTCCACCGTTCGTACCACTAGCCAAGTTGAACTTCAGTGTCGAACGGGAGAAACCGTGGTAGAGAAACGCATCATTTGCAGGGCCCAAACTCCAAATAATATTCATCAAGGCATCCTGCGTAAGAACATTGTTCAAGTTAATCAAATAATTATTTGGCCATCTAATTATTTTGTATGTTAAACAACAATACCCTAATCTCAATGTCTACAGGATCACCAGTAGACAAGCGTCTACTAAACTTTACATAAGTTATCCCATCAGCTTCCGTGGCATTCAAAAGATTCCAATCTTGTTGTGCGTCAAGTCTTGGAGTTGAAGCGTCATATGAAGTATAATCCTGCAAATAGATACACATTTTAAGTTTAACTTGCAAAATTGTCAAATCTCGATGCATATGCGTTTCTCAGACTATATTGGATTTTATAAGTCTTTAGATATGTTCTTACACCAAAGTATGAAGTTCCGTTTTGATACACGCCTCCCATGAAAATATCAGCCTGAACCATTCCTGAAATATTCGTAAATCCGAAAGCAATGTAGCCCGTCGTCCGTCCGGTGATTTCAAAGGTAACTGAAAGGGTTTGTGTGTCAATTGAATAGCTCAGATTGTAGTTGTTGGTGGCTGTCGGGATGTCAGTGGGGGTTTGTTGAGCGCTTGTCGTCAAAAGGATCGACAGAGACGCCGAAACGAAAACGCATAAAATCAAAACATTGCTAAACGTCTTCATTTTTACGCAAGACGACTAATTCTTGGTGAAATACAGAAATTTATTGTACTCTCCTGCCTACACCATCAATGGTCGTTGTATAATGATTTTAATCTTTAGATTGGTGACGCTCTGGATTTATGTACGACATCAGTTTGCTCTGTATCAAACAATGGGAGCACTGATGGATGAGTGACAGTATCAGAAATTTTGTAATACAGTTGAATTATTGATTATATAACTAAAAAGGGTGATAAGATTAACGTGGCAATTCCATGATGCATGTACGTATGTACAGATCGTTATATTTATAAATGAGATATTCTTCAGCTACACACATACATATGCACATGTTAATATATGCATAAATTATTTTCATAATGGAAATAATTTCATAATTTCATAATGGAAAGTTTACATTTGATGTTATTAATTATTCCTTAAAATCTATTCTCATCCTAGAACTCTACACTTGGCAAAATTTCCAGTTTTTGAGGCAAGATGAGACGCTGTTACTCTTTGCAATTACATACATATTGCAGACGCGTGACACATGTCTAGAGTTTTTTTTCTTATGCTTTCAACGTGACTTTCACTCCAATATTTATTCCCCTATGGAAACTCTATATCGAATCGACCAAACAAATCCACATTTTGATGGAAGCGAAATACAGTTCATTTACTTTGTAACTTTCATTTTTGCACCACATGCTACAGGAAACATTTTAAAATCAAATCCTCCTCAAGTCACATTTAGTTTTTGGCTATGGCTCCAGGAAAACCCCAACAGCAAGACCAAGGGAAGGCGCCTCAGGAGGGTGGGGCTTCGAAAGGGAAGAAGCGTGGAAAAGGACGGCGAGGAAACTTTGAGGATGACTACGGTTACAGTCGACGAGACCAAAACTTGGCTAAACCACCAGATCAGGAAAAGCTAACTGAAACGGTACTGCTTTAAACTTTTAACTGCTTTCCCTGATGCAGGCAAGTTTGTCATAACGCGTATTACGGTTTACGGTCTCACTCGCAGCAACTGAAAGAAGAACTCGTCAGAAATCTTTCATGTGTGGACCCAGCCAAGATGAAGAACAGAGTTGTGTGGGATGCCAATGAAAAGTGAGTGATGGACGACTCGATCACGTACAATAAACCTTTATAAATCTCAACTTTTATCTCCACCACATTTTTAGAGGGTTTATTTTGGCCCAAGATGAGGAGCAAACAATTCACATGTTTCACTTGGACTCGGAGCTGATTTTTAAGGATTCTCAGGAAGAGATCAAGGAATATCCGTTCAGTCTCTCGGAGGAAGTTGAGGATCCAGAATTTGTAGAAAAGAAATCACCACCTCCAGCCTCTGCTGATCCTTCTTCTTCCAATGACGGCATTTCCGATGAGCAGAAAGCAACCGAGGAAGCGGAAGATGCGGATGAAAAAGGTTGTTACTCTCCAAACTGTAAACTACTCGAGAAATATTTCAGTAACATGTGGATTTTGCATATGTGTAGAGGAGATAGCTCAAGCCAAGGAAGAAAAGCCGACCAAACTACTCAACCAATTTAACTTTTGTGAACGTGCCTCACAAACCCTCAACAATCCCATTCGAGTATGATAAATTGAAATGTTGACTATTACAGATGTACTTACATGTCGCATATGCCAGCGCTCGTGCGATTTTCCCCATTTCACAATTTATGCACATTTTTGTCGTCTCACATTTTTCACACAATTAGGAACACTCGGCTCAGACCGTGCCTCCACCCAGGTCCTCATACAAAGATTACTGCAATGCTTGGATAATATACGACCTGTATGAATCCGATACGGCCAACCGTCCCAAAGCGACCAAAAAAGTTGCTGCTGGTGGCGGAGGGGGGGAAGGCGAAGAGGGCGAAGAAGGGGAGAAGAAAGAGGGGGCAGAAGGCGAAGAGAAAAAGGACAAGGCAAAGGACACAAAGAAGGACAAGGAAAGGGAGGGAAAGTGTGTTCACATTCATTGTCTTTGTTCGAATTGTTTACAGATTTTTTAATTGAAAAATATATAAACATTTCCAGAGTTGCTGCAAAAGAGAAAGTTCGAGTAAGAAAAGCGTCCATTTTGGAAGGAACCGCAGCTCAAGAAGCAGCCCTGGCAAAATCTGCCGAAGGACTCAAAATCTTGGAGCGACTTGTTATGCAAAATGTTTTTAACGATGTTCTTCACGGTATTAAGAAAAGTTAAAAAAAGTTTAAGTGTCACATCGTAAAATGCGTAAAATGATTCCATATGTTTCGCAGACTTCAAGTACTATGAAGATGCTTCTGATGAGTTCCGAGAAACAGGAGAAGGGACAATTCTGCCCTTGTGGAAGTTTGCATACGACAGAGCAAAGAAACATCATGTGACCTCGATCAGTTGGTGAGAGCATATTTGAATTATGTATATACGAATATGTGTATAAAGTATTTTATTCGTAGGGCACAAAGTGAACCGGACATGTTTGCCGTCAGCTATGGTTCATGTGAGTAAATTTATCTACATACATATTTTGCACTTTGGAAAAATTTGTGCATGTTTATATGAAAATTATATGGTGAATTTCAGTTAATTTCATGCACCCAATTCTGGACGGAATGGTGTTGATTTGGAGTTTGAGAAATACTGCATTTCCAGAACATATTTGGATGGCTCCGAAGGGTGCAATGTCTTGTGCAATCCATCCGCTGTAAGCATGTAGATATGTCCGCTTTCTATGATACCTTTATTTCACTCTTCAGCAGTGCTTGAGCTTCAGAAAGATGCTTTCTCTGCCTTTCTTTGCCGGCAACATTACTCTCACGATTATCGACATGTCCCATCCGACCACTCGTATAGGTCAATTAATCACTCAAATGGTCAAGTGCAGTTCTTGTCAATTTACCCCGACCCCATTTTTTTGCCTGAATTTTCATCCACGTTACGGAGATCTCTTTCCTTCGCCGTCTAATGTATATTTACTGTTAACGTCTTTCTCGTCTTCCTCAGGCAAGACTGTCTCGTAGCCGTGGGTCTTTATGACGGGAACGTTGCGCTGCTCCAGCTCCGTGAAAATGAAGAAAACTCCAATCGATCCGTTATACTCAAGAACTGTCAGTAAGTAAAATGATAAATCCTATAAAGTAAGTAATTCATATGAGAGACAGACAGTTTGAAATTGAAATTCCAATGACACTTATCACATAAACCTGTGTGTATTATATAAGTCACCATCTTTTTGTACAAGAGCACATTTGCCCACCGTAAAAATCCTGATTTTCACCTTCATGTTGTGTATGTGAAACCAGTTCATTCCGCTATCTTGCTTGACGTCACATTCGCTTGCGCTCAAGTTAAGTGTCCTTTGTTCCTTTTGACACAGAACTTCTGAGCATCTTTGTTTTGTGATCAGCAAATTGTAAACCGTGAACGAGCAGATGTGTATGTAATCCTCTCGGTTTGTTGGAATTTGTATATTTACTGAGACAAGAGGCACACATTTATTTCTACATAATTCGACAGTTCCCGAATATTGTTGTCGAAATGGCCTAATTTTGCAAATTCGAAAATAAGAAATTATTGTATTATCATTATCCATTATCTAAGTTGGGATTATTTTACAGCATCGTGATGAAACATCGCTCTCCCATTTGGTCCGTACGATGGGCGGACAACGACATGGATAACAATCCCAACTTTTACTCGTGCGGGATGGATGGACAGGTTATCCATTGGGTTATCGATCCTTCAGCGTCCGGCGGTGGCGGAGGGTTGTCAGGCACCCCCATCGCTACACTTCACCTTCCCGTCCCACCCGTTCAAGGACCTGATGGCACGAACTACAACCTCTTTGGTGAGTCACTTAAGCTAAGCATTGATCTTGATGGGATTGTGATGACAAAATTAACAACGTCAACTAATAATCATGCAGGCTGTGCCCGAGCCATGGCTATTCATCCGAAGGAGCGCAGCACTTTTCTGGTGGGGACGGCCGAAGGAAACATTTTCCAATGTTCAATGCTTTACGGGTCCAGATTCCAGCAGGTATGCACATATATGTCGATACATTTAACCGACACACGCTGTGCAATTTATGCAATCGCATTAGAAGTGGAGACAATTTAAATCATCTTCAAACTCAATTCCATTATCATTATTCGAGTAGAAGGAAGGGAACAATTTATGTAAAACGAATTTGCTTATTTGCCTCTCTAATAATTCTCAGTCGCTAAAAGCTCCCCGAAACAAAAGACCTCAAGTCATTTCCTGTTACATAAGCTGTCAGCGGATTGTGTTGCACGCTTTGAAAAGAGAGAGAGAGAGACACTCATCTTCTTGAGAGGATTATTGAGACAAAGCATAGAATGCAATGGCAAACTTGACAAGTCATCACTGGACTCGTATACTGAATACATCTATGCTGCATAGCTGCATATTAACCTATTTCTTCATCCATGTGCAATTTCGTTGAGTAGAGAGAGCGTGCGGTGCGAGTCCTCATTTTGCAAATTGGTCCTTTCTGCTCCATATAATGGAGAACGAACGAATGACAGCGAATCTCATAATATGCATGTAAACAGAAGCCTCTTTTACAGCTTTCAGTATTTCGAGTATTTTGACATTTCATTTTGCATCACTTGCCAGAGCGAGCTCACTCATGGAGGCTTTTCTCAAATATCCAGACATATAATTTGACCATGCTAATAAGAAAATGCAGACGGGATGTATGCACAAGAGGAGTATTTATTTAATACTTGACATTATTTGCGTCACAGATCTACAATGCACATTTCCTCCCGGTAGCTGCGCTCGAATGGAACTACTTTCACCCCGACGTATTTCTTTCATGCTCGGAAGACTGGACCATCAAGGTTTGGGACCGGAATGACTCGTGAGATCCCTTTTTTTGTTTCGATGCTTCGATTTAAATTAACAAGACTGACAAATAAATAATCCTACGAACGATGTTTTCAGAGTTGTTCCATTTCTTAATTGACGACTGTCCTTAACTTTGTTTACAGGGAACCGATGTATGTGTTTGAAATCGGCGTTGCCATTTTGGATTGTGCTTGGGCCCCCTACTCGTCCACTGTCTTTGCTGCTGTAACCGAAGAGGGAAAGGTAACCAACTTGTGTTATTTTATGGAAGTGACAGAATTTGTGCAAATGCAGGTGGGAGCAACTTGATATGAATTGTACTTGGAATTTTCTCAGACCCTGGTATACGACTTGAATGTGAATAAGGAGAAACCAATCTGCTGCCAGCAAGTTGTCACAAAGAAGAAAGTTCGTCCTAATCGCATTGCGTTTAATCCCTACTACCCACTCATCGTTGTTGGAGATGATCGGTTTGTACTTTCAACATAACTCTGTGCATGTGTGTAAATTGTAAATATTTGTTTTCTTCAAACATTAAAGAGGTCAGTTAACAACGTTGAAACTTTCCCCCAATCTGAGGAATTTACCGGTAAGAAAAATAACGGGCAATGTTACATGATGTTTATTTATTAAGGATCAAATAAATTTATATAGAAAACGAAATATAATATATAATCCAGTATAATATAACACAATATACAGACAAATGCACATAAGTGTAGGAGTGAAAGCACTCCGCGTTAACAATACGATTAAATATGGATAAAGTTGTTTTATTCTCGTTACAGAGGGACCCCAAAGGCCACATTGTGGATGGAGAACCCAGAGTCACATTTGAAATCAACAAAATGACCAAACTCTTGTCACTCGTGAGGGACCCCGAGTCTGTCACCGGGCCCAAAACGCTCACCTTGGCTGATGAAAAGCAAGCCAAAAATGTTCTGTCCATCATGGGAGCAGGCAAAAAATAAACTGTAATTTTATGTTAATGAGACAGCGCCACAAAAAATATGCAATAAATCTACATAATATAATGTCCCTATATTTAAATATCTATGATGAAAACTGGACACCAAACAACATTACACTTGAGCAAATCTCTTTTTCCATAAATACTTTTGCCACTTTCTCTCTCGTCTCATCTCATTTTTTGCTTTTTCTTGTTGCGACTCAACTGTTATTTTTCTAGAACTTTGTGCATCTTCCATCACGCCAATTTCTTCTCTGGTCAAGTTTTCCAATCCCATTTCCACCTGCTTTTTTAGACAAGATATTCCGTCCAGGAAATTCCCTCTTGATTTTGCACTTTCACCAGAGGAGAATCCTGCTTTCACGTTAGTCAACTGTTTGCTTCGCACTTCTTTCAATTTCTCCAGAGAAGAAAGCAGTTTGGCCTTTTCTTGGAGAAGCTTCTTCTTTTGTCGAATGTGGACCAAGGACTTTTTGCTTTGGTCCACCAACAGTTCATAATCACGTTGCTTATCATAAATATTCCTTTGTTCCCTTTGCCACTTATCAATTTCCTCTGTCTTTTTTATTCTAGTTGACTTTATCTCCAATTTTGCCCTCTTTTCCCGAGTCCTTTTTGCACGCTGTGATTTGAATTTATTGATTAGCTTCCTGATATTTGAGTCATCTTGGCAAGAGACTGGCATTGAACCGTGTTGAAACATGTTCTACAAAAGGTAAAATAAATGAAGAGTGAGTAAATATTTTGCATGTATACATAAACAAACACAATAGAAATGAGTTTATCTAGAGTTGGTGAAAGCAAACATCAATCACCGATATTCTTATGCAAATATAACGCTGATGTTAGAAGATAGTTACACTATACGAGTATGTGTGTATACTTCGTGTACTGTATCCTCCCACTCCTAAAGACGCACAAATGAGATTGAAATTGACAAAGGCGATGGAAAAACACTCTGTTTCAATAATGTGCTGAGCTAGTGCAAGATAGTGATTCTACTACTGGTTGTGTTTTTGTAGATGTTACGCTTTGCTTTGTATTTATGTATGCAAAAGAACAATAAAGTAAAATCACTATTGTCATTTCATTTTGAAATTGAAATCCATTGAGTTCAAATACCACAGATCTTGCAACCTTTCGGCAATTTTGAAGATGAAATGAAGAAACTTGGTATAATATATAACTTTGTATTTGCTAAACACATTTGGACGCATGAATGGATATTTATATTTACTCACCTTCTTGATTGATGCGATGGTCTGAATGGTTTTCATCCGTTGGTGATGATGAGTTTCTTCTTCATCTTCTTTGCCACTGGCTGTCAACTCATCCAACTTTTGGGAAAGCACTTGAAACTTTTCCCAAGCTTGGGTTCTTAGGGGGATGGGAAAGTCTGCGAGCTATGAGGAATCAACACATACAATGAAATGAAAGTGCTATTATGCAAGAGGATTTCTTAAGTAATACTTGAGCAAGAAATCGACATAAGATTTGATAATTGAATTGAAAAACCAATTCGAAAACTGACTATAGTTCGTGTAAAAAATAACCTAATACAAATCTAATTTACATGTAAAAAAATAGCACTACGAGTACAAAATTATTCATTCATTAAAATACCTTGATACGCTTCCTCTTCTTTTTACGCTTGGGGACTTGCTGCTCATTTACATTTGCATGAGTAAAACTATTTGGAGGAGGTGGTGGTACTAAAAAAATTGGTGATTGCACTAGAAATTCGGAGACACTTGCACTCTCAGCACTGACATAATTGGAAAATGGATATTGAGGTGAAGTCGGCCAAAGATTGGGTATGAAGGATTCTTCCGACGACAACGGTAACCTTCCAGAGAAACATGGATTATCGTTCATGAAATGTCCATCACTTTGGGCATACGTTTGAAATTGTTCGGAATTTTGACCCAATGCATCTTGTCGAATGTAGGGTGAAGTAACATTAACATTGTTTATGCTAGCACTACTCAAAGAAGTCACTTCCTCGTCACTGTCAAATTCTTCCACAAACTCATAGCTCGCCATTTTAGTTTCGTATTTCTTTAATCTATTTCGAAGCTTATAGAAGTGGCACTGTTAGGTATGTATGTATATACCAGTTAAAAAACGGAATTTTGAGTGGTCGAGTTTCTGTTTTAATTTTTTATTTTAGTTACATGCAAAATCATTTATTTCATTCACATATCAAAATCCATCCTCTTCACCAATTAAATATTATGGCAATAGGTACAATCATTTACCTGGAAGTTTAATTATTATTAGGCAATAAACAAGGTTTAGCGGATTACTATTTTCTTAATAATCACCTCACTCAAGCACTCTTCTATTAATCATCAAGACATTGTTGAATTATCAAGCATATTTAGTCACAAACACAACTTTGTTTAAGAGAAAGTGTTTGTAGGCTAGACGAGTCTTTCTTTGCGAATGATTTGGTAAAAATTGATCAATTTACTGGCATACCAATTTAGTTTAGTTAGTCTTAGCCACGCAGTTGCGATAGTTTGGACGGAGTTGTAGTTACATATATTAATAAATTATGCAAGTGTTTTAGAGCATATTTCGAAAAAGAAAGTTTTTCATGGAATGGAAGTTGATGGAAGATGAGGCTCAGCTTCCTTCAAGACTTCAATAGCAGATTTATACTCCTCGGTTGTACCCCATTCGCCTTCATCCGATGTCATTTCCATCAACTCCTTGTGGGCTTGCTGTGTAATGACATTATTAGAGGTTGGTATATTTGAATAGAAAACTTGTTATTATACGGCATCATTAGTTTTTTATTGTACTTACGGCCAACCTCCTCTGGGTGTCTGGAACCTGAAACAAGAATATAATCTATATAAAACTATCCCAAATTGAATTCAACTTAGTTTCTGTCAATGAAAACGAAGTGACTTTAGTTAACCATTGGGCCCTATTAGAAAGTTTAAAAAATTGGCACGTAGATCAACCCTTCACACTGAAAATTGCAAAATATTTATAAGTATAAACACTTTTCTGTTTTCATGAAATTGCTGTGTATCGATAATGTTATGTCCTGAACAAACATCATACTAATTATGTTTCAAACTATCTTTTACTAATTGAGAAATAAATAGGATGTGTCTCCTTGGGTGAGTTATCTCAAGTTTAGTATACCCTCAGTTTATAACAATCTCGAAATAAGATGCCTTACCATGAGCTCCGATTCTCGAAGTGAGTTGACCTGTTGTTTCATGAAATACTCGTCCTTTCCTTCCTCCTCAAATTTCTTAATCTTGTCCTGTTGCATCGTGACCTCTTTTTCATAGCTTAACTTTTCCTTTGTGTACCGCTTTACAACACCCGTTTTGATCTTGAGGTTGCGTAATTTTGACGGGTCAATGGGGGTTGAGTCCGTGTCAGCCATTCTTTTAATGATTTAGGAAATATACCTGTTTCTAAAATAATACACAATATTAGTCACCATAAAAGCTGAACAAATGGTAAAGTTTATTCCAAAACAAGGTGAAAGCGTGGATTCAAGAAATCCGTTAAAAAAATTCCAGTCTCAAATAGATGAAGAAAGTTTCCAACAGGGCAGTCTAAGGACACTTACAATTTCAAGAACCGTGTCTCCTTGAGTGATCCGTTGATGATTTGTGTAGATATTTTGCGAATGACAGTTGTTGAAAAGTTTTGTGACTCATTCAGAGACATTCACTCTCGTTCAACGCCTATTATGATATTTGCAAGTGTTGGTTGTTGATTTGGCCAAACTGACTGAGGAGATTGTGTGCCCGCTGTTTAAAAATCTCCAATTTCCCATTCTCGCCTGTTTCCATTGGACACTTCCACTCGACGTCACCTCCGGCCAAAGTTCACTCATCATATCACAAGGAGAAATAGAAATATATACAAGACGTTTTATATTGGCGAAATTTGGCGAACCCTCGAGTTGTCGTCTGCAAGGTGGGTTTTGTTTCTGTTCATTTGTCATTCAACTTGAATGATTCAAGTTCTTATAACAATTTGTTAAAATGAATTCCTCTGTTATGCATGAATAATCGAAATTGGATTATTCAAATTTCAATTGAGCAACTTTGAGTTTTTGTAAATTACTGTATAGGATGTTAATAAAATTGTAGCGTTTGCCTTATTTAGGTACTCACCAAAGTTGACTAGGATAGGACGATATCACCCCGGACCGTGATAATGTTCTGCCGAACTTCTGCGTCAAGTAATCGTCACCTACAACAGGTAATTGTTTGATGTTGGTATTTATACAACACTATTATGCACGGCTGGGATTAAAAGTTTTAAAAGTAGACTCTACTGAATTGACGAAGTTTGATTGTGGTTATCAAAGTTTTTATTTCATTTTCCCATTTAATTTTAAGTAATACATGATGCATACATTAATAAGCAAAAATCAAAATGTTGATAATTATCAGCTAAGATAAAAGTGCATATTATTGAAAACAAATTACGATCTGCATACGTTCTTTCGTTACGACAAAATTTCAAGGTTTGGATAAATATTAAAGTTCAGTTCAGATTTAGGTTGTTATCTAACTGACTAGATTTTGGTACTTTGTTAGAAGTTATTGCCTTGTACTAATTCTTGAAATGCTCTGGAAGATGCGTGGTGTCATATACGTGGACGATTTGCAGTTTTCGTTTTGATTTTTCATTTGCATTCCCATTCTTGAATGGATGAATGAGAAACCGCGTGGTCGCTGTGTTGGGGGGACCATTTTTAAGCCACTTATCCTGAAATTCTTCAATATCGTAATGGGTGTTTCTGCTATCTGCTAAATAGTCCATCATACACATTAGCCACGCTCCATGGGTAACAACCAGAGCGTGTTCAGGTTCACTGGAAGCATCAGCGAGTTTGCCGAGCATCTGAAACCGATTATTTTTTAAATTCACAACTGAACAGTGCGTCAGTAAGTTTAGACATGTATGCATAACTACATACATTTAAGAATTTTGCGGTTCGTTTCTTTGTTTCTTCATAAGGTTCTCCGCCAGGGAGAGGTACGGCATGGGTATCTAGCCCAGTTTCACTACAAATATCGTAGATAGCTTGTGTTGGTTTAAATTCTAAATCTCCGTAGTCCTGTAAATTTCAGGATACAAATAAAATATACAGTGTCACCTAAAGTTTGCAATCTTTTCACGTGTCAAAATTACCCTTTCTCGCAGATTTTTCTCCAATACAAGTTCAGGGTGAGGGTGACTGGAATGTTTCAATATATTGAGAGTTGTGTCATGACATCGTTGCAGGTCACTAGTGTATACACGTGTGAAGCGTTCATGGGTCAGATGACGACCCAAATGCTCAGCCTATATGAAAAGAGCAAAGTTTATATATTAATTAGCTAATTAGTTTATATTTAAAACGCACGCACGCACCATTAATATTCCCTTCTCTGACAGCTCTCCATGAGTTCGAGATTGGATAATTTTAGCTGCATTAAGTTTGGTTTCCCCACTTCAAAAAATAGATTTGTTAAATGTAACTTTGCATAAAATTGTATTAGCAGGACAAGCAGAATAAAACTTACTGTCGAACGAATGTAGCAACAAACATCTTTGTCGACTTGAGGACTTGTCCAGCTGCAGCCAGTTTATTTTCTTGTTGATCACTGATCGCAGAAAAGTGAAATGTATGCTTTTATAACTCGGGACTTGCTGCAAACCTGCGGTAGTCACATGAATAAAAATGGTCACAACTATAATAATTATCAATTATCACACCATTGTCTTTGTCTATTGACTTTACCTGTAGCTCAAAAGAACACCTATAATTGTCAATTGTTCTAAAAAACGAGTGGTCAACAACCGTCAAATATTATTGTTTGGTTTGAGATTTGTTGGATGTGGATCAACGGCTGATGACAAAAATTAATGAATAATGACTGAACCTGAACTGGCTAATTGTGAGTAATTTGTGGGTGTCAAATTGAGACTCAAATTGACAAGGCAATTACCTTTAAATCAGGTTCAAGTTTGAAGTTCAGTTCATGCGCAACTGATAACAACGTGATGATAAGTAATTCTAATTGTAATCATTGTCGTCTGTATTAAGCTACAATAAACACGAGCCGTTGGGACAAATATTTACTCAGGACTTATATGAAATTTTAGCAGTAGTTATTTAGTGTTGCGTTTATCTTTCCTATTCCGCTTCTCCGTCATCTGTTTCTCCCGAGTAAGTCACATCATAAGATTTCGCACTCAAAAACCAACCCGACTTGTCTCATGTTCTCGTCTCATGTGTACCTTCCATGGGCAATACATGCATTGATTATCGATTACGATTTTCATAATTGCTTCCGTTTGCGTGTACAAATACTTGGAATTGTCTCAAGGTTTTGTTATGTACAAACTGAATCGATCGTTTACTTTATCATATTTCCTGTTGATGGACCAAATGAATATCAGATATCCCAAAATTTTATGCAGATCAATAATTTTTTTTAATAGAAAATATGTCTGCAGATTTGATTGTTTTGTATTTTATTCCAGGTACTACGAAGGCTGAAGAGCACTCTAGTAATTGCTGAACATGATAATGCCAGTTTGAAATCTATAACATTGAATGCCATCGGAGCAGCAAATAAAATCGGGCATGAAGTTACATGCCTTGTAATTGGAAGCAATTGTTCAAAAGTATGGCCATAAAAAAGTATACATCAATTAACATGCAAAATAAATTATTAACTCAAATTGTATTTCATTTTTATGAAAACATTAGGCTGCCGATCAGTTGACAAAGGTTGAAGGAGTTAAAAAAGTCCTAGTTGCAGATAATGCAGCATTTGAAGGCTTTTTGCCAGAAAGGTTAACCCCGTTGATCTTGGCATCGCATAAACAGTTTAATTTCACCCATATCATTGCTGGAGCGTCCGCCTTCGGAAAGGGCCTGCTACCACGAGTGGCTGCAAAGCTAGATGTATCTCCGGTATCAGACGTCATTGGAATAAAGGACGAGGAAACATTTACTCGTACAATTTATGCGGGTATGCCTGTGAATCGTATTGCTTTTGATTATGACGAATCAATACACTAGCCCTTGGGGATTAAAAAAATTGAATTCCGTACGTTGTATATTTATGCATGAATTAGGTAATGCTGTGATGACGCTAAAGGTCACAGACGCGATAAAAGTTTTGAGTGTCCGGGGAACATCCTTCGAAGCAGCAAAAGTTGGTGGTGGCTCGGGTGCCTTAGAAAAAGCTGCTGACGGGGAATATAAAAATGATTTGTCTTCATTCGTTAAGCAAGAATTGGCTAAAAGCGACCGACCCGAATTGACCAGTGCCAAAACTGTAATCAGTGGAGGCAGAGGAATGAAGAATGGAGACAACTTTAAACTTTTATATGAACTCGCTGATCTCCTCGGAGCTGGAGTGGGTGCATCTAGGGCGGCAGTGGATGCAGGATTTGTTTCCAATGATTTACAAGTAGGACAGACTGGAAAAATTGTCGCACCTGTAAGTTTTGGTGACAATTTGAATGAATTTATATATCTGTGTATGTTTTTGTTTATGTTTTCTAAATTTGTTTAGGAGCTCTACATTGCGGTCGGCATTTCTGGCGCTATTCAACATTTAGCCGGAATGAAGGACTCCAAGACTATTGTTGCGATAAATAAAGACCCTGAGGCTCCAATTTTCGCCGTCGCAGACTTGGGTCTGGTTGCTGATTTATTTAAAGCAGTAAGTAATATCATAATAATTCATATTAAATCGAGTCCGTTCATGCAGTTGTCTCATATTCTCATCCCTTGTTGCTTATGTAAATGTGACAGGTTCCAGAAATGACTGAGAAGGTTAAAGCCATGAAAAGTTAGGTGCTTAATTGAAGGTAGGATAAGTAATTTCTTAATATTAATAAAAATATATGTGGCTATTCCTGATTGTGAAAAAATAGAGCAATAAAGAATATATATTGCATAAAATAATATTTTTAATTTTCTTGTCAATTCGTCTTTTGTTGCTTTGTACTTCTTAGCACATGACTCAATTTTACGCGTGCTATTACTACAAAACGAAACATAATTTGTCAAGTTTTAAAATTGTAAATTAAACTGCGCGTCACATGCAAACAACATTTCAACTTTTAATGTATTGCATTTCGTTGTTAATTTAATTTGAAGTAATCAAAAACTAGTTCAGATTCACTGCAGTACGTACAACTTTATGATGACTTCTAAATTGGAAGGAATATTAATGGCATGTACACATGTACATATATATTTAGGTATGTACATGAGATGTACACAGATAAAATCCAATCCCTTACATGCAAATGCATTTATCATACATTATTCGCATACTAAATTTGTAGGCATGAAAATCAGTAATCAATCACTCATATATGCAAAAAAAAACTAGCAAAATGCTTCTACAAGCCGTGTGATAATTTTTCTAGGGATTATTTCCCTTAACTAAAAAAAATGTACAAAAAAATCATGCTGTCTTAGGATGAAGACTTGTTTTATGCTTTGAAATTGAACGACAAGCAAATGAGTTGTTTTGGCCTGGTCCACATATGACATAAGCAATGTGGAAGGAAGTAGCAAGAAGTGAAGTCGTGTGTCTCTCTAGTACTGACAGGTCAACCATAGTGTTTTTGTGTCTATGCTTTTAATTCAATGGCGAGGGGGCAGATGAAAAATTACACAAAATTACTTGTCCTATCTTCTATGTGTGCAAGTCTTATTTGCCAATTATCCAACTCCACCACACTTTTTGGCTGATGCTTCCTCTGAATGTTTACAATTCACTTCGCACGTTGGTTGAGAAAGATGCACATTTGAAAATGAAATGGGACATTTTTTGCAGGAGATGAAAAGAAAATGGGTGAACAAGTTCTTCAACATTAATTGCAGTCGTCGCATTTTTGTGGGGCTTGATGCTGACTAAAAATATTGTTCAATTAGCCTGCGAGACACGTTGCATGTACATTCACGACTATTTGTGAATTAAACGCCTCTGAAAATTTCTAACCAATATCTTGCTTGATTATGGGGTACAAGTATGTGCATACTCATTCCTGTAACATAAAATACGACAGTGGAAAATCGAGGATTATTATAATCTTGTGTTGAATTGAGGTTTTAACATTTGTGAAAGTTACAATAGTCTGGAAAATCACAAGCCACAAATATCAAGATGACCAGATGACGATGAAAAAGTGTCAATTTATGTAAACAAATGTTGACCATTTTTTTGGTTTTGCGAAATTGGCCGCAGAAATAATGACAACATTAATAGCAGGCAACCGGTTGTATAAAAGTATATAAAAATGTATTTCACTTGTAAAAAAATATATTCACCTTCACTTTGTGTCGTTATTGAACAACTGTTGGTAAGTACGTAGTACTTAATTTCATCATATTGACCAGTACTCGATATTTACATATCATCACAGTATCACAATTTTGTAAGAGTAGGAGTCACCCTCTGTAATTCTTCAATCCTATGAGCGTACTTGAAGTAAGCACGAAAATTGGCCTTCAGGCATTCTCCTTATACTTTTCATATTTTTAGAACTAGCCTAATCTTTTAAACCGACCAGATCACACTTTAGCTATTTTACCGGCATGTAACTCTCACGTGGATTTGGAGTCGGATATACCAAACAAGTCTTCTATGGAGCCGGCTTTCTCCCCCTCTTTGGATGGTTTGGATGTGGTGGATTTGCTTTCTCCGTCGGTGGTCGTTGACGGGGCGGGTGTCGTCGTCGTTGTGGGGTTACTACTACTGCTGGCTTTTGTCAAGACCTCATTGCTCTCAACATCCTCCGCTTTTGAGGAGGAGGTTGTTGATGTGGGCGCGTCGTCTTTTGTTCCTTCTGCTTTCACCTTGTTCTCGGATTTTGAGGAACCAAGAAGGTCAAGAATGTCTTTAGGAACTTCGTCTGAAGAAGACGTTTCATCGCGCTTTTTGCTGTACCCACCGTCACTTTCTCCTTCTGACATAATGTCCACAACGGTTCCATCCTCCGCACACGGCTTATGTTCGGGATCACCCAATGGCGCAAGAATTGTGCTAAGTCTGACACGAGGAATGAGACGAGTTCCAACAGTGAGCTTCGTTTTGATTCCATCACTCACCTGAAAATTAAAAAATGATCGTATTGAAAGTGACTGCATGCAAAAATATGTCCACATGGGTCTTGAAAACCCCTAATGAAAATAATGCATTTTTTACCAGTGGTTGAATGTTTGTAAAATCCGCAGCCAAACCACGCACCAAATTACCACCCAACTCTGCAGCATCTCTTGCCGGTTGGAACAACCTTTGATTTGTCACAAGGTTTCGAACGCGTTGAAAGTTTCTGGACAAGAATTTGGTCTTTGTTTCTGCAAAGCGAGCTAATCCACGAGACAAGGTTTGCACCAAGTTCTGAATGGCGAGAGTGAAGTTGTCGAAGAGACTGCGTAGGAGCTTAAAAACGCCCCCAAGGACCTCGGTGCCCCTGGCAGTCGCAGTGGTGAAGATCCGAATACCGTTATTCACTTTGGAGGAAGCCGTTTCTCTCAACGCCCCGCTCGCTTGTTTCCGATACACTCTAAACTCTGCAACGCAGTCAACCATGAAATTAGACATGACATGAAATGTGGCCTGACATGGCGTCTAAAACCATAAAATAAATATCAGGATGAATAGCGAACGCTTATATTACCGTCAACCGCCCGATTCAGCACATCCCCCAATCTTGGAAAGTTCTCTGTCGCCTTTCTCGTCGCATTTCTGAGGGGGGCAAACAACTCGCCCGCATTCCTCACAGAACCCCCAACAAGGTCTAAGCCTAAGTCGGTGAGCATTTGCAACTGACCTCCCCCTCCACCCTCACCACCACCAGGAATCAGTGCTACCAACGCTTGTCTGCAGAGTATTGTAAACATTGTGGATTGTCTAGAAATGCAAAATTTACTCCAAAAGAAGAACGTTTACCTTCTAGCCTCCAGGTCTTCGATGGATGGAGGATGTCCCCGAGGTGTCGAATCGGGCTCTCCATCATCAATCACTGTAAGACTCAGTTGTGGACTCCTTTTTATGATGGTGCGCCCGTAGCTTGGACTTGGAATACGAAGAGATACACATAGCACAAAAAATATCACTATATTTTTATGCGGTTGATTCATTTTCTTATTTATCCAGGCTTTCTTTAAAAACTTGATAATAATTTGAAATGAAGCACTTCAAAAGTCACAATGGGTCAATTAGTGGGGGATTTATTATTTATTAACAACGTTGGTGGTGGTGGTGATGCGTCTGTATTTCATGCGGTCGGTGGCCGATGAGAAACTGAAATAAGCAAATCAGTTCATTTTCATTATAGTTTTGAAGATGTTGTGTAATGTATCTCGGCACAACTTGTAATTGTGTCATATTTGACAACTAAAATGTGTTGAGTTGGCTATAAACACAACTTGCACTTTTATTTATGAATCAGTATTGGTGGCGTCCACATATCCAAACGTGACTATAACATGATGCTGGTTAATCACGATCAGTGAAATTTTGATTGTGCAGGGTTCAGTAGTATCTAAGTGCATATGCAGTAGTCTATCTGATCTCAACCTGTTTCCAACCTATCTATTATTTGGTTACTACATATTTCATTTTATAACTGAAAATAAGGGTGCATATAAATAATGCGTACACTATATGCACGTAAACGTACGCTACCTACAGAGGTGGCGTATACATTTAAAAAACAAGATTTTTAAGCCCACTTAATTAATTATTATCGTGCATTTCGTATGCATATAACTTATGTACCTTACGACCCTATTTTTGATATCTATTAGGTCAAATATCTTATAGATTCAATAGCCAACCATGTTAAGTTGTATTCATTTGTACATCATACTACAGTACTGATTAGTACGCAGGAGACGAAGGTTTCTTACTAAACAATTAGGCATTTTTAAAACAACGTTTTATTTGACAGAGGGAATGGTGACAATACAATAAATCTATCTGAGGTCAGTTATTTTTATGTACAATTAGTTTGATAGCAATCTCATGTACGTGGGTAATCATCATTTTTAGTTGTAATAATAATTTTTTCGGTATCAAGCTAACGTGCTTGATCACATTTTCTAGAAATTCGTTTATTACCTCCTGGTTACATCATATAATATAGAACATTAATAATTGTAACATGCAATCACATTAGGACATGACAGCCGAGATGACAATTGTGTTTAAGGTAACTCTGTGAAAAGAAAAGTCAACAATTTTCTAAAAAAATGTCTTATTTAAATACAGTAACGCTAGTTGTAGTAGTGATACATATTTGCATGCATTATTTGAGATGCAATTTTATAATTCATACTTGTCAAATCCTCGACCTGTTCCACCCCTTATTAACAAATATTCATATTGCAAGCACAGACACACACATGCGTTTGTACAGGATAGCTGCACCAATTATGAGGATTTTTTTCTGAAGTGAATTCTATACATCAATTGTCAAAGCATTGATACAAAATTATGAAATACCCAGTGCACACAAACATTCATTATTTATTATAAAATATACTCCGAGCAAAATTTCAAACTTCGGTTACATATGTCGTGATTTTTAAAATTGGTCCATATTCTTCGTTTAAAATAAATACTTTTTTAGAGGATAAATAATTTCATCTTGTACACGTTTACACCTGAAGAAGGGGACAGTTGAACCCTGTAAGCTTGTGAATAAATCACTTCAAGATGTCATCCATACGATCTGTTAATTCTACCTGAAATACTTTTTTCATTGCTTCTGGTACAAGAAAATATTTATTTGGTAATGATGTACTAGTGATAGTGATGCTGTCCTGTCATCATAATGGCTCATTATTAAACTTGACGAAATTGGTTCACCGTAGTTAATGTTTCAACAGCACGCAGCACGCCACTCAACTCTCGAACGAGGAGTGAAACATGAAATAAGTGAAACAAATGAGGAACCGCACCTCAAAATCTTAAAATTGATCTAATTTTGTATTAAATACTTCATGACAATGGAGGATAAAGGCTTATGGTTTAAGAACCAGCGTTTTAAGGTAATAATCTTACGATGCAAATGGAAAGACAAAATAGATCCTGTCTCCTGTCGCAGCTCTGAATCATGATCCTGTGTAATCTCAGTTTTGCCAAAAAATTATGTCGCATCGTAACAAGTCTGTAGTGTATTGAAATCCGGTTGGACTGGATTAAAAACAAAGATGACCACTCCCATGTTAATGTTGCTGATGGGAATATGTGCACAATCAATACATTTGACAAATGCATTACTGATTGCCCAGCAAGAAATTCTTTGACTCGTTTTTTTGTAACTTTGGCATCTGTTCTAATTCCTGTAGGCTTCAAGGTCGTTCCTTTAACTGTCTCACTTTCTTTAATCGCTGTCTCGTAATCTCGTCACCATTTGAGCTGATTATGTGCAGCAAGCAAAATTAGTAAATTATATTGTTCTTTTGCAGCAATTTCGTTGAATGATTTTTAAAAGTTTGACATCGGCTTTATGTATATTTTAATTAAATAAAATTATTTAATTTTCATCCAAATAGTTTTATATATTTGTCGTAAAATTCAAATACGTCGTATATACATACTTGATCAGATTCGTACTGATTAATCCCACATTAGGATGTAGTTTTTGTGTATTTGTCCATAACCAGATCACTAAATGAAATTAATTGTGATTGATGAGATTTGAGATAGCAAAGTGAGAAGGGAATCTTGCCCTTAGGATTAGTGAATGCATGTGTATTTATGTGCACGCGATGGGTATCCATGATAAAAACGTCTATTGAGCTCCTGTATTTGCACTGTTCGTTCATATTACTTCATATGCATGATATGTCGTACTTCAACCCAAGAGATTGGGCTTGGTTGGGTTACGTACCTATTTGGCTGGATGATTAAGGAAGCGCAGAAACTGTTGGCAAAGGGGAGGGACACAGTTCAGATTAAAAAATCATCGTCGTTCAACAATACCTACATAAGCATAACCAATTCATTCTCTTATTATCATGTCTTGATAATTTACCAAATCATAATTTGTGAAACCTACCACAAGTACAACGAGGGATATTTACATATGCTTAGCATTTACATATTCACTGCCTACTTGTACCTACGGATTACTTATTGATGTGGAATGAATTTTGTGGTGAAATTACACAATTGTCTGGCGTACAACGCGTCTTAATGAAGTCCATCCCAACTCCGTCACCAAGACGGGACCAGCAGGCCTGTATTTTACAGGGTGAAATAGGCTGCAGGGTGTGGTTATGCACTAGCAGCAACCTCTCCAGCGAAAAAAGTGTGCAATATAAAAGCACCTTCGTCCCTGGAATCGATACCAGATCACTTTCAGTTGCAATCAGCACACTTTCTTTCACTTTGTGAATTATCAACCTCCCAAAACCTCATCAACATGCAGGTAGCAAAAGAAATTCAAACTTTAATCAGAGAAACTAATTTTCGATATGTGCAAATACTTGAGCGAACTCTAATGCCTGTTCTTAAATTACTTTTAGGTCGTCGCTATCATCCTGGCTTTCGCCGCCGTCGCTTCCGCCGGACTCGTTTCTACTCCAATCGCATACTCTGCCCCCACCGTCATCTCCAGAGCCCCAGCTTTCGATTCTGCCGTCATCAAGAGCGACCGACTTGGAGGAAACTTTGCTTATTCGGTTGCTGAGAACCACGCCTATGCTGCCCACACCCCAATCGTCCAACACGTCACCTCCCCCGTTGGAGTCACCTACGCCGCTGGAGCCCCAGTCGTGACCGGATACAGCGCCCCAGCCATTCACGCCTATGCTGCCCCACTCGCCTTCGGTGGAGTCGTTCGATCCTGGTAATTTTAGTATAAAATATTTGTATTTTTTGTATATCAGCAAAATCAAAAATGACAACAGTTAAAAAATCGATACATGTACATCGTTTCATGATTCCAAATTCCAATATTCAGCATTAAGTTCACATTTAAAAAATAAAGTGCTCTTAATAAATTGGCTACGTAATAAAAACTCGTACCTATAGTCTGTCTGTAATGCATGCATATGAGGCATTTCTAAGCAACCGTGCTCACAACACATACCTGCATCGCCATCCATCCATACTCCTACCCCGACCCGCATATGAATTCCACTGTCGCATTACCAATTCTGATACGTAAAGACAAATTTTAAATACCAAAATAACCAAAATCTCACTTAAAATTAGTCACTAAAAACATTAAATGGCTCCACCTTCAAGTGCTGAAATTCGGGAAGGAGACTACACCAAAGCTATTTATTCTTTGGTGAGTCACATAAACTTTATCGAGGTTATGTACACATGCACGAATAATAACGTGTTTAATTATTTGATAGATCAAAGAGCAGCAATTTAAGGACGCCATACTCGTTTTGGAGGACCAGTTAGAATTTCATCCCAATGTATTTTCAGAATTAACAAAATGCTCCAAAATCATCAATTTCATGTTTGACTTAATATGTTAAAAATCCTAATTGATTTTAGAGTCGTGCAGCATTATCGTTACTTGGCTATTGCTACTTTTACTGCCAAGATTTTACAAATGCAACCCTGGCATACGAGCGACTTTTGTACTTGTTTCCCAAAGCTGAAGAATATCGACTTTATTACGCCCAGTCTCTGTATCATGCGTGTCTCTACAATGAAGCGATGGATGCGACGTGTCAAATAGAAAATGCAGAATTCCAGGGAAAGGTATAAATTTCAGTTTTTATTGTTCAAATTTAATATTCTAATCGCGACAAACAATAATTTATATATTTCAACACAGATATTAAAGCTCCAGGCAGCAATTAAGAACGGAGCAGACGAGCTAGCAGATGCCAAGACCTTGGTCGATAAGTGTCCAAAGGACGACCCTGACACAGAGATCAACAGAGGCTGTCTTTTATACAAGGAAGGTCGATATGACGAAGCTCTACAAAGATTTAATGCGGCTTCTCAAGTGATTGGTTATGACCCGCACTGTTCATACAACATGGCACTGACGCATTATCGACTCCAGAATATTCCGATGGCTGCAAAACATATTGGTATGTTATATATCCATAATACATAAGTGGAATGTGAATGTGTATCTGCAACTTTTAATACGCATTTAAAAAATAAATTCCCACAGCCGACATAATTCAAAATGAGGTGAGTCAACATCCGGAAATGGGAGTGGGAGTCATGACAGAAGGAATTGAGCTCCCGAGCGTTGGCAACACTTTGACTCTACACGACACTGCATTCATTGAAGCTTTCAACTTGAAGGCCGCCTTCGAGTTCGACATTCAAAATCGTAATACCGTAATCGACATCAGAATAAAAAAATAAGAAAAACGAACTAAAATCACAATGGTATTTTAGCGAAAGGAGCTCGTGAAGCTTTGACAGACATGCCGCCCAGAAATGAGGACGAACTGGATGCAATTACATTGCACAATCAAGCAATTCTAAACATGGAAAATAATCCAACGGAAGGATTTGAAAAACTGCAGTTTCTTTTATCACAAAATCCATTTCCACCGGAAACATTCCAAAACCTTTTACTACTCTACTGCAAATATGAATGCTATGATCTAGCAGCAGACGTATTGGCGGATTATGCTCATCTTACGTACAAGTATTTAACACCGGTGGGTAAATACATACATATGTAATTGAGCAAATTAATTTTTGTGTATAATAAATGATAAAAATTAAGCTATTTCATGTTTAAAATTTTAGTTCATGTACGACTTGTTTGATGCAATGATTACTCAACAAACTTCACCAGAAGAAGGATACAGAAAGTTGGACGAATTATCCAATAAAACGGCGGAAGCGTTACGAAAACTGACCAAGCAGGTGACCGAGTCAAAGGGAGTTGGTCAAGATGCTGTTGCAAGCAAGCTTTGTACAGAATATGATGAAATGCTAGCAAGGTATAAATTTTAATATTTTTACTCCCGAATATTCTACAGAAGGAGCATTTCTTTAAATTTTAATTGAAATAGCAAATACATTCCGGTGTTGATGTCGCAAGCAAAAATATTTTGGGATAAGGAAAACTATGCGCAGGTATTTACAATAAAATCCCCATGCCATGTACTCCGATCTTGTGATAATATGCAAATACACGCAAGGACTTGTTTCAGGTGGAAAAAATCTTTAGAAAATCCGTCGAATTTTGTAATGAGGTGGATGTGTGGAAACTCAACGTTGCACATGTCATTTTTATGCAAGAGAATAAGTTTCGAGAAGCTGCAAGTTTCTATGAAGCAATCGTAAAGAAGAGTTATGCTCACGTAAATAAATACAATTCACATAACGTCTTATTAAAGTCTTATTAATTGAGAATAAGTCAATTACAGGGAATTATTTAGTTAAAACACTTGTGCGACTTTTTTAGGTCCTTGATGTAAGTGCCATTGTCCTTGCAAACCTGTGCGTATCTTACATCATGACGGGCCAAAACGAAGAGGCTGAAGAACTAATGAGAAAAATTGAGAGAGAGGAAGAACAAGTTGCGTTTGATAATCCGGAGCAGAAACTGTTCCACTTGTGCATAGTTAACATGGTTATCGGGACCCTGTACTGTGCCAAGGTAAGGATTTTAATTTAGCATTATAATTAATCTAATTAAGATTTTAATTTGATGATTAATTTATTGAACTACGTATTAACTATGAATTAATACACTTAATACAATGAATTTGTTTTGAATAGGGGAACTACGACTTTGGAATTTCTAGAATTATCAAAAGTTTAGAACCATACAGCAAAAAACTTGGAACTGACACTTGGTACACAGGATTTAACAATTATTTCTTAATCATGATAACAGTTGTGCTTTATCTGCTTCTTAAAAATTAAATTAGGTTTTATGCCAAGCGTTGTTTTCTGTCTATGTTGGAGAAGGGGGCCAAGCACACCACAAATGTACGAGACAACGTTTATCAAGACTGTATCCAGTTTTTGCAACATTGCGAATGTAATGAGGCATGAAATTAATTATCATCCCATTTTTCTCTGTTTAAAGAACAAATATTTTAATGCAGCGTTTGGCAGAAATGTGAAAACGTTGATAGAGTCGCCATTGGAGGACTCGCCTCTCCACCTCGGCAAGAACACCGTGACCTACGAATCTCGCCTCCTTAAATCCCTCCTTCTTCGTGTTCTCCAGTAAATAGCGCAATAAAACTAAACATTTCACGTGCGGCGTCAATTTCTACAAATGAGACAATTTCTCTAAATATGAGAAACTAATGTGGAAATGTCTCAATATCTCAATTTGCCCATCATATAATTTCGTAGTATGTCTCAAGTTTCCTTTCTATCAGTCTTACAGTACAATACAATAATTTATTGTGAATAAAATATGATAAAATTAGGAACCAATGTTTTTTAAGTATGAAACTACAAGTAGTGCAATAAAACCATCCAAATTTATGGTCAAACGGTCATGTGATGCTGAAATTTGAGAAAATCTGCTTTCACTTTGTGCATGCATAGCCGACTATTTCATTGCTGTTTGGGGCATACGGAGCCTTCGACCGCCTTGCTTCGTAAGCCGGTCGCTCTTTCGTTCGCGTCTTCTTGTGTGATCTAAAAACCACTCACTCAAAATCGAAATATTATTTCTCGAGAACAGTAAATAATTTAATTACAATTATTTAAAAACAAATTTCAACGTTCTTTCTATAAAAGTTGAGAACCTTCCAATTCTTCAAGGTTAGTTAATAGTCAGTGTTGATTAATTTGTCCAAGTTTTGATACATAATAAAACCGACCTATTAAATAAAATATTTTTTATCGTCATTTATTTCTGAAGAGGGAAATTGCTAATCAGTATTCATTTTTTGGATTTTTTAGATGGCGATGCCCGTGAATCCAAAACCATTTCTTAATTCTCTCACTGGCAAATCGGTGATTGTTAAGTTAAAGTGGGGACCGGAGTACAAAGGATACCTTGTCTCGGTTGATGGATACATGAATGTTCAGGTAATTGGTGCTATATGATCTGATATCTAAATATAAAATATACTAACCCGGCATCACATAATATTTAATTTGACGAATCGCTATTTTCAGATGGCGCAGACGGAGGAATATGTAAATGGAGAGTCGACTGGTTTGCTGGGCGAAGTTTTGATCCGTTGTAATAACGTGTTATACATTCGCGAAGATGATGGTGACGGCGATGCGATGGACGAGTAGTAGATATTATGAGTATACTTTTTATTGTATTTTAATTTCTTTGTACTTTAGATTGGCAAATGGGTCAGAATTAAAATAATTAATAGAAGGCCAGCTTGAACTATATTTTTCATTTGGATCGCACAGAGGTTGTTGACATCTTCTAAATCTGATTGAAGTTCAAATAGGGGTGGTCTGTTTCCAGCACACGTCACGAATTTCTGTAACAATTATTATTTGTAGAAAGTCTTGGGGTTTAAAATGGGAAATGTTGTTTTACCTGTACATAACCATTGCGAGTCTGATTCTGATGCATTGTTGCAGAGTACACAGTTTTCTGAAAATGTAAAATTTACCACCCAGTTTTATTAAAATAGATCAACGACTTCTTAAATGAAAGTAACGTTCAAATGCTAGCATAGAATTCTTATATATGGAGCCCCCACTATCAACTATGCGTGGCTTTAATGACTCTTGTAATTTACTTCACACTGGTTCGTGAATACCTGTCTGCCTGACTGAATTTATAGGAATACTAGTAAAAATATTGTTTTCTAAGACTATTTTCCCACCAATTTGGAAAAATAAATCCGTGCATAAATTCATCATTCATCTCTACATACACCCGTTTTCTTGAGCTGGATGGAATTTTCCTCTATTTACTACGCTTCAATTACTTTCGTGCAAATATAAATAAATGTCGGCTTGTATTTATGGCGTCGTCTTACCAAAATTCTGCGTGTGGCATGACATGGAATAAAATTAATTAAGTACATTGAGGGAACTCACGTCAACGTTTGTAACCTTCGTAACTGCGTAAGATTGTAAGCTTACAAACTTTTACGAACTTTTACACACATTTCTAAGGAAAATTGACTTACGAACTTTTACGAAACTTACGCACTTCAAAAGCATGTTTTTGGTTCGTAAATAAAAGTTCGTAAATAATTCGAGGTTTGATACTTGCATTTTCGGTTGAAATTGTCTTAGAGACAAATAATTGTCACTGTCTATTGTAAATTTTTTGTGATCTCGTGCAAATTAATTTAATTATTCAACAAAAGATTGCTGCCAGCCGAAAATATTGGTCGCTATCCGACCAGCCCCCAAATGTCAAATCCGGGCTAAATTGACACACTTCATCCAGGGTGTCAATCAATCGGTCTTGATCATACGATCATTTTGGTATATTATAGAACTTTGTGACATAAGAAATGGCTGTGTAATTCCTGAAAAACTGATATTTTAAGCAAAAAAGTCAAAAAGAATTACATTTCATTTGGTGTAAGCTAGGATAAAGTTGGCTAGCAACATTTTGATGACGTTTTATATACGATATTTTTTTACTAAAAAAAGTTTACGAAAATGTTTACAAAGTCAACTCACGTCAAGAGTGTGTAAACTTACAAACCTAACGCAGTTACGTAGGTTACGAACTTGACGTGAAATCCCTCATTATTTAAGTTTGTACTGCATTTTGAATTATACAAACTATTATAATTATTGTGCTCTGCTCTTTACGACTAAATACGAGACGAATCTTCAACGTCATCTATTTGTGTCAGAATTTCAAGTTCAAGGAAATGATTGACTTTACTATCTTGATCTGATTATAATTAAGGATGAAAAATCACATATGATAATGCATGTTGGGAAGGTTGACTTTCTGTGTGGCTTAATAAATGATATTAAGAACTGACAATAGATAATCAATTACAATTTAAACACTTGTAAGATCATCTCATAAAATGACAGGCAGAATGCAGACCAAATCCTGAATCAGATTTTTTATTACTTCGATCGCGTGGTCATTTGTATAGTAGCGTTGTTGTAAATTGTTATTCGAGAAGCATGATTACATGAAATAATACTGATGTAATTATTCTAATTATATCCAATTATATATGCATTTGTACATACATACATATTGCGACATCACTACATGTGCCATCGTAGTTCGGGAAAATTTAGAAGCCGGATGTCTCTTATTATCAATTCACCGATGCATTATAGCTTTCATTCGAAATATTTTTGTGAATAATTTAATATTTTACATGTGACATTTTTCAGACATTACGTATGAGGTAGAGCGGATGAAGAAGAGTTTCTATAATTTTAAGTAAACTTGAATATTATTTTTTAAATACTGCAAATAGTATTCGAATAACTGATTGTTGCAATCGCTCCAGCACTATTCATGGGAAAATCGGCCACATACAAATAATTGCAAGCCACAAATTAGGCGTTCGTATGCATGCATATTTCGTACTTTCAAGCTATTGCTTGCACGTGAATTTTGATGATATTAGTTATTTGCATGTTGTACCATACTCCCACAAAGCCTTAATTATTAACGATTATTTACTGTGAAGCTTTGTTTAAAATAGCTATGAATCTGATGGTACTTCTGGATATTAAATAAAACATGCATATTCCAAATTATCAGCGAAATTATATGTCCTATGACTTTGTAACGTGCGATCTGTGCTCTTTACATCATCCAAACTTGATTAATTTTGGAAAAAAAGTATAAAGGCGGCAGTAAATGAATTATCATTCACAGCATAATAAATCAGTTTAGCAATTCGAGGTTCTACATACAAATATGCAAGATTATGGAAATATGCAAGAACTACATAATTGATAAATTACTTCAAGCAAAGCTTCTGGCAGAAATGCTGATAAGAAAGGAGGCAGATTCCAGAGTGAAATGTAATTGTTGTCAAGTAATTAAATGAGGTGTAGTCCAAAATGGATTATTGACTCCCGAATCACGATGAGGATCAAAGAGTTTATTTCCGACATGTTTATGCGTGGAACGGACAAAGTTTAAGAAGTTGAGATTGATCGAGATCAACATTTGGTAGGCATACATTGTGTGTAATAAGTATAGTTAGTAACATAGTTCTCATGTTGAGCTAAAAACGCTGATTAAAATTGAGACGCCCTATAATGTGACGTACAATTACAGCAATGGACGAGTGCTACAGAATATGATCCAAGCACGATAAAAGGCTTGCAAGGGCGTGGTTGGTTCTTCTCAACGCTAGGCATACATATTTATTTACTTTGTGCAGAGTTACCAAACATTTTGTAACTCAATCCACCAAATGTAAGAGAGTTTGGTTTTGGCTTTTAGTATTGCTTTGATTTATTAAGTATTCTGTGTCATCAATAATTCACAAAGACGAGAGAATAGTGGAATTAAATATGTGCAACGCTAATGAAGCATCAGTTTCATTCAAGTCTAATTTACTATATACTCACCTTTACTCATGCATCAGGAATGCTCTTTAGTTGCGGATCTAGTTGCCTCAATCATGCTTTAATATTCCACGCTCTGCTCTAGATTTATCCACACCGTTACAACTACATATATTCATTTTTTGCATCAATAAGACCTCAATTACGCGTATGCAGTACTCAAGAAATTTAATGTCGATCAAAATATTTCACCTGCTCTTGTTAATACACCAAGATGTAATGGAGGGCCAAATGCCTTTTTCTACGTCACATAAATATCGTCATCATCATCCCTCCCTCAAGTTCTCGTGTGTAGGTTGTAAAAGAATCCTGGATGAGACAAAAAACCGGAGGTTGTTCATGGTCTCGATGTAAATGATGCTCGTATTTTACATCCTTAATCTTACGACCTGATGCTATTATTTAGTGTATCATCATATTTGCACTATCTAATTCAAGCTAGCGGACCGAATCGCGTATATAAAGACTAAAAGTTTGAGTTCCAGACATCAGATCACATTTGCAACCTCATTCCTAACTTCAAAGTCCAAAGCTTCAACTCAAATCCTCATCATCATCATGCAGGTAAATAGAATAGTTTCCATTGGACTGATAGTGACTTCATTAAAGGTCCCTAAATGTTGTAAGCATTTGTTTAAACGAAATTTCTGTATTGCAGTCTGCTCTCGTTTTCTTGGCCCTTGTCGCCGTCGCTTCCGCCGGACTCGTTTCGTCTCCAGTTGCCTACTCTGCCGGAACTTATCTGACCCGAGCCCCAGCTTTCGATTCTGCGGTCATCAAGAGCGACCGACTTGGAGGAAACTTTGCATATTCGGTTGCTGAGAGCCACGCCTATGCTGCCCACACCCCAATCGTCCAACATGTCACCTCCCCCGTTGGAGTCACTTACTCTGCTGGAGCCCCAGTCGTGACCGGATACAGAAGCCCAGCCGTCCACGCCTATGGTTACAACGCTGCCCCACTTGCCTACAACGGATATGGAGCTTACGGGTACTCTGCCCCAGCTTATTACAACACTCTCGGATAAGAATTTGTTCAGCCAAAATCGCTAGTTCTTAAATTATTCATGTATTTTCATCTGTGATTCTTTACTTTCGGTTAGTCCACAACATAATTGAAAAAAACATAGTATTTTTATACAGTTTTGTATATGCTCAGATATTTCGAAAATTGTAAATTCAAAACTTATTATTGTGTTCAAAATTGAAAAATAAATATTCGGTTTCATGACCCAGTTGTAATCAAAATTACTCATTAGTGGAATTATTTTAGTACTTGAGATTGCATCCTAATTGGGACTAATAAAACGCAGGTGAAAATGGATATTCTCAGATTCTCATGCATTGAACAAAGACGGCCTTGACTGAAATGTGGAATGCGTAGCAATTTTTTCACATTTTTGAGAAGATTCCACTGCATTGTTAAAATTAGTAGATAACCAACCCCACATTTTTGTAGTAGACAATACCACGATATACCAAAAGTTGCACCTTTCATCGCCAATTCACACATTTCTTTCTAGCATAGCAAATGATGAATCCAAACTAAACCAAGCGTGAATAAGGTGATTTGTTCCACTTGATGATGTTTGAGAGGAAAATTAGTCTCATAAACAGCTTAAATTCCATACGAGTGGAGGAATTTCAGTTAATATGAATGCATGCATATGTAATTTATGTAAGTACTTGAACTCTTCATTGTTTTCAAGACAAAGATTTTCATTACGATGGGACTATTGCCTAAATGTTTTGCAACTGAAAAAGGGGGCAAACTGGACTGCCAAGTTATTTACTATCTGTTGCATACCTATGTATGTAGTTTTTAGTCTCGGCTTATGGAGCCATCATTTACATACGTCTGTATGTACATATGCACTGTAGATTTTTTATTGATTATTATTTTTATTTGTCAGTTTAGTATAAATACAGATTATGGGTCATTATTGGATATGCAAATAATGCCTGATGAGCAAGTAAGTAAAAGTTCCGGACACTGCAATGGCATGATACGAAAAATATAACATAAAGATAACGAATGAGCAATTGCATATACTTATTGTTGTACAATCTAGCAGACTTGGTGATAATTATGTACATATGTATTTATGTAATTGCATGGGAGAACTATCTGTATATTATCAAACATGACATTGTATGCAATAATGAGTGCGAAAGGATGGTCAAGAGCAGCAAATAGGAAAATAATTACTTGTTATAATTAGTTATTATTATTATTATTACTACTGCGGTTCTTCCTGGATTGATGTTGAGTGTGATATCCAACAAACTTCATAAGTAATCAGGCGTTGTAATTTTTATCAAAGAACAGAAAATAAGATTTTGTAATGTATTTTTTAACAAATATGTCAAAATTAAATGATGAAATTAATTAAATATCCGATGGATGAGTAAGTGAATGGCATATGTCGTATGTACATAACATGCTAACTGCTGCATGGTCAAATTTACTACTCAATGAATACCTGCACGTCTCGTTTTATATGCAAAAACCGAACCAATTAAGCTCATGATGCACTTGGCATGCGTAAACTATAAACTAGCACCGAAATTATAAAAATTTAGTAATGTCATGGTACGAAATTAGGCAAATTCTGATTAACTTTCAGTCCACATGATTTTCTTGTTGACTTTTTTTCACCAAGTTATGACGATTGTAAGACACAACAGGAAATTACATAAAGTTTTGATCGCGTAAACGGAGATTAGCGTTGTACTAATCCTAAATGTACATGCAGTGAAGGCTCAACTCTATTCCACAAAAGGCGAGTAAGGGTCAACCTTTGTGGCGAGGAGGACAAGATCAAGCCACAACTAGAGGTGCGTTTATGCTTCACGTCACCGTCACGTCCTCCTCCAAATCCGATTTTTTGATTGGTTAAAATTTTTAATTGTCGTAGTGATAATTTCGTTCAGCCAATCAAAAAATCGGATTTGAAGGAGGACGTGACGATGACGTGAAGCATAAACACCACTTAGTATTTAACCACACTAGTCCGAAATTGATGACGTATTTCGCTGGACGGTTATCGGTTCAGATTTTTTCCGGTAGTAGTAATTTTGTGGTTTTGGTCAACCTCTCATTGATTGACTTTTGGAATACTACTCAATGAGTAGTATGCATCCTTGACGCATTAATTAAGCGTTGCTGACGGGACCCTTATCTCCACTTTTGTAGTAGTCGCCTTATCAATTCATTATCGTAAACACAGCCGCCCCAAGCAACCGCAGCGAGGAGGAAACGTGTAGCCACCGTACATTGCGGTCACCAAATCGATACGGAATTTAATTGATGATTACGATGCATATAAAGAGGATCGGATGTTCTCCATCAATCAATCACTTGAACCCACCCCCAAGTAAACACACGGACAGCTCAACTGTCTACATGTCTGGAAAGATAACTCAGACTTACGATTCAAAAGTGAGAAGTCGCTACGCAACTTTTTTTGGATTTCAAAGACTAAATTGAAAAATAAGCATTTAGATCCTTTGGCGGAAGGCCAGAGCTTTCCGTATTCCTACACCGGCCTACGGGAAGCAATATACAAAATTGTTTCGTTGTTAGCATGAGTCACTTGCACAGAAAAACATTCTTCACGACCGTATTGGGACTGATCTCATATCTTGGCCTAGTCACAAATGCAGCTCCACTGATTCTCTTTGAAGATTCTCATTTCAGAGGTGAATTTTTAAAATTCATGACGACTTAGATTAGTTTTGTGCAAGCTATTTATTTTAACGCTATTCAATTTTCAGGAGTCAGAACAGAATACCAACTTAATGGACAAGAAACTTGCGTCAATATCCGTGGGAAGCTCAACGATTTTTTCTCTTCAGTCCAAAATTTCGAAGACAACTCGTGCTTTCTTCTTTGTGAGCACGAATATTGCAGAGGTAGATGCGTCCAAGTTACCAACTCTGTAGCCAATCTCAACCTTTTGGACTTCAATGATATGACATCTTCTGTACAGAGATGTCCTCCATCAACCACCACGCCCTCATCAAGTACAATACCTAGCAGTCCAAGTACGCTTTCTACCACCGACAATACTTCCACATTGTCACCTTCTCCAGTAGTAGAAGTGGATCAGCAGTCGTCTCGTCGTCAGGAAAATGACACAATAGAAGTCGTTGTTGCAATAAATGAATCTGACACAACTCAACAAACCCCAAGTTAAAGTTGTCAAGACACAGTCAACCAACCACCAGGCGACATTGTTCGGAATCCCGAGGTAGTCTCCCCCACAGTATTAAGAGTAAAAGGACAAGAAGATGTTGTTGCACTTCAAAACCAACCTCTGCTACCATAATGTCTTGTCGCAAATCAAACACCATTGTACAAAATATTCGATACAATAATAACAAGTTGGTTAAACAACAACGTATAATTGGTCGTTTTTATGCAGTATTATGATTTCGTTAAATAATGAGAATGTTACAAACAACAAGAGTAAATTATATAATAAATGCTTATTAATCAGTCTAATAAGAAATAATTAAAGTCATGTTATCATTTTACAGACAATAAATAACAAAAGTATTGTTAATTTATAACAGTGTCTAAAACAGATCAAACTTGCTCTGGACAGAGATATAAATATATATTGGCCTTTAGATATAGTTCTTTTAGTTTAGGTAAATTTGTCCACAAGGTAATCATATCCTTGTCAATAATGTGTAATAAATAATATTAGGTTTGCGAAGGCGGAACAATTGTTAATTTTTCGCATTTAACACATCACCATACTTATACTAAAATAAGCTAACTACTGATGTACTATAAATATCAATACTATATAGTAGTATTAAATTAGTACAATTTCGAAATGTGGACCATTTTAAACATCACACAATTAGGTACGTGGCTTATGTCTGTTCCGTAGTGAGAACAACTCTCCGTTTTAATTTTTTAATCACAATAGTACACTAAATGGGTCGTTTTTACATAAAACGTATAACACATACGTACTTGATAACGACATATATTTTAATCTAAACATGAAAATGACAATCTGTAAGAGGTAAATAAGACGTGGCGTATTATGCAACTTTACTTTCAAAGTTTCTTTCCCTGTAGTTGGATTTTCCCTTTGGAAAATCTGATCGAGATTATAACATTAAACACAATGTTTCCATTGTTAGACGACAACTCACTCATAGTGACAACAATTTATGTCTGTTAACAGAATTACGAAGAGATTCAATGTAATATTGAAAAAAATATTTAACAAATATGAGAGACAGCTACAAAGTACTTATAAGGTGGTGATTAGACAAATATCACCTTTTTATATTTCTAGTCGGAATAATATGGTGTAACCCGATCGCATTGACAAGCAACACAGCGTTGCTGGACTCAGGATTGTTCATTTTCATCTTCGTCATCATCCTCATCGTCGTAAGAATCTTCCGTTTCTTCAGTAAGCACTTCAACTCGGTATTTCTCGTGATTAAAAAAATCTGCCCGTTCGCCAGCAATAATTGATTGTACCAGCCTGAAGGGGTAATATGCATATATAAAATAAGAACTTTTTTCATAAAATTTAAAATATAAAAGCTTGGCTAGGCAAAAAATTTATACGTAGCATACAAATCCATGCACTTTTTATATTATGTATAGGTGAAAAAATATATTAATATACTAACCATTCTGGCTTAACAACAGGAATCATTCTGTCATGTGCTTCGGCCAGTATTTCCGAAGAGCAGGTGGCGTCAGTTACAAGAACTTGGGCATCCTTCGGAATGCTTCCAGCAGCTTTACCCTTTCCTTTCTTGGGTTTCAACAGAGTTGCATGAGCTGCAGTTAAAACCGGCTTCCAATAATCGTAAAGATCGTTTGATCCAGCAGTAATATAAATTTCAAAGCCTTTGAGTGGTTTCTTCTTATGTGGCGGTATAACTTTGTTGGATTCCAAACTCTGAAGAATTTAAAATCAGTAAATTAATTAAATATCAAATATCACTCGTTTAACAAAATCCTATGACACGATAAAAACCGTGTTTGTATCTCTGTAGTTTCTTAATTGTAGCATAATATATAATATAACAACGAAAACTGGCTACATCTAACGTACCCATCCAGCATTGAGTTCATACGACTCCCATGGTACGATTTTGCCCTGAAATATGCATAATCATAATGTATATCATACTAGAGATGCTTTTTCACAGATCAGAAATAAGTTAGGGGTGTATGTCATTTTAATTAAATCCTAACTTACTTGACTAATACATTCTTGAACCCACTTGTGCGAGACGCATGGGATCGAGGCAGCCAAACTGTAAATGTATTTGACGGTTCGTGCAAAATTATCAGAAACTAGGAAGATGCTTTCTGTATCGTTCTCTGCTCCAACCACATCTACTATTTTTCCACCCTTCTTTTCAATAAGATCACGGTATTCATCCTTATCGTATGGTACTTGCGAACCGAGATTTGAACCTAATTTGTATAGTAAAATAAATCAATACCATACATGAACTTATCATTAACATGTTTAAATAATAATTGACAATTTAATAATTACCTAAACTAGCAGGATCACCACCACCACTAGCAGTCAAGAAAAACTGACACCCAGCAAACACCAAGTGTTCTGGTGACTTGTCCTTTAGTTTAGTCTTTTTTGGTGACTCTATGTACATAATCATAAAATGTTGTGAAAATTTGCATTTTGATAACATCGTTAACAGCACATACCCTTTAATGATTTTTCGGTACTACTAGATGATAAGTTTGTAGAACTTAATGCCAATGAATTACTTCGACTAAACGATTTGCTGTTCCCACTTAAACTTGAAGTAGTTTCAATTATCTTCTTCTTTGGTTTAATTTTGGGCGTCTTGCGTTGAGGAGTATGCTTTGATTCATCACCCGTGATGCTAATTATAGATAACAAGAGTGGTAAGATTAAAAAGTGGCAATACGTTAGACAAAAAGTTTTATATAATAAAATAGTAATAATATATACCTAGCATCGAATGCACCACCCACAACCCGTTTTTTTGTTGACTGTGGCGTCAAAGATGATTTTATCGAACTAACAGTTACACGTCGTCTGCTTGACTGAGGAATGATATTCTCTGTAAATAAAACATGATGTATATTGAGGGTACTTACAATCCTTGCAAATTTTGTATCGGAACATAAGTTATTTATTCTTTAATATCATGTAACAGTTGTGTATACCTAAACTGACTTCTGCTGCCTTGAGTACTTTTGGAGTTGGTTGAAATTCTTGTCGTAATCCTCGTGCATCATTTTCTTTGATGGACAACATTCTTCGAGAACACCACAGAAGCTTGCCTACATCCTCTCCTTTAGTTATCTTAATGGCATATTTTACCGTCTCACCAATCTCAGGATCAGTTCCGCTTTAAAAAAATAAGCAAAGAGTAATTCAACTCGATGTAGATTTGGTTGTCTTCTCCGCCATGATTCAATAGAAAACTGTATAAATAGGATTATTCTTACAACTTCTGGCCCAAAATAACAGCATCGGCTGGATGATAACCCGTATCCGGACAATACACGCCCTTGATTCCTACTCCCACTGAAACGTTATATTTTATAGATTACTGAATATCATTCATTATTCAACATTTTAGTTTACCACTGAGAGTAAAAAAGTAATATCAACATCATGAGTACAATAATACAAACTAAAATAGATTCGTAGAACTTACATATCTTGATAGGAATAATATGACCTGAAATACGTATTTAATATATCATATAAAAACAATAAATCAAAAATTGGAAAATCACCAATTGTTGTTTAGAATTTTATAAAATAAAATACTTATGAAGTATATTTTTATACAATTTTATAGATAATCTGACCTTCGGAAGCTGGATATGTGGTAGCATCATCGAAATCTATGATCCAGGTGTCATTCATTCCTTTTTCTCGAATGCAGCCAGAGTAGTAATTTTTGTCGCTCCATCGTGCAAAAACTAAAAATTTAAATAGTTACAACGAAACGAGTGTAGAGCAACCACGCGAATGTTCTTACTCCGCTTGTCGTCGATGACATAATATTAAATATTTTCCAATTTAAATATCAGACATTAAACATACCTGGTTCACATTTAGCTACAGAACCCCAAAGCGTTTTTGAATGTTTTAAAAGTTTCTCATCTACAGGTTCATTATTGACATCTTGTTCAAATTTTGTTAATGGTCTGGCGGCTGTCCCCTCAACAATTGCAACTGCTCTACAGGGTGATGGCTCCACTGTATGCGATGAATTTGAAATACGTTCCAGTTCCTTTCCCTGCAGTTGTTTTGGGGTTGCTTTGGTTGTTTTTTTCTTAGATTTATCACCGGTAGACGGAGAGACAACAGTTGAAGATTTTATGGAAGGAGATTTTGATGTAGAAATTAACCCTCGCTTTGTGGCTTTGGTGTTGGAATTTGGAGTTTCAAATCCGTTTGAAGTAGTTGTGCCGTTTGATAACGATAATAACTTGTCAAGTTTTTCATGTTTTTCTTTCTTTCCAGCCGAAAATTTATACTCGTCAGTTATGTCACTTAATCGGGTTGATGTCATTTTTGGCTCGTTTTTACCCCGCTTTTTCGATTTAGGTGGTTCTATTGTAGGAACAACAGAATTCATATATAATAATCTAATTACTAATTACAACTGTCTGTACATGAACTGACGCAAATAATAAAACAATAATGAATAAAAAGTAGCTATTATTAAAAGGAAACTTGCCTTCTTCATCATCTTCTTTGGGACTATCGTTATCGTTAGGACTATTAGAGAATACTGTCTTAATGCTTGCTCTTGGAATCGAAGAACCTAATGTCGACGAGGTGTAACGACTTTTTCTATTTTTGTAGCTATTACCGGGAAATGAAAAAATGTCCTCCGACTCTACATCGCCAACATAACCGCTATTAAAACTAGAATTGGTCAAACCAAGGTTATGTTGGTTAAGAAACACTTCCAGCTTAATATAATCAGATCGTATGCAAGGTTCCTCAAAGACTAATTTCCCGGTTTTGGGGTCGAATGCTTTCAAACAGATATTAATTTCACGAGATGGTAGATCAACCTAACAAAAAAAGATGCACATTATACAAAATTTAGTTTGGCTTAGCCAATAATTGATTAATTAAGTGGTAGTAGATAGGTTTACTAATTAACCTTGGCACTGTCCGCTGATAAAGGACTACTTGTCATCTTTGGTGAAGTCTTTTCCTTTTTTCCGCCCTCCTTGTGGGCCTCATGACCTCCATTGGTTTCAGATGGGATGAGGTTTTCTCCCTCCATTCCAAGGTCGTTGCTAGTAAATTTAAGAATATCACGTGCCTCTGGGACCCCATTGTTGTTATCGTCGTCGTCGTCTTTGTCACCATCACCATCAGCTTCGTCGGCAATTTCTACTTCATTGGCATAGCCTTTGTCGATATGTTCCAATAACTGTTCTTTATCACCAATTTTGCTTCCATCCTCTAAAGCAAGGCTTGACGGTTCTATTGACATTGACTGAAAGATTGAAAAACGACATTGCAAGTGAAACCAATAAATAAGTTTCAAACTTGTGACAAAAATTACAACTTGACATTTTAATCATCAATTATTTGTAATGAATTAAGAAATACCTCACTAATGTCCAATGCAATGGCTGTATCATTAAGCCCAGCTGGAGTACTAACGACGAGCCCTTCATCATCGGGTTGAGAAATCACTTGGTTTGAATCCCCATCAGAGGTAGAAATAGCTGTATCAACGCGGTTGACCTCGCCTTCTCCAGACACGGCCTCGACCCCAGTTTGTTCCAAGATTTCGAAATCCTCTTCGAAAACCGTGGGATCATCCATCCGAGGCCTTTTTAAAGGTTGCTGCTCAATCGACAAACTGTCGTCCAGGTCTGACGAGGTGTTTTTGTCTGGAGCTTTTCTCTTGTCCGTGGTTTTTGTGTCTTCCATAGTGGAACTGATGATGATAACAATCACAGAACGATCGACTAATGACTTATCGAAAGGGTCGAGAACAACAACAAATCTCACGTGTTGCGAGGGAAAGAGTGTGTAATGAAGAGAGATGATGATGATGATGGTCAATCAGCCAGAGAAAGGAATCTGCTCCTGGAAACAGAGAGACCGCCACTCGCCTCCTCAGGAACGTTCACAGACGTCTCACTCAACGTCGTCCTCAAGTCGTCATTAGCCTAGTAGGCAATGCACTTTCCATTTCATCGTAATTTCATGGATAACATTTTCATCCATTAAATCAAAATGAAATTTGATAGTATTTTTATGCAATATATGCGCAAAATAGCTCAATATTAACAAAAATTTCAATAATGAGTAACTTCACGTAAGTATTGTCATATTGAACTGTGGCATGGCAAATTTTGTAAGCGTCCGATGTTTGGTGTCAGACACGAAAAATCGACGTTTATATATTTTTCTATGTCATGGGAGGGCACAAGGGTCAAGCGTCACACATAGTTAATAATTTATTACTAAAAAATAGTGGGCCCAGTGCTATTGATATAAAAAAAATCAAAGACTTGACCACATTCCTTCAATCCAAAGATACTCCGGTTGACCCGATTTCCTAATTCCTTCTTGCTTTAAAATTATAGTTCAATACAGATTGTAATTAATAAGAAATATAATTTTTTTCGTGTAGGAGTAAGTAACGTTGGAGGCTGCCAGGATTCGCCGACGCCTGCATGGGCACTGGAGACGCTTTTTCATACGGACGATTCTTCCACTGCTACCAGATGACAGAACGGAGGGAACAGCGAAATCGTGCCTTCTCCACCGGTTAACTAGTTCTCCCATATGTCAGTCCGTACATTTGTTGACACGGAGTGAATTTTTGTTAACGTTGTTTGTTATTAACTCGCAGATAATCTGTTGAAGGGAGAGACTGGTGAAAGAGAGGTAGAGAGCAATTTTGTGACGATAATTACAATGGGTAAGTATTCTGCTTTCGGTTATTCAAAATACTATTTACATGGACGAATGACGGACGAAATTTATGTTAATTTTCAATTCAATATTTCAGCGTTATCAAACGGAATGTCGGCAGTGATAGCTTCCATCCTGTCGGTCGGATTATTCGCTGGAATTCAGGTCTATAGGCAACAATTAGCGTCTTCAGGACCATTAACCATTTTTGGAGGATCACTTTCATCTGTTTTGTTTGTGCTAATTTTAACAGTAAGTCCTTTATATTTTGTACTGTACCCATAAAGTAAGTTATAAAGTTTGAGTATATATATATAGGCGGTTGGAAACTTAGAATTAGTTGTATTTGGGAAGGGATTTCAAACTTCTGCGTTTCCTGAAGGTACGTAATTAACCCAAATGAAGCGCCGTGTAGCATTAAATTATACATTCATATTTTTGTAAATGTATTAATTCGACATGTTTTCAGTCTTTCTGTGTTTGGGGTTATCAATGGCGGCAGCTGCTAGGATCCACGGTGTGTGCGTTACTACTTGGTATGTATGCGCCTTGTTGAATATCTTACAATTTTAATTTGTCAAATCAACTTTTTTTGTCATTTCACAGTTTCCTGTTTTCAATGGTGGCGGTGTACTACGTTCAAAGAATTGCTCAGAAAACTTATGCAGGTCCTCAGAGTCACGCTAACGTCGCAGGGCTTGCTAGTCATAAGAAAAACAAGATAAAGTAAATAATAAGCAAGTTATTTTCCTTATTTATCTTTACAGCAAAAACTGTTACGTATATATGTTTTAATTAATATATTCCAATAATAAATAATGCATTCTTGTTCACAAACATAATGCACTTAATTACTACTATATCTAACTATGAAATAATAATTAGGCATCCCATAAATAATTGTATCAGCTTCTTTAACACGTCGGTGAAGATTTTCAAGGCAATGGTTGATGGATAGAGGGATGAAACTTGTGCAAGTTTTGTTCTAATTGCCAAGCAAGCTAAAGGTGGTTTACTGTGGGGATCAAGAGATCAAAGTTTGGATCAAGTGCCCTGGGGAACTTGTGGAACATTCACCAATTCTGACGAATTCAATTTAAGCTCAAAGGAAAATTGAGGTGCAAACTTGAAAACTTTCCTCGTGCACCCTCACAAATTGAGTAATATAAAATCTCTCTGGTTTCCTACCTCTCTCTCTCTCTCGATCTTCCTTTCCACCCAGAACTCATATTGTGTCAGATCTTGTTGGCGTGAAATTATCTATCATGTCATTTCACTGGTATTGTCATATCTTCAAATGCGAACCATTCTCATAAGAATTTGTGCACACACTAACAGTGTGCAGCATGGAACGTGAATTTCAGAGATATGTACGTATGCCTGGAAATTGCTTTCCTATAGTTTTGAAATAAAGTTTTGTTTTACACAGTGGAGAGAGATTTTGGGATTGGCCGTCGTGAAGTTCATTAATTACTCCCATTGTGAAACCATCAAACAGCATCTGAGTCAGGGACAGGGGAGGAGGAGCGACTTGTGGAAACAATAAAACAATGAGGTTTTGGCCTTTTCACCAAGGAAGGAAGGAACCACTCATGCGATTACGATTAATTTGAGATCAAATTAAAACTCAATACAAAAGGAAGAGTTTCGGGGAGTCAGTGCCACACACATGCATCCAATTCCACAGATGCACTGAAAAATCAGAGAGATATCCATATATCATTATACATAAATCCAGTATAATTATAGGTGGAAGAAATGGTACACATTTTTTCATACTACTATTAGTATTTTTAGATCTGCTATATCGGATGCATATATTCTTTCATACGTATTTTACATTTTCTGACCTAAAATGGTCCAAAGTAGTAATAGAGTACCAGAAATTGAACAATTAGGTAAGCCGTAAGTCACTTGGCGTGATACAATTTACAACCATTTTGCAAAGCTCATTAGCCGAGCTGTATGTATAATTGAGCGGAACAGATAAATCTAATTATGGAAATGATTCATGAGCCAAGAACAGTTCTTGAAGAACCCACAACAGCACCAAATAAGAACAAGAAATGGCTAAACATAGGAATGTCTTGAGCCCATTTGGTTGATTTTATGTCAAGAGTGAAATTTGAAACCTCAACCTCAACGGAATCCCAGAAATTAGTGGGAAAGTCTGCTAAATACTGCATGCATCCATCACATCATGCCACCTCCCTTTCTACTCATAAAATCCAGTCCAACTAAAACTGCTAATCCTCAGTAGTACAGTGAAGAAAGCATTACGCACTAACCCGTTTTGCGTGATTAACCTCTTATTTAACCTTTAAATCCGTCTACTATTCGTCACCACAGAATGAATTCTTTAAGAGAATATGACTACTCTAGTCAGCTCAGATTTTCATTTTCATTTAACCCCGATCCAAAATAATCTTTTACTGACGCTGCTGCTGGTTGGATAGTGCATGAAACGTAACTTTATGCAACCTGCTTAAAGCGAGTTGTTCTCATGAAGTGAAAGCATTTTCATGCTGAGCAGTGTGACTGGTCTCATGGTTTGTGTGGAATTATGCATGGGCAGCCCATCCACTTCACTACATTATGAATTTATCACTGGTTGGATGGAAGGTGAAAGTGCTCTCATATTTCTCACCCTCGCGATAATCCCTCCCTGCTCCCACCAAGTGACACCTGACATCTCCTCCTCTTCCCTCCCTGACTGCTCCTTGACCTGCCAGAGATGGACCAAATTCCGACTTGTCATATCCCATGCCACAATGTCACTCACACTCTTCCCGAGCAGTATAAATATTGGGCTTCCTTCGTGCCTTCCTTCGACGTATTTATGCATGCTTAAAGTATGCAAAATTGGGATTGGAGAAAGTGACGTTTGGTATTATGGTGGGATAAATAAATGAGAGGAGGAATATTTCATTCTTGCAAACAACTTATAATCTTGATCTTCATCTGTCATTTCTTGGGTTGACGCTGCTTAGGGGTTGGACGGTACACAAATTTAAGGTAGATAAAACAAACGTTCTGATTCTCAGATTACCCCATAATATGACTTAATGTACTTTCCATCAGATAAAACTCCCAACCATCTTGCATGGTGAGTAAATTTTAAACACATAAAGTGCTATTGGCAGATTTTTATTCTTGACGCAATTATAAGTATCGATTGGTGTGCATAAAATGCAATGTAATGTACCATCACATTGCACTAATGTAAACTAATAAATATTTAAAATACATATACAGGCAGCCAGTGCAATTTATGCAGTACGGAGTACGTACAAAAAATATTGTAGCAATGCGTGTATTTATTTAAAACACAACCAACTTCTTGTATTTACGTATAAGACCAGCCTATTTAGCAAGCAAGTAAGAAAGGACACCGGATTTGTTGGCAAGCAGTCAATTGACGAACAAAATGACCAAGAGATGAGATGACGTAAGGAAACAATTATCTTTCTGGAACATTAGCCACCAGAAGATGGGGGCAAAAAATGAGAGAAATTAATTTGTAGAGTCTTCCTCATAATAAACATCTCAGGAGATGACCCACACCCTGCGCTCCTCAACTTTCACCAACTTTGTGCTACAATTAATCTCAACGCTCTCTACGAATTCTCACATCTCATCTTCCACATGTCGGGGACAGGACAGACAGACGAAGCTGTCCAATCTTGTAGGAATTATAGGCAGCAACGCAGAGGAGACAGAGGAATGGGAAGAAAAGGGCATCAAATATCCTGGTAATCTATCCGCTTCTCCGTCTATCTATCTCGAGAGAGACGTGGGGAAAGGGGACAAAAACCACTTCTTTTCAACATGTAAGAACCAAATTAAAGGCTTTATGTGTGTACATACAAATGCATATTTGTAAGTCCTTAGCTATATTACGTGATAGAATAAATTGGTTTGAAAATATCTCAATCTTGTGATTTCCTACTGCGATGCCGTTATCACCATTTAAATTAATTCTTGTGCCGTAGAGCACTGCTGTAGGTCATGCACAAGAGGTATTTGGAGAAAATTCTGCTACGGAAAAAGAATTAATGACTGGAGTTGCGAGAACGAAAATGAGACAGAGGAAGAGAAGATAATATTTTTATTTTATATGTTTCCACTTCTGGTCCAATGCATCCGGATCGGATTTCGATATCACGTCTCTTGTCTCGGTGGTTTACCGCAGCTCCTTTCTCTCTCATTCACTCTCTTGCATGAGAGATCCAGTCCCCAGTACAAAGCATGTAAAAAGTTTTTCTGTTTTATTTCTCTAATAATGTTCAGGATGTCATCAATATTTATTACGACGTGAATCGACGTACACATGATTCATTATACGATTTTACTATTCCTTTGACAATGTATGACTAAGGACGTTAAATCTGAAACAAAATAAGCTGGTGTAGGTACTTACACTTTAGAGCTCGCATCGTAACGAGTCCTTTACATGCTCGTGTTGTGTATTTGTTATACTGCTCATCTTCCGCATATTGATACTCGGGAAGATAATTTTATTGGTTGATTACCGTGTTCATATAAAGAGAAGGTACACATGTAGTTGCTAATGGGATGGTTGGTTAGCCAGTTGTCGAATGAATTTACGAAATGTGGAAGGTTTGTGTGTAAGATGATGACGATGACAATGATGATATACGTGACAAACATGATGATCTCTTTAAGTCTTTTTTCTCTCCTTCCAGATCCACAAACTGACATCCTCAATTCACTCTGTCGCACATTCCTCTTTTGTTGTCATGGACTGCATTACTTCACAACTCTCGAAATATATGAGGGGGCGAGTGGAGGGTGACAATCAAGAACAATAAAATCTATAATGCCTGCTGAACTCAACTGTTTGTGCTGACTGAGGACTCTCCTCGTCTCGACGTAATTGCATTATTTCGATCAAGCACGTCGTGTGGGTTTTTCGAATCAATGAGACGGATATGTATTTATGATGGGTTCATTTTCTTTTTATTTGGCTAAAGGCATTATATTTCTTGATAAGCGGAGAAACTAATTTTCAGTTATCTCAAAATAGTCTCAAACTAAAGTATTAAAGTGAGATTCGAAATATTTCAGATCTTCATACCTAATTTACATCTATCAAGAGAGAAAGTGAGACGGAGTCTCAATGTGAAAGTGATGTGGTTGGTTATCCAAGGTTTCCTTATCTTAAAATTTACGTGGTGGTTGTATTTTGTGTGTTGTACATATTTATCTAAACTACATACGATATACATACATATGTAGGAACGAAATGAAGTATCAAGTTGTTTGACTAAGCTGCAGCCAACCAATCTCGACAAACTGGAGATGCAGTTTTTCTTTTATGGGAATCAACTTTTGGACTTTGACTGCTACTTACAACACAGGGCTGGAAAATTTGTTGGTCGGGCGAAGAAAAAGTCAGAAGAGTCGACGACGAAATTAAATGCTAGGATTAATTCGTGCCCCTCGGGTATTTCATCCAATTGTTCCTCTTCGCCGACTTTACTCACTCACAATCTGCCTGCAAACACACGCACACACGACGAGAGGTACGGAAAGCGTCGAAGCATCCGTTGAAAATGCACTCCCGTATTAAATGTACGTTCCCATTCAAAAGTAACATCATTCGTCTGAAGGCAAGAAGATGCAAAAAATATAAAAGAAATCTCATCTAGCACTCTCTCCAGATTTTTCTCTCATTCTCATCCGCATTTTTATTGACTCAGACATTCAAAAAGATTTCACTTTTACTTGAGGAAAGAGCAAGGACGTACGTATTTAGCCAATATAGTACGCGTACTTGGCTTTATCCTGCCAATCCTCTTGTGGCAAAATCTGGACAAACATTATTATGCAACGACAACACGTACTGATTAATAAATTCTTGTAATTGTATAAATTCATAATGATTTTTATTTCTGATTTTTCTCATGATTACAGCTTTTTAGTTATTTGGTTAACTATCCTTATTACACGCAAGCATTCGGACAGTTAAGAATCTTGACTTAAGATAAACATATATACATGCGTATACACATAGTGTCGGCACAAAGTGTCCCATTTAAAAAAATTCTATCCAAAATAAAGCCACAAAGAAAAAAAGATCACTGTGGAAGTCGAAAAGTAAGTTTTTTTTAAAAATCATGCCCTTTGGCCTTTTTGACCTTCAAAAGAAGTAACGGTGTCCATCACAATATTTCTTCAAATTTTCAAATTTTTATCTCGACGAGTGTGCGAACAGTTTTTGAAGGGTGTAAAGACGGTGTGCCGACACTGTATGACGTACATTAATTGAATATGTGCTGATCTGATGTACTTACATATACGTTACAAAATAACTACACACAATACTAGGACGAAAACTCTTAACGTCACATTTATAAATATTAATCCAACATCTGCAAGGATGATCGTCCAGTACTATGTAAATGTATTATCTGAATGCATGAATAGAACCCATAGCTTACTTTTGTTTTGTTTTGTTCAATATCGTAATATATTAGTACCTTAGGTAATACACTGATAGCATATATTTATGGGCGTATGTATGTACGTATGCATACATACACTTGAAACTTCTTATTGATACACACTAACCTTTCGTACACGACAACCATCCATAAATCTTGGCTTTAATTTAATCAAAACTCAGAATGAATAAATAGAATGCGAACCATTTATTGGGATCATCATATTTAGATTATGCCCATTTATTGTTTAAACCCAAATGTTTTATCTTGGTTGCGCACTGTGCATCGCATGTATACATACAATTTTGAAGTAAATCCAAGTGTACAGATTTGTTAATTATACGAAGTGCCGACATAAATTGAAGTAATTTTTAAACTTGGGAGCTGAAAATGTATACCATGCAGTTCATACATACATGAATACATACAATTACATGCGTTTAGCATCATATGAAGTACGCCATGGTCTGTCCAGTTTGTCGCTATTCTGTTACCCATGCCAAGTGTGAGATCAGTGTCATTCTTCCCAAATATATTTGCCCTGTTTGTTAAACCAAGTGTTCTTAACTTGCGTAAGTACTAATTATGCACTACAGGAGAAGAAAATGCAAATGCCACAAAAAGGAGATTGCAAAGAAGAGTTTATGCATCCCATGTTGGTATTTGTGGTTGGTAGTCCCCTTGCCCGGAAGTCCGTTGGGGCTTAAAGAGACCACAACCGTTTTCTGGAAGGGGGTATTATCATTATCATTAGGATTATTAGTATCCCGATCCCGGTTTTTACCGCTGCCCAGATTATTATTACTATTCCCACTACTGCTAGAATACGACTTTCGACTGTGTCGCCCATTATTGATATTGTTATTCGAGTTCGAGGCAAGTCTATTGTTGTTGTTATCCCCACTTCCACCACCGCCAGCACCACCAGCTCCGTTGCCACCCGGTGTGAAGTTGTTGCTAATTCTTGTTTGATGGTCTTGTCGATGATTTTTCCCATCCTTGTTGCCATCAGAACCTGATGTTCGAGAGTTGGAGCTTCCTACTGGGTTTGCAACGTCGGGGGTGTCGTAGTAGTCGTCATCATACGAGAGCAGGGGCAGCTCGTTCTTAGACTTTGACGAAGCTTCGGCTTCAGAATTCACGGCCAGCACTGCACAATTTTCACCCATATTTTTTCATGAATGAAATAACCTTACTAATCAACAATTGCATACCTTTCACAACTGATTCCACGTCTCCGAGAGAATTTTTTGCGGTACATTTGTAGAAACCTATGCAAAAATTTCCAATATTATCTACAAATGTTTTGAAGTTATAGAGAGATGCGTATGCCATATGTAGTTAGATTAGTTCATGTTATTAATAATACTTCATTTTGTGATCATCGTCAAAACAAATACAAATATTTATACAAACTCAAGTAAATCCTGCAAAGCTTACCAGCATCCACTTTTCTAAACTTTCTGATGGTGAGGACCATCTTCACTTCGAACATTGACTTGACTATGTCTTGTACATCGTATCGGTCTCCAGAAATTATCATCGCCCCTGCTGAACAAAGTAACCAGTTAGTTTTAGCATTTCAAGCTCATAAAGCATCTACTCGGCAGTTCCTTAGTTGTCAGTTGGCTGACTCGTCTCAAAGAGAGTGCTTATCAAAGGCCTACTATACATATTATTTCTATTTCAGTTCAAAAGGCAAAAATAAGAATTATGCAACTCCCCAGTACCCGCTTTTGTAATGCATCTTGCACAATACAAATCAGACAGTTTAGCTTAACGACGAATAATCTACAGCTCTCTTGAGACAGGTTAAACATTGAACTTGAAAATTACATTAGCATTTTTGGAAGATTTTGTCCTTTCTGTTCTATCTCATTTAGATATTTCTTTCGATTCTCAAATATTACAAACCTACAATGCAGACTCGAGCCAGAAATATTCTTTGTTTCTTCCCCTTAATTTCGAAACTGAGTTTAATAATAGTATTGAAGTGTTTATACGTCACCATGCTAGGTCCTTATACCACTTAAATGACAAAACCTCTGGACACCTTCAATTCATAATTTAGCTTATGTGTACTACTAGACAAATTTCAAGTCGATCGGATAAGCTGTTCCACGGATATCGTGTCACAGACAGACAGAATATCAACATGGCACTGGCTATGGCTACAAATATACAACCTGTTAATGCAGAAACATGTTAGTGTGTATAGAAACTTTCCTCTACAATAATGTTTTTAACTTCGGTACTGCACCAATATTACTAATTTCAACGTGCACATATGCACAAGCTGAGCTTTCTTCTGGTAGCACAATTGCAAACAATTGCCTGCATAGCGTCATATTTACTCTGTTTATATTTACTCGTCATACATAAAAGTGTGCAAAATGTTTTTCCTCCTCCATCTTGTCCAGACTTTCCCAATTTTAATGACACTTTGTCGTGATACTAAAGTTGAAGTTGACGAAGAGTTGGTGGGTTGGTTGGTTTTGGTTGTTCTTGGCGATGTTGTCGTCGGATGCGGGAGTGAATGAGATATGATAAAATGTGAGCATGAGAATGAAATAACGCCTTTTTGCAGCTGGACTGGACTAAAAACTACTTGAATTGTTTTCTCCCAGTCCTTCTCTGTTTGGGTGAAGGAAAGAAGAACCAATTTTTTGTCTTGTCTGTTGGTTTGGATGTGGCTGACAAGGACAGGAGGACAAGATGATGCGATGCGATGAGATGGGATGTTCTTTTACTCTCTTGTACATTTTACATTAAATCATCTCTAGTTATTTTGCCGGAAATAATTTCAACCGATTTCTCAGCGCCTTTCACTCACAGTGAAGCCAGCCGACAATGACAAACCAAGACGATGAAAGCAAGTGCAAGTGAGTGAGTGGGCAAAATGAAGCGTCTCAGAACTAGATCATGTCATGGGAGCACAAATAAACGGAATGAAATGCAATAATATCCTTTTGTGGGAAGATCCTTAAATGGGAACGAGCTGTAAAACTTTCTCCTTTTTCAGAATTTACTCTACACACATTTCGCGAAAACCACTATATTATTATGTATTTCTATTATTCTTTGTAATACGAATAAGTACTGACCATTGTCCTTCGTCCAGAAATGAATACTCTTCCTACAATTATACAAAGACAATGTTGTGTGTACTTTGCTTATGCCCTACATAACTGTAAACCGCAAAATTAGAATACTTACGGAAACGCCTCCACGTTGCATTCCAGTTGAACATCAGTGTTGATTGGTGAACCAATCAACTGATTAGGAACTTGTATGACCGGATGAACTGGAAATACCAAGAGAAATGTAATTGCATTACCATGAAGAATATGTATGTATAAAAATCAAGGCCAACATTGAGAGAAAGTACAACGTAAGTTATAAGTACGAGTGGGCAACCAAAAGGAAAAAATGTGGCATGCAAAATCAACTCCAACTGTATCTTATTTCAGTTTTGTGAGAGAAAGTCGAGAAGGAAAAGTCATACAGACAAGTGTAAACATTGTGAAGTTGATGAAACCGGACGAAGTTCATAACTTCAAATTGAGGTCAACTTCTAAAACCACAAATGAGCGGAATAACTCATCAAACGTGAATATTCACAATATGTTTTCGCTAAACTGCTTTTTACATAAATTAATGTTTCTCTTATTCAAATATAGTTTAGCATTTGGTCTGATTTTGGCGAATTTCCAAACTTCGTGAAGGGTAACACACGGTGTTGCATTTTGACTATTTATTTATTCACACAAACAATCTGAAACAGCATCTGAGAGTTTGCTTAAGAAATACATATGCACAGTTGAGACAAACAAGCAACTTTATTTCTACCAGAAAATTATTCAATTTTAATATCTACTAATATCTCAATATAGTTTACGCCATTAAAAAAAGTTTACTGCGAATGTTTACATTTCACTTGGAAATAAGGACAATCTACAAATCTTGCAAAGGACTACACACATAAGTTGAGAAATGAAAACATGGAAAAAGTTTATGGAATAGGGATAATGAATTTGCAACTCAAATTGTTAAAGCCTTTCGGAGTGTATTTTTGGATTAAATCATTCCTCCCGAATACAATCTTTGGAATGTTGACGTTACCCAAACACTGAATTTGAAATCCATCCTACTTGTTTTTACACGTCGTCCACACAAAAGAAAGTGCACCCACATTGTGGTGGTTTTATCCATACATATATGAAGGAAATATTCAACGTGATTCGTTTAAAAATCCATTATTTCTCAATATTTTCACCTCAAATTATGAACCTAACGCAATTGTGTGAAAACCATTTTAAAAACAAATCAGTTAACAATTTATAAACCAACTATCAGAGTAGAAAATTAGTGAACCGAAATTGTTGAAGACGAGCTAGCAAAATAATTATCATGCATGTTCTGACCACCACAAAGTAATTGAATATTCCCAAAATTTGCAGTGGTTGCAGTTCAGGATTACAAGTCAGAGTCGGAGGCAGCGGAAGAAAGTAATTTTGAAGAAAATGCGATTTAACGAGTCATTTGGCTCCTCTCCGCCTTCGGGACAACGAGATTTTCTTCGTCCCTCACCCTCTCTCTCTCTCGAATCATTTAATCCTTGCCTAACTAACTACCTTCCTCAAAGAACAACATCTTCATCCTCAACGCAGCCAAAATAAAACACTGCTTTATTCTCTCCTACCCTCTCACTCAACCCACTCGTCACTCCGTTGAGACTCTCCTGCTTATCCGCTCAAAGTAATTTCTGAATTCCAAAATCGTCAAGTATTCAAACAAGATGACTAAGAAAACTGGGGACAAGAGGAAAAGAGTAAAATTCAGCAAGTTGCAGGTCGCACGACGAGGTGAAGCAAATTTGTTGAAGGATTTAGGACATTTTAGTTCCCATCCCGAGTTGTTGTGCGCACCCAGGTTGTGCATTATGCTAAATTTACTCTTCAATCCCAAGATTGGGAACCATCCTAGTCGTGGCGGAAGGGGGGAGAAGATGGCTATGATTACTTTGCTTAGATTCAAATCACAACATTAAGAGGACCAGACCAACCTTGCCCTTGCTTGAATACTCTACAATTCTCTAACTCGATAACCCATTAGTGGGTGGATTGGGGTTGCAGTGTCATTTTTCATTTTTATGGAGTATCAAAAACATGCACAAAATGCAAAAGTTTATTAAATTAAGGACCCTCCTACATTTTTTGTTGGCAGCAGGGTTTTCATCCATTAGAGTTATAAATACAACTACATAATGCCCAATTGAGAGAAAGGCACAACCAAAAAATACTTTAATGGTAACGTGCTTAATTAAATAATGCATATCTACATATACCAAAAACTGTTTTTAAAGCTGTGCTACATATAGTTTTTTAAATGGTCAAGTTGGTTTAATTTGCTTACAGTGAACTGAGACCGTTATCCTCTGCAAATAATTCAATGTCAATTGCCATCCTCCAACTGCCACACGCTTTCACCATCCTCCTCACAAATGCCGAATTCACCTTGGCAAATGTGTCCCAAGAAACTAACGAGCGTACTTTCTCTTAATCTCAATCGAAATTCAGGGAAATATTTATGTATTAAATTACTTGCTTTACTAGAATTGGCAAAAGGTATCTTATCGTAATTCAAACTTGGCCACCCAATCCCTAAGCAATGTGTAATTATAATACAGTCGTTTTTGGGGCAGCTTATGCGAAGGTGAATATGGCTAATTTCAGAGCTTGGTGACAGTTGGGGGATGGAAATTGAGTAATAAACGGATGTGTGTATTCAGCGAACCTTGGAGATCGACGGTGGTACTCCGTTTGATGCTAAATATTTGTTAAAAGTTCATTTTTTTCCTTTAATTTTATTTTTTGCACACTTACCTATGCACAAATAGGGACCTGTAATTGATTAAAAATAAGCGAGAGATAAGACTCTATTACATAATGATTGCATTGTTTTAAATAAAGTCGTAAAAGACTATAAAAGTTATGGTACTAACCCATATCAGCTCTGGAGATCTTCACCAGTCTAAGCACATTGCCCTCAAATACGGACACTGTAAATCCACAAAGAGAATCGCGTATTTATTCAGCCTTCTCCCACTTCAGTGATTAGTCATTCGATATTACGTTCATCACATCAACGACATTCTACGTGAATTGCATACATGTATGTACTTATGAAAAGTATAAAGTATAAATAACCCAGGCTGGAAATATTACAAGTTAGATTGTAACTGCAAATATGCATAAAATAGCCAAGGTCCTTGCCCGTATATTTGCGGATCTTATTTTACTCGTATGCGAACTTATTAAAAGTCATGTTTGGAAGGTTTTTGTTACAAATAAAAGTTCAAATTGGAAATGACAGTGACATAACACAATGAACTGATCACTGAGGCATAGTGATGAAAATTGGAAATGAAACCCATAAGCTAAAAATACGGCCGTCTGGGTCCAATGGGAATAAGGAGATGAGGATTGAAGAACTTATTTTGTATTGAATTTGATGACTTTGGATGCTTCTTATTAGAATGATGACGCGAAGGAGCACTATTCCATATTCCACCAACGCTACATAAATGCACATGTGTCCCAGGAGTGCTCAAAATCTCTCTGAGAGAGACAACGAAAGGTATTTTCCAAATCCAATAAGTCGCATTTGTATCATACTCTCCCACTGCGTTGTTTACGTCCTTTGACGTCGTCGGTTTTTGTCTGACTTGAACTTGTTACATATTTTTACAAAATATTTGATGAATATGAGGAACCTTACTGTTATTTGTAACGTATAAATAAGTTGTACAACTTTCTCCTACACATAACCTTGAATACAATTTATTTTTAGTTGAGTTGTCTGCCACTGCTTTACGTCATCCTTTCCGATTTTAGTATACACAATTTACTGTCCTAATAAGGGCTACAAATATAAATTATAAAGTTTCTCCTCTGCAAACCTTAAATCTGAATTTCATAGAAGAGAGGTACCTACTTGAAGTAGGAGTGGGGAGCTGTCAAAGCCTGTGGCGGATTGATTACTAGTGTACACTTACATAAATATCGAATTTATCTCTTCCCAGAAGCCACAACATAGGTGAAATATTACATTTGCAAAGTAAAAACAACTGTCATACATATCTCTCATTGAATCAGCACATAATCTTACATTTGAAATCGAGCAAGTCCGAAATGCATGCTCAGTCAGTTCTAATAAGAAGCTCAATTTTCAGAATTCCAGGAATGCAATGTTAATGTATAAAGAAGTTCTTCGCACAGGCAAGTTTGAGTGGAAAATGAGGAAAAGTTTTACTTTATTTGTCAATATTTAGAATATTTGCAATTTATTTCCCAGACATACGCAGAAAAAGATTAAAAAAATTATCGCAAAGATATTTTCAAAAATTAGTAATAATTTTTGTAAAACCATGTCATGCTTGTGGCGTCAAGTTTTATAGTGGAAGTTTTTAAGTACTGGGGTCAAGTTTTAAAGTGATAAAAATGGGAAATGGGGAAAAAAAACAACAAGAAATAGTTTTAAAGGCTAACCAAATAAACCAATCGATTTTGGTTGTATTTTATTTGTTTGGAAGTAAGAATTAAAACATAATGCGTTATGTCGAATGACACCCACTTATCACTCCAAGAGACGACTTTCTAGAGGATGTAGTTAAGTTTTAAGAGGCTGAAAAGTCAAGGAGCATCTTCTTGAAAGAAGGGTTTAAGGATAGATTTCAATTTAATCTGAGCAGTTTTAACCCTGTCTGTAAGGTCGTTTTCTCGTGATTTAGAGCCTGGTTTATGGTAGCCTTTAATCAGACTCATCGGTCTCTTTGTTTATTTATACAATAAACAGGCCGAAGGGAATTCCACCAACACCACCACCACTGCCAACAACTGAGGAGAGGAGAAAGTGAGAGTAGTTCATTATTAAATGGTGCTCTGGATGCACGTTCAACTTCATTTGGCTCCATTTCCTCTTTCACTCTCCAAATATCCACAACCACCAACCAACCCAATTGGGCTTCAGCCGTCGTGCTGCAGCTCTCAAATCCCATTCGATTCACTTACGTAAGCTTATGTATCGAAGAAACTATCTAAACGCCATGTATTTATCCATGTATAACTAACTATAAAAATATGCTGCTGAAGGCTGGCGGAAATCATTTTGATTGACAATATATATATTTTTTAAAAGCTATGATTGATCAAAATTAAGGAATGGAAAAGTTAAACTTTCCACTAATAAAAATACACATGACCTCAAATTTCAAACGACAGAATAATGTGTTCTTCATTTTTTATAAAAAAAAGTGTGTATTTGATTCAATTAAGGGAGAAAATTATTGGCCTGACTTAAAGAAAAATTTGCATTTAATTGATTAGTATAAAGCCTATTTTCAGTCAGTTCTTTACTCCTTTATCTAATTCGCCGACTGGGACATTTTAGTACTTCCTGAAACAGTAAAGGGAGCACAAGTCGGAGTTAATATTTAGGGTCTAATGAAGCATGGAACTAAATCGAAATTCAACATTTTTTGTGCCAGCTAGCTGACTCCATGTGTATTCGTTCCGTTTATATATATTTTTACGCCCAATACACCCCAAAAAAGTCTTCCCTTTCTCTCTCTCACTTTCTACTCAAGCGAGTAAGATATTTCTTAATAATACAGAAATTCTTTTACTTTTACTTCTTTCCCCTTCAATTTTGATTCCTTTACTTTCACTTTATTGTTCGCTTCCCCAGTTCAGTTGGCTCGATTTTGAAACGAAACGAAATTGAATTAGCGATAGAAAGTAAAAGAAGGAATGAACATTGTAAAAGAAGATCGAAATAAAATATTTCATACGATCAGTCATACACGCGAGTACACACGTGTGAAGTGAATATAGGTGTTTTTGTTCTTACTTGTTGTTTACGCGTAAAATAAACCGGGTCAATCAGGTCAACCCCAGACGGTGAAAATGGACTTGGTCAGCAGTCAATAAGAATTTGCCACGTATAATTCGAAATGTACGCACTTGTAAATATTTCGAGACTGATCTGCAGAAATGTGAAGAAAGTCACGCTTTCGGGGAGAATGATAATGCCCTCGTAACCCGGACATCGCATACGTAACGTTGCCTAAACTAGAAGATGGCAATACTTACAGAAGACCTAAGAACGACCCCATATATTTAGTCCCCTGTAGTTTATGAAAACCTGTTTTCTCCTATTTCCGCTTCCATTGTTTCCCCCAACGTGGTTTGGGAGCAGCGGCTAAACTTCATTGAAAATCAATGTTCAAATTGAATTTTTATGGGAATACATCCGCCCACAAGGACTTCCGTCCAACTTTCTCCTTGGCCACCATAACTTCCAACCCAATTCTAAGCCGAGCCGATGTTGGAATTACGATGAAGTGCCCAACAGAGACCCCAGACTCCAAACACCCAAATAGCCTCGTAATAAAACAAGGTGGAGGTTGAAATCATGAAGTCAAACTTTTGGTTGGAGGAACTTGGGGGATCGGTGTCATTAGTTTTCATGATGGAATGCGGTAATTGTTGGTGCACCGTAACGTCAATGCAATGTGAGTTCGATGACATCCAGGCAGGGTGCCCACAATAACCGTCGGTTGTTCCCAGGTTTCATAGTGCAATGAGATTGTACCAGACTCCGGGGCTGTGTGATTTATACCACGTTTTAGGAGAAAGTCATGAAGTAGAGCTCTATCTTACTTAAATTCTTGATTGAAAGCCATCACACAAAATTCTATATCATCATCGTGAGCACACAAGGTCTGCCATGAGTTCCAATAATTATCTAATGACCCCATTTTCCTCGTGTCCCCTCCGTCCACAAATTCAAAATCAACTCTGAAGAATTCTCATAAACCCGAGTTTATCGTGGATGCACGGAATGGAGAGGGATGAAATCTTCATTTGGACGTTGTAGATACCGAAATGGATTTTCATTAGTGTTTGCATGTGTGTAACTCTCTTTATACATTTTCCCTGCAGACTTATGAAAAAATGATAAGCAGCATGTGCATCTCTTACTATGTATGTACATACCTATGAAAATCTGCATAGGTAAAACCAGTAACTAAATATGTATGTAAATAGGTCGACATGAGGTATGTGGTGGTGAAAAAAAGGAGGAATTGTTAGAAACTCTCACCCTGGCTTTTTGATCCGGAGTTACTCTTGAGAGTGATATTTTGTCCCCCTTCCCTTTAGAATCAGAAAATTATGGATTAGTTTATCGTTCCTATTTCGAACGTAATGGACCATTTTTTACTACCTTCGAAATGTTATCGTGGGTTGCGGATGACCACGGGAATTGCAGATTAGTTTGACCTAGAAGAATTTAATATTAACTACTTTTCTTACTGTGGAGGACGTATGTACATATGCCAATATATAACGGTCAATTTTTTTAGCTCTACTGGTGAAACATTCAATCACTACTCAACAAACTCATGTAAAATTATGGACAGAAAGAACCAGTATTTATGACAATAGATATACACAACCAATAAGGTTCAACGTACCGTACTTCCTTCAGGTGCCATCAGGTCAGAACTGGTTTCCTCTGAAGAAATCATTGCAAATTAATATTTCTGGCGTACACAAGGTTTGAGGTACACCGTTGTTGACCATCGTCAGCGTATAATTTTTACTTTGAGTGCTTTCACTTATATTCTGCATCTTTTATAAGTATGTATATGCATTAAATGCATGATTATTTTATTTCGATTTTAACCTCTATGAAGGCAATCTATAACCTTGTATACAAACGTGCCTGTTACTTTCTGACACACTTAAGGTAAAACTACTACTTACAATTCTATGTATCCTGAAAACAATTCGAAATATCTTACCAGGAATGAAGTCTGGGGGGATGACCACTTCCAAGAAGGCAATCTGAAAATATCAAAGCAAGTATGATTCTGTGGGGCAGTGTTTTATGCATATTAACTGAAATAGGTTACAAATGAACAAGTTACTTGATAAGTCATTGGATCCGTGTTTATTTGACACCTTAAAACCAACATACCCAATCAATTCAGTATTGTGCCGGTGTTAACCTTAGATATTAAATAATATGTATGCAAGTAGTGCCTGCTTACATATATGAACCGCGATCTTCTTCCTTGACACCTTTAACAGAATAATGATTTATTATTATGTATATGTAGCTATGATTAGTTGAATGACGTGTAGGCAAGTCGCTTAATCGAGTAAATATATACAATGCCGAGAAAATATTTACAAATCACTAATTGATTGATCATACATATGTGGAGGGTATATCTGCTCTTTGATTTTATTACAACATTAGCCTAATGGACGCATTAACTTAGGACAAGTAGGACATACGTACGATTCTAAATAATATTACCTTTTATGTGCAAGTGCCACATGGTGTGATCCGAATGCTATAATTCAAATTGGTCTTACAATTAGATCAATAAATTACTTTATTTCGGTTTAAATCAATTATTTCTTTTACCGAAACAGAGACGCGTGGATTATGGGTTATTACATGGTTATGTATGGCCTGGATTGCTGTAAAAATGCATGTTTAAGCTCTTAAATTTTTAAAGAAATACGTATGTAAACGTCGCATGTATCGTAGAATTAAGTTAGATAGTCACCTTTGGTATCCGCACGAACCCACCCAACCTGCAAAATGTAAGAATAAAAATAGAATTTAGCAAACTTTCTCTGCGTACGAATTCCATCGATTTGTACACCAATGAATGTCATTTGCATTCAATTAAATAAATTATAATGGTATTGTTTGAAGAAGCGGACCAGAGCCATTATTGACACGACTAATTGAGTCGTAAAAATCCGCCCGTGCTTTTTTCGATTGAATATTAATCTGGCAGTTTCCCTTCAAGTCATGAAATAGTTTCTTCCTCTTCAGTCCTGCATCTAATGGCTGGTGACTAATTACCTCCTCCAACCTACATACGTACGTACGTGCGCTGGGAGCTTACTGACAAACAGATTTCTGCAGACATGCCATCAAGATTTATTCTTCGTAGTTATTTATTGCGATTAAAATTTCATCTTAGATCGTCTCAAAATCTTGAAAGCCTTTGCATGAGCGAGACGTTAGTTCTGCTGAACTTCTCATTCTCATATTTAGATGAGAAAACAATGAGAACAGGGAGTGGAGCATAAATCAACTAGACCCTTCGTCGTTTCGCATAGTTGATGCCATGCCATGCTGCTTCGGGAGTATAACGATTTAGGTATGTACATATGTAGTAGACTTTCGCTACATTTTTTCAGAGAGTGTATTTTCTCAGGATTAGTGAACTGGCAGCCTAGCAGTTTAAAGGATGGCCGAAGTAGATGAAAAGTGCTCAAAATTATTCCTTCCGACTAAGGATAAGTACCAATGGCATATTTTTTGTCATTCACAAAATACAGAATTTTCCTACTATTTTAACGCAGTTCTTTATTATTATGTTAAGATTTCTGCAAAACTCTCAAGATTCGCCGTACTACTGCGTACGTATTATACATGTGTACATATGCGGACCCAAGTTTTTCTCCAGGCGGAATAAGTGGTCGCACCATATGGTACCAGCAGCATCGTCACCCGCACGAACCAAAGCATTGAAAACTGAGAAAGCTCACGGGAATTACAATAAGTAATAATAACACGGCACACACTATCCTCAATTCTTTGGGGAATGAGAAGGCGACTGTTTGTATGAGTGTGGGTTGCATGCAAATTTTTGAAATTTGTTGTGAAATGGGCATCCTGTAGGTGGATTGAATACTTGAGCAGCAAATTCGATCATTACAATCGAAATGACGATGCGGGTGCAATTTACGGCCAGAGTGGTTCGCATCAGTTGGGACAGATACGTGCATTTTCAACTCGCATTACATGATATTAGGGCATTTGATTAATTCTAAGAAGTGGCAGATTAGGCTTCGTCCTGTACCTGCTGCGTCCTCGATGATGAGGTGGACATTAGCATTAGTCCGAAGAAAAAACATTTCGGCAAACAAAGATCAACGCTACGTAAGTAGTTCAACATAAATGGGGTAAAAGTCACGATCGACATTACACACCACAATTTCTTCAAATGTTACAATAAAAGCGTGCCCTGCTCAATGATATCATTCCAGAGGTGGGGATCACATGACTAACATGGATTAGGATTTTTTGGATTCATGTATTATATTTTAATCCATTTCACCTTATACAAGTGCATACGTGCGTAAATACATATTGTTAAAAAATGCATCCACCTCCTTAGTCCTAGCAACGTGTAGTCTCTAAACTAAGACATTTAATTCAGCATTTTCAATTTGCTGGGATTGTGCTGTCTCCGAGTTATAGGGGCAATAGGTATATTATTGCATAGCGTTGCCAACAGCGGACAAAGAACAATGGCGTCTGAGACAATAAGGACCAGCAGAGAGAGAATGGTGTACACGACTTGCTTGTACTACTACTATTGCTACATATTACCGCTCAGCTACATGGTTTCATCTTGTTCATCCCGAATTCCATCCAGCTTCCAACAATTTATTACATATCACTTGTCACAATTTGTCTCGAGGAAGCACGTATGCGTCCAAATGGTACAATACAATTCCACTTGTTCCCCTTGTCGGATACGTCTTTCTCTTCCTCACATAGAAAAGGAGAGAGTTTTGGGTGAGTAATGCATTTTATTTCAAAATGTGCAGATGGCAAATTCTATTTGTTTTTACTTCAAAAACTAAACTGCTCTGTACGAAAAGGTTCAAAATCTCTGCATGTCAGGATTTTATTGTGGTATGCACCTATTTGTTTGCAAAGGAAAATGCAGTCCCAAGGCCCTCGTCGTGTCATTGCAAAAATGCATAGTGTGTTTGGATGCACATTCCGATAGCAGTTTATTCCCTTGGTCTACGCAGAATAAACAAATGCTGGCAATACCTCAAAAGATTTGAAGATTCAAGGTTTCTGAATGGCGAGAGTGCAAATAATTATTTAGTTTTATTGGCTACGTACGTCACAAAAGTCCCGAAAATTTGATTTTCGTACCCCTAGTCTAGTCAGCAGCAGGTGTCGAAGAAGGTTGTTGTATTGCGACCGCTAGTGTTACGGATAAGTAGCAACTTAGCTATAGGCTGCTGACATACATGAATAGGAATAAGATTTTCACCCTCATTCCAGTTTTGCCTGGAGTGTATTTGTGCCTACAGCTTGATCTGGAGTGTTTGACTTGCCGTGACTTTCCTCTTGAAACTTGACTCGTCGGGTGTGCGGATAGTGAACTCATGGGCCAACCCCGGAATTGAGATGAGACAACAGTTGGTCCTGAATTCTTGAAGCATCCGAACAGTTTTACTAGATTTCACTCAACTTTCTCCAAGAAAATTCCCTACTTTTCTAGATGAGATGCAATATGTTTCAACTCAGGCACAGCATACTTTATGGACTCGGACTGAATTTTAACGTCTCCTGCCATCTCGACTCGATCCACAACTCAAACACAGTAGGCAAACTGAAGAGTGGTTTGATTTCTTTTTATACAACTTCCCACAAATGCATTGGTTCCCTCACTGAACAAATCGGAGAAAGTTTAGTTACTGAACAACCAAAGTGCAACTAAGTTATTTTTGATCGGATGCATTTCTTCCTCGCGTAATTCATCCTTACCCTTTAATCCAAACAGACCAAAGTCAATGTCAAGTTAGACCAGCAAGGAGAAACCATAAAGTGAATAGCGGTGTTTTTATTTTTTGTATGTATGCAATTTATATGCAATTTCTAATGAAAATTCCACTTTTAGTCCAACTCCTCAAACTTGTTGTGCTAGCCATAAGCGGGTTTCCTTCTTTTTGCATTTAGTAATTTTTCTTGTACAAATGTCATTCGGATAGTGGGTGCAGTTTGTGAATTTAAAAGCAGGAGAAACTTTTTGTATAAAAATGTCATTTGTAGCGGGAGAAAGTGAAAGCAGTTGGTTTAAAGGAGATTGAAAGTGTGGGATTTTATGGGTAAAATTTGTATCATTTGCATTCATTAGGAGCACACACTCTCAAACTCTGAAACCGAGATTGTCGGTCTTCCTCTTATTCCTATGCGTTCCGTAACCTCCACAAATGCTCATTATCTTATTCTTGCAGTGAAAGCGAAGTCATAAGCAGTTGGAATTTTTCTTCGTGAGAAACAACATATATTCGTGCGTGTCTACAAATTAATTAAGCATATCCATGTGCACGAGTAGGGAGAGACACGTTAAGGCAAGAAAGGTGAAAGTTTTGATGCAGAATCAAGTTATTCTGAACGAATTGAATTAAAAACATTTCCGAAAATATTTTCTGGGTGGAAGGAAACGTTCAGGAATTCATGGTTCTCTCCTCCTCAGAAGTTTCATATATTGAATACAGATTAGCCTATTTTAGAGCCAACATACGTACACTCGGATTTATTTATTAGGTAGAAAATCCCACTGTACATTAAATGTCAGAACCCCATTTCTGTGAAAAATAATGCACAAAAGCAAAGTTGAGATGAGAAAATAATTAAGCTTTGCAATAAGAAAGAAGAGTGCTGGAGAAATGGAAATATCACAATTTCAACATTATCAATTTCCTCTAAACATTTGCCGAGCTTGTACTAGTTGTCACTTAACTTTGTGAAGGAACCTTTTAAATTCCAATTTTTACTGTTCTTTAAGCTGTTGCGGCGTCCTTTCAAGTTTTCGTTGTACAAGCTAAACGACAGCTTCAAAAACTTTCTCTCGTCTTTGCCCAAGTTGAACGGAACGTTTATGGTAATGGTTTTAAAGAGCCATGACAAACGAGTTGCGAGAGTTTGGATCATTTATTTTCACAAGTGAAGCCAAGTTTAGCAGATGTTTCTCCACCATCATCCCTTGGGTTTGGTTAGAGGTTTTCCCCAGTTTTACTGCCAGCAGTAATCGTATCCGATTGTGGGATAATATGCGCGCATATATATGCATATACCTTCTAATTTTAAAGACAAAATCGACAAAATCTCCTGTCTCCTCGTTGGACCTGGTCCTCACGAAAGGACATTACTCCATTCTTCGATAAGTGGAGATTTTACCTGACAAGTGCCACGAGATAATTCTCACTTACAAATGTATTAATGATATCGTGTAAATTTATCACAAGAATACGTTTCAACAGAAGCTTTAAGCATCCAAAGCCATTAATCCATCATTCATCCTTTCACCCTCGTTTGGATCTCGCAGTTGGAATTTAGGATTTAAAAAGTTTTATGCAAGATATCTTTTTTTTTTACTAAACGACATATCTGTACATTTCTTGTCATAAGAAGTATAAATAGTTTGAATGTCATTGCATGTTCACACAGACACTTGAAAACCACCAAAACTGGTCATATTATATCTCGATTCGGTGGAATATAATCTGGAGTGTCAGTCGCAAAGTCTAAATTTTTTCTCTCTACCAGTCTTCTAACCTGAGGTGTATAACTTACCAAAACGTTTTTTAAATGGCAACACAAACAATTACCAACCCGACGATGGTGTTGGAGGAAAGGTCCGTGAAGTTCAAGTCCGCTCAAATTTGTTAAATTACATACGTGAGGTGACTTACCCGATATCCTCCTAAAATATTCAATACATGTGAATTGTTAAACTATATGAAGGCTTATTAATGTTAGTAAACTTACCAAGACCTCGAACGCTGCACAGGAAAGTGGCATCTCGTCCAATTGCGATGGTTAAGTTCTCCAACGGCTCAGCAAATTCTGGCTGAAACTCTGATGCAACTTGACCACCATCTGAAATGTACATTATTTTGCTGCGTTATCTTTCAACATTGTTTAAGAAGGTTGCAAGGACGGGGTTGCAGTAATTAGACGAGAATAACATAACTTGGCGGGATACTTTTGTTCATTTAGCAGAATGATTTGAAACAAAAGAACCTCTGAAGCAAAACTCAACATATTTCTTCCGCTCCTTGAAATGCAGCGGACCTTGAAAGATTAATGAAAATTTGCTAATGGTTCCTACAACGGACAACTTGCATAACGCGGCGGAAGGAATTAACAGAGTCGAATGCGGTGCGTATGTATAGAGAAAAGTTTTCTGTACCCTTGCACATTGTAAACCGGCTCATAATTTAATACTCGTCCATCATCATTCACTGCAATATCATCACGTGTATGGCAGAAGATGCTTCATCATGCAGTAGATAAGAATAGAATGTACTTTATTTATTCCATATTGAAAATAAGTTGGCATTCTTGGCATTTTCAAACTGCTGATTCAACCCTGTCAAGAATTTCTGAATTAAAAATTTTATGCGAAACAGACACTTCATGTGAAAATTTTGCCTTAAAAATAAGAGAACGTGTATTTGAACTTGGATTTGTTTGGGCCATCAGGATTATAATAAGCAAATAGAAAAACACAAGATACACGCTTGACCATATTGCTGGCTATTTTGTGAAAATGGTGGACATCTCAGCAGCCCTAATATGGTGCATGATATGGACGTTCATCAGAGTGCAGCAAAAGGAGAGGGACCACCGGAAGGAAGTTGGCTGAGTGAAAGTGGTCCACCACCACCTCGCTCGCTCCTCGCCCTCCTCACACTCCGGCTTCCTCTTCCCAACTTCATTTACTTGAATTATTTGGACTCTCTCCCAAATTTAGTACACTTCTTGGACCGCAACGATGTCCACGATGGCCCTTCATACGCACATACAGCGACACAGCATGGCCTCCTCCTTGGCCAACGCACTTTCTCCATTTTTCAGATTAAACACTTGTAAAAATATTTCAGCCCAATATTTAAATCAAGTCGTGAATTGGTAAATTTTGAAATAGACCCCACTTCAAACTGAGAGGATCTCTTTTTATCTCACAATTTGTCTACCTGTCGCTGGAGGCTGTTGTGGCCGTATTCGTGCTCAAGAGGGAGATAAACGAGGGAGGGTATTATCCATTCGGGTGACAATGGGACCAAAAGGAGCCCAGGATAAGAGCACTCTCATAAAGTGAAGTGGCCTTTAACTTTTATAATTTACTCTTCCACTGCTCTTCCAGATCTAAATACCACTCTGCGCAACCACCACCCGGCTGTATTTCAATACCACACAAAGGACAAGGCAAACAAAATTCAAAGCCTTTTTTATTATTTGGCACAGATTTACTAACTGCCCAAAGTTAAGCCCATTTCTTAGCCTTTCTTTGTGTCCCGGTTGCCCCTTTCTTTGCTTTGGTTTTGCTTTCTTGGTATCCGCTTTGCTGTGTTTACTATACAATAAAACATGTAAGCTCCTTAAGTCTGTTTTGAGCACAGACGTATAAAATCCTACACATCCCACTACCACCAAATATTAATAATACCGTCAAGCATTGCACTACAATAATGCTGGGTGCAATTGTACAAAAGGACTTTTTAGCTCTACAATATTCTGATGGAGATTTATGCAGATTTCTAAAGATTTATTTCTCTTATTCTTTCCTGAAAGATTTTGACGGTAGAAATGATTACTTAAGCACTGAACACCTATTTGTGTAATGCATTGTATCTAAAATTAGCCTTGTAAATAAACCTGTTACAGAGCCACGTGCGTTTGTTTTCTGCGGAAGCAAAGAGTTATTGCATACGGCTTCAAACCCACTTTGTTTCCGTGTTGCTTTGTGCTTCAAGAACATCGGGAAGTGCAGCGTCTCCTCTGTCAGAACGAGTCTGGAAAAGAAAGTCGTCCTTGTGTCGTCCATTACATTGGGGGCTGGGCAGACATGTACATGTGGACTCTGCGGAGTGTATAAGTGTCGTTCGTCGTTTCTTCGTTAGTTGGAGCATTTAGTTAAGTTGTATAAAGAAGGGGGATAATTTAGTATCGTTCCATTAGGGGGATTGATTCTCCTTCTCTTTCGTGACCAAATGCCCATGCCACCAACTTAAACTAAACTTAACAAACTTTCTCTCTCTCAACCACTTACTCACGATTTCCTCTTGGTCTCTTTCTTTCCTTCTCTCTTATGTAATCATACGGAGAAAATCCTATTCTGGTGGAATGTCTCGTCTTCTTTATTTCCCCACAATGCAACACAATACAATTGAGTGAGAGAGGAAAGGAAAAAGTGGAGGGAGAGACTTTCCCCGTTCTATTAAGAAGATGAGCTAACTAAGAAATAAATACCACCACCACGACCAGAGAACCTTCAAGGAAGTTGGAAAAGAGATGAAATTGTCTTCTGCTCTCGTGTGCATCTGTGAGAATCCCACTTTCACTTCATTCATACCAGCAAACAAAACAAAGTGAAATTCCAAAATTTCTACTTTGCTGCGTACTCATGGCTGACGACGAAAAGTTTTATGAGCAAAAGAATTAGAATTAATTGAGGGTTAATTGGGGACAGGAGTGTGGGAACTGAGTGGGTGAAAGTAAAAATTTTCGAAGCAACACCAAGGAAATATATGCGTACATACGTACATGTATTTGGCTATGGTCTAATTCTTGCTTTATATTATACTCGCTAACATCACGATTTCTTTCTGTCCTAATTTCAATACGATATAAAATAATAAAGAATCCGGAAGCAAAACTACGTATATGTTCCACTTAAATAATATTAAATCCCATATTTTAATACCTTAATTTTAATGATTCAGCTTTTAAAACTGTATATCGGAGCAGTTACTTATTTAATTAGTTTAGTTATTAACTATTTATTTATTTACGAAGTATGGAATTGTTCAGGTTTGTCACGTTGCATATTTTCCGCTCAGCTTTTGGCGCGGCATCTGCTTTCTCTTTCGATTAATCAAGTTGGGTTGTCGACTTTCATCATTTGCCGTGCTCCTTCGCCGTGTAGTGGAACAGAGACATCAACATTTATTAAATAAAAATATGCCTGATGATGACTCCATAAACTTCATGGCCGTCAAGCACAGCTGCAATTCAAAAATTATGGTTGAACTCCTTCCGTGCTGCTTTGTGACTCCGTTGTCCTGTTGTGAATATGTACGGTGCAACTGTGCTCGTACATGTTTGATGTCTTGGGCAAGGAGAAAACAGGTTGTTTGGTTGGCGATGCTTCAGTGGTCGGGTCTCTCCCCAGATTTATTTTTATAGCTTCAGCCAAACGATGCACCCCGGGTTTGTCTCTTTCTTTCCCCTGAAACGATGTTACAACTTCCTTTTGTTGGCGTTGTTCAAAGTTGTAGCAAAACCTGCTTCCTTGGAGCACATTGAGCTGTTTTGATTTATTTAATGATTTAATGGATAAAATGCACTAGAACAAAAAACACTTACACTCCTGCTCTTCTACGACCCATGCTTATATTCCTTCTAAAATAATCGTCTACAGCAAATTTCTCAAAATATGCTTTAAAAATTGCAATACACAAAGCGCACAATTAGTTTTATACATAGCTCAATATTTAATACAAACAATTAGTTAATCAGTTACTGGATAAGATGAACAATTACAATTTAAATCATGCAGATATTTCTTAAGATAATTCGCAATTCGACAAGTGAGTAAGTTGTACAAATATTAAATGAAGTAAGGAAAGTGAATACAGAATTGTTTGCATGTCGTTGGTCGAGCACGCATCATCGAAATATTTGTAATAATATTTTTCATACAACCGTGAATGTATCCTGCATGATAGGCCGACACCGTTATTATGACGACGGCATGATGCCACCGACTCTAATGTGATGTAACATAATGCAATGTGGCATGTATATTGTTATGCTTAGCTGCTTTGTTATTTACAGTATTATGCATTAGCTTGAAGAAGGAAGTCACCTTCCCACCACGAAATCTCTGGGGAGCACGATAAAGCAGAAGATAAAGAAAAACATCGGCAAAACACAACCACCCCATTTCTTCCTGTTGTTATCTCTCCTCTTCGCAATTTGTAGTTTGAAACTATTCGCAATTGCGAGAGAGAAACTTTCATTCCTTCACAACGAATGGGTACCCTTTCAAGTTTATTATTATATGTAACATGCGACGAGCGAAATGGAAACCAAGTTATATTAAGAAGTGAAAGTTATAATAAATCCGCAGCAAAGAAGAAATGTTGCCAATTCTATTAAGGATCAACATTTCAATCCACATTGTGGTACTGCGTTCGAATAAACATGGTAAAAATCTACACATTGCAAATTTTCTGCCACCCTCATGAGCATGTAAAAATTGTGCCCATAATTTTCTCCTTAAACAACTCCCGCATGAAAACTTGAGGTGATGACATAAATTTTACCGTATTACGTGTATCACACATGTACAAAAGTATTGCGTGGTATTCCTGGGATACGTATGACATACGTATGTGTATACTTTTACGGCTTAAACTGCATTACTTTACATTACATTACTCACTTATCCTAATCTTATCTGCTCTGGGTGGTGGATTTCCCAGTTTTTGGTGTGAGCGAGAGGGAATGGTCACATCCAACAACTCACCACGCGGACTTAGCGCCTTCACTGCGGGATATTACTGTAGGGAGCGGAAGGAAAGCATTACGTGGCAGACCTTGCTAAGGTCGTACCACGGACGGTATCGTAACATTGAATTGGCAGTCGTGGTGAAGATGGTGTTGTTCCTGCTGCTGGAAGGTGCTACATTATTTGTATCTGGTGCATTTGGGACTTGGGCTGCTGCTGTTGTAGTAGTGAGCAAAATGGGTCTTTGGGGAGTCTCGGAGTTCAAGAGGATAAACAAGACATATTGGCGTCTTATGGGCTCCCAGCCACTTTCCCCGTCCAAGCAACATGATGGGGTGGGAGTAATGTGGACGAATTACAAATCTGTTAGCTTCCCCACTTGGAAACCTTTCCTCACCTACTGAACCTTACTTTCACTGCTTGCAAGGTGCAAATGTGGCTACCTGAAACACACCTCGACTGAAAAAATAATCATCTGGAAAGACGAGTAAATATTAATAGGGTTCAACTGGTGTAGATTTTACAGTATATTTGCAGCATTCATGGTTGTATAATTTCTGGCTGGTTACATAGTTTCTCTATTATCCTCGAATGTCAAATGCAATCCCATTATTCTCCGTTTACTTTTATTGTGGGTTGTTGATACTTGTAACAACTTCATTTTAAGAGCAGCGTAACTCTGCGCCGTTCTACTGGAATTTGATGGGGTTGTAAAAAGGAAGACGCACATTGACACATCGACCAGCATTGCAGATGTACCTTTCTTACATGGTCCTGATTTAAAGACAACAGAAGTCAAAAAACTTGCAAACATTCGACCCAGTTTCGCCAGTTCATATTTAAACCACAATTTTACAAGCAGAACACATTAATCTTTCCGGCTTGTGTTGCCCCTTTAAAAGTAAGCCTGGCAGCCTAAAAGGCGACTGGTGGCATCATGAGAAATGGCACATCCTCCTCCTTAAACTTTTAGTTTAAATTTTATCCAGATTATTCCTGGACGACATCGGGTCGAGGGGCCAAGTGGGGAAAGGTTGGAGAGGATGTGCATAGTGCACACGTACATATCGCAAAATTCAAGAACAGGTTTCTTATTTTTAGGCTAGAATAATGCCCCCATTTCGGGAGGGGGACCTTTGTAAAAAATGTGGTATTCTTTAGATGATAACATACATCATACGGATATGTACATGCTTCAGACTTTTCTCTTTAAAGCAAGGTGGTTGGTGAAAGTTATGAAGTTCGTCAGCTGTCTCGTCCCCGTGGTGGCTTAGATCGATGGTTGAGATGGAAGGGAGCGATTTCTTTCCTACATGCATAGCTGGTTGAGTCGGTCGGTCGGTCGTGGGTGGTGGATTAGAGAAATGCAATCAGAATCCGGTGTAGAAAAAAAGCATAACGCCCTCATTTGAAAGTCTAATGGATTTGATCCGATTGGATGGATGAGCGACTTTATTTCACCCGGCAGTTGCTTACAACCCGGTTGCACCACTACAACGGGAATTGTCTTCCGAGCCAAGAGCAAGAATAAACTCAATCTTCAAGGGTGAGACCACCTTGCGCCACGATGAGCTCACTTCACTCGGTCACTTTTCTTGTTTCAAAGTGCAGAGAAAAAAGCTTATAATAAACTCAAATCTGACATTCTAAAGTATTCGCGAAGGTAACCATTTGTCCTGAAATTATATACATGAACCTTCTCTTGAGTTGTTCATTTTCCAACTATTAATGCCACGTTGTTGTATATGTGCACAAATCATGGAGAACTAGGTGAACTCATTTACGGAAAAAGTCTCAATTTATTTACCAATTTATTTTCTCTCGACACTCCTAAATAATAAGCATATCTACACCTGTCAACCACTTCCAGCATCACACGAAATGAAAGTGAAAATGAATGATCAAGTTGGGACAATGTGGAATTTTATGTGCGGCCACAAATTCTATTAAGTTGTCTCTCACCTCTGTCACGTCTTGTCTCATTTCACTTTCTTGTCGCATGTCGTCAAAAGATGTACATACACCAGTCGTTTGTTGCAAATGAAATATTAAGCGTTCCTTATTTTTACCCTTGTACGTTTGGAATTGAGAGAGTATGTACAAGATAAATATGCATGCTTACATATTGATCTTGTAGGAAAACATTGTTGTTGCTCTAAAACAGTATTTGTCCTTTTTCTTTTGCGTTTCTGAGTTGTGTAATATTACCAAAATCGTTCAAGAAACCTTAACTCGTTTCATTTTATCATTTAAATTCATGGGAATTACAGGCAATGAATGTGGTTCTCGGCGTATGCGGTTTGTTGTCAATCAGGTATTTGAATTCATATTGTACTATTTCCATTAACGGTTTATTGTAAGTATGATTGTAGCCTCCTGTTCTCCCCGTCATCACCCCAAGTTAGAGTCGAGTTTTGGATTGTATGTGTGAATTAAAATGCAAATGTAAAATAAACTTGGGGAAAAGTTGGGATTTGCTGTGTCAAAGTGTTTCTTTAAGTGTGTTTACGACGTCTAAATATCGGACCAAATGAACCTGAATTAAGAGACGATCGAGTATATATAAGGTTCATTTCTTTTTAGTGAAAGTCTTAGTTTTTTGTATAAGCTTTGGACTTAAGATTAGCATTGTGCAAGTGGTTGAACAACAAGCAAGACAAAAAATAACAAAAAGAAAAATGTCACACTGGGTTTGCATGGGTGGATGGAATGCTGTCACCACGAATAATCACAAGAGTGCAACTAACTGTTATGCAGCAGGATCCCAAGAAGAATAGAAAAGGAACAATTTCTGGTTTGATTTGGTTTCACTTTCTCCTCTCCGTCCGACTAATGTCGTAATTATGGAGTAGCTTCTGTCTCTAATTGCAACGGACCCACCCCTCATCACCATTTAAATGACGGAAATTAGGAAATGGTCCAAAATTTTGGAGGGAGCAAGGGAAAGACAAAACTTACAAATCATTGGTCACCTGGGACAATATCCGTTTCAGTTCCAACTTTCCATCCAACTCTGCAGAAAGACCTAGTTGGCGTGACTTTGGTGCAGGATTGGGTGGGTGGATGCATTTATATGGAAAACCAACAGAGATTTATTTCACGGAATTCATTTGCCTATATATTTATTTACCCACATCGATTGACCACGTTTCGACGTATTTAGAGATACGAGGATAGCAGAGCGCAAACAGTTAGCTGTGTGTTTCAACAAAACAGATTCCTTTATTCCATTATGCTCGTTATCTATTGCCAAATTTTGGCCAAAGTTCAATTCCAGGGGTGACGAAGCCAACATTAGTTTAATGGACTCATTCATCAAAGTGAGATATGCATATGAAACACATTTTCCAAGCTGTACAACATCTACAGAATAATACTTATCACACGCGGAATATAAAAGTTGTTGCCATTCACCAATTTAGAAATTTAAATGCAAATGTTATCCAAACATTTGCATTGTCAGTTGAGTAAATCCGGCTGAAACGATCCATCAACCCTCTTGCCAGCAATTTGACGAAGCAGCCACACTTTCCCCCCGAAGATGGCTGACAGCACGGAAGTAACAAGAGGTGCATTAAAGGAAAGACATTATTGTGATAATTTCACGTCACAAGGGATGAAAACAAGAGATGAAACAAATTCAAATTAGGAATGGGACCAAAATAATAAGATGGCTTACACTTATTGTCCAAAAGTAGCCGAGCACAACTAATTGCAGTCGGTTTAATTCTCTTTTGTCTTTTATTTATCATCCACACGCTTCGGCTGACATGAGAACTCACTCTTCGCGTGTTCTCCTTCAAAGACCCGTCGCCTTAAAACTATTAAATTTGAAGAAATGAACAGCAGACCAGCAGCAGTTCGGCCCGAGACAAAGTTAATAATAATGGGACGAGTGAGGGAGTACAAGTCAGAGGAAGAATCGAGTTGGACCCCTCGGTTGATGCCTTTTAAAACACACTGAATGTTCTTGAAGTGTTTTGTGGTTTATTTCCCTATGGGAAAACTCACTCTGCCAAAAGCGTTTTGTATGCAAATTTTGCAAATGGAAACGTACATGCAAAAAAAAGTTGAGTTAGAAAGCAGAAAAGTTGGTTCGAGTCCAAATTGCCAGTAATTAGAGATAATTCTGATCTTCCTGTCCCCGGGTCTGTTTGTCCTCATTTCTCGACACAATAAGTGTTGGACTACGTATTTTCACTTTTTACTTGGTTTGCACACAAACTATAAGTCAGGCGAGGATAAATATTTTCTGGTCTGTAATAAGTCACTCGTAAAAGCATCCGTATCTTGTGATATTAATGTGCATTGATAACATATACATTCTAATGTAAGAAAATGCGTATAAATTTCGAAATTGAAACCAAGTCCCAACTTTCCCGTTTAAGAAGTGAGGTAAAAGTTCGTATTAAGGGTTGTGCATTCCTTTCTGACTAATATCTCCCTCGTTTCCCCCCTCAACTCCGATGAACACTGAGTCGCCGTAAATGTGGAGCAGAGAAAACGGTGAGGAGGAGATGATACTCTTACGTTGGCACAATCCGTTCATTCAGTGACTTTGGCTTAATGGCACGGAAATTAAAATGTAATTAATTCCTGCCTCCTCTCAACCACATGCTCCTCCAGTCCTCACCAACCAACCAACCACTTTCCTGGTCATGTGCATCATAAACATCAATGCACTCGTGATGACGCTACTGATGAGCGTTGCGAATATAACTGTTCCTGAGAACTCTAATTACCACATCATTCAGTTGTAGTAGCTATTTTTAAATTGAAGAAAATCTTTTCTTACATGGACAATAAAAATATGTAAAAAAATTGGTGTTTTCAGTAATAGTGTGGAAAACAGTGATATATGTGCACATTAGCTAAATGGCGACAACTACCATAAACTTTTTTAGGTTTATTTACCTGATGGATGGCGTCCGATGGCCAAGAGGCCCAGAAAAGTGAAGATGAGGAAATTGGACATTTTCACTGCTTCTTCCAATTTAACTTGTTAAGTTAAATTGTGCCACCAAGCACATCATGACCATCTTCTTCTTGTTCATGTCATACGAGTAGTAAGATTTGTGGTACGCTCTTTTTCGACTCCCAACAGCCAGAAATTTAAGAATCTCGGTGTTCTCTACACTTTTTCCAATTTTTTGTTGTTGAAATGGCCTTTGTCATCCGTCTGTAGTGGGAAGAATGGGGAGAGAGGAGATTGTACGGGTGAGATGTCGAGGTCTTGTCCTTGTCTACGTCCGGTAGTTTGGTCTCCCTTGGCTTCACTGTCTCCCTACAAAAACGGAAGTCATAAAGTATTTATCATCCAACAAACCGACCCCGACCACAATGTGCAGGGGAAACCTTGGCATGCACGCATACTGCATGTTCATAGTTTTGTCGTCTTTCAACTAAACAAAATACAAAAATATTTAGCACATTTTTTTACCCGAATTTTAGAAATGATTGGCTCTCGATATATTAGTGTAATAACTGTATTTAAAAATTGGTCATTTGTATACGAAAGTATATTTTCTAATGAAATTTCAAACAGAAGGTAGCAATTTTTGTTACATAGTTTCTTTATTTATTTCATGCTGCCGTTCTTGCTCCCCTGTGAATTACACCCATTCAAATTCACTCAATCCGTCCCTGGTGAATACATTTGAGAAGAAAAGTGAATTTGCTGAATGCTGCATGTAAATAAAAAAAACGATTTCTCTCCTTTCTCTCCCTCCCTTTCTTTCCAGATCTTGGCGAAAATGATGAGTTGAATATGAATTGAATAAAACTGGGCAGATCCAGCCGTGCTCCTTTACCCATCCACAAAAAAGGAGGCCAACATCAGTACTTGGAAGGATAGCCAACCAAAGTATAATATGTACACAAGTAAATATATTTGGCCAATTGGCGCATATCTACAACTTATTTTTAAGCCTTTATTTTAGGGCTTGGCGACTTTCTCTAGGAAATAATTTCCCGAAATTATCAAAGTGGAGATTATCATCACTTCATTTTTGAATAGTTAGACTTGAATAGAGTAATCAAGCCTTTTAATTAAATGCTCTTCCTGCTAATAATAATCCTTCCTTGTAACAAAGCAAGACGACCTCATTATAAGTATTTCCATTATTAATTTCTTGGAATTATTATTTTGTCCAGAGTCATTTTATTCAGTAGCATTGCATTTGCTTCCAATTTCCTTGACAAGGACGGTCTGGGCTGCAGCGGAAATCTGTGGAGAAAAAAGTGATGCCGGAAGGAGAGGAGAAAACGACCTCAGACGAAGAGGATGGCCAGAGATGAGAATGGGAAGCTCTTCGACCCTCCGAGAAAAATTTCATATTCAAATAATTCTTTCGTCGTCGTGGGCTTGTTTGTGTGGCCTGAGACCTTGTATAGCTTTTGGTGGGGCTTGTTTGGTCCTCTGGTGGGATTGCATTATGACATTGCTTGCATTATTTGGGATTTGCTGCAGTGCGGGCGGAATGGAGGAGGAAGGGTGCTAAGCGAGGCTAATATTACCATCATCTAGACGTCATTTCGTTTCTAAAGAAAATAGGATTGTGAAAACGTCGAATGCGTTTTTGTCCTTTCGCAGTACGTGTTTGGAAATAGAATACAACTGGACATGCACAAGCTCGAGCAAAGGATAATAGTAATCATCATCATCATCTTGTTTGGCAAGGAATTCAGGAATTGACAGCAGAATATATTGTTATGCAGACGTCGGATTCTTGGAAATTGAATCAGCATTAGAGTAATACTAACATGTGTATCCATAAATGTATGATTTTGCATGAAGGCAAAGGTTTTAAGTTATTTTATTTTACATCTTTCAAGGCCATATTCAAATTTAGCCCAGTCTATAACAAACGAAATGCATGATTATTTAGAAATGTCTAATTAGCTAGTTGAATTAGTCAAACTACTTAAAAAATGGGGGTAAGTATCATGGGCATCGACTGAAGTTTATAATAGATACAAGCTGATAGATTAAAGTCATAATTACTTGATAAAGTGTGAATCTTCAACATTTAATGAGAATTACAACGAGAAATTGTTTTGAATCTTTCTACTTTCCCCATTTTCTCCCCCTTAAGTTTTTTTGCAGTTTTATATAATCAATGATTGCTTTTGGTGAAGAACCAATATGAAATGAAAATGGTAATGATCGCGTCACCATCTGCAGCAACAAGATTAGAATTATGAAGAATTTCGGATTTTATCCAGAATATTGAGACGTTGACGTTCGAGCACTCAGTTTGACTACGAAGAAAAGATAACTGCTACATACATAGATGTCATAAGAGATAAGATCCTTTGTTGGAATTTCAATAATTCATAGTTAGGACACAAGGAAAACTTGTTAATATTATGGAATGTGACTGAGATGAAAATTTAGAAAATGAGGAATTAATTTTCTATTCCTTCATAACCGATGTTATTTCCTCATTGCAAAAATGTGCAAATTAAATCGAAATATAGATAGGTATAAAAGTGATCCAAGTCACTGAGATATTGTAAATATCATATATTCAAGTGGAGTTGAGTCGGAATGAACTGGTGGTTCTTCCACCGAAAAGTCATCAATCGATATGGATCTCTCATGATATTTGCATTTCTCTTCGTTTCCCATTAAAGAGACAAAAATCCTCTTAACTTTTACTTAACTCCTCTCACCCCATCCTCCATGCAAAGAAAATGAATTTCATCATACAACGCAACCCAAATCGAAATTCTCTCTGCATATGCGGATGCTTTATATGCGCTACTGCAGAATTTGTATAAATGATGGATCCTCAGATTCTAAGATCTTTCAATGTTTTCATATTGAATTACTTCGTGTCTTATATTTTGCTAAAACAAGAAGGCGTACTTAAACTTTAATCATGATAAACAATTATTCCTCTAGTTTAAAGAGAACTAAGTTTTTGTCGAAAGTTTCAGTTTAAGAAATGTGTCATTTACAAGGAATATAAAAAATCGAAACAATTTCGATAAAACATAAAATTTTAAATAGTTAAAGACGTACAATGATATGTATTACCGGATATACAATTGACCTTGTTTGTCTACAGATGTTTTTATTTCCATATTTTTTAGCAAGAATGAAACTGGATTTACATGTCAAGAAAAGCGTTAAAATTGTGGTCATTTCACGATATCCGTTCAAACAAGCTTCCCTGAGCACTGCTAATAATGGCCACCATTTTAGGAGAACTACTTTGCATTTCTCTTTGCAGTGTCTTTCTCCCTTAAAACTTGGATGCACGTGGAACGTAAAAGTGATTGGTGGAGAAAGTGATGGTAATGCAATGTCAGTCTCATTTTTCTCCAATCAGTTCAATTCTTCAATTTTCTCAGTCAAGTCACTCCTCGATCCGTCTCAAATCTCAAATCACTCTTCAATCTCCGAATCCGGATCGAGCCAAAAGAAATGAACATTTCGTAAAATGCATTTTTGGCTCTGTTTCCCCCATTCTCTCCAGATAATCTTTTAGGTCTTTTAGGAAGGTCGTTAGCGTGAAGAATCTACGGAATAGGACTGCCAGAGAGGTTTAGCCAAGTACAGTCTTATTTGGTGCGTACCAGCCTTACAACCAAAACGTCAATTTATTCCCACCCTTTATTACAAGATTTTACTCAAAAATTGCAAGAGGACACATCCTAGCTCGAATTACCGCAGCACAGTAATAATGCTCTGAGTGAGTGTACCGATCTGCCGACATAGCCCACTCAAATCGGTCTGGTGGATTATAAATACGAGTGAAAGTGCAGTGTTTATCAGGATGCTCTATACCTTCCTCCTCCACTCTTCCTGCCAAAGCAAACAACCACTCACCTTACCAATACCACGCCGAGTGCGAAACCAAGGAGGGCGAAACTAGGGGAGAAAGTCCGTATCACGTTCACATCACACTGCTTTCTTTTCTCAAATCTCACTCTTTCCGAGATATCTGCATGATGAGGGTATGCAAACCCATCCACTGCACAAAACGACATAGTTCAACAATGCAAATAAATAACTTTATATTTTCAATCTGAATGAGTGATCTGCTTTCTGGACATAACTAGAATTATACTTTTTTTACAATTTTACTTTTATTTGTAACGAGAAGTCGAGTCCCTTAGATTTTTACTGTACCAATTTCAATTTGTTCATACCCCTGAAACTCGACATATTTTGACACAAATTGGAAGATAATGGACACATAAACTGTATAATTAAAATATACAAACAAATCTGCATATTATACTATATCTATACCTATCTATACTTATATACCTATATCTGCCTACAATACTATTGTTTCTTGAAGGTTCTGACAATTGAAAAATTATGAAAAAATTGAAACATCATTCTGAGGATACATACTTTCAAATTTAAAAAAATTCGAGTGTACCTTTTTGACGTGTGAACACATGACAATTGGTAAGGGTTAAAATCTGGTTGTATCACTTTGTACTTATTAATGTTTATCAAGGGTGAGTAACTTTACAAAAAATGTCAAACTGCATTTCATCGTATCATGATCTGTCTTACAGGAGTCACTCAAAAATATTTATTATGCATTTTCCTAAAGAAAACTAGATATGTTGTTGCAGTGAAAAGAGAGACATTGGTGCAGTGACACTTGAACTTAAAGGACAAACATGTTGCGGGGTAAAGACGTTGATAGAACACGTCGAGAGTTCAGGTGACACTCGTTTTACTTTGGAATGGAAATCAAATTAAATTGTCTCCTGTAGGACAATGGGTGTCACTCTTGTTTCCCAATAAAAGCAATCTAAACCGACCAAAAGTTGTCTGCGGGGGGAATCCAGACAACGTGTACGCAATAGCATTGCCTTGATCCTCATTCCTACGAGAGGGGCAGAATGATACAGCTGAATATATCGCGTTGAAAAGCATATCACATCACGAGCGTGCTAATCTTGATATCCAAACGAAGGTAAAATGTGAATGAGAATAGGAAGATGCGGGCCGAGAAAGTTAACCTCATTGGAAAACTGGAAGGGGAAGGTCTGGTTGGCTATTCAACGTATACAGATTTCTCAGAAATTCCTTGAATGAGAATCTTATTGTCAATTGGTAGTTAATACTGCGAGCACAATATGCAGCTCACAAAATCCAGCTCGGAAAGGGTAGTAGTAAAGTAGGAGAGAGACAGAGAGAATCGCTCCCCGACAGATAATTGCATTATGTCATTTGTTAAGTTAATATCGCATTCCTCAAACAACTTTAATCTTAATCTTAAGATTTAAATCAAATTCCGATGCCAAAACTAAGGCAAACATTGGACGAGGATGAGAACATGCTCCTCGCTGACCCACTACCAGAATATTCCCATATTCCCCTCGAGAAAAAGACAGAAATAGAGGAAATGCTTCCTCAAAGGATTCTTTATCACATTGCTTTCCGCTTCTACAAGGTAAACCCAAACATAAATTTTGGTGACTACAAATCTATAAATCGCCTTTACCCTTTTCTAATTGTTACTTGTTAGAAAATAATACACCAAAAAGTGTCGAGCATTTTACAGACGCTTCCGTAATAAAAATTTTGTATAGAATTGTCGCCAAATGGAACTGGCTAATAATAATGATGTCATTGGATCATAAAACCACGCAATCAATGCGCAATACAAGTCTTTCTTTGGAAATAGAATTTCTATCTGAATTAATTAAATGTGACCTTTCCCTTTGTTGCTTTATTTACACAAATGTAAATCTCTTGTTGAGAACTTGAGTTCGGAACGGAGACGACGACAACAACTTTGTCCTTGCATCTTTATTTGATGGCACCCCAAATAAGCAAACTTTGGTTAAGACATACTCAATACTGCCGATTTTCTATGTACAAATGCAAAGTACGTACAATTCAGGAATAGTAAATAATAATAAATACTAACACTGGAACATTTGAAATTTAAGCATTTTCAAGGAACCATCCTTCTTCCTTCATCAAAATCTTCAAAAACACAACCATACAAATCATGGTCAAGTTACAAAAGTTGCACTTCGACAGATGTATAATTAGCCCAAACTGCCAATTGCCTTGTCTTCCAGAAGAACCAAGTCTAAACTTTACGAGGTTTAAGACTCAACTTTTCCAGCTCTTCTAGTGTAACCGACAAGCAGAGCTCGAAGAAAGGACGACAGCAACAAAGATATGTTCATAGCTGGATGAGAAAAGAGACTTGCGCTTCCTGGTAATTGGTAATAATCTATCTCTACATCATCTATAAAAACCTTCTTTATGCGATGAGCAGAAGATGCGCTCATTATGAGTTTGTTTCCACTCTTGTGACGCAACGAATTCCAAACCTCAAGCGAAAAGTTTGATAATGAGTAATGAACAAACTTTACAGAATTTAGCAGATATTTCAATTTCTTTACCTCGAAATGTAGACCAGTTGCAGAAATTCGGGATTTTTAGTTCAGCTTTCTTCAGCAAATTGTGTCTGTCGACCGTCTCATTGCTACTCATCTACTGCTTGTTGTAACAGGCTTTTACTAGTGTTAGCAAGTTGGGGCATGTTGACACTTTGACTAACCTTGTCGTAATTTCCTCGTGAAAGATGCTGCAAATTGAGTTAAGATGCTCACACCCTTGTTCGTATTATTTGACATAATTTAAATGGATTATCATCATCTCGCAGTGTAATTGTACAGAAACTAAGTTATATCCACCACGAGTCGACTGAATTTGAAGTTGACGTTGACTTAGTGCGTGGATGGATGGATTCTGACTGTCGTTCTCAAGTCAACAAGTGATTGCTGTTATTTTCTTGCTGAAGGAGGAAAATCCGTCCAAAATGTCCATCTCATGATACGCAGTGATCTCTTTCTCGTCCTGATTGAGATGGAGGGGAAGAAGAGGTTGCACCAATTGAATTAACCCTCCTTTCACTCACTTTTCCACTTTTTTTCCTCTCCTCTCTTGGAAGTGACACTGACAGAGAAAGAGTCGCAGTGGTGGTTAAGGAGCCAAGGGTGAGATCGCGGGTGGTATTTAGCAGCCGTGGTGGGTTCGCTGTTCTCTTGCTTTCACTCCTAACCTTCTATCCTTCAATCTTTGCTGGGTGTCTCTCAGGATTAAATTATGTCGTCCTCAATGAACTCTTGATGCTCCTTAATGAAGGGAAGTGTCTCTCCAGTTGTCCTTAAAGATTATCCCGGCCAGAGGGAAAGTATGTGAATGTCGTCCAGCAATAGCTCTGTATTACCACGCGTCACAATAGAATGATAGTTTTTATTGGAGTAATTGAACAGTTAAAACCAACTCAGTGCCTTTCAGCCTTTTCAAAAAATCCAACCACGTCTAATGTTTTGCACATTAATAGTTTTGCATATGGAGAGTTGAAATTATTTTCTCGGCTGAGAAGGAAAACGTGGTGGAGGTGAAAGTGTGAGGAATTTGCGGAAATGGACACCGTCGTGATGAATCTTTTTTTTTGTCCGTCTCACTCAGAAGGAGGAAGAGAATGGAGTGATTTTCCTCTTGTTCGGAAGGGAGACGTTCTCACAACTAACGACTTTATGCACAAATGGGGTTCTTTTAGGTGAAGATGCTGCTGCTGGGAAATGTGTGGACCAAGTGGGAGAAAGATCGGGAGGTTGGCTGACTCTCTCTTGGTGGTGAGAGAAGATGTTCAGGAGGATTTGGGGGTGGTTTTGAGCTCAGACGGCGTTGTTCCCAATTTCTCCCTTATTTCCAATCCTGTTGGCATTATGTACGTACGCAGAAGAACAGCCTGACGAGGGCGCAGCTACTTCGTGCTTGGATACTTCTCTGCCCTCTGATTTTTATCAGAGGCATTCTTTTATTATACATGAAATCTTTCATAAATAACTACGTATTTTCTAACTACATAATTATGTCAAATTGTTTTGCTAAATGTTATAATATGGATTAGCGATAGGCGATCATTAATATTTTGACAGTAGATAATAATACGTATTTTAGGTAATAAGTAATTTGTAGAATAACACCAAGGTTAACAAATTGTTAGAAAGGTTGGTTGTGCTGGTCACTGCAATTGGGCGTGTTAGGAGAAAGTTGATACATTTGTTAAAGAGAAAGATAAAATGCTTCAGATATAGTATAGTATATGTATGTATTTATACGTAAGCCCTGTGTATCATGTTCTGAATTGTCCAATATTTTTTACCAAATCGAACTAAACTTGGTATTATTTGCTTGGTTTGAGTCGGATTGTGATAAGTTAATGACAAACCCTCTCGCTTCCACTTCCGTCCTGGGCTGTGAAGAAATCACCGAGGTGAAACGTGTTAACAGTGTTCAGTGACAGAGGTATCAATCAATCTCGGAAAACCAGCTCCCTCATTTCCACGGACATCTAATCTAACGAATGAAAAAGTCATGTCGTCAACCCAAACAAAACCACCAAGCGTTAAATGTACTCTTCGCACTCCATTATCTCTTGAAGCTCTGGTTTCGCGGAGCGACGGCTAGCTTTCAAAGTTGGCTGCATTCGTTAATATCTTGCCAGGAATGTTATCCTACTAATGCTAATTAGCATGTATTTATGTAGTTTATATCATTTTTTGCATTTTTTAGTGCAAATCCTTTTCGAAGAAAAACGGTTCAGGTTAAAATCGACTTCCGATATACTTCATCACTGACTAGGAGTGCATGCATCAATCAATGTAAAGTACACAAATGTTTGAATTGCTTTTGTCATCCAAACGTGATTGATTGCTTTTCTGCATACAATTATATTTTTAAGATATTTTATTTATTGATTGATATGTGAAGGGGCCTTTTATAAACTTATGCCAAATAGCAAAAATCCATTGAGAAACTAATATTATGGTCATAAGCATGTAGATCTTAGGTATGTATGTAGGCTTTTGCCTCATCACCAAAACAGGTGCTCAAATTCCCCGTAGTATATTCATGTATGCATGCTGTAGGTATATTTGTTTTTATGATTTGCATAATTTTATACTTTTTGTAAAAAAAATACTTTTACAATTTTGATATTTACATACCGTTTTATGGCTAATTTTTTAAATATCCCTGACCTGTGTTAAAATTTTTTTATTCAAGAAACAGAACATGCTGTAGAACATAGTTAGCGCATTTATATCCAGATTTATGTAAATAAATATATGTATGCTCGTGCATATTGTGCGTAAAAATATACTTGAAAATGATTTTATAAATACGACACAATCACATACAATGACAAGGTAGAAACTCAAAGACAAATTCACCATTACACACAAGCGAGTCATTCTTGCTTTCCACTTTCTACTCGCTTTAAACCTTTCGCCATGTTTAAAATATTTGTAATTTCTCTATAACATGGATTTGTCGAGTAGGAGTCACAAGCATTTTTGTTCTTCACTCCAAGTTTAATTTTCATACAATATTCTAGTCGAGTAAAAGTTGTCTTTCGTTTTCATTAAAATTTCCAAATACAAATATTCTAAAATTTCATCCAAATTTCATAGTTGCAACACTTTCCATCTGACGTTGAATGATTACACGTATATGAGAGCAACCAATAATTGAAATCCTGACCGGATGAATTTTGCAGTACCTGTCCGTTGTTCGCACCCAGATTTAGATTGCGCACATGTAATCCATGATCCCTCAAAATTTGACACTTGCTCTTATCTCAAGCTGAGAAGTTTGGAAGGTAAACATTTTGTGTCAATGTCAGATTAATGTCACCCTGTCTCCCGTTGCTTGCACTATGAATGAAGCCAACAACGAACCAGTCCAATTTTAACACTAACTTTCTACAAATTACATGCACACACTACTCCTGTTCCCATAAAGGATTTTACTTTGTCTTCATGGTGGTGTAATTCCATTCTGCTATCTCACTCCTTCCCTGGAGAAATCAAAGTTTAGTGTAATTAAAAATTCGCTATACCATTGCAATTTGCACTGGCTCGAGAAGGGGCTTTCACTTTTTGGGCCATCCATCCCTCCGAGTAGAGAGGACAGTTAAGAGGATCTCTCCTATTACGTTGCCATGTTGAAGTTCCCCGTGCCTGCTGCTGCTTTTTCCTCTTGCTCCTCCATGCCTTGGGGGGTCACTTAGTCTTAGAAAACGACGGGTTGAACCAATCTCGCTAATTTTCCTCAGAGCCAAAATGAGCTGGGTTACTGAGCTTGTTGTTGTGAGCAAAGAAGGAATAATGCAGGTTGGTTAGATTAGAATTTTAATCCACATTCTCAATTTAAAATTAAGCAGGAATCATCAAGGACATAGTTGGAGCAGGAAAACTGTTGGCATCTACATCGAGTGAGAATTTAACTGGCGAGATTTTTTACATTATGAGCTACAAACTTTGCTTTCGCCCACATTCAAGGCTCAAAAAGTGGGCAAAAAGAATGATAAAATGGGGCTCTTATGCAACCAAAGAGGTGTATGTAGTAAATATCTACTATGTAAATACATACAACAAATAGGATGGTTTTATGACGTAACTTTAAGATAATCATAAAATGCCCGTACTAAAACTATACTTTACATGTTATGAAATCTCAAAGTTGTGGCGTGCAGTATTGAACAAGTTGTTTGGAACATATTTAATGGAAAAAATGGCGCGGCTTATATCCTTGCGACATATAAAATTAAAATTATACACTAATGCTTTAAATAGATGTTCGCAGTAAGTTAGTTAATATCGATAATTATATGACGAATGTCGAATATTATTCGAGGTTAACAATAAATACAATGGTTTTATGTATTTAGCCTGCAACAGTGTAGCATGTGAAATTGCGTGTCCAAGAGCAAAATAGAGAGCAGCAACCTACGTTTTCTAAACATTTATCTCCGTCGTTTGCACATTTCTGTTCAAATCACGAAAAATAGTAAGGACATGTAGTACGTGATATCGGATATTCATTCAAGTAATAATTAGTACCTGCGACCTAGCATTAAGATTTGAGTCCAATTCGACCTCAGGATCTAGAAACCCTTCCTCTCGAGCTTCTCGCTCAAAATCTGTTAATGATTTTCACCAAAAAATTCTTATCGACCAGTGATAACTAAATGGGAGACGTTGACTCACCAGCCATAATAGAATTGACTAATTCCACTGCAGAAGATGGTGACCCGTTCTCCGAATCTGCTGCTGGGACGAGGTCAGCCCCATTTCCACGAACTTTTCTACTTTCTGCAATTGGAATAAGCTCGGGAATGCCACTTTGTGTAATCTCCTCATCGTCACTTTCGTCAGAACCTCGAGACACACGTTTAGTTGGGTCCCCTGCATCCACGCCTTGCGACGCAGAAGTTCCATCTGCGCTCGAGGAAGGAGCTTTTTCCAATTTTGCAGTTGATGTTCCAGGTTTGGTTGATGCAGCGGGTGCGACCTTTCCTTCCTTGGCAGGTGTGGATGAGCTCAAATCTGCAAAAATATTATAGTTGCCGTATGAGCAACATTGTCTGTGTGTGCAACATGCAATGCTGACAAAACTTACGCAGTGATGCTAGCAGCAGGATAAGGGTACATGACACACAAGTTGACGGACACCTCATGGTGATGACGATGTTGTTGTGGTGCGTGTGAATTTGTATATTTAATTGAAAACGTGAGCAAATCAGGGCTCCAGATTGTAAGAATGCCTCATGTCCCGAAATTAGTGAGCGGTTAGGTGTGTTGTAGTGGGGTGGCGTCTGCCTCTTGTTATGCATGGCTACTAGAGTTCTTAGGAACATGTACCCTCGCATTTCCTTGTTTACTTTCAACAATAAATAGTAAATACTTCAGCGAACATGCATATTCCTGCCTTTCTTAAGCTGTTGCATGTCTTCATTGAGTTGGTGTCAAGGATGGGATGTAGCAGTTTCTTGGCACTTGTTAATGCTCAATTGTGAGTTTATTAATTCCTGGAAGCGAAATAATGAGTATAATATTCACCAATGTCTCACCTACTTGTTGTTGCTGCTCGATTATATTTCATTCATTCACATTTCGACGTATGTAACGTGTTGTGATGTTCCAATTTTCATTGAACGAAAACGACGTGGGAGAGTTCGGGGGCTCGCTAAGAACCTAGCGTAGTGAGCTTTTGAAAAGAGAAACAGTGCTGAAACCTCCAGTTCGAGATTCAGAGTTTCAAATCTGATTCGGGTTCATAATGCCGTGTAAAGTCGGTAGAGACCGGCTCTTGCTCCAACGACAACGAACAATTTCCGATACTTGGTCACTCGATGAATTCAACTTTACTGATGCCGGTTATTAAACAAGTTAGTTAATAGTTCCTTGTAAACACTGAAACATGACACGACAAATTTCTAGACTTCATCAAATAGATATTTAATTACAATTGTACTTTGAAACTGAAGCATTTCGGGACCATAAAAATTGTAATGCAATACAAGTCTACATGTCTGGCAAATATACATCATCAAATCATTCATTATCCTCTTGACATGAAAATATGATACCAAGTAGTAGAAAATATTTGTCGTATCATGGCACGAAACAAAAGTAAACCGATGTCCGGTTCTCGAGTTAATTCTCTCAAGTAAAACGATTAAAATTCTTACATAGCCCCAGAATAAATAAAATGCTTTAATAGTCCATTTTTCTCATGGCTTCTCATTCTCAGTGTTCTTGTTCTACACAAAATATTATATGATAAAATCTATTTCCACGTTTCATCAACTTTCTTTGGTCATCTACTTAAAATTCAGGTGAAGTAAAGCAGCCGAAATTTTATATAAGTCCCGATCAGGAACAGATTGTGCTCTGCTACTTTACAACTTTAGCTGAAGCAAACATTACTTTTTGTTTGTCTAATTAGGTGGAAAGAGGAAACATATTGTTTGGTGCTTAACTTTCTCCAAACGCGTCGTTTTTGTGCTGCAAAGGACACGACTTTCCCTTCTGTTTTATTTATGTGTACTTGGGCTGTGTTGTTGGCGTCACAATGTTGGATATCCGTTTGGATAGAGAGCAAGTTGTTTCCTTACGTGCATTATATGTAGTTTTCTCTCCATATTCCTTTACATATAGCGGAGCACCGCTGGTCCTGGATGTGGGTGAGTGAGTGCTGGCTAATACTATATTTAATGATGGGAATAAGTGGGGCAGAAGGAAACAATGGAAATAAAAATAAGGTTCGACTTGTTAGAAATGTGGGTACTCGGTGCACAGGGTTGTTTCGTACAATTCCTGATATTCTCAGGATTTTGAGAAAATCATTCATGTGAATTTCGAGTTTCTTCAAAGCGTCGTGCATAGTCCAGTGATGCCAAGAAAGCCTCCAAAGACTAGGTTTTTTATCTCTCGAAAACTGTCAAAGATACAAAATTCTACGGTATTCAACAGCTCGTCTAATAATTTCCTGAATAATTTTCTTGTACAAAGATGACAACTGAACCCTGGCAATGACTGGAATTTTCTGGTTGGACCGTGAGAATCCAAGTTCATATTGACGTTCGCCCTTTTTTGTTTGTTGGGCATAGGTTGGCTACTCTTGCATAGACAGATACGTAGATATGTAGTTCTTGTACACACACTCTCAGACCAAATCTTGTCATATTGTTATCACGAGCATGACCACGACTCTGGTTTTTTGTCTTTGATGGAAACACATTTTCATTATTTTTGATCTCCAGCTCTTTCAGCCCTGCACGTAGCATTCAATATCAGATGGAATGATATCACATCAACCACAGTTTTACTTTTTTCAGTGTGACTGCAAGAAATGTGTTTGGTGTAATAAACTAGTACTGAACTTGCAGTGCAGCGTTCCATCCTAGCAGCATAATGCATAATACATATGTATATTATTAATGTACATGCCCCAAGTAAAATCATTTCATATTAATTTTCATTCAGCCAAGCGATTATTTAGTGCATGCATACGGAAATCGAAGCCAATCTAATCTTCATAATTAAAGTTATTTTTGAATTTCTAAATTATTAGACAAGTGGGTTGATTTACAAAATGTGCATGCCCAGTTCAGCATATTCAGATCAGGTTTTATGTATTTGTCCCGGATGACATATTTATTTCTTTTACAAATCCGGTACAATTGCATACAGATAATTCAAGCATTTCTTGTCCGAAGAAATTTGTATTAATCCGTCGTGCTTCTAAATGTACAATGTGTCAAAGATTTCATGTTTCTTAAAAATTTGGTCAAGTATGTCCCATTGCTTGTTGGATTGAAGTCCAATCCCGATAAGCGTGATGCACTGAAAGTTCCCATCAATGAAAGATGCCGTTGAAAGTCGTAAGTTCGGTTTTGAGTCTTGTGAAACGGATCTGGATAAGTATTTCATCGTCATTATACATATATCTACGTGCTCATTAGTTTGATAAATCATTCACAATACATTGTTTCCAAAAGTTTGGATCAATTTCAGAGTTCCATTTATTTTTTATCTGTATTTGATTTTATATTAGTATTCTGGAGATTTAAATTATATATTGAAAACCAGAGAATGGTACGAGGGTATACTATGTGTTTATCAGTTACAAAATTATTCAGATCATCAATCGCAGTTTTTTGCAGTCTTCTCAAAAATATATAAATTAAAAACACAATGCAATATTAATTAATTAATTAACAATTGATATTATAGGGAGTTTTAGATCAATCAAGTCTTTACAAATATTAAATCCATTCCTATTTACACAATTTTGAAGAAGGCCACAGTCATCATGTTTTTGACAAATGCAGTAGTCTTGAAGCGCACATCGATAAACTTTGCTGTCTTTGTCAACTTGATCCGACGTCCCAAGTAACCTTCTTCCGAATTTGTTTAAGAATATTCCCTCTGGATCATACTTGGTCATACTTTCCACAAACAATTCTCTCTTGTCTTTCCACACTGACGCCATGAGGTCTCGGTTGAAATAGTGCAACCCGTTTTTGCCCCAATGAGGTCTCCCATTGTAATTTTGAACCTATAACGTATTTCGTCCAAATTACAATTATCATTGATTTATCATGGTCAACGCTGTCTAACAATGCATTAAACCTAATGCACATTTACACGCAGGTATGATCTACAGAGTAAAATCTCACCATTTCCTGAAGAATCCACTGATAAGCCCCAATTCCATCTTTAGGTTTCTCATATCTGTTCCATCTCATCGGAGTGGTCCACTCCACCGTAAAAGTTGATCTGTTACTGCTGATTGCCATTAATCCATCGGAAGGAATCGAAAACCGGATAAACAGTCCAACCAAAGGAAATGCAGCAGGATATTGTCTCAGAACTTTGCGAATCATGTTTATCACAGATGAAAATTCCTCCAAGTCAAATGCTATTGAAGACTCCTCGATAAGAAACTTTGGCCTGATGGAATCCGTGTTCCACGTGCAACTTCTCTGACACCTGTTTGACATTAATCGCCATGAAAAACCAGTCGCAGGATTTTTAAAATTATTCCAGGTTTCTGCAGATCCATTGTTTCGATGTTCTTCGAAAATAGGAGCTCGTCCCACCACTCTTTCAACTAATGAGAACTTAGTATATGCTTCCAATAAATACATTGCATACGTATTTCTTGTTTCTTGAAGGGTTTCAAAACTTGTTCCAACCAAATTTCGAGTGATGAAGTCAGTGTCAGGGATGAAATTAGTTGTGTCGTTTCCCAGTTCGTTCGTTCCATCGTGATAAATCCCTTTTGATACAACGACATCTCCCTGGGAAGGAAACCACCAAATTTGAAACAGATCATGCTGGGCTGCCCATCGTAGTGCCGTTCGCCCGTCCGTCAGAATGTGGTCTGCATGGATCCGATTGTGCACCGTCATTTTAAACAAAGGGACAGTTTGTAAGGTGACATCAATAATGACGCCAAACAATCCCAAGTTCACTCTGAGTGCATTAAGCTCGTTCGGATCACTGACGTCACGCAGGCTTCCTCTGCCGTCTACCAGAGTGAGACGTACGACCTGATCAGAAATCGAAGTTGGGTGGAGTAAAGAAGACCCGTGTGCGCCAGTCCCTATTGCACCGCCTAACGTGATTCCTCCTAAATAATAATTAAGTAAATAATCTTAGAAAATACCCCCAAAAAACGATTGAAATAACCAATGGCATGATTATCTATAATTTACCAAACGTTGGGAGAGAAATGAGAGTGCGTCCATTCTTTTCCAAAAATATCATCGCATCCTGCAACTCTATCCCTGCTCCGAATGTCGCCGTGCCATCTTCGTTATCGATGGCGTGGTCAAAGTGTTTCATGGACACTGGATATCCATCAGTGCAAATAATATCCGTGATGGAATGACGTGAACCGAACGCCTTGACCGTTTTATTTTCTCCGATTGCCCTCTTCACAATGTTGACCACTTCTTCCGTACTTTTAGGGTAGTGAATTGGTTCCGATGGGGTGCAGTGGATGGATGTCTGATATGACTTGTAGGTTGTACTGCTCAAAACAACTTTATTTTTGTATAATTGACAATTAGATTAAATGAAACATGTCAAACTTATTCTTGTGCCAAGTTTTGTAAGCTAAACCTGATTGTATATTATTATGCAGTTTGTATGTTAATGTGTACCTGCTCTGGCTCTGGTTATTTTGTGACAAAACTCCAAAACACGACAAATGTGCTAACACAATTTTTATAAATAACACTTTTACGTTGGGCATGATTCCGCGATTGTTAACAAGTAATAATCGTTACTACAAGTAATAATTTAACGTTGTACAACTCGGGCTATAAATTAAATTAAAAGCTTAACTACAAGCAACCTGGTATGGCGTTTTAAGACGACTTAATTAATGTTACTATAATTGTAAAGTCAAGGAATAGATTTTGTATAAAAATTTGCTGGACCAGATAGAATCACTGAAAGAAGTTTTTCCCAAGCTAAACTCTAGGTATCTTGCACGTGCTGTTGTAGCACAATTCACACGGAACTCTGCCTGAAGCACATGTATATGCAAATTAGAGCTACATATATTACGAAACGTATAATTCTAAAGTAAAAAGATTATCGAGAATTCTCAAATTTTGTACAGAAAATTAATATTGTAATTGATGGGCTAAAAATTTCCCGTTTTATTCGAAGTATTCAAAGTTTTTTCGTAATTCTAAAAGGCAATCTTAAAAGGTCCAAACCCTAATTTTATACACTTTGATGGTATTAAATGAGATACAACAATGTGAATCAAGTGGTTCCACAATTTCTAAGGGAGTTCTCTACCAGAGCAGTGTTCACACATACACATCTGCAATAAAAGTACCGTATTAGTAACTTTAGACATTTTTATTTTTAGCCCAAACTGTTCTACATGAAAATTGTAAGTATTTAAATGTAATGAAATGTGACAATACACATATTTATTTTACACCCAATATTTACTCACTAAATTGTAGGATTGCATCACACTTTGCCAAATAAACTCTAAAGGACAGGAAAAGCCACTTGAAATTCAGTAAATGTAAATGTCAAGGGCCAACATGAAGTGGTTATGATTGGTCCAATCAAGATTTTCTTTGGAGGATTTCTGCCAGATACGTGATACTTTTCCAATTCACCCGCAGAGATAGTCCTAGTTTATGTTGGCTTACAAATTGATCTTGATTCAAGATGATTGAGTTCCACTTCCTTTTATCTGCAATCACTCGCCATTGTATTGATGGTAATAGACAGGGAACGTGAGAACGAGTGAGAAGAACACGTGGTAATATCGGAATATTAGATTCGGGTACTTGCACATAGCATGCAATTTCCATACTTATATCGTTTGGATTGCCTCCTGAGCATGAGAACACTTCGGTAGGGCATCTTATGTAAGACTTTAGAGGTTTGTAGGCATATTTTTTTTTACAAACAAATGTTTTGATCTGCAATGATATGAAACTTGATTATTTTGCGTCTTACTGTAACTATGCTTTACACTGAAGTAGGCTCTTAAGAAACCTGGAAAATACGCTCGTCTTCACCTTACACATAATGAAATTACTTTGTTTAATAAATATGCTGTTGTGTGGATTGAAATAAGATTGGATTGATTCCGCTTCATTTTGGTTTGCTGGTGACATCCGTTACCAACAAATTTCTGATCGGATTTCTGATCGGGTGGTTGACTAAACCAAGCAGACTTGGAAAGTTTTTTTGTTTTTGCACGACTGGACCATTTCCAGTGTTCGTTGTAACTGTTCCACTGGTCCAGGACTCTGCAAGTGACTTTCCTCGTTTTTGATAGCTTCTATTGGTCCCTTTAAGCGTAGACAAGTTATGCCACCCAAGTCTTGCCTGAGCACATAGATAATCTACTGGGTTGGTATTACGATGGTTTCAAATTTTATATATATGTAATATGCATATGCATCGTGAAGTGGGTGCTGAATTTATTTAATTTATGGTACAGTTAGATTATGGGATACTTGTATAAGCAACAACCAGAGGATAATATCATAATATCAAGAAAATAAAAATTACAACATCAGAAATGCACATAGGTATTCTCCGCAAATAAAACATAGAACTTATTTAACAGGTTTATTCAGGTTAGAACTTGTGTATGTTACTGTCAACTGTTGGTATTAGTCAACTCCATGCGTTCATAGGTAACAACTGGGTGACGGTTTTGTTATTGTGTATGTCTCACATTCTCTCAAAATGTCAAATCTGTGTAAACAATGAATGACTGCAAAATTGACTATTTTTCAATATTCCTTTATACATACATGCTTGTAGATTTTGTCTATGAGCACAGTTTCAGACAAAGCTTGGCTAAAATGTGATCATGATGCAAAGTGGTTGACAAGTGTCCGCCTTTATCTTGTCAGTAAAAAATAAAAATAGTTCATGTAAATATTGACCACATATTGAATTTTGAATGTCATCTGAGCTGGAGAAAAAAGTTTATATGAAGAATTGTCAGTTCAAGGGTAAGTTTCCAAACACTTGGTTCGTGTCCATATTTTGCCACAAAAATGTTCAGTGCTGAAGCCCTGAAAATTTTAAAGAACGCTACGCGAATGATGTACTACTCTGGAGCAGTTCCCCTGACATGGAGCACCACAGCGACTGGTCAAAATCGGCTGTTTTTGAAAGACTCGAAGAAATATAGACTTGTGACCACATTGCATTGTGCTGTTCTCGTATTTTACAATGCATTCATGACGTACCGATTCGGAATCTCCTTGATCACACAGAAGCAAATCAACGACAAAGCCGCTTTGTCCATAATATTGCAAATTGTGTGGAATCTTTTGAGCTACTCACTTCCATTGCTGGTCATGGTGAACAATTTCATGTTTTGGAAAGACATTCCAAATTTTATTAATGCACTAATAGAATTCTTTGAACGATTTGGAGGTACTTACATCATTATCAAAACTGTAGAAATATTATGACTTTATACATTTACATATATGTTTATGTTAGTAAATATTTTGTATAAATGTCTTGCTGTCCCATTTGTAGAAAATTATATGTGCAAGCCAGTCCCAAATTGGAAAAATGGGTGTGAGAAGAAACTCAAAACCATCGCTTTTCTCGGTACCACAATTTCCATGATAAACACGATTCTCATTATGAAAAATCCCGAGAGGGCTTATTTTCTGACATCCCTGCACGAAAATCCAAAGGCAACGTCGTTCTTAAAGAAGCTGCCCCTTATCCTGTGTCAAATGTGGGTGTGGGGCAGTTTGTGGGCACACCTCTACTACTACTGCTTCTTCCTCCTCCCGTACAACTACACAGCTCTATTTCTTCTCCGTCAACTCAAGTATGCACAAAGAATTTGTCAATTAAAAATTCTTAAAATTGAATTAACCTAAAATCTACCTTCAAATGACAGTCGGGATCTGAAAAGCGTCGAAACTTTGGGCAAATTACGTAATCTACGAAACTTTATAAAAACATATCGCGGGCTGCAAACCCTTCATACGATGTGCAACGCATGTTTCCAATTCTTGTTCTTTCCTGTACATAAAATCGTAATTATGAACATCGCCATCATTGGGATTTACGGAGGTTCGCTTTACTCAATCAAACAGAAATGTTATTCGGCATTTAAATAACTTTGCAGATTATTTCCTTTTCCTTTTAAATAGCAATCAAAATCCCAGGATCGAGAGCAATCATCATGGCCGTTGGAGCCATAATGTGTCTGCTCTACCTGAGTCTTATGTTTCGAATCTGCGGGAAGCTGTACGAGCAGAGCCTGGTCGTCCTCTGCTCGTGGAGGGGTGAGCGAGGCAGATACATCCGGAAATTTGTCAGGTCCAGCCAACCCATCCGAGTGGAAATTGGGTATTACTATTACGTCACAAAAACAACCGTGATTGTCATTTGGGCCACGGTTTTCAATTTTACAACAAATATGCTCATCAGCTTTTAATTATAAACCAAACTACAAATGTATGTACATATTAGTTGAAAATAATAGTGAAGTAAGTGACGTGTGTGCTTCGAAATGAATTTCAATTTCGTTTTCGAGGTATTTACATATGCAACTCCTAGCACATGCAAGTAGACAAAGATAACTGATCAACACAAAATAAATGAGGAGACAATGGTGACACGCGTAATAAAAAAAGCGTCGGAAAATAAGTTCAGTATTTTCGGGCTGGAAACAAACTGCTCATACATTAAGCACTAATAGGATCGAACCCCAGTCACACATGTCGTCAATATTTAACTTCCTTCCGTCAAAATTCCTCATTTCAGTGAGAGAAAAGGAAAAAAAAACTCCCAAGAAAGGGAAATGTAAGTTTCTCGAGCACATTGCCAGATTTTTTTATATTTTTAGACAAATGTATTTGCTTGACTGCATTTTTCTTAAAAATCTGTACCAGCAGAAGCAATCTAATTTCCATTTATTGCTAAATAACCAACCAGTCACCACAAGCTGAAAGTAATTGACCATTATTTGAGACAAAATTGTAAATCTCCGACATGCGGGTTGTTCCATGGTGTATGTTTATGGACGTGCACAATGGCATGTCGTGAATTTAGCTTATTAAATTAAATTGTAAGCTAAGAAATACGCAGAGACTTGTTTGTACACTGCTGAATCTTAATTGAACGGGATATTTATGGAGAAAGTTTTCACGAGGGGCGGGACTGACACGCCCAACAGGTAACTCTGCGACATATTATTTAACTTGGCAACTCCAGTCTTGAATTCTATTACCCTCACACTTGGAAATTCCTAGTTTGCCCATGTTTGACATATGTGCATACTTATCCTGACTTAATTTAATAAATTTAAAGCCCATTTAGTTTGCAACGCATTAAATTGTAGGAAGTCTGGTGCTGACCAAGAACTACTTACACATGGCGATTGTGACTGACCTTTTTCACTTTCCATGTACTTGAACTGGTTTCCAATTAAATTCACTCAAAATTTCCTGATTTGCTTCATAGTTTACACAAGGCATCAGACCAAGTCTCTCGACGGTCTGGAGGGCAAAAGAAACCACATCCTCCTTAAAATTAAAATCTTCTTACCTTCTTCTTCCATCAGAATGTTTATTAAAATGAATCGAGTGAAGGGGCAAAGTCAAAGTTAAACAAAGCGAGAAAGAGAGATGGAAGATCAAACCAAGCAAGTGGAACAAGGATCAAAGAAGAGTAGCAGGTTTAGCTGGGAAGAAAGAAACATAAAATAAATGCTAATAAAACACCACCGTTTGGTTACTTATCTATGTGCCGGATTCGAAGGATGATGATGTTTGCTTCATTACACGGAAAATATCTGCAAAACTTCCGCTCATCGAAATTATATAACAGATACAGAAAATATATAGTAAAAAATAGACGTGCATTTGAAGAACGTAGTTACCAACTAAACACATCTGGACTGAAAAGAACACGATTTTATGCAAGTTTTATGAATGTACGTTGATATCTCAAAATCTCAAGTAGTATTTAAATTAGTGGTCATACACTTTGACACTCACGAAAGTAATATTTATGTACATGATAGAGCAATACTAAATATGTACAACTCCGTATCTACAGTATGTACGCATATAAGTATCTACAAATACATTGCAATTAATAAAAAATAGAGGTTGATGAAATGAAAGTAAAAATCGCCAGCTCTGTCGATCGATCATTCCACCTTCTCCCTTGGCTTCACTCAAAACTTACACTTTTGAAACATTTTCCACCCCTTTGAAGTAATTCCTCCACTTAGCTTGCCCCTTTCTCCCTGAACCCCTCGTTTGGCTAGCAGCAACGGTTGTATTTATGCATGTACGTACTTCTATGGGCCACACTAATCCTCAGACCTTGGATCAACTATCCAATCGAATGGAGAAAGTGTGCATAGCAAAGGGGTAAAACTACACTTCCAACAACACACCCTTCTTCTTTTTGCCAGCATTACACAAATCAAATCTGAAGGAATAAACCAATTAAATTTATTAGCTTCCAGAAATATAATTGGAAGAGTTGGGAAATTCCTAAATCCGCTCCGATGAACCGCCGGTACTTGTTAAAAATAATTACAGCATCTTCCCAACATAACCCACTCGCCTGGGTAGAAGCCCTCCATCCTCCTTGTCGGAGTCGTATTTTAGTTTTTGTTTGATTTAATTGTATTGCTTTTTTTACGGAAGAAAATCCATCAGGTTGGCTGTCAAACTTTGACAGTTATTGAAGAAATAAAAGTCATTAGAGAATACTTGGTGGAACAATAAGTTAAGGGCAATAAATTCGAAAAATAATAAGGACTTGATACAGATGAACCATAATAATACTTTTTACTCCGGATATTTGAGATTCATTTCCCTCGGTTTGGAGACTTGAACTACATAAAAGCAAATGCAAATATGTACATGCATGAACGAGCTGCTGCTACATATTTATACAGTCACAAATGTATGTATGACGGAGGAAGCGGAAGTTTAGACAGCCATAATTATTTCTTAAGACAATAAATAGACGAAACAATGTGATGCAATACTTTTTGTCGAAGGTCATATTAATCAATTAAGTAAAGGGATTAATAACACCTTACGCATGGTTTTGAAATATACGTTTGTATGCAAATCTGTGTGCATAGAAAATAAATTCTACCCAGTCATTTAAGCTCTATAACTCCATCATCCTTTCATTTTAAAAAATCAAAGATTAAAACGTTACAGAATAATTATTTATTCTTTAGAACTCATTTTGAGCCAATAGACTAGAATTGAGTCAAAAGTTTTAAAAATCGAATTTTATTTGGCTGACGCAAGACGCAACACACCGTCACCGTTGTCGTCGTCGCTGATCCTACAACGACTTCTTTCCTGCCACCAAACAAAACGTCAACATTTGTTTCAATATTTTGTCCGCAGTTAAAAAATTTGAATCCGATGGTGACAAATTGTTAGAAAGATACAACAGTCAGCTTCGAGTATCGGAAAAATAATCCAACACTTCCGGCGTGATAAAGCAATATGCTGCTTACTTTGGCTAAGAAAAATACATCATTTCGTCATCCAACGCAGAAAACGCACGTCCTCATGGCATACATAACTAAATTGTATCTTAATTTGTAGTTTTACTAAAGAGCATCCCATTTCATTCACTTAACCCTCTCATCTCTTGTTTTACATTTTGTCAAGCCAAGAAAGGATGACGAAGAGAGATGATGAGCCATCTTCGCGTCAGCCCTGTCAAATGTCTCCACGGTTAAATCGAGGGGTGAGGGTATGATCCAGCCTTCCTAATTTTTCATGAAAAGACAAGCATGCAGCAGTTACTTTTTAGTGAAGTCGCTTGAAATAATCACGTCACATCGATAAAGATAAAGCGTGTAATATATAGTCCTATAAAACTCGAAAAGTCAAAGGTATCAATATCCAGCGTATGCCAAGTCAAGAAAACTCACTTTCCAGCCCTTCCAGTGAACATGGCGTAGATAATAAAAGTAATATTTGTCGCTTGTAAATTGAATCAAATTAGAAGTCTACGTGTTGGATGACAAGTCGTAACAATGTAATCAGAGAGTTGGGACTGATTGTTACTTGAATCCGGTTGGATTCCGATTTTTTGAGATCTTATGCAAGATTGAGCAATCGAGTGAGTGCGAATGGGTCGTTTAGTATGTAGTATTGAGTTCTATTGGATTGTCCATTCTGCGTTGCTCGGAATAATAGTTTGCTGTTTAACAAAGGACGGGGAAAGTGAAAACTATAACACTTACGTACACCTACATGATAATACTTACATGCATGGTCGCTTACGTCATATTGCCAGTCCCCTATTAATCTATGAAATCGCTTTAATATTTTATGAAATTGATGCATTAAAAAACTAATCTTTTGGAGTTCATAGTCTAAGAATCTGAAAGGTATACGGTTGACGGTGAATTCGAGTAGTAAAGTGCAACCACGACTGCCCAGTCATTTTTTAAAGTGATGATAAGCTAATTAGGATCTTAGATGCTCAATTAATTTTCATCTTCCTGTAGGTATATTCTTCACTAAGAAACTGCGATATCTTCGCAAAAACTTTGTTTTCCTACTTCATCTTACTAACTTGCTTAGTATACATCAATCTCAGCGCACACTGTAAAGTGTCACCTCTCCATTCCACATAGTCCATGAAAAACACGTAGAATGACCCAAAAATATGTGGAAGAAAAATCGTCCAGATTTCCTACTCGTAGGAGAATTGTACATCTATCTCAAAGCTCGAGGAACCCTAACAAACATTTTCTTTGCTTTGGTGGTGGTGAATTTTGGACTCGAAATTTTTGGGGTAAGCTTTCTGTGGGACGAGCGCAGTCTCATCTCACTCCTTCACCCAATCCTCCGATTCCCGAAATACTTGTACATACATACGTAAATCGGAGAAAAGCTCCCGTTGCTACCACTCTTTTGTGTTTCATCTGCCACCAGAACAACAACGCACTGAGAATCTCTGCCGAGTGTCTCTTCTGGAAATTAAAGAGAAACAAACGAGATCAGTTCACTTGTGCCCAAGTATTGCCCAATTCCGTCGAGATTTCTTCAACCCTTTCCCCCTTATCGCAAGCTCAATCAATTGGAAACAGTGTGATTCGGTTTCGCATTGATTGGAATTTAGCTCACTTTTGGATAAACAGCAAATGATTTAAACTCAATCAGATTGGACAAATATTCTGAGCTGGAAGTTTAGAATAATTTTATCATCAAAAGGATGAGCCATCAACCAGAAGCTGAATCCAAACCAAAACCCAACAACAACCCCTGAAAGAAGCACATTACATACGTATTAGACAGAGTGTATCTGGAATTGGAAGATTTATGGGTGAACTGAGACTCGAGTGAACTATGTGAATATCTTTGCGATTATTTTTTGATTGTATCAGCCAGAAATACAAAGGTTATTAAAACGAAAAACTATTACAAAGTTCTTAAAGAGTCCACAGACTACATGCAATAATTAATTTGCAATACATCAAACATTGGACAAAGGCGGAGGATATATTTAAACATATCCAGTTAATCTGGTATCAAAACACAGCACAATAAATTATTCCGGTCTTGCAGTTAGCTAAAGTTCGTTACAACTGAAACAAGAATCGCGTGTTTTACAGGTGTTTGTAAGATAACCAGGTTGTCCAACTAATAGACAGCGACACCAAAGAATTCCTTGTGACCAATCGAATAGCAAGCTAATGAATTTACATATGTATGTATAACGTCAGACTCCTGTAACTCAAATCGCAGATTACTAGTACACCATACATACCTTTGTATACAGACTACCAACAATACATAACCAGCTATATGCTTATCTCGCTCGTGCGTGCGTGTCGTGTCTCAATTTTCTCCGTATCCGACTGGACTCTGAACATCAGAGTCTGATGTGGTTTTAATTATCCAACGCCGTACATTAATACCACAAGATCATAGAACAAAACATCGCGTCCGAAAGGAAGGTGAGTTGTTGGTGGCAATCGTTTAGAGCTATTTACCTAATTAAGCTAATTGTTCCCTGGATGATATCACCCCTACTTCTTCAAGGCAGACATGATGCTTTCCCTTCTGCCCTGCTTGACTAATTAATTAGTCGACTCCAAGAAGAAGGGCAGAGGAGAAAGTGAAAAGCAACTGGTGCAGGTTCCTAGCAAGTCAACATCATTTTTCTCACGGTCGTCTGTGTAATGAGTTAATTCGGTTGTTGACTTGTGGGATTTGTAACTCTTGACGTTTTGAAGGAATTTCTCGTACTTATTTTATTTTATTTTAAAAAGTTCGCATTCAGATTATATGTAGTGTTTGGTGGGCTTGATGGTTGGTGTCATTGGGGAGTTTGTGTGGTGGTGGGTCGGAGTAAGTGAATGAAGTGGGGTTAGCATGGAGTGGAGTTAACCCAAGCGTGGAAAAGTGGAAGAGAAAGCAAAGTAAAGCAACCCATCCATCCCAAGCAAATCCAAATTTGAAGCACATCGCTCACATCACGGGAGAGCTGGCGCATGAGGTTCGTTCCTCTCAACATCGGTGGCAATTTTAGTGCACCACAATTAAGAACCTTACGGGTCACTTTTGTGGCCTTAGCCAATTTGCCTATTTTTAGAAATTTGGGAAATTCTGCCATGAATGTACTTGTTGGTGTCAGTGAGAGATTTGTGAGACCAATTGACTTGGTTGATGAACCTTCCTCGCTGGCATAATGGCGTTGTGTTGCACTTTGAAACGGTTTGCTACCTCTGCTCTTTCTCTCCATTTTGTACTTGTGCTGTGCTGGATATAAGGTTTGGTTTGGCGAGGTTTTGACTTTTACATACTTGTTGAATGTTGAGCCAAAACTGTTGGTGGCGGAAGGATAAACTTGTTAGTTCTGATGGAAGAGAATCTGAAGAAGGGTAGGAGAAAATCTGATACATATGCAAAATTCTTACCAACTTTTCACCCCGTCTCATCCCTCCTTACCTTTAATCACGCCACAAACCCTTTTTATATAAATACGTGCATCTTGTTTTTACTTATTTAGGACTAAAATCAGTTTACACAAATCTCATATAAAATATAAGCTGGATTAATTATCCATTTTATTACTGTTTTCTCTTTGGAATGTCTCTAAACAATTTTTGGTACTAGATTTTTTAAACAGAAATTACTCTGGTTTCTGCTTCTTAGCACGAGCCTTGTTGTTTGTGATGACATCCCAAAACAATTTTGCAAACAGGATTGTAAAGCTGCCGTACACAATGGCACTGATCTTTATACTGAAGGGATGGCGATAGCAAGGAGTCCCAATTCCTGAATTTTTCAAGTTAATAAAAATATAAATAACTTTTCATTTTTTCATTCATAATTCAACTTACGGATTAAGAAAGCTGAAGTAAAGTTGACACAAAGTCCTATGAGCATTTGAGCCAATTGACAAGTAGTCACTGCCACTGAAATCTTTCGAGGTATTTTAATTCCGAGAACCTAATATGAAAAGAACGTATAGTGTTACGTAATACAGTAGCACTCCACTAAAATTAAGAATAACTTTCACTCTTACCGATAAAGCAAAGTAGGGATACATCATGCTAAAAATCGAAATCATCAAAACTTGAAAAGTTTCCTTTGTAATTATGTGCATTTGCTGCAATGTGGTGATAACTATGTACCTGTGAACGCCATAGTTCATGACCACGTACCACCTCGAAATAGCTTCAACATACGGTGCGGTAAACCAAGACATCGCGAGCGTCACCAAATGATGGTACCTGATTATAACACATCATATTTAATTCATCGGTGTCATTATGTGTGCCAAATTGATATCATAACATCGATGGCTATGAACAATAGCTTATCTATTTTCGTACCACTGAATAAACACCAACGGTCGTTTTCTCAGCACGATAAAAATGGTATCACCTGTGTCAATGGTACAATGCATTCAAGATTTCTTTACCAACTTGGTTAAACTTGTAGCACTTTTTTTACCTAGTTCCCCATACTTTGACAAGACAAATAGTAGCGACCAGTACGCTAATGGCCAATTTCCTCCATTTCTGAAATAAAAAGACAGCACAAAAAACAATTAAAAATACAGATAAATAGTACTTTAAAAAATGTCACGAATGGTGAACAATTTAGCAAAAAAATTGCATTGTGCATTTATATAGTGCAGACTTTGATGAGCACTCAACCAGTTTTAATTACAAGATTAATGAACTAAAGTACATACAATGTCTACATATTTACGCCTTGGTGCACTTATTTATTTACACAGTTAGATTGTATCGTAATTAAGACTCATTTTTAGAATAATGAAGGACCATGTTGACACTAACATAACTTAAATTATGCAAAATCTGGTTTGGAACTAGGGCAATTCTGTATATTTAGCTCCGGTTGTGCTTTTTCATATATTTATCAGTAAAATACTGGCCCAAAATCTCATATTTTCAGCACACCTGTAGCAAATTGCTTTGTAGAATCCACTTTCGCCCATCAGAATGTGAACAAACTCAGGAACGGTTCTGATGAATCCAATAATTGAGAAAATTCCCAGGGCTGTGTTCCATAGAAAAAGTGGCCACTTGAGTTTATAAGCAGGTCGGTCCCTCATCCATCTCTCAATGCCGAAAATGGCAATCACATAAACGATCCCCACCACGACTGGAAGATGCCAGTTTGTCGTCCCATAAACACCCCATGCCTTCCAGTCGTAAACTTCGAAATCAAAGTACTGAAACTGCGGTGGATCTTCTGTGGTTACATACGTGTAGTCAAACACAAGCCCATCCTTGCTGTCGGTAACATTTAATTGGGTCGTCTCAAATGGAACTACTTGACCATTGTCCGCCTTAAACTGGAAATTAAACCCGTAGTCTCCCTCAGTGTGGGCAAATCCAGGCCAAAACGAGGGGTGTTGAAAAAACTTTTGAAATCTTTCGGGGAGAACTGAGCGAAGGGCCTGCATTTTTACACAATGGGAAAAATGTATCCCAATTTGCGTAAGGATTCTTCACCTTTGCACCAATAACTATGTACGCGTAATAATTTCAAACTGACAAAATTGTCTAATACATTGGTTGGTCAAAACTTGGTCAAAACTGAATTGGTTTTGAGCTCATAACCCCGTTCTTGCGGAATACAAAAGTTGTTGGGGGTTGGATTTCAATAGGGATCAGAATTGTTGTTCAGATAGACAACATTAAAAAATCGTAGAATTAGGATGAATATAACAGAAAACGACTTGCAGATTTGGGCAACTTCCGTGGTCCCTGTGTATACACAACGCTTTAAGAAGCAAAGGGAGAGCATGGCCTGCGTGCAAAATTAAATTGCGAGGATATGATTTTGACAAAATGACCACTAGAGCAAGATTTCATGTACCTGCCGACCGGTTTTCTACAAAATGTGCATGTACATAGTTCGACATACACACTTTTGGTTGATAAAAATGCATTTTGAGTATGTGGTCTTCTTTTCACGCAAGTTTTTACACAATGCTATACGATACAACATTTTGCAAGACTTGATTTGTCTGCATCCTCCTATTCCATTGTGTTCTAGGGTTATTCCACAAAAGTTTTTAGCACTTACTAATCACATGCGTATGCCTATGTGCATCAGCAATATATATGTTTGTGTATGCATGTACATTTGCGTATCTGTGATAAACTGCAGAAACAGATATAATGAACTAGCAGAAGTTATAAGTGATAAAAATTCTTAATTGCAAACTAGAAGTTCAATATTTTTACCTTTGGCCTCTTCCCTATAGGCACGAGGTCATCATAGGTCACAATAACCTATCGCATTGGATATATATTCCAAAATACTATAAATTAGACTCTTCATATGACAATTGCAGAATGACTAACTGACTTTGTAACAATTTGCCTTAAAAGTATCTACTGCAAGCTAAACAAACTTTGCAAATTAGAAAACCGGTTTCTCCGTATTGAGGTTCACCGTTTGAATAAAATCAAATGCAGCCCCCAAAGTCTTATAATTTGAGTACCACAAACTTTTTGCTAATTTCCTATATTATCAAGTCTACGATATTTACTGTCGCAAAATGAAGGAAATAAAGGACGCGCAAATCTTTCGTCTAATAATTTGGTAAGAGAATAAATGGTATGAAATGCATGCATACTGTTAGATACATAATACCTTGTGCAAGTAAATATGTGTACTACACACTGGGATGTAACAGCGAAGGAAAGTGAGACCACAGGAAAACTTTAAAACAAATGGATGAGATTTGTTAGGCCGCAGAAAACGTGGTAGGTTTGTTAGTTGGCTTAACATTTTCTTCGTGGCAGTCAGTATGTCACTTGTTATCAAAATCTTCGACATCGGACATATCTTTCCTACTGGCTTCAGCCATCCTTGACTTTCGTAGATGCACATGGCGTCGTGTTTCCAGTCTTCAGTGCAGAGAGCAGATGAAGGGTGACAATGCCAACGCACATCTACACAAGCTCTTTAACTAACAAACCATCATCTCCATGTAGTTAGTTCGTAAAATCGATCCGCATTGGGTTAAGGAATCGCCAAATGATTTTTCATTACGTCGATGTAATGAAATCTTTAGAATGCAGAGATTAGTATGAAAAGGTTAAACTCGTGATGCTACATATATGTTTTCCCTTTTGTCCCAAGGATGCTTGCTCTCCTGACACAATAATTAATAGGCATTAGCCCACCTAACATTGGTGTAAATGTATAATCTTCTGAATAATGACTTGGGAAAGTTAAATGGCGTCAAGATATTTGTTAATCCTTCTAAATATTATGAAGTTGTGTACTTGCACACTCTCGCCATTGGTACTATTCGCATTTGACACGTTTCTGTAATAGACCTCCGAGCTAGTCTGAAGGAGCCACCGAAAATAAAAAAATAAACAGTAGTTGACTGTTTGTGGGTAGGATTGTTTAGCTCAAGTGGCGATTGAGATTGATTAGATTGCACTTGAATAAATAAACGAGGTTAAAAGTGAGAAATTCACGTGTTGAAGATTCCAGTTGAGTATATATGTACATATGTAAATGAGACGATGCGCTGTTGCATAGGATGGATTTCTAATCTTATCCAGTATATTTTGCAAAAAAGTTTACTCCAGAATGATGTCAGTTGGCTAGAAGAAGTTGAACATGAAGGATTCTGATTAAATTCCCATATTTTAAATCACATAAACGACATAAACTTGATGCATGGTGTTACATAATTCTAAAGATGTGCACATATAATTCATTCAATGTGGTTCAAATAACTTAACCAGAACTTACATACATATATAAATCTGTGAAAATTGAGCAGATGAAAGTGTGCAATATGCACTCAGACTGTGACAAGTAATTTTATTTTATATGTATGCACCCACTACGAAGAAAATACATACTTATTGTAAGTATACATGAAACGACCCCATCGTCATTTCTTGGTTGTTATTAGTTATCTGTTTTGGATAACTAAACTGCCCATTCGTTTACAAGCCGACATACTGACTGAAACTGAAGCTGGTGACCTGATCAACCAGAAAAAAAGCATGCAGTGAATAATAATATCGATATATGACTGGCTTTTATTTCCCAAATCGGTTGGCAACTTGCCTTATTTTGCTGCATTTCGGGAAATAAACCAAGACTGTGGCCTGATCTTCTCAATCATCCCTCCACTTAATTCAATATCTTTAGTCGCGTCGCTCGTTTTTATCTCTGAAAAAATTCTTTGTTTTTGCTGCTGATGTTCTGTTTTTTTTGTCCGACGCGAACTGGAGAATCTTGGAAGCGATGAGAACCAATAAAATGCTTACTGCAGTACGAAAGTAGATGCAATTTAAGATTTAATGACAAAATAATACTATAAAAACATTTACGGCCCGTTAAGGTCTTAAAAGTACCAATACTTGCACCTGTTTCCTTGTAATTTCATCATTCAGTCACCCTCAAATGCTCTCAACGTCTGACATTGAGAGCCAAATTTTTATTGATCTACATTAAAGGTGTTACCAATAACTGAATTTTTAAAAACCACAATGTTTCATATGACGATAACACAATTATCACGAATTATTTATGTCACATGCGATATAACCTTATCAGGTCTTTAATGCTTATAAAAATAACTTTTAAATACATCCTTACGCTTTAACATATTATACATTTAATAATTTTACGTTTAGAACCTAAAGATATTCGCAGAGTTTATAGTTAAAAATTACATGCGTTAGAAAAAAATAGATTATAAAGATTTGGTAACGAGACAGAACCCAACCTGTCACCCAACTTGTAATTACTGTCTCAAAAAACAAGGCAGAACTAACTAGTTAATGTGACTGACAGTAAATTTCACTGGGATCGCTATTGTGATTGTCAAAGCGACATGGCAATGCGCAGCAGAGTTAAAGACCAAAATAGTAAGTAAACTGAGCATTACGCATCATTCTCTGTTCATTGATGGAAAACAAGAGCGGATTTAACGTCGAAAACCCGGTTGGACTTTTCGATAAGTCAGGGGAGGAAAGTGAGCGGATGGAATGCACACACTTTAATATGAAGCAAGTCCGTGGGGATTTCACCCTTCTGTTTCTTCTCATTTCTCCATCCTCACAAAACTATGAACCGAGTAATTCCGCTGTGCCGATGCAACTGCCACTTCTTACACCGGAACGAGGAGAAGAAGAACACGTACGTGTTTCTTACGTATTGTATTCAAAAGCAACGTGTGATTTAGTTGGACGACTAGTTGCTACAAAAATTGTCAAATTTAACTAAAATACTAAAATGTTTTAGGGCGAATGCAGTCTGAACATTTTCACTGTCAGTGCACTGCAAACCATGCGCTTATATAAACTTGAGTTTGCTGGTTAACAATTCAGAATTCACCAAAACAATGAAAATCTCTGCCACCAAACCAACCACGCATTCCCAAGATTTCAATCCTACATTTTGGATCTAAAGTCTGCATAACAATTCACAAAACATTCAGCAAATTCCAGTTTACTACTTACCCCGTCGTCTCCCTCTCTCTCTCCATTGCATCAGACAAGACAAGCTAAACTTCTTGGTCATAGTTTTACTTTTGGGCTTGTAGTTCCCAAAGAATGAGCAAGCACAACCTGAAATAAAGCTTTCGCAAGGAAATTACTTACAAAGGAGGATGCTAAAGACGGCCCAAAGCGGATTCTGTGTCTATTTATGTACGCGCTAAACTGAAATCTCAAATATCTTTACACGCATTTGAACAAATATTGTTTTCAATTTTTAACATTTTTGCATTTTTGGCTATTCAATTTCCAATAATTTGTACTTGGTATTTGTATCCACGCACATACTTACATATTAAAATGCGTCATTGGCCGAACAGAAACGAAATGGTTGTAGTAAGCAGTTGACAGATAGGAAGAAATTGTTGGCTTAATGAATTCTAGTTTATTACCTTCCCATCGTCTGCAAGTGGAGGAGACACAGACTTGCTTGTGGTTAGTTTTACTTTCTCGGTGGTTGGTTTGGTTTCGCTTCTGTTCTGTTCTCCATTTCGTCGTCTGGTTGTATGTATTTAGTTGCAGCTTCTTCTTCTTTCAAGTTCTGGGCCTGACTTTGGTTTCGACGAAGCACTAATCTCTCGCCTGCCTACTTTGTTCCTTCCCATATTCTTGATTCTTCACTACAATTAGTTCTTAGTGGTTATTTGTCATGTCCTATTAGTCTCGTAATAAATTAGCATATTTCATCTCTTTCCCTCCACATGGGTCCACCACAACTTTCTTCTTTCCCACTTTCTCCTCCTATTGTCATTAATACAGTCCGCAGGACATTATGGGACCAGCTTTACGTTTCGATGCGTTCGCCCTCCGTTCAAATAAATAGGTCCGCATTTGTATTTGTTTGCTATTTATTGCGACAATGAGAGGAGTGAGTGAGGGGGCTTATTAGTCTCAAGACAAAACAGTGGGCCCACACCACACCAAAGATGTATGCATAATGGCAGCAATAAGCTTCTCCAATGACGCTTGTTGTGTAGGTAGTTTACAATGAAAGCTTCTTTAACACCCTTCACTTCACTGGTTGGAGAAAGGCGGGTGTGTTTTGCGGTGATATTTTACTATGAATGAAGACAATGAATTAATTTCCTTTCTCCACCTTCACAGGTAGTATTTAGTGGATTGGTTTTGATGAGGAAATGCGCACATGACTTGGTTTCTGGCACACTATAATATAAGCATTTAAAGATTTAATAAGCAAAACAATACATTTAGACGTAAGTAATACTTATTGCAAAGCTGACAGTTTTAAGTCAATCGTGCGCAGTAAGTTTCCATTTTGTGATTTCGCCACATTTTACCAATTGTTTTCATTACTCGAGTATGTAAATTCAAATTTTCGAATATGCTGATTGATTTTTTTAGCGATGGTTACAAACATTTTCATTAAAGCTGGTGCAGTTAGTGCATGTGTATTTATGTAGCTTGAGAAAATTGCACTTTGCCATCAACCATATCCCACAATCCAGATGGATTATGTGGTGAATATATATACGCATAAGCCAACATAATGGAGTTGTTTTGATCAAAGAGGGAAGGAAATTGTTTGCCGATACATATTTCTCAGCAGAACCAACAAGCTCATATTTGATCACCCTCAAATACTTGGGAAACTATTAATCATCCTTTCCCTTCAGAGAGGAATTGAACACTGTTCTCCCAGATACTTAAACATTAAGCAAAGTTGCTGCACACACTTTGCCCGCTTGCCATCAAGGTCTTCTTTCTGTTGCACAACAATGTAATGATATCCTCCCTGATAGAGGTAAATATGTGGTTATTGGCAATACAATAATTTCGTATGTGCAACATCATTGCGACAATTTTATACTTATGAAGGTAAACTTTAACTTATACAATACTACAAATTGCAAATTACTGAAATTATTTAAAAACCGAGCAAAGATTACAAGGTAAAAATCCGTGCCATCAAAGATTAGATTGGATTGAACGGGGGTGATTTCCTGGATAAATCCGTTACGTAAGCCCTAAGCTTTACAGATTCGACCGCACTCGAGCCTATCAAAAGCAGGAAGAAAATGTCAAAAGTGTCGAATTATGGTTTACAATCGGTTTCATGTCACCCATGATAATCTTCAATCTGTCAGCTCCCTTTCCGCTTGGTCGTCACATTTTCACTTCCTTTTTCCATCGTACACGGAAAAGAGTAAATGTCGGTGATAATATGTGATGGTGCACTTTCTCTTCTTCCTTATTTTTCACACAAGTGCAACGATTTCATGCATATTTGCATATATAGAATGGGGATACCGTTAGAATTGAATATTTGAATATTATTTCCAGTTATAATCTAACACAGAAATAAATAAATAAATTTCCGTTCTAAAAAATCTCACGTTTTACCACAAAAATCAACTTATAAATATCCTAAATTAATCGAGTCAATTCGACTCTTACATCTTGATTTGAAGTAATTAAGATGACAAATGCTTCCAGATTTCAAGATACAGACAAAAATTCCTCTGGTGCAAAAAAATGTCTCCTTCTGATAGTGGCACAATGCAATGGCATCTTCAAACGCCAATTCCCTGCCGATCTTTTTGCTGTCTCACCAACCCATCACATGGCATCACCATTATCATCATCGTCACTTTAACGAAGTTAAAAGATTGACACAAGACCTCCAATCACAACTAATGAGCATTTTAAGTATCAACATGTCCTGCCCTCGTCCTCTTTCCACACAAACTTTTAACATTTAAACGCTTCTTTCCTTCCTTCCAGGTAGTCCTCGTCAACTTGACTTTTACAGACAATTGGCAAATTGGGATCATTATTGAGCGCTTGAAAGGCTGGATTTGGCAATGAAGGGAATTTGGAGAGAAGTGGATGACGACCGTGATGATGAAAGATAGTAACAACGATAACTTGGACTGTTAAGAATTTAAGCCAACTTTCAACTACCTCCTCCTCCTTCACCCAACGACAAACTCCTCAGCCAGACGAGAGCATACAGCAAATCACCATCACCCAGTGCGGCTGAACTTGCTTCCTTGCCCCTAAAGAAAAGCCGTCTCCGATTCCAGAAGAACCTTTGGAATTTTCTACCCGACCTAAAAATGAAAATATTTGGGATTGTCAACATGACGAGCAAAATGTTTCATGGGCTGATGATTCTATTTATTCTAATGACTCCAGGTGAGGTTTATTTACGTGTTTTTCCTCTCATGCAAGTGTACATGTTATGTAAAGCGGGTTTCAATAATTATCACTTCATTTATAAGTATTTATATTATTTAAAAAATGGAAATTTAGACCACACTAATTTTTCCAAAAAAATCATTCTGAAACATTTAAAATTCCTGAAATGAAGTTGATACTGTATTATGAAGCTAAGTACTGAATAGCTGTTTCCATTCGAGAGAGGAAGATCAAAGTAGAACGGCACACGACGCCATTCATCACGCACGCATATAAAATTTCCCTAATGCTTCATTCACTCCTGGGGCGAGCGAGAGGCATCTTTCATTCGACTATACACACGACCTCCAGAAAAAGTCAGTGTCAGCCGAAATCTGATGCAACACATGCTGTCCGTTCTCCTTAAGAGATAAAAGTTAACTTGCCGAGTTCTTCTGGGAGTGTCATCCAGTCTTAATGTTGTCACCCCTGTGGTGGTGGCGTGAGAGTCTGTATTAAAAAACGGGAAAAGGCTTGTCCTACACGATGCTCGATTCAGTATCGAGTATATTAAGATGAACATAGAATGCACAAGCAAAACCACTTTCTCCCTCCGCTCACATACCGCACAGATTTGGTTCAGATTTCATGGAGAAAGTTGGGCAGAAAGAATTTGTTTCGTTTAACTGAGAGTCAAGATTCACGACGAGTAGTGTGGTTTTCTCGGCACTATGACCACCGGCCAGTGGAGTGGCGTGGGGGATGTCAAATCGATAATGTGATCAGATGTTGAAGTTGTTAGTCGCTATATATGTAATGTAATCTCGGCTCTCAGAGGGAGAAAAAGTCAGGCTGCATGGTGGCCGTAGTTGAACAACCAGAATCCATTCCGAAACAGAAAGAAACCAAATCTGCGGAATTAAGGTTTGGATTTCTGGGTGGATGAGAAAGAGAGTTTATAAGCGAGAGTAAGTGGTTCAAGTGTTCCTGTGGTTAAGCGAAAAAAGAACATATTGACGGACGGAAGGTATTGTTTTCACGACTTCTACTTTGTTTTGTATAACAAGTTGGAGGAGGGTGAGCAAAGTGCAGAAGATATGCACTGAAATATATGTCCATACAATAGATTTTGATCTGTGTTCCTGCTGAAATGCAAGACTAAAGTTTATCGTCCGATGCATACTTATGATATGACTCAGAAGTGAAAGTACTGTTAACCATACCGATATTTTCGTGGGTAACGTGTGCTGCGGCATGACTTAACCTAGAAGAGCAGCAGAAATATCAAATTACACAAGTACGAATTTTATACCCCTGTTTATGCCATTACTTTTACTACACCAAAATTAGATTGCAATTATAGACGGAGATAACAACACGCATGTTGACCTTTGTTGGCTCCTGCTTCATGGTGTCCTCCACTTTGGCTGCAGAAGAGTTTATAAATGTGAGGTTAGGGTCAATCTGGGAATTTGGGAATGCCCAACACCTCCCTTAACGATGGCTCGGGATAAACTCTGACACACATTTTGCCTCCTTTTCGGAAAGTGAGGTGTAATGGGATGCAATATTAATGGCCTCATATAGCTCCACTCTCCTCTCATTTTTATAGATGAATGTAGATAGTTTGAGTTGTCTACGTGCAGTTTGATTCCATATACACACATGTATGTACAAGTCTCAATGTGAAGCAAATTTCAAAATTGCGATAAACTACAATGGAATTTCAAGCAAATTGAGCATCTCAGATTTCCCTGTTCTTATTTAGAAACACTATAATTATTTCACGGGAAGCAATTATGCGGTCTACATACAAGTATCCACATAATTAAACAGGCATTTGCTGAACTGTGTTGTGATTCACTAAAGTTTACATGAATTTGCCAGAATCACCGACTTTTGTAGAATTTTTGGAATCTACTAAACTATCTACGTATATTGAGACCAATAAACTAAAATTGCTCTGATACAAATTGATGGTAGCATCATACATAAAGTGACACGGAATGAATACAAAGTTAAAAACGTGCCATATGCAGTTCGACTTGCCGATTTTCAAAATCCTCAAAATTAAATGAAATTCTCATCATGGCAGCAAGTTGCCATATTAAGTAGAGACAGTGCATAATACATATATGCACATGTACACACAAGTAAAACTATGTATGCACATCCCCAGCGTATAATGCACATAGACACACACACATGGATGTCACACACACACATATATTCTGCAAGTGGTGAAAAGCTAAATAAATTTATTTCAGGATTTCACTTTCCTGAATGAAAATAAAGTGAATTGAAATCTTCAAAAGTTTATTCGAGTGTTCAAGCGTCTTACTTGATGCGGTTCCTTTCCTTGGGTGGGTAATAAATAGGCTGCGGCTGCTGAGGAAATGGAAACTTGGGCAAACGGGTAACAGAGCTATGCAACCTCAATTTTCAATACTCAGCTTCGCACCCAAAACTTTCTTCTTTTAACAAAGTCACTCATTCACTCACAAAATCATATCTCTTCGTCCCGGCTTCCTCCACCTCATCCTCCACTTTTTCCTTATTCATCAAACCAAACCAACCACAACCGAGTGGAAAATTGTGTTGGGAAACTTGGAGTGGAAAAATGATTATTATTCGAGAAGAAAATAAATAATAATTGTATCACAATCGCTTCATCTTTGATGCTCAACAGCTTTGAAAAAATGGGCGTTGAGGCAAAAACAGTGTGCATGGAGTTTTATCTGTAATTTTATAATTTTTATGCCTACCTACGTATGTGCATAGGGGGGAAATGGCAAAAGTGAAAGTGGAGAATATGCAGGTTGAGCATGTGTATTAAAGGAGCGATGGGTGGATGGAGGGGAAGAAAATTAAATCTAGGTTGAATCGTGCTGTCAATTTATTACGCAAAGTTATATGCGTAGGAACGGCTGCAAATGCCGACTCGTTTTTTAGCTTGGTTAGATATTGGAATTTCCTCTCTTGTTCACATTGCCTCCATTTGACGTAAACATCTCAATTCTTATAAAAGTTATAATGTACCCACGTGAAAGTTCCATTTGTGACAAAGAAAACAGCGTTAGTGACTTACGTATCTCGGTAATGTGTACGCAACCCGAGTGCCTTCATGGACACATAATTCCATGTGACTCGGTTTTATTATTAAGGAAGCTAATTAAACACAAGTATTAGCAATTTTTTAACCAACTTTATCATAAAATGAGCACTAAAATTCTATAAAACCGTAATCCGTAATAATGCTTTTCGGTTTCTTTCAATTTCATAAAAAAATTACAAAAGGGCTTTATATAAACTTGAAAAGGGGTAAATCTGCGAGTAATCTTTCCCTCCGAGAGGAATGAATTTGTCATTGTCTCTCCCAAGAAAATCCGCAGCTGTTCTCTATCTGTGTTTGCCATTCCTTCAATCTCGACTTATGTATTTTCCTCTGTTTCCGTTTCTCACTTGCGTAGAAATGTTTATATAAAAACTTTGAGATATCATTCCCCTTTTAAAAGAATTGTGTCTTTGTCATGTGAAGAAGTCTGGAATGGAGTTGGTCAATTTAGTTTCATTACAGTCAGTCCTCCACACGCTCTCCTCTCCGCTGCCTCCTCCGTCTCCTCTTTCAAGTACAAAACATGCTTGCGAGTTTGGTTGCGGAAACAAGAATGTGAGAGTGGTGAGACACAAGCTTTGAAAGATTAATTAAGATTAAATGTCTTTTTCACTCCACATTTACAAAGAAATAAAGATCTGTCCGGTTTTCGCAATGTTTCTCCCACACAACGGCAGAAATAAAGAATTTACTTATAAAAAGCTCAAACTATTCATTACAAAACCCTACGTACAATATCAAATCCACAAGGAACGTGTGACCGAGAAAACTCAATATATTTGTACAAACATACTTCCAAAATATTATCTTCAAAGAATTTTGCGAAACTGAATCAACATGATTAACTTGATGATCTTAACTTACAGACAAGGGAATTTTCTCGTATTCATATAAATATATCTATGTATGAGTACATATGTAGTTTATTTAACACAGCTAATAATATTTAGTCCAATACTTTGTTTGGAGTAATAAAAAGCTTAAAATTTGTCTGCTGCACGAGAGAAGTCACAGAGTCTTGTAAGAATTACCTAATCGTGTGTTAGATCTTGAAATAATAATAAACAGGGAGCATTTCAACTCTGAGTGCTGGCTCACTGGAGGCGATGTGGAGGTGTCAAATGTAAATTTGAATGCGTTGGGATCTAAATGCGTAAATAAATGATGTGGAGTGGTCTTCAGTTTTGTCCTTTTTGTGCTGGAGACGAGTTGTTGAGACTTGCTTGCTTGTGGGATTTTGAGACACTTGAGGAGAAATGGTCTGCTGAAAATGACGTGAATAGGGAAGAATAGGTTAAATGCAAATATTTGGAATTTGGTTGTGTCATGTCATCCACAATGTGTAAACATTTACACATTTTCTCACCCCTTTCGGTCGGATTTCCGCTCCCCGCTCCCGCTGTGCACAGAGAAACGAACAACAACCCCATCAGAACAGAACCTTATCAAACAAGGTATTAAAAATACTTACAATCTACATTTTATTTAATTTAAGATTTAAATGAGAAAAACTGAACCACAGTTTTCGGCACGATACTAAATATGTTAAAAATATACAAGAAATTCGTATGAAATGAATGTAAAGAACAATCAAATAAAGGTCTGCATTTACTATCTTGGACAAATCAAAATCTAATTTCCTTTAGAGATTTCAATTATTATGACGTTCTCCCGTCTCCACGGTCGAAATGATGCACTCGTATCTCAACCAAAGTGTACTTTCTTTGGTGGTCTGGGGAAAATGGGGCTAGAGTGCATCAAAAGATATGCGTTGACAAAAGTTTTTGAAGCCTACAAATAATTATATTGATTTTCACGTCTCTATTTACTGTAAGTTTAGAAAATGCTTACTTTACAAAATAATAAGTTGCGACTAAATATTTAACATGCAGAGGTATCAATTTATTTATTACTAATTTATGTAGTAACTATTACTATACCTCCGACTAAACCGATCCCGAGATATGTGCATACCACCGACTGGTGCGTGCGTGTTATAAAAAGCAACAATGCAAGAAATGCGTATTGCTATTTAAAGTATGCAAGTATATGGTCGTGATTTAAATTAAGTGCATCGAATTCACTCATCTCCTTCAGAACTCTGCTTTGATTTGTTGCCCTTCATATAGCGAAGTGCGTGTCAGGAGAAGCGATGGTAATGTGCAGACAGACCATAAAATGTGCATTGTGTAAAAAGGGTTGAATATAGAATGGGTTTAATATAGAATGAATATAGGTATAGAATAGAATAGAATATAGGTATAGAATTTCAAATTAAGGAATGGAAACTAAAATGCGACTTTCTCTTTTATTTACTAAGCCGGCAAAAGAGAACTAGTTACTCCCACGATTTTACATAATAAAACCTCAAATCCCTCATTCAGGTAATAATCCCACTTCTCCCTAATTGGCCAAAATATTGATCAACCACAGAAATCTTAAAATTATTGAAGAATATGTTCATCGTGAAAAATGCCGTGCAGTTCTTCCATATTGCTAAATGAAACGTTTATTTAACCACAAATCCTCGCATGGAATATAATTCCACTAAAATTTTAAACAAAAATCTCGTTTGTTCCGCTATTTACGTTCATTTGTTAGTTTTCATCAGAGTTCTTTCTTGTCCTAATCCTTTTCTTAAAAGAAACATAAATTTGTTAGGGGTGGAATTGTTTGTCCTTGGCACGAGAATTAATCCTTATGCCGACTCTCTCCAAGGAATTGGGCTGCATAAACTTATTTAAATCTAATTTCACCATGAAATCATTTTCCCCACAACATCTTATTTAAAATCATTTCCCCATTTTGTTTTTCCCATAATCTGACAAAATTAAATCCACGGTTTCGCGTAAAGTGGTGTTTGTTGTATTCTGAAAAATTCTTCACCTCGCAAAAGTATTGGTTCCGTGCATAACATGAGACAAAAACGTTTAAATCACTGTGAAAGGGGGCAAGAGGCCTCGTAAATCAAAAATCTCGGATGAAGCTCGTAAAAGTCGGGAGTGACAAAAATAAAACCACAATTCACTCCACACACATTCCTCCCAAGGTTGAACTCTTCCCATAAAAATTCATTCATTTTTTATTAGGTCCCTGCTTCAGCCACAATATGGCACTTCTTTATGAAAATTTGAAGTGAAATGGCTACCGGAAACTATTCTTCCAAAGTTGTGAATGTGAGTAAAATAACAAACAGAATTTGTCGAAGCCCGAAGAAAACATCTCAAATGTAAAACAAAAGGGAAGAATGACAAAAGAGAACTTGAGCTGGAAAAGTTAATAAATGCTTCTTTCTTAAATTGTATATTTGTTTGCCATGTAAAAGTGCGTAGATATTTTACTTGTTTATTCAATAATTAGGATATTATTTAAAAGTGAAAGCATAAGTCTCAACGTTCCCCAAATTCACCAAATTTTAGAGTTGCATTTCCTACAAATTTCTGACTTTAAATACTTTTTGCTCCGACGTGTGAATATCTGCCACCAAATAGCGTTTCAGACGCAGAAGAAGGCATCAGCAGTCATTGACTTGTAGTGAATTTTCAGCATTAATCCGATTTGAAGCTGCAGTAAGCACAAGAGCCTGTTTCACTTCAGTTGCGGAAGTGGGGAATTTTGCCACAGTTTTATTTAGCCTGAGAGAGGAGAAGTAAGTATTCGGCAGGACTGTGTGTGCCACTGAAGGCCGAGGGTATTTGTAGCAGAAGCATTGGTAGAGGCTGCTGCTGGAGTGGTGGAGAAAGTCACAAAGTCATAAATTGCAGTTGTCCCCGTCTCTGCTCCCGTGTCCTCAGCGCCGGCGATGGGATTGAGTTGCAGGCAGGCAGATTCCCACACTCTCCGAATGGGACAACCCCAACCAACTGATTTCACTCACATGATCGCAATCGACTCAAATCTCAATTTAGCTCAATTGCCATTTAGATACAAGTAGAATGCAATCCATTCTCTGCATCGGGCCAAGAAATGGCTGCACCACTTTCACCCCTTCCCATTATGTTGGTGCGTGGAACGTGTGCGTCTTCTCCCATCCCGTTCCTCTAAATTGGCATCCTTTCTTTGCTTACCATTTGGTGGAGGTGACAAATACTCAGAAAATAAGTCTGCTCTCAGTGAAATGTGAGCAATTTTTCCGATGACATCAACCTTGATTTAGAAAACTACATATTTTCCATGCTTTATATTCACCTTGCGTGACATTGGTTTTTTGTGATCTCGTACAAATTATGTATTGCACATGAGATCCTTACGTATGTAAATGCACGTAGTGTGGCCTTGGTTCTTATTTGGTGTCGTGATTGCGGTTGGTGGATAGCCCTTCAGGGACAATGAGTAAGTGTTCAGTCCCCACAGTGGTATACAGTGGTATTTAGCCTTGTCTCACTTCCAAATAAATATCGCTCCTCCTTGTCTCATAAAGTCAGAGTGGGAGCGGAGTAGAAACCAGATAAGCGCCTAAGCAGCGTCTTCCTTCCTCCATTCACATGGCTGCAACCACAAAACAAAACAATGGTTTACCAGCAGAGTGAAAGCAAACCATAATGCACATACCACAAGGCAAACAAGCCTGGCTGCTGGCTGGAACAAAAGTGAGAGCAATCTGATCCGATCCGGAAATCAGATTACCCAACCGACTCTTCCTGCATAGGTTGCAACAAAAACCACTCGAGTAGTTTAGCACATGATGTGAACACGGCCACCAGACAGAGTAAATCAACTGGTGAACAATGGGACAAGCGTGTGAATTCATATTTTATGCTTATGCGTACCTTCATAAAACTATGCACTTTCAGATGCAACAACGGCGTGAGCATTTTTTATGTTGCAAAAATTAATCTGCACTTTTCAAGATGCATGATCCACTTACCTGTCTTGAGATGAATCAAATAAAATGCATTTTAAAATTTACATTTTAATGTGGCTTATACATACCTTTTCTCTATTATTTGCAGGATCAACCCACAGTGAACCCGAGTTTGATGTGGAATTACCAAAGCTCACAGTAAAATTAGGATCCGATGCCAGCTTTACTTGCATTGTCAAGGTCAAAATTTACCAGAAAGAAATCAGAATTGGATATTTAACGACACCTAAAATTTCTCTTTCATCGTCTCCTCACTTACATGATTATCGTTTTGTTACATACGTTGGAGGTTTGGTTTGTTAAGCTTCTTGCATGAGCATAGTGAACACATAGTCGACATACATATATATCTTACTAATAAACTCAAGGCATTTGTTATAACAATCTACGAATTTACACAAACAAAAAAGAGCTATTTGCAGTTTTTATCACAATTCAAAATAGTTCTGTAACTTTTTGCGTCGCAAAAACGTGCTAGTTAGGAGATGATGTAATAGAGAATTTGTTTTGTCGGAAAATCGCCAACTCTGATTTCTAATCTGACTAATCCATTTCGATTCTGCAGCATCTTGGAGGGTACAAGGTATGTCTGTCTTCTAAATATTGCACATGCTGATTAATGCAATCAGAGTGCTAATCTGAGGAATGGCAAATGCATCTGTTGACTGGGATTGAAACTTTGTAGACACGATACGTTCAGAAACGAGGATACGAGACATGTAATGTCGTAGATGAGAGCCCTGTAGAATTATTATTATTGTCCGTGCCAATACTAAATTACAAATGATAAAGATCAAAGCAGTAAATTTCCCCAAGAATCTGTGCTTTGTTAGTGTGTAGTTATACGCTAATGTTTTTATGCACACCCAGTGATGTAGTGTGTACGTATAGAAGTGCATACCTATGTATTTCATCTCGCAAGAAATGTGGCCTGGTTTGTGTTTCAATTTACTTTTAAATGTTTTGAGAATTGCAAGGAATTTTAAGAATTTGTTCAATCCCATAGTTTTCCTGTCCTCCAAAAAGAATCTCTCTGAAGGATCATTTAATTTAATTAAAAGTTTTAACCAATTATTTATAGAGGAATTTTTACAAAATGCTTCACAGAAACTAAAAAATACTAAAATGTGCACATTCAAAGACGGTGAAGCACATTTTTAAATAAAATAATAAATAAAATTCCATGATGAAGACAAGCATCTATTTAAGAGAACTGTGAACATGGAGAAGCATTTTTTTCTTTAAATTTTCAAATATTTATGTGTTTATCTTGAATTTGGTCATTCTTTCTTGTTACAAAAAGATTTTTCCTTTTTTCCACGAGTTTTAGAGATTTCTTTTTGATCTGATTCACTTCCTCACTCCTCACTGGTTTTCTCTGCTTATTGTAAATGCCAAAAGACGAGGCATTCGTATATGTATGTACGTTCGTAATGGGCATTTTGTTCTCTCTGTCTCTGGGGGATTCGTATATTATGGTGTGGTTAGAAGAAATATCTGGTGTGGGAAAGCCCAGTGGTTGCTTTGCTGGGGGTGGTGGCATTTATTCCCAGGAACTTTGTGAATTTTCTGAACCATTTAAGTTGAAGTGGCTTTCTGTCTTGCTACATTAAAATCCCTTTTCATTTCACCATAATCCTTCAAACCATTTGATTTTACAATGGAGACTTCATAATCTCTCTCTGCTCCTTCTTCCCCGTCCTCCTGCCTCTTGCAACGACAGTCCAAAATGTAATTTAAATGTCTGAATGTTTGTTATTGTGAATAATTATGACAGATACCCACCTACGCAGCTTTGTCCTTTATGTCGGAAATTTATAGTAATGCTGCGTCTACAGACCGTCTCAATGCCAGTCGACTTATTTGAATGAATCTTAATATTTTCATGGATTTTTTTCAGGTGGCCTGGATAAGGTACGCAGAGATAAATATTGGACCTTTCATTTGAGAAATGAGGATTTGGTCCAGCAATATTTGATCGTTGGTCTGAATTTAACGTGAACTACGATTCCTAACTTTTAAATGTAGTTATATTTTGTTGCATTCCATTTATGATTAAAATTATCCTTGTTTCAAATGACAATTATTTTAATATTCAAGAGCGGAGGACAAGGCAATAATAGCTTTGCACAATCACATGGTGAGCCTATCCACTGGTCTCTCATATTATAACTAATATAACCAATGCGTAAGTATAAGCATATATTCCAGGTAACAAACAACCATCGCTTTAGCGTCACTCACAACGGGCATAGCTCTTTCACCCTAAACATCCGGCATGTTCAGACCAATGACACTGGGGAATACTTGTAGGCATTCGTCATTTTTGGCAATTCTGTTAGTTTCTCCAATCAATAAATGTAACATGTTACTCTTCTATCTAGGTGTCAGATAAATACCGACCCGCAACGTAGTCAGGTGGGTTTTTGAGAAATAAAGTGTTCCACCCCCCCAAATAAAGTGTTCCACCCATTACATAACAACTATCTCTATTTAGTCTGGGACCCTGGAAGTCGTCGTGCCCGCAGACATCATTGACGAAGAAACATCAAATGACGTCGTTGTATTGGAAGGTATTTGAAGGGTTCAAATTCAGGTCATATTGAATGCTACTCATTCTTATACAGTTGCAAATTATCTAATTAAGGACAATCTGCAATTCTGAAGTGTAAAGCACGAGGCATTCCAGTTCCCAAAGTGCGGTGGATTCGGCAGGACAGAAGACCTCTTCCGCTGAGCAAAGATCTTTTGGCCAATCCCACAGAGAAAGGTAACGTCTTCTTTAAATAAAAATTTTGACAATCATATCATGAAATTAGGAAACCCATTAGCAATTATTCGCCGTTATATCACTGTCGCCACACGACGATTAACGAACCATCCCCTCTTACGCTTCCTTGTGGATTAACTTGTTCAATGGCAGTTCACTTAAGACTCTCGTTGGCTCCACTAATCCATTCAAAATTGTGGAAATACATGGTATCCCTTTCCCTAAACCTAAAAAGTTTCACTTACACATGAAACTCGTTCTTTACTTCGGGTGCGATGGTGAAAGTTGGTGCGATATAATGTAAATCAGAGGAGAGAAAGTAAACTTTCCAAACCACAAATAAATTCAAAATCATCCACCGACACCAAACAAAATTTAGAATCTATCCATCCATTCTCATTCAAGATTTTGGATTTCTGGGAACTTTCCCTTGCTGGCTTCCAAAGAGGAGAAGGTAATGAATAGAGGGGGAAGCAGGTCACGAACGAACGACGTTAGTAAAAAGGGACGAGGTGCTCTTTCTCCTCCCGTCGGAGAAAGACTTTTTGGTCGACTCCAACTCTCCGGCTAAAGAAGAACGCCTTTAGAGAAAAGTGCATGTCAAATGGGAGAAAGTTACCCTTAAATTGCTCTCTGCGGCTTTTGTTAAACTGTGAAATGGCTGTTGTTGACTGTTCAAGAAGGTGTTGACTATTGAATGCTCACTGTCATCACGAGATGCTTAAGGAAAACCGATGGAGCGTGCAAATGTCAGGTTAAAAATATCCGAATAATGACGTTCATACGAGAAAACATTCACGAGAACTTTCTCTTTATAGTAATTATGCTCGTATAAGCAGTATTACATGTATTCCTTAAAAATCCAACATTCCAAATAACCACAAACTACGCAAGAATAAGGCATTGCACTTAAATGTCCCTTTAAAGTCCAGTCTTTACAAAATGTCCTTCACCAACCCCTCATAGCTTGGCCTGTTGTGTGTGTACGTAGTGCATCGTAACTCCACCGTATTCTGCAAAGGCTACGTATACGCGCTGAGTGAGTATGTACAAGTCGTCTGGTTTCCATTCAGATGGATTTTTCAAATAGAATCCATTCATCACCATTTGACGTTTCGTCTTTGCTTTGCTTACTTTCTTTTACATCAAAGTCTCCACCGCTGTCACCCGCTGGCAACTTGGGACGCCAAACTTACCCTATATTTCAACCTCTCCCATGTATTCAATTTACAAGTTTGCTGCGGAATATGGTCCACGCGGCCTGGCTATTAAACTTTCCTAGTTTGAAGTTGATGCTTATGATATGTATGTATTTATGGTCCAAAAACTGGCCTGATCAACTATGAGTTCAACCCATTTTACAGGCCTCCAATGCAGCGACCACCAGCATATTGAATATGTGCGGACACCTTGAGATTAAAAAAATAATACTTAATAATACATTGGCAGCCTGACTACGTACTAAAGTTGTATAAATGCTCCCTGCTCTTATTTTAATCCGGATTTTACTTTGCTTTTAAAGTATTTGTTGCACATGGTTGAATATGCACATAAGCGGCGGTGGTGTGGCATGGCATTGCACTTTCCTTTCATAAAATTCAGTGAAAATTGATGGAGGTTGAGCACTTTTATTAAAAGTGGAGAAATCGGAGCTGGTGAGGGAGGTGGAGGAGAAAGTGAGTGAGGGGTGAGAAGAGGCGGCCTGCGGAGCTCTACGCGATGGCCAAGCGGAGGACGAGGGAGAACGGAGGAGAGAAAAGTAGTGGGGCGAAAGTTTAAGAGATTTTTGCACGTCTCGTCCTATGTTTAATTTCCGTACGGAGGACGTGACGTGATTTGAAACTCAAAGTCAACGCTGGACTGTGAAGGTTTTCTCTCATTTTTTTGTGAGATTGAGGTTAACAAGCCCCATTCATTCATCCATCCGTCGCAGATCCTACTACTCCACAACACTTGATTTGATACATGATCCGCATTCGCAGTTTACAAACAAGTATGATTCGAAATTTTAATTTTTAAGAATTTCATATGAAATGATTTTCAGAATAGAGCATTTTCATTAATAACACTCGTGGATATTTATACGGGGATATTTATAGCTTCACACAGTCACTGGGGTTTCTGTCGTCTAATTCTTAAGATGATGAGATCAAAGTTTGAGATCAGGAAGTATCGAAGGGGAAAGGATTAATGGGTTTATAAATTAATTTTATGAGACACGACGACTGCAGCGTCCTGCTGCCTCCACTATCTCCACGTATGTAGAGGTATTTATGTAGTGCACCCCTCTGTGCATATACTGTCCTCCCTCGTCTGCCATACAAGGTCATTAAGGCCTCTTTGCTCTGGTGGTCGAGCTGTTAGAAGGACTGAACATTTTGTCTCGTGATGTTTCTAACTTTATTTCATTTCAAGAACTGTACTTACCACCCAGAAATGCCCAAAAAAGAGAATGGACACAGTTGGTTCGGTCAGCGTCGAACTTATTTGTGCGACTCATCCTGCATCAATTTTACTGACCACATATCCACCAGATGTCTTCGAAACTTATTTGATCATGACTTTGTAACAATACGCTCCAAGAATCAGACTGGCCGTCCGTGTGCTTCAACTTTCTTTTGGGTTGGACAAACTTTTCCAGCAATATGTGCAACAAAAATGCCCAACTAGTAATATGTACACAGTTGTAATGATCATTGGTAGTTTTCACCTATGCAGAAAAAAAAGTCCAAAACTGCAATGGTCATGCTAACAAAAATATCTCAAACCTCTAGTATTTTAGCAAAACCTCTATTTCCGGGATGTAAGTAACATATTCCATAAACATGCACCCGTTCAAAAGTGCCCACAAAGGATTTTATGCTCCAGTAACTATTTCATCAATAGATTTTGACAGGCAAATCTGAGCATTTTATTTGGGATGATGCAGTATTGATGATGATCGGAGTGTTTTCCGGGAGCCGTGGTGGTAATAAGTAAGTTGGTTTAAAGACGGTGAAATGGGGATCAGGAAAATCTGATGGTTGTAAAAGTCTGACGGGTCGAGTCAAGGAGAAAGCATCGGCAGGCTCCGGTGAAGTGAAGAGTAATCTCGTGAGAAATGCACAGAGAAAATTAATCTCAAGTTCAATTTATCCTTGTCAGGTTGGCGTAGCGGAGGAGCAGAAAAGTAGTGTTGTAGTTGTATAGCCGGGTCAACTGGCTAATAATAATGCACCTTAGCCGTCCTATTATGGAGGAAGAAGGGTGAGTTGCTCTCCGGGTGGAAGGTGAAGGACGAGAAAGGAAGAAATGTTGTTACAAGCACCTCATCTCGTCATCCACCCGCATGTCGCCCGTCCTCCCTCCGTCGCCCATTGTGGACCAGGCAGGATAAGGAAGAGAGAATAAAGTGACGGAATGTGAACTGTTAACTTCAATGATATAAATGATCTAAATGGCTGGCTCTTCATACCCCGAGGTGTCTCTGAAGAGGGGAGTGAGGGGCATGCATGCATAACCACTACACATACACACTGCATGCGTATTTATGTGAAAGTAAACCAGGAAGAGCGTATAATTCACAAAAATATGAGCATAAATATTTGGCGAGGGACTCCTTGGTTGAGGCCAAGAATGTGGTGGACGGCGGTGGTGTGTGGAGTTGACACGACTGCTGGAGTCACGCAGGGGAGAAAGTCGTCGTGAGTGAGTGAGATAACTAATCTGATCAGATTTCTTCGTACGGGACATTTCCTTTTATTTCCTGCCTCTTCACACCTGTTCCTATTCCTCAACAACTCAAGGGCAGGCCGGGTCTTAATGGTAGCAAGTTTTGCTACACAGATTGCTAGTGAGCCGACATGTGATACGATTTTGACGAACATGAGAACCTTGGAATTTTTGGACAATTAGTTAGACCGCTAATAATTTAACTTTGTTACTGTACTGTGTAGCTCCTATGTGTCTACGTAGACATGGCATTGTAATCACCTAATGGAAATTACACCAAAAGTGAAAGCAAAAGTGGGCTGAAACTATTTAATCCCTTTGTTTTTCAACCATGGTCCTGGGAAAGAGAAAGTTTGGTCACAAAAATACACTTGAAACTTTGTTTCTCAATATTATGGGCTAATGTTAATTACTTACTTAACTTCTGATAAAGATACCTTCAGTTTTTCATGGAAATTTCGCCCAATGCTTTCCCTGACCTATCTAAAATCCATTTTCATTTTCTCTTACCCTTCCGGTATTTCTTGTGCAGTCTATTTCCTAAAAATGAAAGAATCAAGCGTAGTTACAACACCAATAGTCCTCCAAACGACGTCCATTAATTTTGGGACAAAGAAAGCTAAACTGAAACTATGCATTTCTGGTAGAATTATGGTATTTTAGCAATTTCATTTTATTGTGTTCTAAATATATCAATACTCTGCGGCAAATTAAACATATCAGAATTATGAATAATGTCATAACCGTTATATTTTATGCTTTTCAACTTTGTATCTTAATCTCTATACATATGCACTACGTAGAGCAATATATGGTGAGTAGAGCAATGTACAATGAACGGAATGAAGGAGTTTGCATCAAGTTGTAGTTTTTAAGTTTTTGGTGTCATAATTTCTTATTATTGATTTCTTTCTAAATTTATCAATCTTTTTATAGTTGGTTCGTCATCGTCATCCTTCTGCAACGGTATCGATATAGGTTTATGCGTGGAAACCGAAACCTGGCAAACACGACCACTTCAAAGGAGCGACACTGGGGCGGTGCTATGCATTGCTAATAACAGCATCCCACCTCGTGAGTCATTTCCTAATTTAATTTACAAACTTTTATCTTACTCGGAATCTATTTGATTGTGCCAGTTCGTTCGAAAAAGATCACGCTGTCAGTGCACTGTAAGTAACCGGCATTCTGTTATCTTTCATGTTTATTCTCTAAATTTGTACATTTGATTTTGTAAGATTCATACTTATATAGGATTCTTATTTTGAGAGATATCTCCCAATTAAATACGCCTTCAATTATTAAGGAACATTTTTTGAATTAGTGTGAAATGTGTGTTTCTGATTCTTGACCATATAAAAACTCCCATTTCCACATCCTCCCACCTTGTGCTCTGTTTTCCATTGTGCCGTTGGACATGATTGGCATGACATGACACGATGGAGGGTCAGTGCATCGCTCGGTGTACACCCCACCCCATAGAACTTGATATATGTGTGTACCACCCCATGAGATTCGGGCCAGGCTGGGAATACAGGATTCAATTAAATGCGGGGAGTGAATAAAAGTGGATTTTTCTATTTGTAGTTCATCCATTAATCAAAGTGTCGAACCAACTTGTAGCTGCTCCTGCTGGAGTTAATATGACATTAGGTAAGATATTTATTATTTGCTCTTGGAATCAAACTGGATTTTATACGTCTGTAAAAGCAACATAATTATTTGCTTTTTCAAAGAATGCTATGTGGAATCAGTGCCTCGTCCGGTCTGCAGTTGGTACCGACGCGATGGTTTGTCCTCACTTTTACTCCCTATATTCACATGAGCTTGACAAATAGAAAAAAACATACTTATTACTGATAAAATTGAAATTGTGTTGTATAATACAACTTGTATGTATTTATTTTTTACTCCAAATAACAGTTAGTTTAGTCCCAAAGCTTAAAAATGCTTAGCCTTGATGGTAAATTCAAATATTTATTCAAATCACGAATCCAAAGTGGCCTGCAGTAACACAAAAAAAACAATTTCGTCTCAAGTCTCTGTATATAAATTCAAAGTATCAATTATTATGATCGTTGTTGTTGTTTTTATACAAGAAGGCTTTTCCCCTCTGAAATGTTCAACTGAGGAGCTGCGTCGAATGTGGGTCTAATAGACTGCACATATAGCGAGCCAAATGTCTCTGGTGGATGTCAAGCAAGGGAGTTGGTGTGTAGCAGCGAGTTTTCGAGAATGAGATTTTTTCGGGGAGTGGAATGATGAGGAGAAAGCGTGAAAGAGAGACTAATGGAGTCATTCATAAAGAGAGGAGAAATTGAATGAGGCTACTAATGTAAGGAATGTAATGTTATGAGAATTTCCTGTGTCGGGTGTGGTGATGCATTTTTAAGTGGATTCTGAGTTCATCTGCTGCTCAGACCTATGTGGCCCTTTACGTACTTAAGCACATACATACACACATAAGGCTACGACTACGTAGTTCACTGATTTTGGGGGACGGAAAAAATAGTTGCGTCAAGAATCTTATTTGGTGTCTAAACCTTTAGTTTCAATCCTTGCAACTTATTTACTACACCCACCCTGCAACTTGTGACATTTTAATTAGTGTTGCTCTGATATGCATGTATGTACATATGTCGAGATACTTTTATGACAAAATTCAACCGTGTAGAAAACAATTGATTTCTGCGCCCATAAGTTATGGAAAATGGGAAATTTTTGTTTGTTATTGTTGCTGTGAGTAAAGGTTTGGCATAATATTTCCTTTCTACGTTCACAGACACGAGTATCATGTCGATTCAGTTCAACTATAGGGAGCAATCTGGATCCAATTCTTGAGAGCCAAATTGCCAATAGCTTCCATGAATAGGACGAGTCGCTGGTGAGGTTGGTGTGTCAGTATACAATTCACAGTATACAATTTCAATTTCGTCCCGGTATCTCCATTTCCCACTCAGAATTCCTGGATTCTGATCATCACGGAGGAGAAATCATTTTTGGAGAAAATCCCTTGGGCTTATTTACACCCTTGACACAAACTAGTCACTCACACACTATCCGTCACAGCAATAATCGAAAAGTAAAGTAAATTTGGCGTCAACACATCACAGTTGAAATGGGATATCCTCCTGTACATATCGTACCTGTTATGCACCCATATTGAGCTTTACTACTTATTATTTTTATAAAACCAAGTTCCAAACCGGAATCAAATTATCCAACAATTTGGAACCCTTCCGGGACATGTACTAAAATTGAAACGATACAGGAAAGACTAAGGGCCTTGTCTGCGTTGTGAAAGCATGGCATGCACAAAGCGAAAGTGAAAGTGTTGGAAATCTTGAAAATTATTTGAAGATCCAGACATTTTCGTGAAGTTTTTTTTCTGGGATTGCCATCATTCATGTTCAGTCTTTATATTAATAAATATGGGCTCATCCGAACAGCTAACTTTGCACTAGATTGAGATGGATGCTAGCAGTAAATATCTTGAAACTTGGTTGATGTAAAGTCCAACTAAAAAATATATTTCGTGTCACCTTTATTTATTACGAAGTTTTGAAAATACTACGAGAAGTTAAGATGGGTTTATGTACTCACTTAACTAGTCTCGTTGTCTTCCAGTCCAAAAAATACATGCACACAGAGTACGACAGGATGATTGATTTTTATTCTGCTTTCACCTCTCCCGACAAGTACGCATTGAATTCCATCGTTCTGTAGTTTGTAGCAGTGGTTCTATTTCCCATTTATTCAAAATGTAGGATTTCAAATTAAAGGAACGTTGATTTTTTAGTGATATACAGAATATTTGCATACATGGTTCAATCCATCGAATATTGTGCATACCATAACGTCCTTAATTCAATATTAATAAAAGTTTATCCACTGCGCGTACAGTACAAGAGTGAATATCTACAAATAGAATATTTTGAACACTGGAAAGCGTGTGAAACCTGCAATATTTTTAATATTCATGCCCTCACATATATAAATTGCAGCAAAAAGTTTCAAAAAGAGGCATCTGCTGGCTTGGGGTTGGGAGAGGTTATACGAATGGCGTTAGCTTGAACCCATGTCTGAGAAAGCAGCAGTTATGCAATGTGAATAAGAGAAAGCTTGCATCATCTTGAGCTCAGAGGAAATCGTCACATTTCCAAGGAACATTTACATTTGCTTCGGAAATGTGGACGCAGGTGTGAGCGTTGTACTTGTGGAAATGAGCAATGTTAATTCTCACTTTCACTTCATTCTCGAGATTTCCCATTCTAATCGTCGGTCGGGAAAGAGAAGCGGTGAAAGGGATGAATATGAATACAGATGAATATTATTAGCTCAAATATAGCCGTCCATGCAGGGAGGAGTTGGTCGGCGTTTTAGCCTTACTTGCCAAATACATTGCTACCACCACCACCGTCGGAATATTATTCTTATGACGGTGGCGTAGACGGCATCGTCCTGTGCTTGATGACGGAGGAGGTGGAAGTGTGAAGTGGAAATGGAGCTAATCTTTTAAGCACTTCTTACCAGCACTTGTCAAGATTCATTGCCTTCTGCCACGGTTAGCTAAGCCAAAAAGGAAAAGGGTATAACTACGCTGATTTAGATTGCATAACATGCATGAATTTAGTATGCTCTCTTGTTCGTCTCGCTAGTTGATGTTAGCTGTTTTTAGACTATCAAGTATTTTGGGAAATACAGGAACAAAATACCAAGTGGGTCTTGATTCACTACATAGATATGAGGGACAGTTTAGTAGTTAAATAAATTGATTGAAATGAGTCACTTGCCGTGATTTTGCGGTTAGACTTTAGTTAGACAACGAGGATCATACATAATCACGGTAATGGTTTGGTCTAATCTTCTCCCTGCTTTCTAATGATATTGGATGGGTGGTGGACCAAGACGAGACGAGAGGTCGGTTCACTAGTCCTCAGTATACTCCAATTTGAAGTAGGCAGTACTTTCACTTGGCAGGCACAGATTTAGCTTTCACTGGAAGGAAAAGATTTAGCTTAACCCATGCTTCTTGTTATATTCTGTAGCTTTTAGACATACCATATGTTACTAATGTTCCTCAGTCCATTTCATTTAGAATTTTCAAAATATCGGAATTCGGAGAGTGGAAAGTCCAGTAAAGCTTAAATTGATGTTCATGGCTCAACGATATGCAAGCTGTCCATATGTATGCACACACAGTTTGTAGTTACTATATTCAAACTCAAATGTGCATTTTATTATGTAATTATGCAAGAGTTGCAGCTTGCATAATTTACTTTGAAACTGTGAAATTATTAATGATAAATGCTTTTAAGTTAGCTCTCTGATCGAAAATATTTTATGATTGCAGTTGGATACAACAATTAAATAAATATATGCTTATTTTAACAAAATGCCATGATTAAAGTGGAGCTAACTTATTGTGAAATATTTATTCATCATCACAGGTCATTCCACACATCAGTTGATATTGAACCAAGTTGGGAAACTTTGGCAGGAGACAGAACAGTTGAAAGAATACTCGCTCAAAATGAAACTCACGATTACCAATCTTCAATCCTCGGATTTTGGAGAGTATGTACAAAATCCTAAGAATTAAATTAAATGTATAATTGTAAAATGTTCATGCAAATTGATAAAAACTCTAGATACAATTGTTCAGTTGAAAATTCTCTTGGAGGGGACTCGGCCGTAATTAAACTGCACGGTAACATTCTTTTAACCGAGAATAACCTTTGGGATTATGCACGGTAATGAATCTACTTCTTTCAACAATAATAGAGCTACCTCCAGTAACAACACGAACGACAACCACCCCACAACCAGATTGGAGAAAACATGGAAAACATGGGAATGATGGAAATACGATAAAACACTCCAAAGGTTAGATTTCAATGCTATATTTTCAGGAAAATCGCTCCAGCATCCATAGATCACATTTTAATTTGTTTTCGATGTTAGATAAGCGGAAACAGGGTCGGAACAGGTCGGAGCACTATCACCGGGATTATGATTTTCAGGAAGGGGACGCTGAGCAACTGACCACGTCAACATCCCTCGCCTCGCTCAACGCCATCACTGCTGTCGGCGTGGGTGGTGCTGGGGGTGGTACTGGGCTCAGCAAAAGGAATCAGAAGGAGGGGTCCATCAGCAACACGAGACTGCACAATTCGCCAGACTTTCCTGGGGCGGCCACCTCCTCCTCGACCGCTCTCATCACCACCAACAACGCCGAGGATAAGCTTCACACATTGTTTAGAAATGTTTGGAGGTTCGCGAACCTCTCGAAATGTTGTCTTCCGCTTTCTCTCATTCCAAACCTCTCGTCGGCTTCCTTCACCCTGACTGCGTACTTAATGTGGAAGTATAGCATCTTGATGTTGTGGTAAAATTTGTATAAATTTCTGAAGGAGGTCAAAGAGTGCAGAATTTAGATGAAAACATTTTCTGCTTTGTTTTGAGATTTGAGTTTGAATGAACAGTATACATGACATTTTAGAGTAAATTTTATTGTTCCAAAGCAGTTTTCAGCAATTGCTATCTTGTTCAGGAACTTATTTTCTTATGTTTTTTCTCCAATATGTGAAATGCTACTCTAATTCTAAGTATGTGAAATAGTGTAAGCATATCGTTGTATGAATTTGGCGTGTGGTTTGTGCAAACAAATTTTTAATTGCTGACCTATTTAGATGCAAATGATATTGGTGCTCAGACGATCAATCAGAGGGTGAAAGTGAATATAATTAATTAAAAACCAACCATATCTAATACATGGGTTTTATTTGTACGTGTGAAGATTACGTTTGAATTTTTCAGACGTAAAGTTACTGTTAAATATAGCTGTTTGCAGAAGGTAAACTTGCAAACTAAGTTTCAGTACATTAAATATATATTTACATTGAATAAAGTCGCGATAATACTGAACGAAGGCTCATATTTGTATCTGTTGTTTTTATGTATATGTCAAACTGTTGTTTTTATTTAAGTATTTACTCTGAGGTAGTGATTTAACTAATTGAACATACGATTTGGTGAATTTGTGGGTCACAAATAAAAAGATTTTCATATTAAAATTTCAGGTATACATACTCTTGAACATGTACTGGGTTTCAGTTATCGTGATATTTTGTGTGCTTACAGACAGAAGGCTTTATGTACGAAATGTTATTTTGATCTCGGAAACATATTTAGCTATGGTTCTGAGATTGTCGGTTGTTAAAACGTGTGCTAAAATTTTAAATGTAAAAGGTATCCCGAGATGGAAGAATAAACTGACACAGCGGAGGGCAAACTGGTTAAAACTTTAACAAGTTATTGCTACATGACAAATTGTCATTAACAATTATACAAGTTGTACATGTATATGCATCATCATTACGCTCGCAGGTAAATAATAAAGAACTAATCATAGATTTAGTTTACAGTTGATAGTGTGTATGTATATGTATAATTATAATTATGTGAGAAATATTGAGAACAATAATTACAAAAGGATATGTAAGCAGCTATTTAAATAATTTCTGATAGTAGAAAGTAATTTAGGTAAGCAATATTGATAAATTATCGAAATATGCATCTAAATGTGTAAGAGTGTGACTTACTATGTAGCCACTCACTTATTTATAATTAATTGTTATAATATCTGTCAGTATACAAACATGGACATGTCATGCATAAATGTATGTATGCATTACATAAGTAAAGTATCTTTAAAATTAGCCACACTTTTAGTGACACATATTATTTATTTAACAATTAATAAAATGGTTAAAAAAAGAAGCAGAATGAATGAGTGTCGACCAATTTCATCCGACTAAAATTTTTAATTGCATATTTATTAGCATCACAATTAAAACGTTGACCAATAAATGCATGCTCGCAAAAGTTCCAGAATGATACAAACACGATTTTCTCCATTTTCGTACATGTTGCTCTCATATAATATATAGCTACCAACCCGTTATTGTAACTCATTATTATTATGGTAAAATAAATCCGACTAGATTACAAATTTATTTTAAGAATTATTATTTTACATTCATGGGTTTTGGATTTTGGAGAAGTGAGACAAAAATTCTGGAATGAAATGTTCTCACGTTCCTCTTGGTCCGGCCATTTCGTGGGAAACCCTCAATTTAGTCACCGGTGTTGTTTTCGAGAAAACGAGCAACAAACGTTCTTTCTCTTTCTTTCGATAATTTGTATTATTCAAAACTTTGCACTGAACGTCAATGAAATTCTGATAGTCGTTTCAGGTGCCGTAATTTAAAACTTGTCTAGTTTGGTTTTTAGCATTTGACATTAGAGTATGTAGGAAGAAAAATGACGAATCAAGTCAGTTTCATAAACAATTAATTATTAATAATATTTTACTGTTGAGTGCTATCACAATTTACCAAGAGTTTAGACATATTTGATAACAAACAAGTACAATGTTTCCATTCATTGGTGAGGCCACAGGTATGTAGTAAATTAACGATGGTTCATAACTTAAACTTTATAATGATTCATGAATCATGAAGCTACATGACTTAGAAAATTGTTTTAAATTACATATTATGATTTTAGATTTTATTTGACGTTTGAATTTTATTGCAGGAATGATTGAGGAGTCTGAGACGGACGAATTTAAAGACCATTTCAAAAAGAACAACAGAATTCGAGAGTACACGGTTCATTCGTCTAAAATCCACACAGTGGCATGGAATTGCGAGGGCCGAAAATTAGCTTCTGGTAAAAAAACGTTAATCTGTATTTATTATTGGTATATATCGAATCAGTACGTAGCCTTCAAACCTCGAGCCCACAAACACTATATTAATGTAATTATTATTATTACCTGTCAAGGCTCCTTTGATAAAACGGTTGCAATGTTCACTCTTGACAAGGACAAATTGGTAAGAAAAAAAAGATGTTGGATATTCGATAAATGTATCATAAGAAATATAAATTGACCGAGATTAATTTTAGGATTTAATTTTATGTGTTACAGAAAACCGATCACGTTTTCAAAGGGCACACAGACTCTGTTGACCAACTTTGTTGGCATCCTCAACATCCCGATCTTCTTGGATCTGCTAGTGGTGACAAAAGTGTAAGGATTTGGGACGGTAAGTAAATTAGGCGCAAGTGCAATTTCAGAAATTAATTTTAATGATGATTTATCACGTTATTTTGTAACTCTGTAGCTCGGAGTCAAAAATGCATTGAAACTTTCTCGACCAAAGGTGAAAACATTAACATTACTTGGAGCCCAGATGGGAACAATGTTGCTGTCGGAAATAAGGAAGATTTGCTTACATTTATTGATCTCAAGGTTTGTCCACAACAATTACTAGTAACAATACAACTACTTGTATAATTTTAGCATTATTATTTATCTATTTTGTAAAAATCTTACCTTATTAGGCAGGAAAAATATTTCATGAACAGCAATTCAAGTTTGAGGTAAATGAGATTGCATGGAGTCCCGAAGGAAGTCTATTTTTCATTACTAACGGACAAGGGTGCATTTGCATTCAGGAGTAAGTTTGTTTTGCCGGACAGAGTGTGTAGACATTTTGACATTTACGTGATTGTTAATAATTGTATTAATTATTTCGCCAGATTTCCTTCCATGAAGGAGGAACATGTGATTCAAGCTCATCCTGCCAACTGCATCTGCATCAAGTTTCACCCAAATGGTCACCAATTCGCTGTCGGCGCTGCAGATGCTGTAGTCTCCTTGTGGTATGTCTGCTGAATAATGCTTAATTTTATGTTTTATTTACTAAACAATGTGTGTCTGTAGGGATCTCAAAGAACTTGCCTGTATCAGGACTTTCACTAATTTGGATTGGCCAGTACGTGCCATCAGTTTCAGTTGGGATGGTAAGCTTATCGCGTCAGGGTCCGAAGATTTGAATATTGACATCTCACATGTGGAAACGGGAGAAAAGGTGGGTGCTTCATGAACAGTCATATTCTTACTAAAGTATGTCTGGTTTATTGAGCATAATTAATTACAGATCTTCGAAGTCCCAGTGGAAACGCCTACGTTTACCGTAGCTTGGAATCCTAAGCGAGACGTCCTTGCTTATGCCTGCGATGACAAAGACAAATATGAGAGGGATAGGGATACGGGGTCTCTAAAGCTTTTTGGTTTACCTGTCGAGTAATGTCTTTATTGTATTCTAAGCCCGTATATCCTGGAATTGTTCTGGGGGAGAGAAATGCAAGTATGCGGATATATTTTGGACATAAAAGTCCTAAATCTGTCTGTTCACTTATGGAATGTACCTACGGCAGTAATGGTTTATTTTGAGCGCTGGGGATATGAGTGGGCTATACATAGGGGACATTCAAGGCGTTAGGTTAAAACAGTCTTCATTTTGAACAATGATACATATTATTATGATGACCAATTGACTCAGTAGCACTCGTCGAGTATTACTCGATGCATTAAATCCGCAAGTTTTCAGACATTATTACTACAATATGAGTGTGCATGGAATATTTTAATCATTTTGGGGAAACGCGCAAGTGTTTCAAAAACCTTTTTATAGAATCGCGTTCAGTTTTGAACTTTAATTTCTCCTGGAACGATTCTGGGATATACGGAACTTGGAACAAACATGAACGTATATATTTTTTTTTTAGTTTGGCTGATGTTATTGACATCACTGTTTTATAAATTTCTGACTGGTTTTGTTCACTCCAATTACTTACAATTATATGTATGTTTAAAACTTATATCGTCGTTGAAGGTGCATTATGCGCAAACCCATTCCTTGTGGTATTTCTTGTTGTACATATTTCCTATATCTCTAATATCTGGCAAGCACGAAATAGCAAAAAATGGGTTTGCGCATAATGCACCTTCAACGACGATAAAATAAAATGATATGATAATGGTAAAAGTTTGTTATACTTTGACTTTGTTATGTTTACAATAAGGTCTACCGTCTAATAAATACTTGTAACCTAAGCCCACGGGTCAGTTGTACAAGGTCTCGTGAGAAAATTTTCATACTGATGAACCCATTTAGTTCCGATTAATTTGTGGCCATAAATAATTGGACAGGCCGCATGAAGCATTCTAGAATCTACATTACCATTCCTCAGCGATGTGTACCTGAAATCACAGTTAACACTAAATGTTAAAAGAGTATGAAGGATTATATATACATAAATACTGCCGCACCAAAAGACTGCTGATCCTTTAATTGGCCGGACAAATATATTGAGCTTTGGAAATACTGTGTACCCTCCCAGTTTCACATCGTTCATCTGTTAATTAAATATTAAGTACATTTATGGAAAATATGCAACAGGATTTGTGTTTTTGTCACATTAAATAGTACATAAAAGAGGAAAGTAGATACTCTGTCCCCTCGCAATAACACGTCCGGATCACTTTCGTCGTCACTATTCTCAGCCCCCACCAAGTCTTGAATATCAACGTTTATATTTGCTAGTTTTGTTCCTCCCAAGTAATCCACGTGCAGAGAGACAGAGCCACCTAAATAAAATTATTTAATCAATCCGACAACCCAGTACTGCACAACCTTTGAAATGCACTAACCCAGAGCGTAGGATGCTACTTGCAACAATTCCGAAGCGTTAGAACCCCTCACATTCAGATTAAAAATTAACTCGATCAGCCTGGAGATGGGAGTCCCTGGAATTTCTTCGTCAGCGAGCCCTTACAAAAAATAAGAAAAAAAGTTAGATAAGTTTGTCAAGGGCCTCAAGCAAGAATTGCACGAGTGGTATTGACGCGATTAATGCATTACATGCATAAATTGCTGTCCGCAAGGTGTTTCCCGATGTTCCAGGATCTGGAGCTTGTGACAAGTGTGGGGTTGCCGCTTCCTTTATTTCTTTAATCCAACCCTGATTGATAATGTCGTAAATGCGAAGAAGGAGTGGTTCATAATGAAGGATTTCCATTTTTAGCGGTGCAATTGCAAAGTATGGATGACGCTTGTTGTCTAACCAGCAGTAGAGTTGAGGTTCATTTTTCTGTGATATCACAATAAAAAAGAAATACCGATTTGTGGTTTGTGTTACTAATTTTCGAATTTTTCGAATTACCGTGAAATGCTGGCCATTGCAAAGAGCTAAATGATTGTATGTGAAACTCCCCCCTCCAAACGTCCCCATAATTTCTTTCCCAGTTTTTCTACTTTCCTCAGAAAGCGTCATTTTTAGACTAGAAGGAAGTATTTCGATATGACTTCCAAGTTTTTCTGTATACATGTAAGCTTGACCTTGGCCCAAGTTTTTCTCAAAATTGGAATCATGCTGCAAATAAATAAGTACATAATAAATACTTAATAACCAATTTACCGAAATGGATACATGTTTTAGTTGCCTACTTTGTCAATGAGAGCTACTTGTAATTCTGTGGGAGTTCTCTGCCCCATTCCATCTAAATTGGTATCATTATTTCCAAACTCAAATTTTTGAAGCAATTTTATCCACTCCATTGCTATACAAAAGTAGTCATTGTTAACGGAAAATTCGGCAATTTCTTGGGCTTCAACCTTAGAAATTTCAATGGAAGTGTGTTCAGTTCCGATGACCCCACGGATTAGCTGAAACGAGCAATTATTATCTATCATCATGCATATTATTATGTATTCCAAACTCAACTAATTTAGAACAGGGAAAGCTCTTTGCATACATCGAGTGGACGAAGATCGTAAAAATACTGCAACTGCAACAAAGCCTGTAAAGCGTCTCGATAGGTACTTTCGTCAGGGAAAGCCGCTTGCCGATCCATCTCGTCCTGCTCTTAGAGAAACACTAATATTTTTTAATTATATTAATATTTCTATTTTTTCCCATTTACTTGCATGACTCATGGAAGTATATGTGAAACATATAGTATGCAATCACTTAAGGGCAATGTTAATTTTGTTTGGTCGTATAGGCCGACTTTTTAAGCTAGATGGATGCGGTTAGTGGCATTCGAACAAGCTCAAAAATGTAGGCATAGGGTACGCGAACCGTTTTTGGAAATTTTGATTACTTTTTTATCTTTTCACCTTCAAGTGTAAATGGGCACTAGGGACACTAAATATTTTTTCAAATGGGCTGGGTGAATGAGAATGAAAATCTGATTGCGGGATATTGTCTACAGGGCCTAGGGCTACAACAAATGTTTGAAACATTTTTTAAAATAGGGCCTCCTATACGCGCGAAAATTCAAAATGTTGAATTTTGGGTGGCTTCAGTCTGACAGGGGTACAGACTGGGGGGATTAATATTTTGAACTGGAAAGATGTTCATTGTGTTCCTGAGGGTCCCTAGGGGTGCCCTTAAAGGACCACTTTTTTCGAAATCGCACTTAGGTGAAAAGTTATGGCGGTGTGAAGATGTGAGAGGGTTAGTCATTGAGGAGGAGATCCTCCCTAATTGTCCATCTCACATTTCGATGTACTATGGATATATGGTAGTACACCATGAGTGTACAAAAATCTTTGTTTGACTCCATGGCCCCATTGGTGCCCCCATCCCCCCACACCCTCAATGGGGCAAAAAATGCCAAACTCACGTGTTCCAAACGTTTACATTCAGTTTTGTTCGGGTTTTGCAAATTCTGGCCATAATATTGTAGCCCAAATAGTTTTAGTATCCAATGAACTTCAATTAGATTTCATACTTACATATTATATTCAATTCCAAAGTTAACCTTTATCAATTTTTGATGTATAATATTTTCTATAATATTTATTAACATATATGCATATGTATGTAGTATTAATGATATTATAATATTTTCTCATCATGGGTGTCTTCGTTTGAATGTGTTGTGAGTCTCCCTTTACCCCATGAATTCGCGGTATAAGGAAAGTGGTGTGTTTACCTGCACGACTGTTGCTTCACATGTCATTGCGAAGAATATAATTGTTTTTATATTTATCGAAGTATTTAATTAAATTCAACATAATAAAAGCGATTAATTACACGTCAAGTTCACAATAAACACAAACGATGCCATCTAGACAAAGAAAGTTACGAAAGTACAAGCACGATATAGCAAACAAGTGCAAAATTCAGAAGGACACAAAAACCATACAAGAAGAAAGTATTGATGTCGAAAAGATGGAAATAGACCCCACTGAGGTTGAACTGGCCCTGTCACCTCACCAACAACTCTTCATCAGGAATATCAACCAAGTTGCAAACCGGACATGTTTCATTTGCAATCGTCTTTGGTACGATAAGGGCATCAGGTTAGCGTAAAAGAAAATATAATGAAACAAAGGAATCATGTTAATCGGCACCAAATTTATTTTTACTTTAAATTTTGCAGGGTTTTGTCAGTAACTGAAGGAATTCGAAGAGTCCTGGGGTCAGTGGCAAATAGGTACGACAGTAATACCTTGGAACATCTCGTTCCAACTACTGGAGACCAAATAGATTGCTGCCATCGTTGCCATGACAACCTGAACAAAGGAAAAGTTCCAGCAACCGCAATGGTCAACCACATGTATGTCCCAGAGTCACCCAACGTTATCAGTATTTTGACGGATGTGGAGGCAAGGATGGTCAGTCGTGCGAAGGCCTTTCTTAAAATCCACAAATTGAGTCGAGGACGAGGACAAGTTGCTCTTCAAGGGCAGGTCATCCACTTTGCCCAAAGCGTGGAGGAAGTTCAGGAGCAGTTACGCCTCGGGCCGAACACATCAAACGGCACAATAATTGTCACGGAATCAGTTGGAGACTTTCCACATTCCTCCATATTTGATATAAGGCCTCAAGGTAGAGCAATTTAAATCACTACTCAATTTTCTTAGTACATAATGTTAATTGTATTGGTTTTAGTACTTCGTGAAGCTCTAGAGTGGTTGCTCATAAATAATCCCGGATACTCAAACGTGACAATGGAGGAGTTCAACCTGGACGGTATTCGGCTTGAAGATGCCGTTGTAGCACAGAACGAAGGTGATAGTTATCCAACACCAGATGTGACTGATAGGAAGGGAAGGCCACGCATCGAGGGTGGATATGTTCCAATTCCAAGAAAACCGTGGATGATGGCAATGCGGCTGAGCTTCTGTCAAACCTCCAAGCGATTTCTAAAAGCAGGAACTGGAGGAAAACAATGCACTGCAATGTCTGCTGCCGCTGTGGCGTATGCTGCAGTAAAATCTCCGGGTACTTGGACAATACAAGATGGAGACCGGATGTTGACGGCTGGTGACTACTACTACCAGAAATGTCGCAACAGGATTATAGGTATGTGGAATATTCGTGCTGAGATATTGTGATTGAGTGGTAAATTTCGTGTTTACATACAGAAAGGAACGCAACTAATGGTGAAGGCCGCGCACAGATTGTTGCATACGACTATTTAAACCCTGATGAGATCGAGGGACAAATTGCAAATGTTTTTGGAAAATCTGTTAGTATAAGCTTGGTGGACGGAGGTATTGTCTTCTACGCTGCGTTTGAAAGGTGGATGGCAGAAGTAGAAGACTATGCGAAGAGGGCGCTAGCCAGTGCCATTGAGGATTTCGTCTCGAGCAACTCAGACTACGCGTTAATTACTGGTGGTTCGTATAATCACAAATACTGCCAACATGTTTCCATTACAAAAATTTAAAATAATCCCATCCCGTAGGTCAATACACAATGGGCCTAAGCAAAAGCGATGGACATCTCTACTATTTTGACAGTCACGCTAGGACTCAACAAGGCATGATTTCAAATGCAGCAACTCAGCAGGCTTTAATTTTAAAGCTACGCCAATGTCAAGAAAGCTACCATCATCTTTGCAAAATAGTCAACAACAATTGTGTTCAAAGCCTAAATGCTGCTGTTCTTACCGTAACTCCTCTGAATATTACAATTCGTGAAGACATAAATAGCCCATCGGAAGTTGAAGAGATAGATAATCCCAATGACATGCATGCTGCATTTGGCGACGAGGCACAAGAAGATTGCCTCATCCACAATATTGACTTCCTTGAGCCTCGGTTGGACAGATTTGGGCAGAGTAGAGAAGAACAATTGCAAGAAGATGTGACCGATCTCGTTTGCACTAGCTCTTGCAACTTGCAAGAAAATGTGAATCTTCATAGGACGGCTGCTCCGCCAATTAACGTGCGTTACGAAATTCATTTGGAGGAGAAATGCTTCATTCAATGTTTCCCCCACGGACAATACGGTTTGGACGAAAATAGAGACCAAGATCACGCTGCTAAATTAACGCCTCACGCATACTTTGCGACCAGAGTGATGTCAGCCGATCGTCGATTTCGTCGTAATGACTATCTCTTCTATGCACTTTCAAGGTCGGAACAATCTATCATGGATTCCAAAATTGCCGTCTGCGCCAACATGAAATTTCAAGACCAGGAAAATGAGAATGCTCCGGTGGCAGAAAATATTCATTTGTACATGAGCGCCATCCGTGGTTCCAAGTCGTACTGGAAGAAATACACAGGAGATATCATGGCAATGGTGACAAGACTTGGTCCACCTACGTTCTTCCTTACAGTGTCTACTGATGATATTGGTTCCGCTGATATTCTCACTGCAATGTGGAGGGCATCGCGTGACGAACCTGTTCCAGCCAATATTCAGAATTTGCCGTATGACGAACGTCGGGAGCTATTAAACTCCAATCCCGTGGCAGCCGCACGTCATTTCAACCTTAGGACCCAGGAACTGATAAAGTTACTGACCAATGATCCAACAATATTTGGAAAGCCGGTGGTCGACTATACCTTCCGTGTTGAATTTCAAGACCGCGGGAGTCCCCATCTACACTCCCTCATCTGGGTAGAAAATCCACCAGATTTTGCTACCACAGAAGGTATCGAATTCATTGACGCCAATGTTTCATGCAGTCTCCATGGTGAAACAGAAATTGGGGACCTGGTTAGACGTTACCAAACGCACAAAAATACACCTACATGCTTCAAGAAAGGTAGCACATGCCGCTTCGGCTTTCCTCGACCTGTAATGGCTGAGACAAGTTTAACATTGGACGAAGACAGCAGGACCCGAGGACGAGGCATCATCTTACGAAGAAATGAAGATGAGATGTGGATTAACAATTATCATCCGAAACTCCTTTGGCTCCTCCGTTGTAATATGGATATACAGCCCGTTCTTGGGGTTGCAGCAGTAGCCCTGTATATCGCTAAATATATTGGTAAGAATGAACCGGAAACCTTCCGCGAAGATATTCGCCGCACAATTCAAACCTTGAGGGAAGGTAATCATCCGATTCGTTATCAGATGGAGAAAGTTTCCCGAATTCTTTTGAATCGGCGGACTTTATCGTCTCAAGAGTGTGCTGCCAGAATGTGTAATATCCCAATGCGGTTTTCGTCGCGTAGCTTCGTCTTCGTTCCCACCTTCCGTCCTTGGGATCGGATAAGAATGCTTCGAAAGGATGCATTTCTGAATGGTGACGAAGTAAAATTTGCTAGGTAAATGACAATATTGTAATCATAAATATTTGCCTTTTAATGCTAATCATAAAATTAAATTTTGTTTTAACTCTAGTAACATAATTGACAAATATTGTGAACGCCCGGATGATCTTGGCAATATCTGCCTCTTTGAATTTGCTTCGAAATATCAACCATGTCGAAGTTATGTGCAACCAGATGAGGATTTGGTTGAAGGGTTTGAGGAGGAAATTCTGCGAAGACAAAGAGGTTCTCGGGCTTTCTACCTAAGAGACAGAAGCATGGGTATGTGGAAAAAGAGAGAAACCTTTTCCATAGTCAAAAGCCCATCTTTCCATAGCGACACTGATGCAGCCAATTTTATCTACGCGCACATTCTCCTATACATTCCATTCAGAAATGAGGAGGTAGAGCTGCTAATTCCAGGCGAATCTGTGCAGGAGACTTACGAACGACGGAAGAGCGATATGAGGACAAATGAAGATTTTCACCTCATCCGTCCGGAGATGGCGACAGCATTGGAGGCTGCTATAGACAAAATTTCACATGATCGAGATGCCCAACTTCAAAATGACCTTGCTGAGGACGACCATTTCCTTTACTTCCCCGATGTTGATAATGCAAGCAACGTTTTGATGGCACCAGGGGACGAATATCAAATCCCTTTCATGGACGAAGAAAGCTTCGAAACTGAATTGGCCAAAATGAACCCTGATCAAAAGGAGATCTACGATCTCATTCAGCAGTGTTTGGATGATCAAGGACGAGTCCAACTTAAGTTGTTCATTACTGGTGCTGGGGGAACTGGAAAGTCGTTTTTGATCTCTTTACTGACTAACCTCATTCCGATAAAGGAAGGCGGTCCTGGACTGGACGGCGTAGTGCTTGCTGCTCCAACAGGAGTTGCAGCTCTGAATATAAACGGTCAGACCCTCCATCGTACATTTCATCTGGCCGTAGAGGCAGGGTCTGTCCCACACTACGCCAAACTAGGAGCTCAAATGCTACAGCGTATGCGCGAAAAATTTAGGAACGTTGAGTGGATCATCCTTGATGAAGTTTCGATGATTTCCTACGAGGTGAGGCAAATGTATCATTAATTATATTTCGTATTAATGATGGTCCAGCGGTACCATGAATAGTAAGAATTACTATTTTTAATTAGGTATTCCGGCAGATTGATCATCGCCTGTGCGATTGTTTTGATTCTGAGATGCCGTTTGGAGGAAAGAACGTTATCTGCGTTGGGGATCTCTTCCAGTTGGAACCAGTGAATGGACACTGCATCTACGAAACGCCGCGTCTCTATCTAGGAGAAGCCAACATTTGGCATGCTTTTGAGTTTCGGGAATTAACGGTAAACATGCGTCAAGTGAATGATCCCCTCCTTCGAATATGTAACCATCTACGTGAAGCAAATCTCACAAGCGAAGACCTTGAGATCTTAAGAACCAGGGAGTTAAAGGATGCCAACCCTCTGGAGCCAAAGATGAAAGACATGCAAGAGAAGTTTAAGAATTCCATCCGTATCTATGCAACCCGTGCCCAAGTAGCAAGCTACAATCGCCTGCGGACTAGACAACTTCGCGATGACAAAAGTATAAATGTCTACACCATTCGGGCAAGGGACACCTTCAACTCTGGACCAAATGTTGGATGCCAAGCACCTCTATCCCGTAGTTCTAGAGACAGCAATAAATGCGGAGGATTTCCTGCTTCCATCCAACTAGCTGCTGGATCTAGAATTATGGTGATCCGAAATTCCACGACAACGCGATACCTGGTCAATGGGTCAATGGGGACCGTTGTTGGGTTCACCTGGAATATGCTTGCAAGAGAACAACACCGTTCTGGTGACCTACCCGCCACCGTACAAGTAAAGTTTGACGACCCAAGGATCTGCGGAAATTCAGATGGTATCTTCGATCTCCGACCTGAAGACGTCGTGTACAACAACGGACGCGGGGGTGAAGAAATACGGCGTCGAATGCTACCGATAGTGCTTTGCTGGGCAGTCACGGTTCATAAGGTACAGGGGATAACAGTGGACACTGCCGTAATATATCTTGGACCGGAGCTCTTTGCTCACGGACAAGCTTATGTTGCCCTTAGTCGTGTCCGAACACTCGATGGTGTAGCTATTTTACAGCAAGACGATACCAAGTTGTGCCAAGAACTAAATCAAAAGCTGGTAGCGGAAATGAGAAGGCTTAGGGATAAACTTCTTTAATATTGTTTACTTTAAATATATAATCAAAACAACAATTGCCAAAATGTATTTAGCTAATCTGAAATAAATAGCTTGAGCGAAGTGAACAATGAGGTAGATAAAAATTGGTAAATAATTTAGCGGTAAAACCGCAGGAAAACCTATTTTTCATTTCCTGTTCCATGTCTAATTTCATTTCATTCAGTTTCACAGTATCAAAATTGAGAGGAAATGCGAGAAACAAGATTTTTTTTCAAATATCGGTACTACCCAAATTGGGTACTACCGATATTTGATGGTGGGGAAAAATAGGCGCAAATTTTGGCAAATGTATTGGCTCATTTGGTCCATCTCATCAACCCCCCTAACCTCTGAAATTCATCAACATCCCAATATCCATTGTCATGGTCGATCGGTTACTCAATGTGCAGGCCTTAATTTTCAATGTCTAAGTGATATGTCAAATGTCCTACAATCTTTAAATTCAACTAGAGGCGGGATCGCACCATATAATTCATACTTGTCGAGATTGAGGAATATAGGTCAAGTTAGATTAGAATAGGTTAGGCCATAATAAAAATGTTTAACCAGTGAAAAGTTTTGCATGAAACATCACAATTGCAATTAGTTAAAATACAAAATTAAGAATGTAGTTTCCGGAGTCAATATTTGCGCCTATTTTTCCCCACCATCAAATATCGGTAGTACCCAATTTGGGTAGTACCGATATTTGAAAAAAAATCTTGTTTCTCGCATTTCCTCTCAATTTTGATACTGTGAAACTGAATGAAATGAAATTAGACATGGAACAGGAAATGAAAAAATAGGTTTTCCTGCGGTTTTACCGCTAAATTATTTTCACTTGTTATTCATAATATTAGATATGAGTGAGCGTTAATAGTTATTTTGTTATTTATCAGTAGTAGAAATTATGTATACGTTCTTCTGGATATTCATTCAAATCCAAAATCAAAGAGTTGAACGATAGTGCCAAGCGCCGAATCATTTTCATGGAGGCGATTGGGTTTTCGGCCACGTCTATCGCGGTCAACCCACCCAACTCCTTCAAACGACCTTGTTCGTATTCTTTTATGTATCTGTAAGAAATCTATCTTTGAGGTTATCAATCAAGTGCTGTTTTGTTGTAATTCTCACGTTTTAGCCAATTTCAGTCTCATTTTCAAAACTTTCACATATCCCTCAATGTACGAGTATATAATTTCTTCATTCTCTGCTAATTTTAATAAGTACACTGAAGAAAGTGCGTATGGTTTTATGGGAACAATGCTGCTACTAAATAAGTCGTGCTCATTTGCAGATGTATGATTTATGTGGAAACAATGGACAAAATAAAAGAATATGTGAAACATAAAATTTAATATACGATTTCCCATCTTCAAATCTAAATAAGCTGGTATATAATATTGAGATCAGAATATAGTTACACATTTAATTTTATTAAGATTTAGTAGTTTAAGAATAATGTGGTCACCACAAACAAGGAAGTGAACAAACTTATCATAAACTTTAATAAACAACCCGAAACTTAACATAAACAACTAACGTTCATTTTTTAAGAGTTACATAGTATACAAAGTCATATCGAGTACTTTTATTTTCATTTATGCATATGTAATATGTACATAGATAGTTTATAAGTTTTAGAAATATAGAAATGTAATCATTGTAGATATACAATTTAATTATTACTTTAAATTAAAAATCTGCATGTTATCTGGCTTATTTGTCCAATTTATCAAAACATGAGACTTGATTATGGACCAACACTTTTGATACATTTGATTGAGTTGCTTTGCTTCCAAATATGTCAAGAATTTATCGGGACTTTGGTATTTCACGTAATCGTCAGTGAACCGTTTAAAAATATTTCTTCTGCAGATATTAACCATGGCCGATGGAGTCCCGAATTGTTTTTTAGTAGCTCCTTGCTTCCTCCCGTTGACACTAACTTGCACACTGCCAGTAGCATCGTCTATTAAATTATTACTAGCAAGATACCAAATTATGCTAGAAGGGCTGGGATTTGGCCTAATCTCTAATGACGGATCAAAGCAATTACTAAAATTTACGTTTGACTGACCGATGATAGGGATAGTATATCCATTTAACAAAGGTTTAAACTCGTCATCCTTGATGTCTTGTAGTTGGTCTATGAATCGTTGGTTAACTGCACGTGCCAATGATGTCATCTTGAATGGAACAGAAGCACCTATTGTAATTGAAGAAAATCGAATCGGAATCGGAATAATATTTGAAAGAAGGCAGCCTTGAAGTCCGAGAATTTGCCATTTCGCAATCTTATCAGAACATGACATGCATAGTGTAGGATTTCCTTTTCCAGGTTTTACACGGCATTTCCCAATAGTTTGGATTTCCTCATAAATCAATTGACCAACTTGTAATTTTGCTCCGGTTCGGTTGGATATTTCTAGTTTAAGTTTCTTGGGTTCAGATTCGCCATCATCATCGGAAGTTTCTGCTGATGCTGTTGACTCTTGTGAAGTATATGAATCATTGTCATCCTTTTCAAGTATGATTGAAGCGTCGCCACAAGGTACTTGGCTTACAAACAAGTGAAATTCAATTCCATTACGTAGTTTGTACTGTGGAAAACTTGTTAGCAAAGCCGATGGTGTCGATGTTGAACAAATTGTTGAAATTTGATGGAAAATAGAATTTTGAGATTTGGATGCGCATAACTGAAGTTGGTCAAATAAATATAGTAGAAATGAACGCCTGGATAGAACTTCAGCGTGAGAATCGCTTATCAAGTCCCCATTTGGAGATAGTTCGAGTTGTCCCAAACATTTAGTGCCTGTAGCACATGAAACCACAATTTCATCATGGATCACTGTAGATGATGATGGTAACGACAAAGAGGAGGATTGAACAATTGCTGCTAATGTTGTCCACTGGTTAGTGAGTGGTTTTCCCTTCTTCGGCAAATTATTAAAATGGGCACAAGCCAATTTGGCAACTTTATCATGAAAGTCTTGGTCATATTGTTGATCTTGCTTCATTTTCCTGTTGGTTAATTTATGCCAGTGATTTTACAGAAAAGTTTTTTTTTACTCGTCGTCGTTGTCAAACTTTGTCTTTTTTCCTTTGAATGCTGACAAAATAGGCTGTTGTCTCTTTTTTGCTTCCCACGAAGGATGCAGTTTTTCGGATTGCTCTGCAGTTGCTACTTTCTGGTTAAGAATAGCGTGTGGGAGACGGTCGTTTTTCTTAAAATCTGATCGGTTTCCTAGTGGAGTCAAATTACTATCTCCACCGTCGCTACCTCCTCTTCCTTTGCTGTCAAAGTATCTTGTATTTTTACCACGGGCTGATGGTGGGTTTCTCGCACCACCCTTAAAACCTTGTGCAGCCGGCCTATTTACCAATTTTCCTTTTTTGAACACAGGTTTGAATTCTGACGAGGAGTTGTGTTGTCTATTTTTCTGGAAATCAGATGACCCCCGTTTCTTTTCCAGGTCTTGTTGTTCATGTGGTTCTTCAACTGCTTCGTCAACTCCACCAACAAAAAACGAGCTTTTTATCCGTAATTTTGGAACATGGGATAAATCGTCTACCGTGAGTTTAACTTCTGTAGGCTTGAAAGTTTCAGAGTTTTCGAGATCAGTCAAGTCCTTTAAATGCTGAACTTTAAGCGTTCCAACAGATTTAGAAATGTTACGTTCCGGCACTGGAGGCTTTTTGTTATTTGGTTTTTCTACAGATTTCGTAGACTTCTTATTATTTTTAACTACTTTGTTGTGCTCTGTGGCTGACACGGGGTTAGTTTTCTTGCTAGGATTAGGTTTTGATGACTTTTTTTCAGTCTTAATATTGACCTTTGATGCCTTATCTTCTCTTTCGCTTTCTTCTTGATCCACACTTTCTTCACTGTCCGAATCGTTAATATCTAGATTCCTTTCCGACTCTTCGTCAGTTTCATTATTCGATGACAACGATTCACCACCAATCGTATTCGGATTTTTATTTTTGTTCTTCCCAGCTTCCCGTTCTGCCTCTCGTTCTGTCAACTTTTTGTTAATCCTTCTGCGTTTATCCTTACTTCTTTCTAAAAGTACGGGAATTTGCAGTTCCCAGTACGGATTATGAGTTTTATACTTTGAAACTTCAGTTTGTATCAATTTATGGTGACTGAAACGAGACAAGGCTCTATCTTGAGTTGAAGATTGAGGATTTTGAAGCACTTGCTCCAATTTCGTTTTGTCTTGCAAGGAGAATATTGAAATCTTATCCTCCTGCAGGTGCTGTTATAAATTTATAAGAAATGACAAACTTAAGTACAAACTTCGTCATTTAACATTTTATATTTGTTAATGTCTGTCAAAAAGACTAACCTTAATGACTTGAATTTCTTGAAGAAATCGTTCAATCTTCCGTTTCGTCTTTTCCAGAGCTTTCTCGTCCCCTTTCCGTTCCTTTAATTTTTTTATATCCTTAGTCAACTTGTTAATAATGTGCACCCGTGCTGTCCGAACAACTTTTCTCATCAATACGATCTAAAATTATAGAATCAAAGTCTTGCAAGTACTTATAAATCAAAATCACAAAAAAACATCAGAAAGGATTCACTTGATTTGCAATTTTACTTACGTGATTATTTAGTTCTTGTTTTTTAGTTAGTTCCACCGGTCTCTTGACTTTGCCATCTGCATCATCACCCATTTTATTACTTATCTCGACACTAATTGTTGATTATAATAATTAATTGCTCACATAATTACTTTTGAGGACGGACAAATGAAAAATTTACCACGTGTGACAGTCAACAAACGAAAACTTGGCCATGTGGTGTGTTGTGGGTGAAGCGAGAACGGCTCACTTTTTTCATTCCTCGTTGGAAGACATTGAGCAGTTTTAATTTGCGGCAGGCTCGTGGTCAATGCTTCCATGCGGTGATTCCCTCTTGGCTATTTTCACATTTGAATCAAAATTTTTCAAAGTTGTGGAAATTTGAGTTAAAAGCGAATACTCGAACAATAATTTGATTACGATTTACACATCTATTTTAAAAGATAACTTAAAATGTGACAGTATTTGGGAGTACAAAGTGAAACGCGATAATTAGTGATTAATAACAACAAATAATAACATGTCGTCATTTAAGAAAACCTACGTTTCTCCCTTTGACCGACACTCCCTTCCATTGAGTGGGGATGCCCTTTACTGGAAACAGTTCACGGTAAGGACTTCGGATACATACGTACATAACTATCACTGCATTATTATTATGACCATATACTGATTTTTTATTTCTTGGAAATTAAAAATTGCAGGCACCTATTCTCCTCAAAGAGATTAATTCCATTGATTACATTGACGTCAGTCCGATTGAGCCAAACTTTGTAGCTGTAACATGTTCGGCAAGGGTATGAATATTATTTTTTAACAGGATTTTAAATATATTGATTGTGGTTGAGTAGTATAATGGTTTTTAATAATGATAGGTCCAGTTGTATCATCCCATTACACGGATGGTGCATAAAAACTATAACAGATTTAAGGGAGCCGCACATGGAGCTGTGTTTCGGAACGATGGCCGACTTTTGTTGGCTGGGAGTGATGAAGCAGCCGTCCGATTGTTTGATGTTTCGTCTAAACACTTACTCAGAGTGTTTAAAGGACACCAGAGGTAAAGATGATTCTTAAGTTACAATTTGTGACTCATAAGTGAGATACTATGAATTTAAATCTACAGTTGTTTATATTGTGGTTTTTATTAGTGCTGTTCACCGGTGTCAATTTTTACCAACCGACCATCAGATTCTCAGTTTTTCTGACGATAAATCAATTATGCAATGGGACATATCGAGTGAAGCAATGTTGCACAAGTTTGAGGGTCATACAGATTATGTCCGAAGTGCTGCCACGATCCCATCAACACCAAATTTGTTTGTGTCTGGTTCTTACGATCACACTGTAAGAGTTTGGGATAAACGGGAACAAGTAGACGTTATCAATGTTAACCATCAATCGCCCGTGGAATCGATTTTGGTCACAAACAACGGATCACTTTTGCTTACTGCAGGTGTGTCTCATAGAAATCCCTCAAACTTTGGCCAATTCAAATATTTATCAGTAGAAGAGATTGACACTGTATGTTCTTGATAGGCTCTACAGAGATTCGTGTATGGGATTTATTAGCTGGAGGAAGACTTCTTTCCAAAATATCACAACATCATAAAACCATAACCTCTTTAAGGTTTGCCTCTGGTGGGAAGAGATTGCTGTCAGCCTCCTTAGACAGACATGTAAAAGTTTATGACATGTCAAACTTTGAAGTGATTAGAACATTCGACTATTCCTCACCAATTTTGAGCCTGGGAATTTCGGTTAGTCATGTTTGTGCATGAATATCGGTAGGATCTAATCATTATAATTATTAAAATTACGCTTGACTTATAGCCAAGTGATCAAACCTTAATCGTCGGTATGGCGGATGGCATCATTGCTATTTCAAGGAAGGAAGAAGAATCAATTAAAGATGAACAAGAAAACTCCTCCAAAATTATTCAAGAGAAACGTCGAAAATCTAAAACATACTCTACCTTTGTCGAGACTGAATTTGGAATTAAAGAAGATGTGGTTCAAAGTACTCAATCGAAATGATATCAAAATGGATCAACAAATATATTTTATACAATAATTAATTTTTGTGATTTGCAGAGGATAAAAAATATGACGCATACCTAAGAAGGTTTAGGTATTCGAAAGCGTTGGACGAAGTAATGAATGACCACTACTACCTACGAAATCCAGCTGTAACGGTTGCAGTTTGCCAGGAATTGATACGGTATGTTATCAGATTAACTGAGTGGAGACTACGTTGAACGGTACATCATTTAATATATATTCAAATGAATTGTGACTATTTGCAGACGTGACGGGTTAAAAACAGCATTAGCAGGGAGATCTGGCCGCTCATTAACTAGAGTTTTACGATTTTTGATAAAATATTTGGGAAGACCAAGATTTATGAGAATACTTCTGCATGTTGCAGATAATGTTGTTGGTACGTCGTGTATCTGTTTCATTTAAACGTATAGTATGTTCTAATAATGTGTGTTGTGAATAGATTTATATGCCAACAAGGTTGGTGAGGATCCTACGACAGACCAATTGTTCCTCAAGCTGCATGATGAAGTGACTAAAGAAACAAAATACATGACAGAACTGATGGAAGTGAAGGGTTGTCTTAATATGCTGACGGCAGGTGCAGACTATTCTAAATATCAGTCAAAGATACTATCCAGTCCACCAGAGAAATTTGTACCTTCAGAGCAAGCCCAACAAACTTTCGTTGTTAAAATTAGAGACAAGTAGAGTTTCAGAACTGCAAAGAGTCGTTGTTGCTTGTGTTTGAGTGCGTACCTCGAATAATATTAGGAGCGTTTTTTTTGTTAATACAAACATTTAAATAAATCTTTGACTATCATTGTTATTTACTGCAGACATCTGTCATATGGCATATTGTTGGCTGAGAATGAGTTACTACATGTGCTTTTGCAGAGTTCGTGAAATTTTCATGAAATTTTTCAGCCGTTCGTATATATTCATACATTGTGTTCATCTCCCCTATTCATACCAATCGCAATCATTCCCCTCTCGTCTACTTTCACACAAGAGCATATTATATATTCCGAATAGCCAAACCTCTTCGATATATTGTACAGTATTGATCCTGTTATGAACACAATTATTGCACACAACACTCCACTTAACCGATTTATTATGAGCTTCCAACTCTTCCAATGTGTCCTTATTATTCCATCTGACACGTCCTCATAACACAAACACACCGTTATCAGATCAAATCATATACATACAGATACGTAATCTAATAAATTCTACTCGCTAAAAATTGTGGCAAATTATATCACCACGTTATCGCACTAATTTATTACACAGAGCCCAAGCGGCATGTTATGTGCTAGTGTTTTACATACAATTCAATTGTCAGACCACACAGTTAGTCAAATCCCAAGGTGAAGTTCATTCTTCGTGAGAATCAGAATTTATACAACCGAACAAATTGTTGTTACACTGGTATGTACATATAAATCGATAAATTTACTAACTAGTAAAATATCCTGATATCGGTCTTGATTTGTAAGTACTCTGAATAATGATCTAGCATAAGAATGGAAGTCGTAGAAAGTTTACCGGATTTGGTGCTAAAGTGCAAAAATGCATTTGCGAAGGAATTTGGGTGCGATCCCATTGTGGGGGCTAAAGCACCGGTATAATCAAATTATTCATAGTATACATTTTTGGTTGATGAATCAAAAACTTAATTACATATGTACATTGTTTTCTTCCAAATAGGGAAGGGTTAACATCATAGGAGAGCACACCGACTATAACGATGGCTATGTATGAATTAGTAAAAATAAATACCTAGAGTGATTAACGATATGTGCTGCAGAAGCAGCCGTTTCAAAATTTTTAAATCTCTACAAAAGAATATATTATGACTAAAAAGTATTATATATGTAATATCACTCTAGTTATTTATTTTCATACGCTCCAGGTTTTTCCAATGGTAAGCTATATTTAAATACTTTTCTGGTTCGGTTTTGACTTTATGAGGGTCTTTTTGAGGGTCCTCCGGAATGATACCGACTACCCTCAAATTCAATGCGAAAAAATAAGTCGCATAGTTAAAAGAGACATCAAACATTGGAAATTTAACTTCAAAAACATATACTATTTTTATGTGGGAAACACCCGTAACTTTTTTCCAATTAATGGAATCCAACAACCCCAACACATCCGACGTATCGGTTAGTATATCTGTCTTTGGAGATATTTAGTTCGCATCATTCCGGAGCACCCTATTTCATTCTTTCGCAAGCCAAGCAAGTAATCGCACTTCCAGAAATATAAATAGGTGAACAAAGATTTCAGTACCTACATACTTGTGTTTTGCAACAAAAACCATGAATACAATGTAGGTACAATGAATGCAATGCTCTTGGTAAACTGCGTAAACTTGAGACAGCAACAAAGTTGTGAGTGACCGTTGTGACTCATTTTCGCTTTCACTTTCATAACAAACTACGTCGACTAGCTAAACCAAACAGCACTCTTACAGAAGAAACGTATGATTTTTGTCGGCAAACATTGATGATGGGCAGATTTATCTTTGCACAAGCATCTCTTCTGTAGAGTAAATACATATTCTTTCATGAATCCATGTGCAAACAGACCATGGATTATTTAAGTATTTGCTTTGTCACGAGTGGGAAGCGTATTGTTTCAATGAAAACTCTGAGAAAGGAAAATGTGTCAATTTCTTGCAGGCAATTCCACTTTATTCTGTGATGGTTGGGAGGTACAACGGCACCTCTAAAATCAGGATAGCAACTTCTGCAGAAGTGGATAACCCCAAAAGAGTAGAGTTTGACACTCCTTCAAAAGAAAATCCACTAACTCAAGGGGAACCAAAATGGGCAAATTACGTGAAGGGGGTGCTTCATCATTTTTCACGTGAGTCACGTTCACCACCAACATGATTCTGAAAAGAAAGCAAACCCGAAAAGCAGAGAATAACATGTTTTGAAGCAGGATGAGAAGTTTTGTGTTGTAATCATTTCATGTGGCAGATGACATTTCTGGATTTGATGCGTTCATAATTTCTAATGTTCCTTTGGGCGGTGGGCTCTCCAGCAGTGCTTCCGTCGAAGTTGTCACATGCACATTTCTTGAAGCTCTTACAGGAAAATCACTGCTGTAATAAATAAGTTCCTTTTTACGTCTTAAACAACACTAAAGTTAAAATGTTTCCGCTTTGAATGATAACAAGTATGTACATGAATATTACTCAAATCCCCATATTTCTCTGTAGGCTGGCGGACAAGGCTCTTCTGTGTCAGAAAGCAGAACATACATTTGCTAATATGCCTTGTGGGATTATGGACCAATTCATCTCGTGCATGGGTAAAGCCAACTCAGCGCTTCTGATTGACTGTCGCAGCTTGGAAACAAAAACCGTGACACTGGAAGGTGGCAAATCAGATGTGGATGATAGCGTCGCCTTTCTTGTCGTCAATTCCAATGTGAAACACCAACTGAGTGGTAGTGAATATCCTCAGAGGAGAGGCGATTGCTTTAAAGCTGCCGAACTTCTTGGCGTCAAGAGCTTGAGAGATGCAAATATGACAGCTCTGAGAGGTACATTTATGCTAAGTGACTGATTAGCTAGCCCTTCAACAGATTACTAAAATAGATTCGTGCATTATTTTATCAATAAGACAAAAGAGACGAGCTGGGAGAAAGAGTTTACAAAAGGGGACTTCATGTCGTCAGTGAGATCGAAAGGTGTACAAAAGCAGTCAAAGCCATTGAGGAGAGACAACTCGAAGAGCTGGGGAGATTAATGTACCAGTCTCACGTTTCACTGAGGTACTTAATTAATAGTACTTGATAGTGCTATAATTTTGGCATTTTATTCATCTTTTGAACTGCACAATGTGCCTTCGTGAAGATTTGCCCAAGGCAACCTTATCGTTGCATACCTGCAATGATAAGATACTAAATTTATCGTAAGCGTAATTGTTATTTTAAAATCTCGCTTCATAATTTGCAGGGATCTTTACGAAGTGTCGTGTCCCGAGTTGGATGAATTGGTCGATATTACTATGATAACCCCAGGAGTCTACGGTTCTAGGATGACTGGAGGAGGATTCGGTGGTTGCATTGTTGCGCTGGTACGTATTAAACTATGTACATAACTAAATAATAAACAGTTTTTTTGCTAATTTATGACAATTTATCCTCTTGGTGCATTTCAATTGCAGGTGAAGGCTTCTCAAGCCCCAAAAATTGTGGAAGAAATTCACAAGAATTATTCCAAAAAAGCCACTTGTTATGTTTTCAACGGGGTTGACGGAGCGTCTCAAATTCAACTTTGAGAAAGCATGGGGTTGGATAAAGGCAAGACATACGCAAGATTTATCTTACGATAAAAATTTGTATGCATAAGAACGACATTTAAATATTTTGATCACAGTAAATTAAAGTATGTGTAACTTGTATAATGAATTTAGAATTCTAGCAACTTTCTATCCAATTCACAAATTATATTTTTAATACTTGGACTAAAACAAATTCTCAAGACAAGCTTGTTTATAAAACATACATCTTTTAATTTTAAGTGACTATATAGTGTAGACGTATGTATATATGTATGTAAAGTACATGATAAATATGACACGTGTCAGAATTTTCTTTGTCTCTTTCGTAACTAATAAATTAAACCACGTCCAATATTTTTCAACTTTGTTATCTGTATCATGAATATATAATGAATCAATTTTCCCATATACTCACCATAAAAAATCAACTTGTTCCAATTACTTAATTTGTAAACCGTAACCAATGCAGGTCGCCCTGTGGCAAAATAATTCTTACAAATTAACTTTATAAATATGTTTATCAAGCCATGCATATTATTCGCACAAAATCTTCAAATCACCGACGAGAAAGAGAAATCATGTCACAAACTTGAACACTTGCAGAATGATTGTTCACGATTCGTTGTGGTATTGATTTGACTGGGTCTGAGTGTCGTTTTTCTCCTTCTGTCAACTTCCTCACTATGAGTTCTCCTAAAATGGTAAAAACTGCAAATGACAGGCCAAAAACAAATAGGAGGAAAATTACGGGAATTTTAGAATCGCCGGTTAGTCCTGCGGGTTTAAAAAAATTTTTATTATTCAACTCTCGCTCCCACGGCATCTTTGGCAATTTACTATTTTGCCAAATGCTAATTTTTGTTAATTCATTTAAGAGTCCTGCTTCCACCATGTGCGTCATCGCTTTCTGGAATGCTCTGGACATGTGAAATATAAAAATTGATGAATATGTGACCATCCCGGTTAATGGGTACAGAGGTTCACCTGCCATGTTACACTTTACGGGTTTTTTAAATTTCCACACCTGCTCCCTGATTTTTGGGAGAGCAATCTCTATTTCTATTTCCTCTCTGAATATTGACAACTTTCCCGACATATTGACCACCAACTCGTAAATAGTATTGTCGAATTTCACATTGACAAAAGCGTCATTCAGCTTGTCCATGATGTCATTTCTTCTGAAATTCTCCTCATACCACTTTCTTGCTTCAGATAAATCATAATCTAGCATGTATCCGATTTTAAACCCTCTGAGGACAAGCTCCTTAAATGTCCCAATGACCTTATCAGGAACGGGCACCAGCATGTCAGCAGTAAGAAGTCCATCATATAAAAAGCTGATGGATGTTGAAATGATGAGGCTCCAAAATATGAGAAGACAGTACCGAAATCTTTTGCCTTTTCCTGGAAGCAAGGCTAAGTAACCTTGTCCCACAATTATCGATAAGAACCTGATTGGATCCTTTGGCTTTACAACAAGCACCATCAAGCCTGTGGATCCCACAAGAGACATCCACACAGTTGGTTGGAAAGGTTGTGTCAGCGTTGCAAATAGATTCATGATTCCGTGAGACGATTCGTGGATGTTTGCGCAGTAGAAAAGTCTATCGGTGGACGTATTGTAAAACAGAGAGTTTGAGTAGTTGTGGGGGTAAGATCTACTGTAAGGTCCTGGTAGGATGACCATGGTATGCTTTGATCCAAAATAGGGCGGCGAATAGATAAGTGAAGCAGACACTTCATCACTGGTGGGGAAAATAACAGAAAAGTTGAACTTTCTTATCAAGAAGTTCAGAATAATCCTTCCATGAGGGAAGCACGTAAATTCATTCCATCGCTTCCCATGCTGAAAAGGGTCACACCTTACTCCGTTATCAACCCACCATGCATTTTCAACAGCCACATTTTCTCCGAGCAAGTCATTGTTCAATTCACGGTATTTTTTGTACAACTCTGTCCACACTTGATTTACCGCAACTTTCTCCAGCATGAATAATTTATCTTTGCACAAGTAACAAAAAAGTCCAAATTCCACCGTCGGCAGATCCGATGGCCCTCCAATTAGGAAGACAATTGTGACATCAGAAAACAAGATGCGTGGGTTAAACCATGCGAATGAGATTGAGTTCCCGTCATCATTAATTCCAGCATCATGACCAATTTGTACTCTAGGATACTGCGCTTTTGTGAACCAATTTTGTGATACATACACCAAAAATAATGTGGATGGTTCCAAGAAAAATCCAGAATGTTCAATGGAGTCTGTAATTTGGCTAACAGTTGGGTTTATAATGAGAAATGTGATACAACCGGATATTTTGTAGTGCAAACTGGGAAGGAAAGTGTCGAGATAGGCGTGTTTATCGCTCCACAGTTTTGGGTCAGTAAAAGAATGATGAATGTAGTTGACATTGACAGATTCTAAGATAAGATCGTAGGATTCCATTGAACCAATTCTCATTAAGTCAGAAGATAAAATGGATGTACTGTTGTCTGCTTGGATTCCTGAATCTGGCGATGACATAAAATTGGCAATATGCACGGCACAACCCTTCTCAAGGAGAAAGTTCAAAATGAGACTGCTCTCATGACTCACCTGAAGACAAACTACATTTTCTATAATTATTAATATTATCATGCTCCAAATGATTTCGAACATTTTAAATTTCTAGAAAGGAAGTTTATGTGAAGTACTTTAAGGCACAGTTGGAGTCAGGAAAGGTAAAAAATGAAGCTAATGCAACTGTTTTGCTTATTTTACAGTGGACACGCATAAATATGTACGATTTGGTGTGTGGACTTTTTTATTTTTTTAATCCTTAAAATAATGGTCTGCAAATACTCAAAATAACCACTTTCCCCAAATCAAAACAAAATTGAAAGCAAATGTTTAGAAAGGTTGTGAATTTCATAAACTTTGAGAAATTGTAAATCAATAATATTACAAGTTATTTACACACATATGTATATAGGATATTTACAGATATGAGAAGCATCTTTACTTTTTTTACATCAAGCCTATTGTATTCATACTAATATTTAGGAGGGGAGCTTGCGAGGTTGATAATAACAGATCTCGATGCCCTTTGGATATGTGATAGGGTCCTATGAGTGTACTAAAACCCTGAAGTGGTTTGACTCCATGGCCACATTTGCGCCCGCCACACCCACTCAAAAATGCCCAAAAAACGCTTTCACTCCAGTTTTCACTCACTCAAATCCACGCCAGAAATCCAATTTTACTCGGATTTTGAAATTTCTTTCACCATTACGCTCCCAGATAGTTGCTTTCTTCAATTCCATATCAAACTCAATTTTGCTGATGATTATTTCGCAGGCGTAATTTGAGTTGTTGATTACTACAACAATCCTCATTCAGAATTTCAAATTTTAAAAATACTAAAAATTTCTAAAAAATTGGGTTTGATATTGGATTGAAGAAAGCAACTATCTGGGAGTGTAATGATGAAAGAAATTTCAAAATCCGAGTAAAATTGGATTTTTGACGTGGATTTGAGTGAGTGAAAACTGGAGTGAAAGCGTTTTTTGGGCATTTTTGAGTGGGTGTGGCGGGCGCAAATGTGGCCATGGAGTCAAACCACTTCAGGGTTTTAGTACACTCATGGGACCCTACCACATATCCAAAGGGCATCAAGATCTGTTATTATCAACCTCGCAAGCTCCCCTCCTAAGTTAGTAGTTGCAATTATTTTCATTGCATCATTCCCACTTTGTGAAGTAGTTTCTAAACAGAAGATCATTGCAACATGGGCATATTGATAAGTACCTAAGACCCTATTTATCTCAACTGCAAATTTTTAGCAGGATATTGATCATACGAAATTTGAAGACTGATTTCCTGGTTGAGAAATTGGCACAACAAAGTAAATATAGAACTAAGTAGATATATGTATGTATAAATGTAACTATTTAGATGCTGATGTTCATCAAGTGAAAGTATGTTATGTAGACAATGAAAACCAACATTTACGGTTTGAGTGTTATTGTTTTATAGTGAAAGTTGTAACTTACCAACATTTTAGCAGCATAAGTTTTTCCGCGTTTGGTGCATTTAGCTTTTCTCCCATTTTATCCACACAGGCATCATATCCTGGACTGATTTTCCTGAAACAGTCACCATCTACGACACAAAATTTGTTATTTGTTGAAATACAGACTACGAATTTCAGAACAACGTACGCTCGTAGAACTGGGCTCGACTGAAATTACTTTTGCATATAAATGCAAAGAACTCCACAGCCGGGGCCACATGTGCATTGAATTTGTTGGCTGATGTTTTGTTTAAACAATGGGCTGCCCACTTGCCGATGCACTTGATCGCAATTTTGAACGATCTGTAAGTATTTAATTAAATTGGTCATTATGCAGAGAAACTGATGTGAGCGGCTTGATACCCACTCACACGAAAACATGTTTATGTGTACGATCTAGACTCTTTTATGTAATTACGAATTACGTCAAATGCTAGATAATGAAAGAAATGCGGCTCATATAGGCCATTCCACAAAGTAAAAATTTGGCAGGTTAGCCATTTTGTTCCGATCTTTAATTTTCAAAGTAAGTAGTTTCCACAAGATTCAGATTGAAAGTGTTTTCCATGCGATGCTAGTAAATTTTATGCAAGGAGGCATACGTAGATTGATTTATAGTAGATACTTATCGTTGCGTTTCTTACGTGCACACCGTCTCCGTTTCGTGATGATTTGATGGTATCCCAAAATTCAGTGAAGGCAGCAAACCTCGAATGCATTTAGCAACTTCGTCACCATGTTCCTTTGTACAGTTTCGGCCGTTTGTAGAAACGCGTTTTTTTATCTCTCGTTTTACTCTTGCTACACTTTCTCCATACGTATTAAGGAATTGTTGAAGAATGCTCATTAGTTCTTGATGTGCAGTATTAGCAGGTTCGTAATTATCAAATGTGATGCCATTACTGGATTCTGCTTTTCCCAAAACACCATTGTCGCACCCACAGAAAATAAACATAAAAACATAAAGCTTAAACTGGAAAATGTAATTTTTCATAATTTTCAAACAATGCAATATTAAACAATTGAAAAATAAGGTTGGAAATTGACAGTGCTGATAATGGATGTATGATGCTTATTTAGATGACGAGCAGACAAAAGTTGCAAGTGAAATATTTGTGCTCGACTGATACGGCGATGGGTGGCCCTGATAAAATCAAACAAAACTCGAGACCCGTGTCCCCTGATTCTCTCGGTGGAGATGCCCGAGAGTGAATGAGATGCTGAGAAAAATGCGTACACAAGTGGAAACCTGTAGAGTTTTGGATTTGATCTCAGATGAAAGTCATGTACTGATTTACCTGACAAGAACACTACATTTCTACAACATCGATGATTCGGGACAAAAAATATTACATTTTGATTTGACACTAGGATTCCAGTCGTACATACAGGCGCATAAGTGTTGAACCAGATTAGATTTGCATAGCACAAGTAGGATATTATATTATACGTATAGAAGGTTTATTTTAAAAAATCAAAAGTTCATGAAAATATAGTAAACTTGATAAAGGATGTTGTCCGTCACTTTTTGCAGTAAAGATAGTATTGTATGAAAATTCTCTTTGAAATTAGATTTTGCTACTCGTTTTAAAGCGTATGTCATGAAAATCAATCTTATGCGGATCGAACTTCATGGGTTTTCCTGCAGGAACTGCCAGGAACATAACAAAGTCCTTGTTAACATGATTTCATTTGTAGAGTACATACTTATCTAGAAAATTTTCAAGGAGCCTGAGGAGCATTAACAAAAGTTTTATTATAATAAATAGTCAGGTCCTACCCAAATGGAATATGATCCAAGTCGCCGCCATTCATTGCACACTTCATACACCAAAATAAGAGATTATTTAATTAATAACATGAAATATTGATGTTCTTGTGCGACTCAATTTGTTTTTACAATAATAAATAAATTTACATTGATAAAATAATTTTATACTCTCAACCGCAAGAAAAATGGTACACAGTCCAAGCCATGTTATCAAAAATAGTGCATACTGAACAAAGTTTTGGAAATTGCCAGTCAGATCAGGGTATGCAACATGTCCAGACATCTTGCAGAATTGATGAGTTGGTGGTTTTATCCCATGTGCATTGCATATTATGAACCGCAATAAATTGCATTTAATTATATTCAAAAGTAATTAATTAATCAACTACTCAACTACCTGATCAGGGTGTCGGACTGGGAGGACATCCGCAAATCATCGACCTCGTGCTCCGAAGTAGCTGTGGCTCAATTGTACTTTGGACGCGCTCCAATGACCGTGCGGTATGTGGTTTTAATTAGCGAATACCTTTCCACGTGACAGACACCCTGAAAGTAGTAAATCTCTATCGACCGTACTATAGCTCCTCCCAAATCATTGTTAGCAATATATTTCGAGTCGAAATTTTCGACTACACAATTCTATGTGCTAATTCATTAAAAAAGAAAGATGAAGGCTATTTTTGCTTCGCGATTAATCTTATAATGAATGCGTCACATGTCATTATGTCTCCAACCCAGTATCGACCCTTGAATTATAGGCACATGGAGAAATAATACTCAAATCTCTCACAACAGTCCAATCGATTCCCCAGCGGATACAGCAGCCGTTAACAGATAACTGAGATAACCATAATTACCAAATTCCTTCCTCATTTCTTTGAACAACGCTCAAACGCTGTAAGCCTTTTTGCAATAATGACCGTACAATTATACAGAAAATATCACAACTATCACATCTTGTTACTATGTCCCATTTTGAAATATTGCATACTTTGTCCATTAGCAGTTGGCATTCCTCCTCGAGTTGAAGGAAACTCCCACGCTCCGGGAAATTAACGACGCTCTCCATAAATTTTGATCCACTCTCTACCGTGGAGGCCATCTTTAGTTATGACAAATGTATGTAAATATGTACATGTCAGTATATATTTGGCCCACAGAGTGACTTTAACATACCCGATTGATTGGTTATAGGAAGTAAATGAACATGGGAGTAAGGTCGTGAGCCTTCATTCCTTAATGGCAACAATCGCTGATTCCATTCTTTGAGGAAATCAAAGCGCACCTACTAACCGAGTTAATGAGATCGACAAGTTACTTGATTAAATTATGTCATATGATGGGGTCAACCAGGATGAAGCACACCTAATATGCAGAAGCATATTTTATGTAGTTTCTCAAATGAATCACAGAATAACTGAAGCTACACTGACGGCAAGAAAGGTAATGGTCACATACGTCATTACGAGATATATCATAATACCAATTATGGCTTGCATAAACCGAAATGTAACATTTTTATATACAGTCTGATTGACTAATGAAGGAAATTATTTTACACAGTTACTTAACTTACATTTTATATTTCTTCACATACTTTACAATTTCTACATGATATAATCACGACTGTAAATTTTGAATTCAGTATTTATATGATACAGAATTTCTAACTTGATCATATTAGTTGATGGCGACGTTGCGAGTGGTTCTAATATATACAAATAGAATTGATAGATTAAATATCTAGATTTAAATTTACTTGGTGGATACTCGCGTCCTCTTGTTCCACGAGAAATTAGCACCATATGACTTTGGTTTCATTGGCTTCTCAACAGGTTCTTCTACGAACCATGTCCATCCGTTTTTCTCGCAGAATGCGACAGCCTCATCCTTGTCAGAAAAATCAATTTGCATGTTGGACAAGGGGTCACCGCTAGAAGATGATACACATTAATCATTATTCATCTTGTATAGGACACAACCGACACAACTCAAGTCTTCACTAAATTAATTAAGCAATTACCTAGAAGACCATCCCATCAACGCATTTTCCCATCGTTCTCTCGTTTCAAATTCAATCTTCCATTTCTTTGTATTACTTGTTCCAGACTGCATCGCGTTTTTACAAGGCTTAAAAATTCGTACCCGTCTACTCTTCGTGTGTTCTTCAGGGACTCCAGAAATTGATGTAATGTCCAACTGCGGTCAAGTTACACATTCATTTCATATTTCATATACTCCAAATTAACATAACACATCAATCATTATTATTCATATATCATCAAGGGCTGGAGCAGGCACAACTTACAGGCACGTCCACCATGATGGTGCCCTTCATCTTCTCCTTGTGTTCCAACTCATCCTTGGAGGCGAGGAGGACTTTGAGGTCTTTTGGGACCGTGTCCGACGCCTTCCCCTTCGGTCCTCCAGCCGGAGTCTTTTCCAAGGAGGAGGAGGCCAGTCTCGGAGCACTGCTCGCACTCAGGGGTCGGCTGCAAATATACACATTTAAGATTATGGGTTAGACTTAGAATTACAAGATTAAGCTAAAGTTTAGTTTAAAGTTTAGTTGCGAAACACTGGGAGTCAAATATACTCACAAGTTGTTAGATTAAAAGGTAGAAAATTAGTCGCTTACATTGGGGAAGTGTACAATGTTCTGAAGGCGAAAAGACCTTGTCGAACTGCAGCTCGTTGAGCAGCCATCGCCAACACCCGGATTTGTAATCCTTGTGTAAAATTTCAATTAAGTCCTTCGAATTTTGTAAACTTTGTGAATGTTCACTAGAATGATTTTGAGTATCTACGCTCAACCGGGGCAAACTCAGGCTAAAAAAAGCATTTGCAATTTTTTTTGCAGAAATGCATATGTTGTATGTCATGAATATTTATATAGTAGTACAGGTAGTATTTATTTTATCAATGCGAGTACAAGAAAAAAATATGTGCACAAATTTTTTTAAATTAAATTATTTGTACGTGTTTCGTACTTTCCATCGGTGAGGTCCGTAAAAACCATAAGTCTATTTTCCTGTCTGGATAGATATGAAAATATTTGGGTAATACTATGCAAATCCAGTAAGTAGCATAAATGCAGGTTACAATAAAACAAGAAAAGTTTCATGGTCACTTGAAATATTTCAAAATTAATTTACTGGATCTGTGTAAGTCAGAGTCTAGATAGCCAAAAATCTCAGGATTTCTGACTTAGGATTGATTTATACTTGGTTGATACCGAAACCCTTTGGCGTTATTAAGTAGCGTCAGCTACTTATTGTGATCACTTTGTCCGTCCGTCCGTCCGTCCGTCCGTAAGCAGGATATCTTTAGAATGCCTCAACATAATAAAAAGCGGTTTTCGCCATTGGGCTTCTAATTTTTAGTTCTCGGTAGTAATTTTCATATGGGGTATCATTTTAAAGGAAATTTGGCCACGAATTCAACGACATCAATATTCTTGACCTTATGACCTTGACGACGAGGTCAGAGGTCAGAAAACACATAATTTTCATATGGGGTGTCATTTTAGAGGAAATTCCACCGCAAATTCGAAGACGTTAATATTTTTGACCTTATGACGTTAAGGACGAGGTCAAAGGTCAAAAGATTCATAATTGTCATATGGGGTGTCATTTTAAAGGAAATTTGACAGCGATTTCTAGGACGTTAATATTTTTGACCTCATGACCGTTAGGACGAGGTCATATACGGAAACGTTAAAGGAAATTTGAATAGGTCTGACGCTACTTATTTACATTCGTTTGGAGGGTTTATTATTATTATTAAACTACTATTAAACTACTATTTTTTTTAGTAGTTATTATTATTATTATAATAGTCACTAGTAGTAACTACTCACTATTATTATAACAGTTTTGCTAGTGTGACTTGGCGTTGAGAATAATTCTCAATTTGAGATCAATGTGTTTATCATATTATACATCGCAGAAAGTTTGGTAATCGAATTTGACAAAAACATGGGAAAGGGGAATTTTAAATGGCCTAGTAATTTTTTAACAAAAAAGATATTCAAAACAGAGATCGAGTCACGATTGCTTGACCTTAAGTATCTAGGTAACGCGTCTCCCTTAACGGTTGCGACAAATGGTCGAGTTGCAAAAAAAATATTCATTTTAAAAATTATTTTAAAATTGGTTTTTCTCCCATGGACGAAAAACCAATTCTCCAGCCAAAATATTAAAAAAATAAATTGTAACCCACGACAATTTTAAAATGAAAATTCATTTTGTAACTCGGGCATTTCTCGTAACCTTATACAGCGATAAAGTGTCAAATAATCTTGAGATCGAGTTACTTGAAAAGTCCAAGAATTTCAAAAATCTATATCACACTTCAAATAAGTTATGGATCGCTATAGTGTTAAAAACGATCACAAAATTTTTTGAACCCGAAGTCCACATCATCGACTGGGTAGCTTTTCACAAAGTCAAAATTTCGCAAAGATGCCAAATTAAAACCCTGCAATTTGCGTTCAGTTGACGAACAAGAATCCATTGCAAGTGATTGCGCAAATATTTCAAAACTGAAAATAAGTTTATGACATACGTAGTTCCAACCCCAAAGAAGTTAGTTGCGAAGGCAAAGTTGTATTCGGGTCGTACATTTCAATTTTATTGGCACGCATTAGTATACAACTAAAAGTTCACTAAATGTGGTATAACTTCGTGATACTTGAAAATTGTGGTATTTTCTAAACTAGCATATTCGTGGCTTCAAGATAAGCCTAATGTGCTCAGAAAATTCAAGGGAAAGCTGAAGATAGTCAGCCTGAAAGATGGAAAAACTGCATGACAAATTTTGCTGCAAAATTCCAGAAACAAAATTCAATTATCTGCTAAAGGAGGTGTGTAATCTTTAGGTATTCATTTAATTAAATGAGTAAGGGTTTGGTAATAAACATATCTGAAGGGTTTCAAATTCCATGAAATGTTGATGGTTTTATCCATAGATTAATAATAGGTTTTACTTTTACCCACATTTCTTTGAAACTATCTCAAACTTTGACCATAGTTCTGTACATATAGGCATAGCCATTACCTTGCTCTGAAAACTGAGAGCAGGGATATCGAACGTTTTGCGAGATGTGATTCCATCCACCTGAGAGTTTGAAATCACGAGTGAATGTAATGAAATTGGACCAACTTGTGCTCAACCTTGAGCAAAGTCCATTGGGGCGTCGAAACCTTGAGAGAGAGAAAGAGTGCGAAACAAGACCACCCAGCTCAACTTTGTTAATACATCCATTATACAATTTGCTTTCTCCCTCTTTCTACCACCATTCGACACTGCTCAAAAACAACAATTTGCTTTCACTCGAGTCTCTCATGCAAGTGATATGTCTCTAAAATGGAGCAAAATAACAAAAACACTCCAGTCGCACTTGATGCTAGCACGTGGGTAGTACAGGGCCGATCAAAGCAAGTTTGTTTATTGGAGTGATCTTGAACTTGTTGACGGATAGATCAATTTTTTTTCGAGACATTCAATTTCGATACTTGTCTTATATAACGTCGTAAATACTATTTGTGGGTACATATCATTGGAAAGTGAATAGTCTCCTCCATTCGTCAGCTTTAAGTTATAAAATAAAACTACATACGAACATCTTTTAATTATGCCATCATATTAAGTAGAACAATTTTCTATTCGCATTATACGTAGTACATGCGTACATATACACTCTTTACTCGCACTGCTTGGGTTTGTGAACTGGAGACCACAAGAAAGTCTATGCGAAATTATTCGGGCAAAATGTAAGCCAATAACAATCTTATTTCCCCTAATGCTATTTTGTTTCTACTGCATTTTTAAAAACTATTCTTGCGGTCAATTATTTTCAAATTTTCCAAGTATATGACCTGGAGAATTGCTGGGATACTGCATGTATCATTATGTTGTTGATTTTCCTCGCTAACAAAAATTGTAATAAACGTGTCTGCATCCGTAATGGTCTCATGTGGTTTTGTACAAGGTACATTCTTTTGATCCATTTTCATTCAGATAATATATTGAGATATGAATATGAACGTAATTTATAATGTTAGTGCGCACTTTTATAGAAGTCATGGGCATTTATTACATTCATCTCACAATCAGTCTAGGGTTCTTATTGGAAACGCTGACACGGTTGATAGGTTGACATTGAACTGGTAACGTATGTACTATCAACATGAAGGGCCGGCGAATCTTAATCATTCCGCACAAAAATATTTGCTAATTCATTAAGGAAACAGTTGAAATTACTTAACTTATTAGAATAATTTTTATGTATCAATCTACCACTAACAACTAATGTCAACCATTACAGATAACCTATGCATGCATTACTTCCTGATATCTCCGCAAAAAAAAATATTCTTAATTGTGCCGAATTTTACCGTTCACGAAATTTTAATTATCAAGGTGTCAAGAATTAATTGAATAAATATTGGCATATTGGTATAGCACAATTAATTTATTCAATTGAAAATTAATCTAATCCAAGTTATTTCAGTTTCAGCTAAATGAAAGCATTGCAATTACATACTTTAAGTTGCATTTGCTAAAAGATTATAAGCACAAAAATTATGACAGTTTTACTACAAGTTTGTATTTAGTAACAGCAGATGACACATATTATCATCTGCTATCATCATTATTTATGGTGCACAAAAATGCATGCATAAAAATTCATGGGTGCAATGTATTTTAGCGCATTTAGTGGGTCATTCATGATGGGTCGTCTGGAGTGGCAATTTGCTATGCAAATACATATTATTGGTACACGTTAATTTTAGTTGCAGAGCAGACACGAGTTGTGCATTTAGAGTTTAAATCACATAGCATGGTTTCGAATCAAACATAAATGTCCTGACTTTCCTGAAATGAAATTCCTGAGTCTAATCTCATGTACAGATAGTTCGAACAAGTTTATGCAATGGAAATTTGCTCCATTTCTCACGTAATGAATAAATTTTTAACCAATTTCCACAGAAAACTTGTCCAAACTGATGTGAAGTATCTATTTAACAGGGTTTAATGAGATTAAATTGTAATGATATAACATGCCATAATACTGCTCCTGATGACGATGATAAGATGATATGGATTTAGAGTATAAAAATTACCATATATATATATATATAAGTAAATGATGCTTCGTAATATTCAAATTAAACAACATGCAGTGTTTATTGCATTATTGTAATAGTGAAATTATCAGAATTCCGTGTTTGTTGAAATGGAACAAATTCTCATCATAGGAACTCAGATTTCGGAGTTTTAATTGGTGCTTTTATGTGATCTCGTTTAGGTGAAACAATTCCTGGTTTATGAACCACTTTTGAATATGCTTACGTATTAATTAAAATCAAGTTTATGAAGACGATAATAAAGTAAATTGCATAATTATTTCCTTGCTAATTGACATTTATTATGATGTGTATGTAACTCTTATGCAATTAGTTTGAGTGTGGATACTCGGAGTTTTCAGAAGCAAAATCGTACACATGTGTGCTTATGTTTTTTAGGTATGTATAAACTATATCACAACTTGCTTCTTTTGAGAATCTTTATAATTGGTAATTTACGTACAAAACTTTATTGACAAGAGGCATTTACAATGTATCGAAAGGGCATTCCAATCTGAGAGAGGCAATTAGTGAAGCTCTCCTTTCCTATGCTTGTATGGGTATATATTGAGAAGGGTATCATTACTGCTTTCATTTTTGTTAGCTAGAATTTTTACTTTCGTCCTAATAATATTTCTTTCCTGGAAACTTATTCAAATTCATTATTATTTCAAATGAATCGAAAGTTAAGAAACCTTGAAATAACTTTTAGCAAGAAAAGTCGTTAACTTATCAAATCAACCTGTAGGATCTACGTAAATTGGTGCAGTCAGAGTAGAAAAAGACTTGGTTTATGCATGTGAAATAATATTTTAAGCAACAGTTGACAGTGAATGATTTCTTGATTTCCAAATTAACCAGCAAACATGCATTATAACTTTTTACCGAACTTTCATCTCAATTAATGTTCATCTTCTTTAGTACTTAAACATTCATTTACATGTTATACCATAAAGTAAGCATACCTACAATTCTGTAATTTTTACATTACCAACTACTTATGTATAAGAACAGAGAGAAATGTAAAATGTTTTTAATTGACATTTAAATATTTCTGCAAAATGTGTTTCAACATAATCATCTTAATCTATTTTTTATATTAATCTCCACATATTACTGTCAATTAGATAAATATTGTGAGCATGAAAACATTAATTCACAAACTATGTCCAATGTTAATAGGTATGCCATGCAGTAATTTAATTAGATGTGCCACTAGCATGAAATTATGAATGAATGCAAATAACTTGTTCGTGACTTTCTTCAGTTCGTTTGTTAATGTCATCTAAATATTTTTTATTGCTTATTTGAGAAGGGGAAATTCTGCTGAATCGTGAAGTCTTTACATACGTAAGCCCATTCATTAAATTTTATGCTACCTAAAATATGCATCTCTAGATTCTGCATCACACATCACCAGAAGTACTGCAAAGTACTGAGGATGACTGTTTCTCCAGGGATGAATATGTCGTAAAATTGTGTAGAAGCTAACTTGAAAATGTGTAGCAAAAAAATAGTCCAAGTTCCCTTCTGCAAAACAATCTAGTGAACCATTGTACCCAAGTTCAAGTTTAATAGTATGGCATATGAAACATTCTTAGTGAAAGAGATTTCAAGAAAATACTGCGTGAAGATTATGCATGCAAGTTGGCATAAACTCCAGTTCGGGTGTATGGCCTATTGCAAAAATTAGAAATGTGCAAGATTCTCCCACATCGTTAAGACGAATGAAATTCCAGCGTCTGAATGTTGCACATTCATTCTGATTAAACTTGTTATTGTGTCAGCAAAGCATGCATGGTTTCTGTCTTTAAGAGGTTGATTTTTATGACAGCAAACGTATAATTTTGTCACGTAAAGAGTAATGGCTATTAGTTTGTGCCAATCAAACCCACTCAGCCAATGTTATTTAAATAAATGGCATGCAGATTATAAAAGACCTTAAACTTGAACTTGACCTTCCCTCTTTCTTTGCCCATTGAAACCTGTGATTGAAATTCAATCGATCCGAACCAACGAGATAATGCTTGTTATTATGTATGCATTATTGTAGTTCATGTCCAACTGGTGTCAAATTTTGTTGCCTCGTATATCATCTCATCCATTTCTCATGATTTCATTAATCGAGTAAACTTGTAATGGTTTGGGGAGTGAAGAAGAATGCCATATAAACGATTTTTAGATAAATATATCGTGGATCTCAGCTTCGTGATGGTTTCTTCATTCCAGATTTTTTAAGAGCTGGCTGATGAAGATACATATTCCCCTCCCTTGTTCCAGTCGATGCATAATAAGATAAATAGGGTAGTCAGTCACATCATGCTATACATGTGTGTATGTATATTCACGTATGTATGAATGTATTTTATGGGCTCCTCGTATGTAAACTGGAGATAGGGACGAAAGATTGGTAAATAATTAGAGTAGACTGGTTGGGCTAGGTTACTGGATGGAGGAGTATGTAGAAGAAGATGGTTATAATTTCTTACACAAGTTTTTTATGTTTTATTTTGATTCCACTCAGACCGAAGAACTGGAGGAAGATCATCCCTCCACCTTATTTTTTACTTTAATCCTCTCATCTTAGTCTGTCCTCTCTTTTTTAAGACCACTCGTGCTAAGGAAATTCAAGGTTTTACTTATTTTTATTTTGGCACCCCTGCATCAGCTCGTGGTTCACACGGAATATATATTCATTTAATGTGCTGTACTCTCTGGCTGCTGTTTCCTTAATCCAAAGTGCATCAACTGGTAGCACATCTCCTTTCATCTAGTCGACGATTTTGATTCGGTCTCTAGACAACTTGGCGTGGAGGATGTGGTGCATGGAGTGAAATAACACAATAAGCAATCGTGAGTGAAATGATGGATAGCGATACCTATAAGATTTCAACACTTGCATAACCAGAGTATTTTTTCTCATGGGTTCGTAGCTGCTAAATCATAAACCTAAAGTGAAAGAAGTTGGTGAAAAAAATGGAACTCCCCAAAGTTTACAATGAGCTATGCTTTAATGCCCATTTATTCTCCGGTCGGCCATTGGGTGTTCAGTTTATTAGGTTAATTTAGTCCTCCGCATCCAAAAAGCTCATCATCATCAGGATTTCATGAACAACTAAAATGAGGAAGTGATTTTTTTGTTTGATTGGTGGAAAATCGTAAGTGGGATAAATACATGAAAAAGTTTTGCAGGTAATAAAAGTTTTGATTTATTAATGCAAGCCAATTTTTCAACGTCATTCTAGATGACCCTATTAAAGCCCTATTTTTTAGTCAACGTAAAATATCAAAAAATATTAATCAGCGTATGTAAATATCTTACAAGGACTTTAGAATATAAAAGAGTTGCCATATTTTTATGAAACATAAAGTCGCAATATTGAAAGAAGAATTTCAAAATCCTGACACCACTACCGGTTGACAAGCAAAATTTATGTCTAAGTAGGTACATAGTCTCCATGCAACGATTACCTATCTCACTCTAACGATACTGCTCTTTATGGACTAACTCAATGTCTAGTATATTTATAGCTCAACATGCAGTACGACAGAACAAGATCGCCAATCTTGTCAATATGAGAAACAGAATCCACGAGCTCATGTTTTCCTTGTTTTCCATGAACTTGACTTTTTTGACATTCAACCTAATTTCAATGTTAAATGCTTGAATAATATCGACGAGTCGCCTTACGACGGTTTTACACCAACGTGGTCTCTATATGATCTATTCTCTCATGGCTCATTTTTGATTAAGCTGCAGAAATGTATAAATGATATCTGTTATTAAATTGTATGCAAACATATTCATAACACGGAATAGTGGTCTAGAGATTCTGAACATAGTATAACAAAGATGAAACTGCTTGCAAAAAACGCGATTTTAAGTTTAATTTAAAAGCAAACAAATTTTGGATAAATTTCTGAAAAAAAATCTTCACATTATGGGTTTCTTTGTACGAATACGTTGTTGGTGTATAACTGTCACATGCATGTGAGCAGGTTTCATCTCCATATCTCTCCTCTATCTTACCTCACTCCATTGCATACAGTTTGCCATTGTTTTAATTCAGTAAACACAAAATTATCACAACATCATTGACATTCAAACCAAATGACATAATGCTAAATTAAACGTACGAACCATGCTAACCCAGCAGCCACTTTTTATTAGCCATGTTTTGGAGTCTCTATTCCACACAGATTATATTTTCAATTCAACTTATTATATTTTATTACATTCATCACTAAACAAACAGAAAGCATGGAAAGAGGGAAATCGTATCTACTATTAATGATCCGATATCCATATCGTATCATCACCTCATTTAGTCGTCATCCGTAATAAGCAGTGGATGAATATTTTCCATGCACCAAATCAGCATGTTGTTCGTTATAGAAAGCAATTTCCAACCATGTACAAGTTTAAACTGGCATGATGGCTATGATAAGAGATGAACAGCTCTAAAGCAGCCTGATAGTTGTGTCCTATAACATATATGACTGAGTGAGTGCAGTGGTGCAACAAAAAAATATTAGTTTTTTCTTTTTTGCAAAAGTTGGAGATTGCCAATTACAGATTTGATTGACATTTTTGTGGCAGGAGAACTCGTAAAATTCTTCATTGGACATAAACTTTCATCTTCAAAAGCTCAACTTTGACCATAAAGTAAGCTAAACGCATTATTTTAAAATCTTGTCAAAACTTTTAGGTTAAGGTTAGAAGCTTGAAGTCTGATTGAATTTCTGATCGCCGAGTCTAAAAGTCAAAATTGGTAATCTTGAAACATGACTGACTGAGATGTTGAGGAGACGGAGCCCAGACGATAGCCACGGGAGACGAGCGCAAAAAATATATATTTTAGCTTTGAGCACTTTGGGTAATATTTCTTGAGATCTGAAACCGGTTTGATTAGTCCACGAGTTAGAATCACTTAAAAAACTAATTTGCAAAAATACACAAAATTGCAAAACAATCAAGAAGCATGTTGAAAATTTGCATGTGATGGCTAAAAAATCCTGGAGATGAGAGACTATATGCTTAATTTTGTGCATTTTTCAATGGTATTACGAGACCAAACCTGGTCTATAAATTGGTTTTAAAAATTCCATGTATATATAATTTTCGATTCTTGTCATGTACTTAAGTCTGTATTTAAGTTATAGCAAAGTCAAATTAAAGCAAAGTTTTTAGAAAGTTAAAACCTCGCGTAGAATTTGATAACTAGATTTTTAAATTAGTAGGCTAACATTTTCTAAATATTATCACAAATTCACTACGCACTGCGTTCATTAATTATTTGATGACGTGATTGTGGTATTTTTTAACACCATTATTGCGTCTAAGTGACGCAACAAGGTATGGTCTTTGGTCAAGAAAACGATTAAAGTAGCCGATTTCCAGACAATGTGCATGATGTCTCATCATCATATACTTACATGCCTTCCAGCACTAAACACCTGGCAAAAGCTCCTTAAAACAAACGTTTATGAAATCGTTCTCACCAAGCACCTGCAAATAATTAAGTTTGTCCAAAGAATTACTGTGCATTACGTTGGAATAAAACCTATTTTAGCATGTGCTTATGTACATCTCCAATAATTCGTTTTCGGTGGGTCGTTGATGCATACTGTAAATATTTCCATAAGAACTTCAATCTATATGCATGAGCTAAACATGTGCATTTAGCTGAAATCTTGTGACACAATGATGAGAAAGTTCATCCCTGAAGAACTACTTGATACACACATGCTACTTTATACATCGTATAAAACACAGTAAAGATCAGGTCGTGGAGGTGACTTATCAGTCATTGGTGTGACTTTAGTGGAGTTTGTTTGACGGGGATAGGACAACGTTACAAGGAAAAGTTGGTTTGCTCGAGCATAAATAGCAGTGCATCAAGTGATGGCAGAAGAAGTGACTTTAATCCCAGCTCAGTTTCTCAACACCACTCTTGTGTTGTCTCACAATCACCTCATCTCTCAAAAAAGCTGCTTAGGACAACAGTGTTCAGATTGAATTCTCTTCATTCACAAGTGGAGAAGAGCTAGAATGGTGGTTGCATGAGTGCATAATGCTGGTACGAGTCGACGTATGCAGACAGTGACCAGACGCACTCTCCCAAGGACGCAACGTGTCCAAAGTCAAAAATCTTGTGAACATACTGGACAAATAGTGTGTTTCGTAAAGTGGGGGTTAATAGTTTTCCGATTAACTCTTAGTTAGTTGCACCAATAGATACACGTAACTCACTCTTTCACAACTGTGTCAGTGGTTCCATGCAGGTCAGTGCATTTTGAAAACGAATTGTATGAGAGGGAGTAGTACTTTATGCATATTGATAAATATCTCTGTACGAAATACTTGGATATTACTCCATGAGTGTCACACTTTATAAATCATTATAGTTTTCCTAGTAAAGTACTTTTGGATGAAATTCTAATTGTGCTTAATGTTATATATTTAAATCCAAACTATATTTTCCAACAGTTTATGCATGGACTTGAGTGCATATGTGTAAAACTTATGTATCTTTAGCAGGAAATCCAAGATGCATAGTATATGTACAAGTGCCATTTTATGTACAATAAAAGACTCTTCAAAGACAAGTGCAGATATTATCTATATACATATGTCCTCTGTCCCCTAATTTTACTGTTCAACCCAGTATTTCATCAACGTCAATATGAGCTTGCCATTGCACTTATGCAATTGATTTGCTCTCAAACCAACACCGATAACATACTGAATATGAGCATGTATGTATTTTTCAAATAATCGTTCAAATGATTATAATTGACGAGTAATTCTTTCCACTGCCAGACTGCAGAAAGGCGATGAATGCATTTTATTGCATTCCTGATTCTTGACCCTAAACTATAGAGTCGTAAAATTGTTCTCCGAAAAGCAATTTATATTTGCTCTCCGCCACGTGAACCACACTTTACATTATGCATACAATAATACGCTGTACGTTTTGATATATTGCACATTTTAAGTTGTACCAATCATATCATAGCATGTATGTATGTGCATATGTACATATGTACATATGACTTGGGCACATGTACGTATACCTTGTATGTATCAATGCCAATGCAACGCAGCTAATATTATGCAAACATAAATGCCAGCAAAAACTGTGGTAATAATAATCACTCAAGAATTTTAATGTAATTTGATTGTTCCTTCTATTCTTTTGCAGGAAGAAATGACATGTTCAATTTGGAATTTGACTAAAACATTTTACACCCTGCCGTTTACAAACATTCCAAATTAGCAAACCCAGTGGGCAGAGGGGAGTAAAGATAACTTATTATCAAATAATAATAGGACATGACGATGATACAGAAAGCTTTAAACAATGCAAAAATCATAATATCCATTAAACAAATTGTGCGCATACCAAGTCCAAATAAACAACCCTGAAAACGAGGTCTTAAATTTGATTACGGTCGACTTTACGAGAATACGTAATAGTTCCTCCTCGTGCTGGAATTTGAATACGTGTATTTGTGACAATGCGTAGCACCGACTGCAAACTTTGTGAAATAAATCAAGTCTTTGGACCATACAAAATAAACATTAATTGAGCTGTAAACACACCACTGTTAGTGCAAGTGCCAATATAATTGTTTTTGTAATGGATTGATTTGACGGTGCAAAGTGTCAATATTTAAATCATTAAATGCGAATCGACATCGAAAGTCTTCAAGATAACTTTACACCCTAACAAATATATACATATGCATTTATGCATACGTACCTATGTACCTACAACTGTTTTGTGGATTTAAGTTAGTTACATACACCAGTGACCAACATAAATGAGCCCCAAATTAAAATCCAAGTGGTTCCGTTGGCTTTCTCCAGGATCAATCTACGTAGATTCTGGAAAAGAGTCGGAATTTGACGTGAGTTATGGTGAGAAAGGAGATGCAAACGCTCCCTTGAAGGGCACAATTGGATCTCAACCACAGTTTGCGCTCTTTAACAAGACAAACTCACCAGATCATCAAATGAAAGGAAACAGAGGAGGGGTGACAATTTCTGGTACATGTTACACATATTGCACAGTAATTGTGAATGGCTAATTTCTCTTTCTACGGCATTCTTCTTTCAAATCATCATTGGCACCATAACAAAGGTATGACTTCACGCTGACAGTAAGTATTTTATCACTGTATTTAGGATCGCGATGCTGCTCTGTCTTTACCCAGTTCTTTTCGTCGATAACGGTGGAGGTATATTTGTAAATCTATAAACAAAATGTCGTGTTTATATGCAAGTGAATTATAATACTCCGTGTTTTCCTCCATTCAGCCAGTGGTCTTCTTGTACATGTTATCCACATTTTCTCAGTATGCATCATTCCAAGTAGGTTCAGAACATTTACTTAATTACACTTACATGAAATTACATGTAATTTCGTATGCATGCAGAAAGACACGCGTTTAAGATCTGGTTTGTTTACGGTTTCAGGACCTCGTTTACATGAGGTCATGTCTCCAATCGTACCCTGTCTCCACGTGCGATAAACTCCAATCGCCGGAATTCGCCAAAGAGGCTGAAGCAGTTCAAGCCATGTCATCCCACCTCATCCTCGTCTGCACCTCAGCCCTTGTACTTCCGTCAATTTTCATTGCCGTGTATCTTGGGTAGGCAATACACTAATTTACTAGAAAACTATTATTTTATTCATTAGTTATCACTGATGCGTCCGCGTATGCATACAAATAAAATGGAAGCAATTAACAAGAATTACTTTGATTTTGATAGCTCGTGGAGTGATAGGTTTGGACGGAAATGGCCAATCGTGCTGCCTCCGTTGGGTGGTTAGTAATAAATCAACATTTATTCATTCTTTTTTATCCATTCATTTGAAAAATTCGAAAATCATCGATCAGAATTTGCTACATTATGTTTCGAACAAATTTCATTTGTTAAGGATTTTCATCCCTAATTCCATTTTCTCGGTTCAAAACAGGTCAAAACTGAAACTTTTATTTCAAATCCGATGTTTTGGGTGTTCTAAACAAAATTTTTGAGAAACATTTATCAAAAAATATATATTTGGATTCTTTGCTATGATTAATTATGTTTAGACACCATCACGTTGCCCAATTAAAAAAAACAGTTGCATTGTTTAACAAATATGTATTAAATATGTATTAAATCGGCAATTAGCCGATTTAATTTTCATTAGCATCGAATGTGCTACCGCTATTGGAATGGCTGCCTCTTTTAATGAGTAGTCTGACCACGTCAAGTGTATAAAGTGTACATTATACATACACAAGTACAATGCGTACATATATGTGTTAACAATTTATTTATATTTATTTTAGGTGTTTTGGCATGTGTGGTGTACATCATTTTGGCTTTCCAACCTCATCTCCCAATCCAGTGGGTATTTTCAGCCTCCTTCCTTTCAGGTCTATTTGGGGGCTTCGTGTCGTGCATCATGAGCTGCATGAGTTATGTGTCATCAATTAGTTCAGAAGAAAATAGGACCGTGAGAATATCTCGATTGGAAGCCATGATATTTCTGGGTGGAACCGTAGGGCCCTTCCTTTCAGGCTCCCTTCTGGTACGTCACACTTTATAAATCATTTTAGCTTTTTTTAGTAAACTTATACATTTCTAGTAAAGTATTTAAATCTGTTAGATGCAATTCTAATTATGCTTTTTAATTATAATGTTGTATCAATCCAAACTATCTTGCAGGAGCACATCGGACACGGGTTTTCGTTTGTGTTCATGTTGATCTGCTACGCTCTCGCATTTCTCTACGCTATATTTTTCGTGAAAGAAGTGCACGGCGATGCGATTAGGAGTGGAGGAAATGGAGCCCCAATTCCGGAAATTGATGGGGTTAGACCGCACTCTGCGGCATCATCAACTTCAGTCGTTTCATCGTCTCTCAAATCTTCAACACTTGAAGGAAACAGGCACACAGAATTTCTAGACCTCGAGGAGGAGGAGGAGGTGGAACAATTACTTTCTCCCACACCACACTTGGGTCTTGGCCTTAATTTACCAGATGTTGCAAGATCAGCAACACAATCCGTGTATGTTGATACCACGTGTCATAATTTTGACCACCAACAACATGACCATTCATATCCTTCACCGTACCAACCACTCAGCTCGGGTAGCGGCCAAAGCCATTCAAATTTTGAGGATGGTTCTTCTTCTGCATCAGAAGATGGACAAAGAAACATTTTGAAGAGATCGAAAGAGTCGCCGCATGAATCGCACGAGGATGTCTCCTGCTTTTCCAGGTATTTCGGATCCGAGCATTTTTTTGCTGCCCTGAAAACGGTGATTAAAAAGAGGGAAGGAGGACGACGCGCTTATCTCATTTTGACACTGGTGGCAGGATATATTGGAATGATGATAACCGCAGGTGAGCACAACATTTTCGCTCATAATACATGCATAGAAAATCTAAACACACTTACAATTTTTTGTTAAATATAATTCTAAATATAAAATCAAGAAACATATGCATCAATTTTGAACAAAGTGTTTTTTGCACGAATAATTCAAGCACAAATGACATACATTCAGATATTTGAAATGAGGCACGTGCCAGGATTGGCAGTGGTAGTGTTATGCACATGTACTATTACAAATATTCCATGCCAGAAATTGGATTAAATAACAATCTTGCTCTTTTTAGGAGAGTTGGACGTGGCTTTTTTGTTTTCGAAAGGGGATCCGTTGAAATGGAGCCATAAGACGTTTTCATACTACTTTGGACTGAAATACATGCTTGGAACACTTGTGCTTCTTGTGGGGATGCCGCTTTTTCAACATTTTCAGATAAGAGACAGTACGGTCTGTATAGTTGGTCTGATTTCTCGGATGGCTGGACTAGTACTTTATGCCCTTAGTCCCAATACAACCGTGGCGTTTATGGGTAATCATTACTTTTAATCTCAACTATTTTCTTGGCTATGCAGCGTTGGCAATTTTTAAAATGCATCAATCATCTTGCGTAAATGCAGTTCCCTTCACACTTACTTTTTAATAAAAGTTGCACATATTCTTGATGAGCCCTTTAAGCCAAACTGTATAACTTTTGTCGTTAGTCAATAAGTACGAGCTAAATAATTAATATAATTTTTTACGCTTTTTGTTTTGTTGATTTGCAGTACCAATTGTGGCCATTTGCAGCTTTTTTAGTATCCCTGCTACACGATCTCTCCTGTCAAAACTGGTCTCAAGTGATGAACAAGGTGAGTTTTTACTCTTTAATTTGTCACTCTCTATTAAGAGTCCACTACAAAAGTATCTACATATGCGAGCAATTTCAAATTCTTGTACGGCGTGGAAATTCCTATGTGGAAATAGCAAGAGTTTTTTGTTTGTTTTGAGAGTAAACCATATTTTACTCTAAACATTCACGATTATTTGCAGGCATCGTCATCAATTAATTAAAACCTTTCTACTATGAATAATTATGTACGAGTGGCATATTGAATGAAAAGTAGGTTGTTGAAATGAAAGGGAAATTCTGTCAAGTGCACCCAACAATGAGTAGCTGCATATTATGTACATGGATATAGGTTGTAGGCCTGCAGGGGCAATATTGAGATATAGGATCTAGTTCACCGTTGCAGCAACCTCGATTCGTTCATTTTCTAATCAGAGAAAGTCTTTCGGCCAGGATGCCATGGTGCAGATGCAAATATGTCCTTCGTCACTGTGAAGAACAAGACAAAAAGTTGCCATCCACATGTATTTCCCAATCCAAAATTCAATCTACCTCAAGCTCCGTATGTACATACTTGGCATGCAATGAAGAGTGCAATGCAATTTTGACAATGCAATGAGCTCATTGTTAAACAAGAGAAATTGCTGCGCAATTTTGATGGTGGACTAGAACATACATAGCTTGCAATTTATTCTTTGTACCTAAAACGTGCAATTAATATCAACAAAGAACATGTGCAGTATATATTTTTATTCTTCTAATCTGGTTTATAGAAATTAGTATTCGATTGCACATGCATTTAACACTCAAGCTGTGAAACAAGTTAGATCTCGAAAATATACACTATGTAAATACACTTTTGACATTTACTATTTTGATTTATTGAGGATAAGTACAACTGCTTAGACATTACAATGAAAGGACCTATTTATGCGAAAGGGTCAGGATCAGGATATTTTTATTATTAAAGAATCGACTTATACTAGAACCAAATGTAATCTTGCTGACATCAATATTCGACTCATGCCACTGCTACTTGTGTTCATGTACATACTGACATGAATGACACCCTACCTCTCAAAAGACTGAGATTAAGCAGAAGAAACTCATGAGGAGAAACCTTATGATACGAAAAAAAATCAGATGAGATCATTCCGACATTCCTTTAGATTTACCCCCAGTTTTAAAAATCGTCACAAGCTGTCACTAATAATTTTTACAGGTGCATGGTGCCCGCAAAATTGGTTTTAAAATAAATTGTCATCTTACAATTGTCATCTTACATTGTTAGAGGAACATATACGCTTCCACTTTATTCATATGTAAATATTAATTTCTTAACAGTACAGATAAATGCAAACATTTGTAATTATCATATTTAGGTGTGCGAAATTTACATACGAATTCTCTAATTTCAGGAAAAATATTCGCGTTTTTCGCCATCATGGAAGATTTTACAGTTATGACTGCGTCAATTCTCTTCAACAGGTTTGTCATACATGCATAAATTGCTAACCTTTATTCGCAGTATTTTGATTGTCTCATTCTTTGAACAGTTTGTACCCTTTGACCAGACCAATTTTGAAAGGTTTCATCTTTCTTCTGGCCGCAGTGCTACTTATCGTTCCTATTCTCATCATGTGGTAAGCGATGATCTTCTGTTAACCGTCCACTGAACCCTGCTGCATAGCCCGTTGTTTTAATTAATTAGCATTTTTGTCAATTTCTATGAGACATACATAATTGCTCTTTGTAGACATGCTATGTACATACATTTGCATAGATATAAAAAATATATATGTCCATTTGTTGATGGAGGTCGTTCAGTTTGATCTTACTGCATTCGACTCCTTAATTAATGTGGCAAATTATGTCTAGAGACGCAACAAAGGTATTAAAAAAGACTGCACAGACACATTCTAGTCAAAATAAAGGGTTTTCAAGATTGACCCAGTTCTCGGGTCTTTATCAAATTGTAAATTATGTAAACACTTGAGATTTGAGATGATATTTGTTTGCATAAACAATAATTTATTGAACTTTGACCTTATTCTCATTACTGGGGCAGTGGGTAATTGTGAAGCTCTCAGTTACCCGAACTTCATTTACATATGTATACTGATTGATGTACATATATTTACTATTTTTATTTCTCCAGGTTCATTGGTCGTCGGTTGTCTAAACTGGAGCGTCTGGAGTCTGCGGTAACTAACGCTCCTCACAGCCCAGATTTACAGCAAAACAATGCGTTGTAAACTTGCACAAACCTGATGATGAATCATTTATTGTCCTTTCGAGAAAAAAAATATGGTGGTGGGTGTTATGGGTATTTATTGTTATTGTACGATAAAGCACAACAAAGAGCTTGACAAAAACAGGGGTCGTGTTGGTAGGAATGAAATTTAGAAATGTACAAATGATGTAATTAAAAAATAATAATCTACCAACAACGCTTGTCCTTATTGTGATGATAACTTTGAAATAATAATTTTGTGGGTTACGGACTGACTGTTTTTTGTATGTCTTACTTGGTTTTGGTAATATTATTGAACTGCAAGGTGTGTCCAAAGTATTGTACCTAAATATTCTAAATACATTTTATGTAATTAACCGTGCATGAGAACAGAGCATGAGATAAAAATAGATGAATACAAGTTGTATTAATTTACATAGATTGAAGCACACGGGATTTTCGAATTTATTTAGCTGTAATATATTTACTGTAGTGTATATATACGCACTTTTGTATGTGATGCACATTGACAAAACTGTTGGACTGACTGGGTGATCATCTTTTTTTAGGTATGAAATGAAAGATTCTTATATGAAAATAAATTCTGTTATGTGAGATCCTTCACAAAATTGTATTTTGCTAGCAATTGAAGACAAAAGTTGCAAGAATTAAAATAATTTAAAAAACTACTTTTTTACAAGTACTGCCTGCATGCATGTAAGTTTAATCAAAGGATAATTTCAAATTACAAGCAAAAAGTCCTAGTAAGTATGTATGTAGATCCCCATTTAATGTATTTACCTTGTTTATAAATACATCATGGAATTACTCGAGATGGCAATTATTCTCAAGATTCCAATTTACCCTAAATTAAAATCGAATGGCAATTTCTGGATGATTGAGCAAAGTACAAAGTTTCAACTTTCCTTACTTATGATATACTCGGAAAAAGTAGTTATAAATAATATTATTGTAAGGGAACATTACAAGTTAAACCAACTCGGTGTGTAAGGTCCTTCCTGACAAGTAACTGAAACATTATATGTACATACATAAGTACACTGAATATATGTATAAAAATAATAATTGTAATCCGTACATAACTCAAAAGACTGGTAGTAATTATTAAACGAACTTTTAAATAGTTGAATATGTAAGATAAGAATGTAAAAAAAACTATTTTTTGACTTTATGTAAAATGTATCCACAAGTTTGATGTGATGAAACTTTTAAATCAAATAAAAACAATCAATGTCTATTTCGACCACCATCTGTATTCTTGAATTTCTAAATCATTGATCGCGATCGCTTGTACAAATAAGACGTAATGCTTACTACAATCTGTGGTCAAGGATGTGCGAATTGACAGGACACATTTATAAATAATTATCTCGTGGTATAACTTTTACTAAATACGTGTATTAAGGTCCTCCCATGCTTGATGAAATGCGATTTCAGGATTTAAGGCATGTGCATAATAATTTTCATAATAGATGATACCATTTCTGAGCTTCATTTTTGTTAACCACTTGAAATGTATGATGAAGATAATGTGTTGAATAACATTAACAGAAACGCTGTTAATATGAAATGCTGTTCTACATTCGAAGATCATCCTGAGTGTTCATTCTTGACTTGGCAGATCTCGGAGAACATTGTATATTTGGATCGAATTGGGCTAACTTTCCTCTGAAAATGTCGTCAATTTTTGAGACCTTGAACAACCTCAGCAAGCCACTGCTGTTGTCGAAGGGTGCACCCAAAATAAGGTACTTAAGTGAACGCTACAAGTTAAATGAAAACTATTATCCAATCAAATGCAAGTAATTTAACACGACGAATATTTGTGAACCATTGAATAATTATGATTTACTAGAATTGACGACTGGACCTTCCGTCTTCACTATAGACTGACCGCCCTCCTTTGCATCCTCTTCTCGGCCCTGGTCTGCATGAAGGTAAGTGGTTAAGAGGTTATTTGTTTCCTTTAAATTTATTTTTTCCTGTTTGGCTTAAACTCTTAGGAATATATTGGGGACCACATCAAGGTATGTTGACTTTGGTGGGTGGCATTGGAGTTTATACGAAGAAGATGAGCTTTCCTCATCTTTTTCGAATAAACTCCAATTCAACATATTTTGGGCCAAAACTAGTGCGTACACATGCAAGAGGACGAAGGAACGGATCCAATTATTCCTAAAAAAGTGCTCGAAACTTACTGTTTCATCACGACGACATTCACGGTTTGTGCATATAAGCGGACAAATTTTCATGAAATATAGACAATTGTTCGTTCATGGACTATTACTATGCTCGCTAAATAGGTTCCTTACAATTCAGCCACCAGCCTTATGAAAATGGATTATAAGACTTCAACCATGCTTGGAGGTAAGGGGAGTTTATTGTAGATCCATTTTTAATGCCTAAGAAATAAACCATACAAAGGTAATACTTTTCCAGGGCCTGGCTACATTGAAGGAAGAAATGAAAAGGTTTTCCACGCCTACTACCAATGGGTGATTGATTACTTACAAATTTTTTACTCTTCCAGTGGTATTCATGTATTTAGTAGTTCCTGCAAAAAAACTGAATCTTCAACAGGTAAATGTCTATCTATTCCTTATGGGCGTGCTGTTTGCAATTCCTCATGTAATTTGGAAAGCTGTGGATGACAACAAGTTAAAGAATCTGGTGCAAGAGTTAAATGTTAGCCTATTTAAGTATGAAAGTATATGCACGAATGTACATATATACACACATCACTTGCATTATTAAATACAGGTACCAGAACTACCTATGGGGAAGTCCATGAAAAGCAAACAAGTTATAATGTTAGCAGACTACATTGTAAAATCAACTGGGACACATTCGTAAGTTCAATTTTATAATAGCATGTGCTTATTAAGTACTTACGTAACGTAGGTGTCAAATACACTGGGTCGGACAAAAATCACAAAACAATTAATAATTTAGTAGCTACATGTGCACACAATATATGAGTAAATAATTTGCTCTTTTTCCGGTTGCAGTGCTTGGGCAATGACATTCCTGTTTTGTGAATTTTTAAACTTGCTTATCCTTGGAGGCCTTTGCTATCTAACGGACCTCTTTTTAAGTAAAGAGTTCTCCACGTATGGAATTAAGGTTCTGCAGTTTTTGGAAGGTATGCAATTAACACGTCTCCTAAATAATGGTGACATGTCTCATAAATAATATGCAAGTCGCATACATTCAAAACGTTTCCTGATATTATTTTTGAGGCCTCATATAGACCCATAAGTAACTCCTAAATTGTTTGATAAAAACGGCCTTTATTTCATATAATTATCAAGGAGACCCTGAGGACAGATCAGATCCAATGGCCGATGTCTTCCCGAGAGTACTAAAAAATACTGAAAATCGATTATTACATACCCAGATCAAACGATAATAAAGACTAACATTATGATCTGTTGTAGGTCACAAAATGTGATTTAAGCACTTATGGACCGAGCGGTAATTTGTTACATATTTCATTACAATTTATACATTAATGTACAATTAATTTTTCATTTATAATTTAGGATCCATTCAGCGATTTAACGCATTGTAACCTTTTATTTTATAACTTTGCTTGCTTGATTTGTTTATTTATTTTACTTATTTATCTTATTTTAGGTGCCTTTTACCGTTAAATGTCATAAATGAGAAAATCTTTACATTTCTCTGGTTTTGGTATGTAGTTAGAATAAAATGGAATTCATGGTATGTCTATTAAATGAAATATTTGACATGACCAAAGGTTCGTTGCTGTGTCGTTCGTCTCGCTGGGTGGATGGATTTATCGATGCATGACGTTGCTCTCGACCAGAATTCGGTGTCAATCTCTTGGCGTTGATTCTTACAAGACGGTGGTGAAGCAGTTGACCACGTCGGACTGGGTGCTGCTTCACCTACTACGACAGAACCTGGATCAAATCACCTTTGACAAATTACTTTATTTGGTTGATGAACAGCTATAGTGTGTCACCTATTTATTTATGATTAAATAGTACACGTTTCATTCACATATTTCTACACATTCTATATTTATTCATCTCAACTCAACTTATCTTATTGCATTACAAATATTATTCTCGTGTCTAATAATAGTAAGATCAATTTAACAAACAAAAAGTCTTCTTTCCGTTATTTCTTAGTTCTGGCGACAAAGTTGAAATTCGCCCCTGGTTGTTGAAAAGGCTGGAATTGTCCTTGTACTTGGGGCTGCTGAAATTGTCCTTGTGTTTGGGGTTGCTGAAATTGCTGCTGATGCTGAGCTTGTGGTTGCTGTTGTTGTATTTGGACACCTTGCTGTAATTGGCCTTGGGGTCGCTGTTGTTGTTGTTGACCTTGTTGACCCTGTTGAGGTACGTTTTGTTGAAAGGGTAGCTGTTGCTGTAGTTGACTAGTAATATTGTTTGAACCGTTGCTATTATTATTATTATTAGGGTTGTTCTGTTGATTCTGGGGGTTATTAGTATTCGGTTGAGCGTTATTGTTGTTGGGATTGATACCACTTGGTTGTTGAGAAAGGTTCGGATTGTTCGGATTCCCACTGGGATTATTGCTGGGTAAATTTTGTGGAACGTTGTTGGTGGCGGCAGTCCCCTGATTGTTGTTGTTATGCTGGCCCCAGCCTTGATGCCCTCCACTTCCTTGATGTCCCCCACTTCCTTGGTGGTGGTTATGATTATTCTGACCCCAGCCTTGATTATTTCCTTGATTATGTCCAGGGTTGTTTGGCTGCGACTGGCCTGAATTACCCCACCCCCCACCACCTATGTTATTATAATTATTTGATCCCCAACCTTGGTTATAATTAGTCTGACCCCAATTCCCACCTTGTTGGTTACTGTTTGAACCCCAGCCTCCTTGATTTCTTGGTCCTTCCCCTCCTGACTGAGTTTGCTGGTTCCAACCGCCATTGCTTTGACTATTGTGATTGTTAGAATTCCATCCTTGATCATTATTTGATGACCCTTGATTAAATTGGCCTCTCCAACCACCACCACTGTTCCCTTGATAATTGTTGGAGCTACCGCCTGAATTCCAACCACCACCACTGCTCCCTTGATAATTGTTGGAAGATCCGCCGGAATCCCAACCACCGCCATATCTTCCACCGTTATCCGGAGCGGACTGACCCCAACCCCCTTGATTTTGGTTAAACATTGATTGTCCCCAATTTCCACCCGATGCATATCTCCCAGAATTTCCCCAACCTCCTTTGAAATTTAATAAATTAAGTTTTTAATTAATTAAGAGTTTGGCTTTCAGAATTCATTGTTTGCTAGTTATGCGTACCACTACCACTACCACCTCCTGAACCCCAGCCAATAGGGACGCTCATTCCCCAGCCATTGCCACCCCCTGCAACAATAGAAAAAGATTAGACCGTCTTTACAAACAATATTTTTTTGCGAGAAAATTAATGTTTGTTTATGTAAGCATACCACCGTTGTTGACCCCACGCCACTCGTTCCCACCACTAGAACTAGAACTGCTACTACTCCATCCATTTCCGTCGTCATCATCATCTGCAGTTCCAAAGCCGCCCTTTCCTAGCCCCCCAGCTAAGGACCCAGCAATCGATTGCTTGAGAGATCCAATTACCCCCTTGATGGTTGCTACCTTCTGCAAGAGGGAGGACAGTATTGCTAACTTTGCTCCTCCCCCTCCCCCACCTTGACCCCATCCACCTCCTTTAGGTCGCGATCTGCCTCTTTTCCCCCATCCTCGTCCTCCACCATTCGATCCTCCCTTCGAACCCCCCTTTTTACCACTGTTTCGGACGGCACGCCCTCCTTCACTCCATCCACCCCCACCTTATATTATTAATTACAAGTATTATTAATTATTATAAGTTTTCATTATAAGTTTTCATTATTATAAGTTTCATTCGGACAAAAGTCCGAATGGGTTATTCTCCAAAATACCTGAACCGCCACCACTATTCCATCCTCCTCCTCCTCCAACCTCAATTTCGTCGTTCCAGGCCCCCTCATCCCCAGAGGGATTACTCCAGCCACCACCACCACCTCTGGTCCAGCCTACTGCAGATGAGCCACCTCCTCCCCTCCAACCTCCCCCACTGTCTACCCCACCATTGTTGTTATTGTTTCCGCCCCACCCATCCCCACCTCTTCCTCCTGCAAATGTGACGCCAACCAACAATAGGATTCGAGATGTCTGTAAAAACTCGGAAAATTATTGTCAAACTCTAAATTATAAATCTTGTTTTACAATGTAGAATCCAAGTTTAACTTTTGATTCAAAAGTGAAATAAAAATTACCATAAAGATGTTCATCATGACTCGAAATTTTAAATATTTATTGGATATGATATATTGTGCTTTGGTTTAAACTTTGTTTGTAGTAATTATCAAGTTCCTTGTACTTTTTTCCGAAACCATAATCCTGTCGTAGAGGTTTACAAGCAACTTGCGCCAAAGTTTCACCCGACGCCCACACACTTGCCCTTTCAATAATTGACTGACACGAAAGACATAATCGTTCACGAGAAATAAGTCATAAAATTTACAAACACATATTATTACACACATTTTCTTTACAATAGGATGCAAGCAGCGTGGGAACTATTACACTAGATTCGAATACATAATATCATGGCACATGATACTCATCTAGACATAAAACAGCAAAGGTTTAGTTAGTTTAGTGAATTACGTTTAGTAAATATACATATGTACGTTTAAACCCATTAAAATATGCACATATTACAGGTTAAGTAATTAGACCAGCTGCAAACTTAATGTATAAGCTTCTCTACATAAATTTCTCTTATGCAAGGGAAGATCTTATCAATAAAAGTATGAAACAATTTCCTCAAAAATACGCAATTTTATGTTTGAAATACCTCACTTGCTGTTTTTGCCCTTAGGTTGCCCAAGTTTTGAAGCATTGTTGACTTTTCGATATTGATCTAAAATACTCAAAAACTTGACATTTTAAGTTTTAAGTTAAGGGAGCATCGTAATACATATGTCATATGTAGTATAATACGGATTAAACCAATAATCATGAACTTTTATCATCATCGCAGAAGAACAATAGAAGGATGACTTCAACATTTTTATAGTTGCATTACAAATTGAGTATAATAATAAAAATAAAATGAGTTTGCATTGCCAATAATAATTAGGGCAGTGTCACACGCTGCACACAATAAATTGGTATTTAAATCTGCAACAAAAATGTGACATTGCCGGAGAGCAAAACTATTTGTTAGGATAGTCTGGATAGTCATCAACTCATAGTAATCAATAGTATTCACAATTATTGTGAATAGCTGTTCTATGATAAAGCTACAGGACAACCAAAAATGGATGCAGTAAAAATACAAGACGCATGGTGGAAACTGCTGAAAAAGTTAATAAGTAATTGTAAACATAAGCGACAATTAATTTACAAATGTAGCCTTTCTGACAACAATTAGAAGTAGAAATGCAATTAAAAAACTATTTTTGTATGATTTTTCTTATAGACGGGGCGAGCTCAACTTCCTTATCTTCCATGTCTTCAAATGGCGATTTTGAAATGGATTCCATCTCCGCGCGTTTTAAGATTTGACCTAAAAATCGAAATAAAATAGATAAAAAGTAACTCGTAAAAATTAAATGTTTTCTCATGGAAGAAAAAATCAAACTTCTAAGCCTTCTAACTTTGCAAACCTAAAAATTATTGATTTTTAGATGTATTAAAAATTAAAAAAACACGGAGATGAACATTTTTTCAAAATCCTTTGAAGACATGGAAGATGGGAAAATTGAGACACAAAAATTTAATTCAAAACCGGCATGCTATGGGCCCTTAAGGATATTAGCAAAAACACGATTGTGGTGGTGCTCTACCGAGTCTTGCTGAGGATGGAGAGAGAGAGAGAGGAGAGTGACTCTCTTTCTCTCTCGTCCTCAGTCTGCAGGTTGTCTCCGAGGAAGCCGGTGTCATAGTTCCGGGCTGGAAGGGAATCGGCTCTTCCCAAAAATTGAGTTGTTTTTCTGGAAAATTCGTAAATTACAAGTAATTGATTTGAGCTACTTATCGGTCCTTGGGTATGTAAAATATTACGTATTATACAAGTATTTTAGAATATCTACAGGCTACAGTTAAAAGAGCATGTTATTGCACCAAAATGTAGAAGTTTTTTTGAGTATGAACGACACTCGAAGCAACATGATTCCGCTGGATAGGTTTTCTCATAAACACGCTTTTCAAATAAAAGGTTGAAAGATTTCGGGGTTCTGTAGGGCCCGTCTTTAGGCAAAGTGCATCGAACCTGTCCTTCCACGTGTTGGATAGTCTAATGAATAGATGACGAAGTTTTTGTATAATACGCTTTGTGATTCAGTAATGAAATTACCAAAGTGTTCATATTAAATATGTACATTAAGCATATTAATTAATTCGAAATAGAGAGCAATACACATGATGCACGGATTTGACAATGATTTATTTATGAAGGCTCCGTCCTGGCAGACCTAAGGCAGTGCATTTTGTACACGTGCAGGCAGTAGTGTCGTGCAGTAAAGCACGTACTCGTCCAGGGAAGTGGAAAACAGAACCGAGGAGGATGAGCAGGGAGTCGTTTTCATCCACTTCTCAATGGTAGATTAAAATACTGGTGATTGTAAGGAATGGTTTTATTTTTGTTCTTCGGTCAAAGGTCATTGAACTTTTACTGAAACGAGTACGTCTTGAGTTTAAATCCACAAGTCCTAATCGCAAGACCGAATTGACCGAAAATTCCTATAAATTCCATTTTAGTCTATTGGGATTACATTGCATATAATTAAGATTACTGGCAGTGAGTAAACTAAATAGTACTCAATTGTTGTAAGTTCCGCTTATCATCTGCTATCCTATGGAATCATAAACTTTACTTTACAATAAAATATGATTTAGTTCAAATATTGTGTATTTATAACGTACATAAACACTGGCAATTCGATTTATTCAAATACTTGTAGTCGTATAGCGGGGACTACAAAAAGGTATATGCATATGGCAGACTTATCATGAACTGCCTTTGTTGTAGTAAGTTTAACGTCCGATAAGAAATTGACTAGATTTGTATAGTTATGCATACGCATTGCTACGAACGTATTTAAAACTACTGACCTAAAGTTTGATTTGACCTGTTTTATTGGATAATTATACACATACTCACGGTGCCATCATCATTTGGTAAACACTTCCGTTGTTTCTTACACGTGCAATCTTTGGGCCTGTGAGAGACAAGCTTTCCGTTTATTTTATCACATCCTCCTCTTCTATGTATATACCTAACAAATGCAAAACGATAGAGGTATTATAGTAATATTGACTAACTCAATTATGCATATTGTGCATACAGTTTCTCATGCACACACACTATATACAATATGATTGGATAAGTGTAATTTAGTGTGATGCAACTCATCGAAATCATATCAAATCTTAATGATTAGTGTTTGTACATGCATAATATGCATGTACAATAATAATACCCTGTAAAAGCATAATGCTTTTACAGGGTATTATTAGCTCATGAATCCATTTAATTCAACAAATTATTATACAGGTCGTTGTTTTTTATGTGTTTTTTGTAGGCATGCAAGATGAAACGGGTATCTACTGAATCCAAAGAGGAGGTGACGAAAAAGTCAAAATTAAGTTCGAGCAACAATATCTTGCAATTAGATCACGACGTTGACAAGATATCCAAATTAAGGAAGGAAGAGAAAAACGCAAACGATTTAAAACCAAGAGTTCCTCCTCCTCTACACGTCAAAAATGCACCAGTGTTCTATCCCACAGAAATGGTAAGTTGTAAATAGTTTTAACCTACATTCCTACGTGGATTATTTTTGGCTTACTAGTTAGTGCATAGTGGGTACTAGGCACTCCCTGACATCGACAGGTTTAACGTGAAGGGGTAACAGTGGAGTGGTACCGTACCACCCACAGTAGGGTCACCCATGAGATGTTAATGCTTTAACATGGGGTTTATGGGAGACACCCCCTTTCCATTTTTTGGGGTGGGAATTTGGGTTGGTGGGTCTCGCAGCAAATTATCTATCTGAACTCTGTGTCTAATATCTGTGAATATTTTTAGGAGTTTAAGGATCCCTTCACTTATTTGGAAAGCATTTATGCAAGGGCTGAGAAATTTGGAATATGCAAAGTCGTTCCTCCAAGCAATTGGCGGCCACCCTTTTCTATCGACCCTGATAAATTAAAGTTTTACCCGAGAATTCAGCCACTTTACCTTCTCGAGGCCAGAAGACGTCTCTGGGACACTTTCCACAATAAGTTGCGCCAGTTTTGGTCAATGTATTTATTAAAAATCAAATATCCAGTAACAATTGGAGATATGGAGGTAGTTACATTTCTTTTAGTTTTGTTTTACTACTAAGAATAATATGACAAACAAGTATTAATAAATACTACTATGCAGGTGGATTTGTCGGAACTTAATTATGCACGAATGGAGATAACCATGGTCGCTGGCAGCCTAAAAGAAATCAGTACAGATGAATGGAAGCGTGTGGCGACTCAACTAAAATTTGATTTGAAATTGGCTAATGATCTGAGGGATTTGTATGAAACATTGATCTTACCAATGGATACTTTTACCGCAAGGATCAATGAAAAAGTGAATAAACACGTCCAAGCACAAAAGAAACTTTCCAAATCGTCCCCACGGAGGCGAAAGACTATGGCTGGTTCACGAAAAAGCCCAAAAGAGACAATGAATAATACGACAATAAGCTCAGATCGTGATCCAGGAGACTTCAATTTCTACCAAACAACCACTGCCTTTGTGGATAATAATTTTTGCAGCACATGTAAAATATACCCTGGACGGGACGACATAATTGCATGTATGGTTTGTAAAGCCAATTTTCATACGAGCTGTGTGAAAAGCTACCAATTCACAACCAGTTTCCTCTGTTCAAGTCCCACTTTTACTTGCACTGGTAAAAAATATTTTTTATTAATCGTATTTAGATAAAATCACACGATTATTTCATTTTCCAATGTCTTACTTTGTGATGAGCTTGTTTATAAGCCTGTGTCATTTTAAGTGAAATCGCAAATGTATGAATGGACATGGAGTTCAAAAATCTTGTTGCTGAAATTTTAGAAACATATTTTATGACCTCATTTGATATCACAACAAGGTCTCTGAACTCCATTTCTGCATTTGTGATTTCACCAAATGACGTACGCTTATAAGAATGCTTGTCTTGTATTTAACCAATAATTTTATCCAGCATTCAATAAAACTTTTTTTATTCATTTATAGGATGTGGTAGTTATCAGGCCTATAATGACCCTCTGCTCACATTTGGATTCAAAGATTACCTTAAAAAATTTAGTTTGACAGATTTTGGAGGTATAATAGTTGCTATTGCTATTTCAAATTTGTTAGCATAAAGCGAACATGTTACATTCAAAGTTTATGTTTTTTTATACCCCTAGATTATGCTGATATATACAAAAAAATGTATTTTGGAGTTGATAATCCAGCGGAAGTTCCGGAACGAAAGACTGAGAACGAATTTTGGAGGCTTGTCCTTGGGTACCATGAGTATGCGTCCGTGCTGTATGGTACTGACTTGCATTCCAAAAATGTAGGCTCAGGTTTCCCCGTTAAGAAATTGAACACTAAAGGGAAAGTAGTCATACATGAACAAAGCGATGAATTGACGGAATACAAGGAAAGTGGATGGAACCTGAATAATCTTCCAATATCAAATTCGTCAGTTTTAAGGCACATTGGCAACAATGTCTCTGGAATGATTCTGCCATGGATTTATGTTGGAATGGTTTTCAGTGCGTTTTGCTGGCATGTAGAGGACCATTTTACTCCGTCAATTAATTATTTGCACTTTGGAGAAACAAAAACTTGGTACGGCATTCCTGGTTCACAAGCAGGTAAACCATGATTTATAAAGTTGTTTGAAAATATTTGTATAAGCAAAAACAATTCCTCGTCACCGAAAAAGATATTTGATTTTTTTTCCTCAGAGGATGTTGATCAACGCATTAGGGAGTATGCACCCGCATTATTCATACTGACTCCTGATGTGCTCCACAACTTAAATACGATGATACATCCAAGCGAATTTACAAAAGTAGGAATAAAAGTGTCTCGAGTTGACCAGCGTGCTGGTGAATTTGTCATAACCTTTCCCAGAGCATATCATGGTGGATTTAATCAAGGCTTCAACTGTGCCGAAGCTGTCAACTTTGCAACATCTAAATGGATCCCGTTTGGGTTTGAAAGCATTGGTCATTACATGAACGCTAAACGAAACCATGTGTTTTCTCATGAAGAACTGCTTTTCAAGATGGGCAGCAATCCATCCTTGCTTGGATTAGAAGAAGCAAAAGAAATTTACTTCCAACTTAGCATATTCATAAGAGAACAAGGCTCGCTAGAGTCGGATTTGAAGAAATTGGGTGTAAAGTCACGAAGCCGTGTGATATTTGAAGAAATCGAAGACGATGATGACCGCACCTGTTTTTCTTGTGCTAGAACCATGTTCTTCTCAATGATCTCATGCAGTTGTCGTTCGAATCAAGCTCCCAATATGAAACAAAGCTGCCCTGACCATTTCCGAACGCTTTGTCGTTGTGCTCTTGCTAAGCGACAGTTCAAATATCGGTACACATTGCGCGAACTTGTGGACTTTGATGTCAAACTCTTCTCCAGAATTATTGAACTTGCGTACAAAACAACTCTACCTGCTATTGATACTACTCAGTTTGTTAATGTTGCAACAACGGTAGACTGAACAGTTGAAATGTGCTGATGTACTGATTTTAGTATGTGGCATTAATTTTTTTTTCTCAAAGTTGAAAAATAGTTTGCATTATGAATAGTATTTTGCCTGTCAATCAAAATTTTGAGTGCTAATATGTTACAATCTTATATTTTATGGTTTGTTACTATTGTTAATTTAATTTACCAGCAGAATCATTTATATTATTCTGATTGTTCGTTTTGTTGACGTTATTGCTATTATAATAATTTTCTTTCGTAATTGCAAATATATTTAACAAAACAAAGATCTGGAGAGTCGTTGACGCTCAATTTGGATCACACCATCGTAGATTTCATTTATAGTATTACATATATAGTAGTATTTAGAAAGTATTTATTTAATATTTTTCACCCAAATAATATAGTCTAAATATAAGTGAAAATTATTTGCGGGTTTTGTACAATGTCTCTTGAACATTTTAAAAATAAAATTATGAGTTTGTTGCAAGATACGTATTATGTTGATCTTAATAGTAATAGAAAATAAACGCTGAAACAGCATACTTGAGGTTTCTAGTATTTTACCTAAAAAAGAATTAAAATAATAATATCATTTATTCCATTGCATTTCATGCTACGATGACGTTGATTGTACAGGAAAACTGTGGATAAGTTATGCATACTTGGATTATTTAAAGAATACAAAATACCAAACCATGAACTTGAAGCCATCAACCCTGTTCTTTTTTGATGAATATTTCAACATTGCAAACATTCATCATCATAAATATATCACCATCCCATTTTTTATATCAGCACCAATATGCCATCAATCATTCACATTGTTTTCAATTATGTATTTAAGTACGTATTTAGTAATTTAGTATCTCTGTTAATCTTGTACTCCACGTGCAACGTTCATTTAATGCATTTCATGCCCTTAGTACAATTGTATATATATCGCCCACTGATTAAACCTACATAATTCTACGACACAATGCATACTTCATCTCCTACGCAAATCTAGGGAGAATTACGCAGGTCCGAAAATACCACGACTGAATGCGGTTGAGATTTTGCAGCCCAAGTGGCACTGGTCATTGCCTATGTAAATAATTTCAAGTCATGGTAATCATCGCTACTGGAAGTTATGGAATCTTCTGATGTCATTGTCAGCGTATTTGCCAAAATTGTCAAAGGATGCGATAAGGTGACAGGAATGCAATGATGATGGACATTAAATTTAATTGTATTACGCAAGCAGACATTATCGATATTATTATTTGTACCCGACAAACCACTGTCATCAATAAAAAATTTTGCGACCACAATTCCTAACCATCATAGTCCAATACATGCATAAATCTAAATCTATCTAAAGCGTATAATATAGAGAAGATACGCTGGAAATGTTTGTCTGCAACGGAAGTAAAATAATTTTCCGTGACGGAAGTGAAAGTAGAGAAAGCAATAATATTGGTGGGATTTTTAATATCAAACTAACTCTCGCCCGGCGGGAGACGGGCTTATATGCTAGTATATGTATAAGGCGATTCCGGTGCGTAACTTTCAGACCCATTCAGTCAGAGAAAGATTTGACTACACATTCTACACGAGTTCGTGGGACCTGCGTAAGAAATATGTCGTACGTCTAAATATTTTCCTACCCCGACCTATGCGGAGAGGTTAACCCTTATGATATTAGGGCTCAAAGGGCAGGTTATGTACATGTATGAGATGTATGTATGTCATGTATCAATCAACATAAAGATGAGCTGGTATGCGAAGCCACGAGGCATTTCGAAAATTAGTAAAAGAAAGATAAACAATGAACTGCGGGCCAAATGTTTCAGAAGTTAAAGTTTTTACTAGTTTGATTAATTCTAAAATATCAAAGTACCCATTTTCCAATAGAGCAATTTGTAATTAATATGACGTAAATAATAAGCATTTGCATTTTTAAGTTAGGTTTTTGACAATGGGCTTTTCACTCACAGCAGAACATACCACAGAAGTACATGATATATGATGGACAAATTCGATGAATTCTACTTATTGTAACAATCAACAGGATTCGATGAATTAGTCTTTGTCAAGGTTGTGAATTGTCAAGGCCAAATTGGAGGAGTGGTAGGAAGAAGGATTGACAAAATATTGAGGTAATCATTAATCATCGCCCGAAATACATACGTGAGGATTGCGCAGCTCCCACGACGTAAATTTTAAACAAAACATTTCCAAACTAATACTCTGCCAATTATCCTCAAATTTCCCCTGATAATAGTCCAGCATGGTTTACTAAACGTCTTCCTCTGACACCAAGTAAAATTGGCAAGATGTATAAATGTTCCCAATTTTTTTGCTTATGTATTCATAATATTCGATAAGCAATGTCATCATCACTGACCCGATATCTATCATCTATTCTAAACCTGTTGATAAGCTCGCTTCTACCTGCAACGCAAATTATATGCTTGAACAGATAAACACCACATATAATCTGGTACTGTCGTTAACCCAACCTCCCACCACTCTTTGTTCAATACTTAATACATTTATTACATAAGGATTAGCCTACTGGAATTAAAATCACTGTGAAAAACTTGAAACTCGGACTGTTATATAAGTAGATCTTCAGGCTCTACATAATCTCTCGGTAAACTTTGCACAGATTGCATGCATAGACAAGTTGATACTGTTTGAAGCAATAAATGTCATCGCCTTAGTTCATTCGACCTCAGTAGACTCCTGTCCCTTGGGCTGATTAAGTAGTTACGCTTCAAACTGTGTCGTTTGCTGGTGGAAAGCAAGTGGCGTTTGATCGAGCATCAGTGAAAGTGAAATTGAAGTGACGGTGGGTCGAGAGGCAGGAAGATGCAGGAGTTGAGAGGATTTGTGGCATGGATTGTGGTGATTTTCACCACTTTCACCGCATTTACGACGCACGCTAGTCCCACCAGTCTCCAGTCCAGTTAGTGCTATGAATTTCACCCATATTTTTATGTATACCAAACTCGTGCATTTTTATAATGTCGTGGTGTGTTAATATTTTTGATAGATGTGCATGCATGTTTCCACTACATGTGTGCATTTTGAAATTAATAAAAGCTATTTTTCAATAATATTTCCTTTGTCCATTCGGGTGCATTCAAATTGGAAGACACATAATGAAATTTATGAAGATGCGTAATTTCATTGAAATTTTAGGTAATACGAAGTACATGGTATGCTACTACGGAAGCTGGGCAGTATATCGACCTGGTCGTGGAAAAGTAAATGATTTACTGTTTTCATGTTAAATTTTTATAAAACATGCTTATGCTTTCGTTTTATTAGTTTGACGTCGAGAATATTGACCCTCAAATTTGCACCCATTTGGTGAGCATATACTTATAATAAATTATGCTTATTTTGTATTATGATAACTATATAGTTGGTTATGTGCAGATCTACGGATTTGTTGGGTTGTCCCCCTCAAATGAAATCTTGGTCCTGGATCCGTACAACGACGAGGAAGAGAATTGGGGCAGAGGAAAGTCATTTTTTCTTACTTTTAATAGTCCGAACCAGGGCTTATGGAATCGTAATGTCCGTCCGTCCGTTTGTCCGTCTTGGGCGACTCTAGAACTCGTTGCCTGATTTCGACCGGTAGAAACGTATCTGGGCAACACAATGATCGATACGAGTTCGACCAAGAACAAGATAGGGACCGATGGGGGTCATAATACTAGTGGGGGATAGGGGTTTTGGTGCTGAAACTACACAGCGGTCCGAATGGATGTATACATTCGGAATATATATATAGCAAACCTTGAAAACATTTTGACCGGGGGAACCAATAGGGTGACCCCCACAGATTTTCAGAATTTGTACTCGAAACCGTTGAAATTTGGCACAGAGATTCCAAAGGAATTTGAGACAATGCTATTAATGACTAGGGAACATGACATTTTTGAAGGGGTGTGGCGATAATCGCCCCCATGGTTGGGGCGCTGTGAGATAATATGCGTAAAATATGTAACATTTTAAAAAGTGGCGAATTTCGCCCAGGGGATTTGCAAAACGACCACCATATTAGAAATTGCAACGCCCGGGCGAATTGGAAACATATTTATGAAAATATAAGTGATAGACTTTCTCTGGTTTAACTATCACATTTATCAAATGAATGTTTAATTCGGATATGACGAAAAAATTTAGTAAATTGTACATTAGTCATGTTCTGAATGTCACGTGAATGATCCAAATATACAACTGCAGCATACATTATGAGAGTAACAATTTATGTCATTCAACTCTCAACAGGAGCAATGAAACGGTTCGTGAACCTCAAGTCTCAAAACCCAGGCCTCAAAGCCCTTGTCGCGATTGGAGGTATGCGTTACATGTATATTTTGAATGCGGTACAACGCTGAGAACAAGCATCGTACACAGGGCATTGTACGTACGAATGTAGCAATTACTGAATTTCTTCTATTGAACAGGATGGAACGAAGGATCAGAAAAATACTCCAAGGTAAAAAAAACTATTGCATGGCATTTTTCATCATCTATTCAATAGGCATAAAACTACTAATCTTATGTGAAGATGGCCATGGACCCTGCAAAACGACGCACTTTCATCAATAGCGTAATTCCCTTTTTGCAAAAGCATGGTTTCGATGGATTGGACTTGGATTGGTAGCATACAACTCTTAAAGTAATATGGTCTAATTAGGTTAAATAGTTAACTCACTCATTCCAACAGGGAATATCCAGCAAACAGAGAAGGCTCGCATCCGGATGATAAGGTGAATTTTATTTTATGATATTCTTCATGCAAGCTCAGCCCGAGAGTTTATTTATCAGATTCTTTTTCCATTCTGTATTAATAATCAGCTTATACAAAGTAAGAATTTTCCTACAATATTTTTAGAGATACAAAACTAAGGACTAATTATGAGCTAAGAGCTTATCTCCATCTATCTAGAATATCAATTAATACGTTAATCTATGCCCCTAAATTTCATGCACCCAAAACGAGAATTCCAATAAGTATGAGTAGACATATAAATAGTGTCCATATGCACATACATATGCAAATAAATTACATCTGTGTGCTCAGGATTAGTTCTTCTGGGCAGTAGCCGTGGAAGCTGTGGGGACAATAACATTGTGGGATGGGGGAGGGAAAGGATTATATAACATGGGCGGATGATGGGGGCATCGAATAACCGTGGGGACATTGTCCCTCTGTCCTCATGCTTCCGCGGCCACTGCTTATGGACATTGCACTTTAACGCCCACGTAACATGAGAATAATTTAAGAAAGAGGATTTGTTTTACGTCAGTAACTATTTTCTCGCGATTTCTTTCTGATATAAAAGATTGTCATGATAATGTTGGTCAGCAAGTGACATGAAAGAAACCCGAGAATGTCAGTCAAGTCAAAATGTGTATCAAAAAATTATCAGCCATATTCTGCGAAAGAAAGGGCGCACTAGAAATAGTGCATTATGAAATATTTAGGTATTTTTAGAATTGTATGAAATTCCTTATTTCTCTATCAATTTGTCTTGATATGTCAAAGTAATACTTCATATGACTGAAATTAATGCACTGACACATGTTCACTTTCTTCAACAGCAAAACTTTGTGCATTTGGTGCGAGAATTGCGACAGGAATTTGACAAGTATGGTTATCTCTTAACTGCTGCTGTATCGGCCGGAGAATTTACAATCCGCACAGCTTATGACATCCCAGCCTTGGCAAGGTATGAACTTTATACGTGAAACAGCTATTTGATGTAGAATAACCCCATCTTTAATTAATTTTTTCATAGGGATTTCGATTTCATCAACATCATGGCCTACGGTAAGAATAATAGTAATGGTTAATAACATAATAAAGTACACTAACTGGTTAACGTGTACATATACGAAAGAAATAATTTGTATTGAAAACTAAGGGTAAATTGACATATTGCAATGGAATGATATAGAATATTATTGGCAATAATACTCTATATCATTCCACTATACTATCTTGAAAATGTGTATTACGATCACAACTATGGAAGGTAATTGTAAAGTTGAATTTAGATATGCACGGGGCCTGGGAAACATTTACCGGTCACCACGCCCCTTTGAAAGCTAATCCTAACATTGATTTCGAGGACAACCTTCTGCTTAACTTGGTAAGAATTTTTAATTTGGTGGAAAATGCTACGCATGTGCATATGTACATATGAATATACCGTACCGAGTGGATTAGTAATCGCTCGACATATTGATACAATAAAAATACAATAACAAAGTGCAACTATTAGAGGCATGCAGTAAACTTTTGGATGGAACAAGGAGCCCCAGCAAATAAGCTGGTCCTTGGAATGGGTACTTATGGTCGTGGGTTCACATTGGATAATTCAGCAGTAAATGGACTCTACGCACCAGCCAGGCAAGTATTTAAATCAGCCCTGTTTTTTGCGGAAATATAAATCGAAATCACTCAACTCCTTTAAACTGAGCATAATGTTACTTCAGCAATCCAATCACAGCCGGACCCTACACGAGAGAAGCCGGGACCTGGGGCTTTAATGAGGTCTAGTTAATATTTTATAGCCTATTCGCACATAATTCGATGCTAAATGAGACATTTGACTCATATGTCATAAGTGGGTAATTATAGCCTGTAATGTGCTATCGTCGCTGGTCTGGGGGTCCTCTGACCGCTCCAAATAATTCTTGCATAAAATAAATCATATTCATCTAACCCATTTTTATGATAACGTTGCCGATGAAGTTTACGTTAATGGAGCCGTATAACACAGATTTGTGAGCGATTCGTTGCGGAACCTGGTCAGTGGACGGTAGTTCAAGACCTCTACTACGAAGCACCATACGCATACAAGGACCGTAACTGGGTTGGATATGATAATGTAGACAGCATGAAAAGAAAGGTAAGTGCGATAACTGTGTACACCTTATTTTTTTATAGGAAATATATATCGTATTTATTGTTTATATTGTCGTGCACCGTTTGATTTACTAGTCAGCTATTGTACATCGATTTGTATGTATTAAGTTAACTTGCTTTGTCACTACCCAAATTGGTTCTTTCGAGTAAAAAAAAGTAAAATATTTTTAATGGAGGATTTAAGTTTCAGTGAATGCCAATGTAGGAAAGGTTTTTTTAAATTATTAAATCCATAAAACAAAAAAATACGCTTAGGGTTATTTCGCAAAAAGTGAAAGTATGAATCAATAGGAAAATACCATAAATGTCATTTATTAGCAGCACCTAGTACGTAGGTGCATTAGAGATGTGCACGTAATACATACCTGTCCTCACTGGGATGGACATCCCGCAGACTATATGTACTATGTACAGTAAAGAGATAACTCCATGTCAAGCAAGTGAGCTGGTTTTTCATCCCTCAATTTTGGGAATCTAGTTTACTTTCTTTGACAGTAAAGACTATACTTATATTTTATGAGACAAAGAAAATCGGATTTCAGACTGCAATTTATATTTTCTGCAATTGTCCTGTGTCATTCAACTCAACCTTCCATTAGTTTGTAAAGAATAATACAATCTTTCTGAATGCCATGTAACACGTTTTTGCTTCATGCAAAGGGACTGCTCTTTCTCTAAATACAGTTTTTGATATAAAACACACAACGAGTCAGAGCGTGCTTACGAAACTTTCTGTATGCCTGCCAAATCTGGTTTAAATCCAATTTATTTTCAATTTACAAGGTTTTTCATTCAATCCCTCTTTGTGGTCATACATATAAAAGCATGTGATCGGTTTCCGGAGAATTTTGACCCCTACTCCGTGGTGTGACCTGTGTGCCCCGATGTTACATGGTAAAATAGGAAGCCAATAGGATTTGGCCCTTATCCGCTCAAATCGATCACATGATTTTTGCACAGTCCCTTATTTACACCGAAAATTGTGTTTTCCTTGTCCACAAACTTGAATCAATTTCATGTAACAACAGGGACTAACAATTCGTTGTATTTTAACATGTTTGTATGTCAGACAATCGAAGCACGTCATATTCTTTCGGATATGCAAATTATATACAATTCAAAATAGGTCAACCTAGCTGATTCTTTTGTAAATACTTGTCACAGGCGGAATTTGCCTTAGAGCTGGGCTTGGCTGGAGGTATGGTCTGGAGTTTGGAGACGGACGATTTTACTGGACACTGTTATGGCGAACCCTTCATTCTTATCAAGACCATTGCCCGCACACTTAATGGAGGAGTCATCCCAACTCCACCACCACCCCCACCAACAACAACTACCACTCCTGATCCAAATGCATCCGTAAGGAAGCCTTAACAATTCTCAGAGGACGTGTTGTCACTAATTCATAATGAGTGTCATGTTTTTTGTCCAGACGACCACAACCACCACACCAGCCCCGCCCCCACCCGATGGTGTTTGCAGGTTTGAAGGATTCAACCGTGATCCTGAAGCTGGACCTTGTGCCACTACGTTCTACTGGTGCTTAAGCAATGGGAGTGGTGGATGGACGATTTATCCAAGAACCTGCGCCCCAGGAACCGCCTTCCATGAGGACATCCAAGCTTGCACACATCCAGAACTTGTTCCCGGATGTTAGAAAGAATAATGTGAACGTTCATTACTTATCCAAATGTAAATTCTGCCTCTTATCTATCATCTACTTCTTTTTGTTGCAATTATATAATGTAATAAATCTTGATTATATAGCATTCTAATTTCCATACTTATTGCACATTATTACATATTTACTTATATATATCTCTTGATTGACACAACAATGTGTAAGCCAAATACACATGACCTAAATAAAATCAATGTAGTTTTGCATATATGAAAAAGATGTAGAACCAGGTTTTAGATTTATTTGAGTTAGAAGTTTGCATTAGTAAATAGAGAAGTGCACAATAAAAGTTATTTTAGAAATCTCGTAAATTGGGAAAACATTTATATTCCTACAAATAACGATCATCGTCCACAAGTTATTAATACATATATTATGTATAATATATCCGAATTTCAGCTATTTTCACTGTTGTTAACTTTTGCACACGTTAAATGGGGAAGTCGAGTACGTCAATGGATGATATGGATGGACATACTTATCAACCGATATCCTGCTTGATAAAGATTTATCATCGCATTACAGTGCATACAACTCATACTTATTTACTCATTCGGGTTTACATATCTGAGCAATATGGAGTTCACTAAACTAATTAGGGCTGCAATAATTGCGTATTTTGTTGGAGTTGGATATGGTATGTACATACTTATACAAAGTCTCCTCAAGATTCCATAAGCATCTACACTAAAATTCTACCGAAATGTACCAGGTCAACTGCAAAACAAAGTTCTGGTCTGCTATTGGGGAACCTGGTCGCACTATCGTCCACGTAAGGCACATGCACGTGCAATAGTACATTTTCGACATAGATGCTTGATAAGAGACTATGTCAATTTTCTTGCATGTTATCAGCGATCGGGAACTTCTCTGTTGACAAAATTCCACCAACTCTCTGTACCAATATCGTTTACAGTTTCTTCGGGCTTGATAATAATACCAATACAATTAAATCGCTGGACCCATGGCTGGATTACTCAAGTGCAGACCATCCTGACGGAGGACTTGGTAGTTGACCTGACCTCAAATTAAATAATGAACTACGTACTGTCACTTATGTATATTACGTCATGTCGAATTCTTTACAGACATGCTCCGCAAGACGGTTGCTCTCAGAAATCAAAATCCAAGTTTAAAAGTGACTTTAGCAATAGGAGGATGGAACGAAGGGTCCGTAAATTACTCCATCATGGCAAGGACTCAGGCTACACGAGCCTCCTTCATTTCAAGTACACTGAACATCATACAAAAGTATGATTTGGACGGTAATTTAATTTTTTTATCTTTGATTTTTTTGTTGGTTCATTCTATCTTCAATGAGTTTCGTTTATATTTAGGAGTAGACGCAGATTGGGAATATCCAGCAAGGTATTACGTCTTCTTAAGGATACATATGCATATATGTACATAATCCAAGCATATAGGTTACGCAATTAAGTAAGTGGGTCTCATGAAATACCAATGTCTACTAGCGAAGCTACATCAGTCATCCATGAGTGGGTCTATAAAAATTTAATTTGGTTCTTCTTCCATGAATTCTTGAATGAGCAGATTATGCATTTCCTATGCCTTGAACTACATATGTACTTACTATGGATATGTATATAGCATGTGTTGCTTGTGAATTTTGTCAGGTAACACAAAGTTGTATTATTCAAAATAGACGGGGAGGAATTCCAGAAGACAAGGCCAACTTTGTTCTGCTTCTGAAAGTAAGTACATAGCCCATTGTAGTAAATTTGCGGGCTGTACATATGTCGAAAACTTGCACAAAGCGGCCCAAAAACGGGTACACACTTAGGTGCTACACAAGCGTACGAGAATATTCCGTCTCAATAAGAATATTCTTTATAGAACGTTGGACACCTTGATGAAAGTTTCCAAACTAGAGCGTTCTTAGATCAATTTTGAACAGGTGTATCTTAAAGTTGGCATTCTACTTTTAGGAGTTTCGAGCTGCTTTGGACACGATCGACACAGGACGAGGCAGACTTTTGCTTACATCAGCGTTTGGATGCTATGAAAAGTTCTTGGATGTGTCATACGACATTCCTGAAATTTCAAAGTTAGTTTGCTCCTTGCTTAAAATTCAGCATATTTGATTTGTCTGTCCTGTCATCCGTAAAATCTTCGCCTCATCTGCCTTTCACAGGTTCAATTTTTTATTTCTGCTCTTTCTATAACTCTCTGAAAAGTATATACGCACATACATTAAGCAACAATAATAACCCCGCTCAAAGTGAAAATTTTCACTTTGTAATTATGTATATGCACATCTGCGAACATCTATTCGACAAAAGTTTTGTGAACTCGTTCCCCACCTGCGAATTTCAATATTCCTTTAAATCAAGCTCTCCTGAGTTTCCTTCCTTTTTGGAATTTTTGTATTTCCGGGAATCTGATATATTTCAGATGAACGGTTGCTTGAGAGCACCTTTCAGGATTTTTCCTCAATAGTGACTTTTTCTGTTTGTAGGTATTTGGATTACTTTCACTTGATGTTGTACGACTTCAAGATGTACTTGGAGGACGATGGAAGTGGTGAAGTGGAACCCGGCTCTAATCTAATAGGACATCATGCACCACTCTACAGCAAGGATTGGGAGGACGAAGGAAATAAGACTATGACTACTGTAACAAAATGATTTTCAATTGGGGCTCAAACCACGTTCAGCTCAGATCTTTTTGACCAGCTCTTCATAAATATTATTCATGAAGAATTGGTCTATCGACCTGTATTAACAAAAAGATTCGAGTTGAACATGGTTTGAGTTCCCATTGTTAGTTAAACTTGGTTATGCTAAAAAAATTCTATGCAACTTTTTGGTATAGAGCTTTGCTGTGGAAAGCTTTATTCAGAGAGGAGCACCGGCGAACAAGCTCGTGTTTGGTGAGAATTCCCGATTTCTGCCTTTTATTCGTGTGTACAATGTATCTCTGTGACTCGCATGCATTCACAGTTTTGCTTTCTCCTCTTGATAATTTCACAGTCGTGTCAATTTAGCACTACTGCATTCTACCAATTCATTCAATAATTTACTCGCACTATTTTTGAAACGTATTAGCGAAAGACTTGACGATTTTACACAATTTCTCACAGGGGTAGGAGCGTACGGAAAGACGTACGAGATATTCAGTCGAGTCGAACACAATTTTTACGACCTAGCAAAAGGTCCCGGTGTTAAATCTGAAATTACGGATGCACCAGGAACGTCGGCCATGTTTGAGGTAGAATCACAACGATAAGTTGGATTTCCAATAGATTAATAATTTGGAATTTTTGAGCCGCATGTTTTTTTTAAATACTTTAAAAACGATTTCTACTTTTTAGATTTGCAGGGAACTATTAGATCCCAGAATAGAATGGGAAATGGGATTTGACAATGATTATAAAATTCCATATGCCTATTCCGATACAAAATTTATTGGATATGATGACACGTTGAGCGCTCGATTGAAGGTACGTACACAATATGCATACTTGATTTTGAGCTTATTACTATAATAATTTAGTAGTATCCCTCCCAAGCACAAGGCAACCGTTTTCGATGAGTTTTACTCTAATTTGTTTTGCACCAATGTAGACGGATTATGCCATGAATAACGGGCTTGCAGGTACAATAAATGGATAGAAGAAAGTCAGATAAAAATTACAATAAATCTTGGGATACTTGCAGGAATGATGGTCTGGAGCATTGATTTCGATGACTTTGCTAACTATTGTCAAGGATGGAGAGAGTTCCCGATTATTAATGCTATGAGAGATCGACTATTGTACTTTGATAAGAAAGCCCATAATTGAAATTGGAGTTAGTTGTGACATATTTAATTCAATAAATTAATCTGAGCATAATTTCAAAATCACATCATATTTCATGGAAGATAGATAAGTGTTTATTTGATGTTTACTCATCACCACAACCAGTGTCAGTTTCTTCAGATAATGTAGGACTATTTATCCTTTGAACTTTCCAATGCAACTTTATCCTTCATTGTTTAAACATGCCCATTATTTACTCGTTAGTGGGAATGAGAAAACAGTCATAACAAGAAATCCAGCCCTACATCTCACTACAGATACTCTCATAATAAGTCCTGGAAGAATTATCACTTTTAACAAGCATTTAGGTCCATGGGAAACTCGGCTTTTCTCAATAACCTTGAAAATCTGTCGGTGACCTTGAATTCATCCCGAAAACTGGTTGTTTGAGAGGTGGCAACTCAAATCTCTAAAAGTCTTGGCTTCCTGGCCCCAATTGGTCTGCACAATACAGTTCGACAAGTTTGTCACCAAATTGAAATAGATGTTTCCAACCAAACTCTCTTCGTTCAAAATGTAAAATTTTCAAAATGCGAAATATATACGTAAATTTTCCAATTTGGATGAAGTTGATGTGTATTAGAAATTTATTGGAGTGAATGATGGAATATTTTCGGGATCTTTGGTGTTATTATGAAGGTGACATGCTACGCCAACTCCTCATTATTTCTTGACTTTGTGTCAGATCAATGCTTTTGACATGTTTCCTTCCTGAGTAATACAGAGGGTGGGCCATTTAATTTGAGAAGAGTTCAACAATTTTTCATACCTACATATGAATTTTTTTCGGACAATTAACTTGCTCGATGTGATGCCCCTTGTTCTGAACTACAAGTATGCAATGCTGTTTCCTTGATGAAAACATTTCCAGACACTTTTCAAGGCTTATTTTTAACCACTTGTCCTTAAAAGTTTTCCAAAGTCCATGTAAAGTCGCATCTAACTATTACATTTTCTCCACGATGAATGAACCTAACCATAGCAAATTGATTTTGTCCCGTTACAGTCATCTACCCTTAACTAGGCTTCGTCGATTGTGACCACACATTCGTCCCTACCTCCAGTAAGGTGGTTCTGGTACAGCTTTTTGGCGTAAAAACTTGCGATAAACGATGTGATTCTTGTTCAACGCATGCAGTTTTGTTTTATTTCGTTTGATTTTGTCAAAATATCTTCTAATGACTCTTCGAATAGTTGTGGGATTAGATTTTAATAGTTTCGCCATACTGCGCTTTAGGATTTCCTGGTTGATAAAACGGTTGAGCTTCGTTTTTCACTTATTCGACCGTTCTGGTAGGGGGCGGTTTTTAGGGGGAGGATACAGTCGTGGATTAAGTGCTTGTGTTCTAACACCTTCTATACTTAGTATTCTATAAATTAAGGCCAAAGAACTTTCATGTCCACGTGGATTATGCCTTTTTTATCACATTTCCAGTGAAATTTTGACTGGAAAACTCTTTCACAGTACCTCCACTGAAAATGGTCAGGGCGGAGCCATTTTTCAGAATTTCGAGTAGAAAAAAATCAGGGCTTTACTTAGTTGGTATGTCTATCAAATAATGTAGACCGGGTTTGTTCAAGTTGTTCCAGTTTTTTCGCGCGAGCGTTTGAATCCTTCTCCAATTAAATGGCCCACCCTGTAATTTCGAATCTTGTAATATCAAATAAGATGAAATGTTACATGTGAAATGAAAGTGAAAATTTCATCACCAAATAGACGCAGTATAATATTTTGCATAGTTGCTTATATTGCGTATTCATAATACAGGTATGTATAGCACATGCAATGCGGGGTAAGGGCTTCACCAACTTTCACCGGTTGAACGTGCAACTTGACGACGGTGCTTGGAGGCATTCAGGATGTGATTGATGCTGAATATGACGGTAATGCGTTGCTTTGGCAGAAAAAGCTTCCCTTCCTTGCGATTGTATTCTTGGACTTTGAATTGTGGAAATGGAGGTGTCAGTTATTCCACGTCTAAGATGATGTATGGACGATGGATGATCTAAAAAAATCCACATGTCTACTCAGCTTCTATGTTGTGTAATCATTGCCATTTCTTCATTTACTTACCATTCTTGCCCGTCAAACGCCTATTCTGCAATATTTGTGGTTCAATTGTCATTCTCTGTCTCTGATACCCATGTCATCTTCACATGATGGTTTATCGACTTTTCTTTTACTTCTCAGTCAAAATCGAGAACATTGGACAGCTATCTCCTTCATAATGAAGCAGAAGTAACTGCAGGTGAGCAGTTAACAATGGTGAAAGAATATTGCTATCCGTCTACTAATAATATGGGCAGTCATTCTTTTTCTGGTCTCAAGCTCATGGTCATTTTGATTCTATCTGTAGTATCTAATTTGCTTACAACTACTAAAAAGACGATATTTCTAGATTGTGACCATGTGTATCGAATTACGGACATATGCCTGTGCGAAATGTGTTTTTTTCACGACCGAGATCATTATTTTTCAGGCTTTTGGAGTGAACTACTTTCTCCAACTGTATCTCGAAAACTAGTTTTAGATACACCTATGAAAAACAAAAATATATAAGCTTTTCATGCAAGTGCAATAAAATATTTTAAACGAAATAGGGATCAGTGCCCACACTTAACGTACAAACGTATGTACGTGCATATGTAAGGACTGGGATACCCAGACTTTTTTATCAACCTGCCATGGGTTTAGGACCCGCAGGAAGTTTCGCTCGTCAGCAGGGAATCCTTTCTTTTTCCCAGACATCATCACTTTTTTATTATTATAAAATCGAGTTATGAAACGAATAAGTAAGTACGTACATCATTATCTATGACTCTCATCCTTTCTCAGATTTGTGACGAGTTGAAAAAGACAACTCAACCCAGTGTCCTTTGGGCGATCCCCTTCATTTGCAATGACTCAATGTACCACCGTCAAATTTCGGCCAGGGAAATTTCCTCAACACAGAAAGTAATAAAAGTTCTCTATGTTCAGGGTATGGACTATGAAATGACGACAATAAATCTGGGAGGAACAGTGATACATTTTATAGACCTGCATCATTTAGACAACTTTTGCGAAGGATTAGCTCCTTGCCATTTGGCAGGTGCAACTTGAGAGAAGTTAAGTTACTGGAAAACGCTGTACGAATGGAAACTTATGCATACACACAACGACATATTTACGCAATATATTGTGAATAATGCACTCGATCGGCATAAAAAATTTGAATTAAAGGAGGTATGTATACATACATACGTACACATGTGTTCATCTCTAACATTCTCGAATGGGTTTATCTCACTCACCGTCATTTTCCGCTAATAATGAGATAAAGAGTTATCACGTTGATTGTAATCGATCTATCGATTCCACATATCCAAAAGTGTAACTGACGCATATTCATTCGTTTTTAGTAATTCGTTGAATGCAATTAACTGCTACGTTGAATACAAGAAAATCATTATTGCAAGTTGAGTTATGGCGTTTCATAATAAGAAATACGTCGGATTATGTGATATTCTCCAGATAGCTTTTGGAGCGGTCTTATTAGTTTGTGAGTTTATTTACAAAGTTAACTAAGCTCTGAATTCCAGCAAAATAATGATATGTTATGATTAAGGTCTCACAAAGTCACAGGATGGTGCAGCAAAAAAAGTTGTAATTTGTTACTACGATGCAACTGCTTACTGGAGACAAGGTAAGTAAATAAATCTATTCAATACTAATTCCACCATGAAGTAAACCAATTACAAAATTAGTCTACTTAAAAATATGCACTTATTCGAATTATTCATCAAATTTTCTGCCCACGTTCTTAAATCATATTTTCCTCTCCCACTTGACTGAATTCTAGAATTTAAAAACTTTCTCCAGGCACACATTCCACAGAAAAAATTAACTTGTCAATGTGCACATTGCATACAAGCATGTTTTCAACAGGAGTGCTATTTTAATACCGAATAAACAACATTCAAAATACTTGTTAGCGAATAATCTTGACTTATGAACCTTAATGAGAATTATCATTTTAGGTGCTGGTCGTTTTCAGGCTGGAGACATTGACCCGTCCATTTGTTCACACATTATTTATTCCTTCGTTGGGATGAAGGAATCCACCAGTAGAATTTACAGTCGTGACCCAGGGCTTGACCTGGCACCGGGTGAGGAAGAGCCAGATCCAGATGACGAGGTCAACTATCAGGGGGATTTGGACATGCTAAGAAAAACTGTAAGGCTACGCGACGAAGGAAATTCCGATCTCAAAATCTTAATGGCCGTTGGCGGTCCTCAACAAAGCCAACAAAGTTTTTCAATCATGGCCGCAGATGCGGAACGACGACGACAATTTGTTGAAAGCGCGGTGGAGTACATTACACGGTTCAATTTGGATGGTTTGGATTTGTACTGGCTTTATCCTGCCGTGGAGGCAGACAAACAAAACTTTGTTCAAATTATGAAGGTTCGTATGCAAAGAGCTTCTCACTCACTCATTGAAATTCACTGTCCAAGACTTAATTTAAATTCAAAAACTCATACGTACTTATTATTCCCCCTTGATTTTGGATATGGCCAGACTTTGATAGCTCTGAATTAATACGTTAACATCAAGATTATATATGCATCTGAGCGTATATTTAAGTGCGAAGGTCTAACCCGTCTCGTCTGTATGTCCGCTCATGATATGAACAACAATGACCTGAATCGTGTTTTATTAGGAATTGAAAGAAGCTCTCGATGCACTTTCCTCCACAACTGGGAAAGATTACACTCTGACGGCAGCCCTAGGGTGCACCAAGGAAATCATCGATACCGGATACAGTCTGGTGGAGTTGGCTCGGTAAATAACTTTCGTTTTATTGGATAAGTTACACAACAATCTTATCAGAAGATGCATTCAATGAGCCGCGAAAACTTTACAATGATAATTTGATAACAATGTAATACTGCTCGTGCTGTCAATAACTGCTTTCTCTATTTTGCTTTGGATCTATTACTTGTGATTCTCAGAAATTCCCAACGTATTTACTTATGCTGTATTTCTAAACGATTATGGACAATCAGAGGTAGAATCAGAGTGGGATTTAGTCAACGAACCTACGCACGTTGAAAGACTCTTTAACAAGGACGACTTAGTTAAGTTACACAAGAAACAGCCGTAGGAAGGAAGCCGTCCTTTTCCTGCTTTCCCCACGAGTGCCTTGCTAATCTCATTTTACTTTACCCAATTACTTGCTGGCTGTGAGTTTGGCATTGTTACACAATCTGCTTGCTTGCTATTGATGTCCCCTTGCCACAAGAAATTTCCAACTGATACGATACGTGGTGAATCTCGAAATCTCAGCATCTAGTCACACTGTTTTTCACTCTTTGTCCAGATATGTGGATTACTTCAACCTCTTGTGCTTTGACTTTAAAATGTTTTCCAATGAATCCGAATCTACCATGAAGATTGGGCATCACAGCTCACTTCACTTTAAAGAATCAGAGTCTCCTTCGGATCAACAGCTCACGGTGGTAAGTACATACTTAAATACGTACGTATGTACATGGACAGAAAGAATGAAATTGCTTCAAATATCACTTGCTTCGTTAAATCTCATCGTGAATTTCACTACTTCTTGGTTGAGATTTGATCGGTGTTGTGTGGGGGACATAAATTATTTTGTCCATTGAGCTGAGTAATACAATTAGTTGGATGATTTCCTGAAGCCATTTGCAAGTTTGTCACAAGAAGCCACCTAGTTTTCTTGCTATTCACATCATTGGAAGGCCCGGCTACGGATAATTTCTGCCATTTTGTCAGAAATTGACTTTCAGTGGTTTCAAATTCAATATGTATATTAATGAGGAGTCAACTACTCCACAAATATCGACACATATTGGAATCATTCATTAACAAATTAGTTTATGCAACACACGAACCCACAAAGGTGTCAATTCCAAGAAGTAGAAATCGCCTCGTTAATTAGTTAAATTGTATAATAGGCTTTTGGAGTCAAGTACTTTCTCCAGCTGAATGCCCCCCCGGAAAAGCTGGTTCTTGGTAAATTTTAATATATTTCGTCTGATTGAACTTGAATGGTTTAGCTTGAATTTGTCTGCACTAATTTGGTGCTCATTTTTGGTTTTATAACTTTGTATGTATCGTTATCATCTCACTTTTCGTTCACATGATGAAATATTTGAAGGAGTTGCTGCTCACGCGAACACGTACAAACTGACATCGAGCACCAGAAACAACTTTTACGACGTTGCCGCAGGACCGGGGCCTGCAGGAGAGTTTACAGGTCGAGAGGGATTTCTTGCGTACTTTGAGGTACACCACATTGACTCCATTTCATTCGTCTACATATTTATTTAATATTCAAGGTCGCCATTAATCGTCTTCCAAATTTCCTTTAAATAATCTAATGCTTAATATCTATATTATAAGCTGGAAATGTCTTTCTGCAACGGAAGTGAAAGTAATTTTCCGTGACGGAAGTGAAAGTGGAGAAAGTTAAGTTTCGAATGGCGCGAAATTTCAAAATAAATTAAATTCAAAAATTAAATGTCTGATGGTAGTTATCTTTGGGGGTTGTCTGACGGTATTATCAGAGTGGTTGTCTGATGGTGCTTATCTGGGAGTTGTTGTCTGATGGTGCTTATCTGGGAGTGGATGTTTGATCGTGCTTATCTGGGAGTGGTTGTCTGATGGTGCTTATCTGGGAGTTGTTGTCTGATGGTGCTTATCTGGGAGTGGTTGTCTGATGGTGCTTATCTGGGAGTGGATGTTTGATCGTGCTTATCTGGGAGTGGTTGTCTGATGGTGCTTATCTGGGAGTTGTTGTCTGATGGTGCTTATCTGGGAGTGGTTGTCTGATGGTGCTTATCTGGGAGTGGTTGTCTGACGGTGCTCATCTGGGAGTGGTTGTCTGATGGTGCTTATCTGGGAGTGGTTGTCTGACGGTGCTTATCTGGGAGTGGTTGTCTGATGGTGCTTATCTGGGAGTGGTTGCCTGATGGTGCTTATCTAGGAGTGGTTGTCTGATGGTGCTTATCTGGGAGTGGTTGCCTGATGGTGCTTATCTGGGAGTGGCTGTTTGATGGTGCTTATCTGGGAGTGGTTGTCTGATGGTGCTTATCTAGGAGTGGTTGCCTGATGGTGCTTATCTGGGAGTGGTTGTCTGACGGTGCTTATCTGGGAGTGGTTGTCTAATAGTAGCTATGCTGGGTGGTTATTTCACTGCGAAGTGAAGTGGAAATTAGTCAGATTCAGAGTTTCGTCACTTCTGTGGAAGTGAAGTGGAAGTGAGTTCATGGATCCAGAGTTTCGTCACTTCTGTGGAAGTGAAGTGGAAGTGAAGTGGAAGTGAGTTCATGGATCCAGAGTTTCATCACTTCTGTGGAAGTGAAGTGGAAGTGAAGTGGAAGTGAGTTCATCTCTGCGACGCAGGGTTTTGTCACTTCTGTGGAAGTGAAGTGGAAGTGAGTTCATGGATCCAGAGTTTCGTCACTTCTGTGGAAGTGAAGTGGAAGTGAGTTCATTGATCCAGAGTTTCGTCACTTCTACAATCAACAATTCTGTACGAGTTTGTCACTCCACTGCGGAGTGGAGTGGGAGTGAGACAGGAGTACTCGGAATTTGTCACTCCACTTCGGAGTGGAGTGGGAGTCAGACACACTGACTTGGATAGTATACATACTTCGACACAGACGGATAGACCTGCATGTACAGATATGGAGGCTGCCATGTTCATAGTTATTAAGATTGCAAGCCCGGAAAATTTCCGTCACCCTCCAGTCACTTTGAGACTCTCAATGTAAAGTCTACTATCGCTAAGGAATACAGTGACTGGAGGGTGACGGAAATTTTCCGGGAGATTTTGACTGCAGGTCTGTCCTTCTGGGCTAACTTATAATATACTAGCCCTGTTGGGGTTGGTCAGACACGAGCACACAGAAATGTCACTCCACCACTTATCTTTTACATCCGTTGCCGACAGATATTTCCAGCTCTTATTTTCGCTCGCCCGGCGGGAGACGGGCTTATACGCTAGTTACTAAATAATGCAGAAGTGCACTAGCCAAGATATTTAATTAATTAAAGCTCTTTTTTTACAGATATGCGCCATGATCAAACAGAGTCCGAACAACTGGTTATTTAGATACGACTATGACTATCGCATCCCATACTTGAGCAAGGAACTAATCTTCATTGGCTATGAAAATGAAGTTAGCGTTCAAGAAAAGGTATGTATAAATAGTTATAAGAATTTACTGCTAATCAATAATCTTTGGCACGTGGCAATAATCAGAGTCTGGCCAGATATATTTTTACGGTGGCTCAACACGAGTAGAGATTGATAAAAACATATTCGGCCGGACTCTGGTAATAATATAGCTCGTAGACGAATTTTCATATTAAAATGCAGGTTGATTTTGCCGTGGACGAAAATCTTGGTGGGCTGATGGTGAAATCCATTGACCTGGACGACTCCCGCAATATTTGCGGAGCTTGGTATTCTTTCCCCATCACATCGTCAATCTTCGACCGTTTGCAATTTTGGGAGACGAATTCCAAAGTTTAGATAATAGTTATTACATATTTTTCGAGGCATTACAGATACATGTTTCTTGCGTAAGAGATTATTGGGACCTCCAGAAATAAATGAATTTATACGTATACACAAAAGACAGCCCGAGTCGCAAACTAACTCGGTCGACATATATATTTTTCACTATATGACAAGAAATTCAATCATAATTTTTAAACTGTTGCTAATTCTGAAAAGAAGGCCGTAGTAGATTTATTTCCCAGGAGCATTACTGTATGCATTATAACTTGGAATTTCAACGATCAATGAGGAATTTTCATTTAAGTCTCTTCAAAGAATATGTGCGTACGATTAGCCTGTCTCCTCCTAACAAAATAATTAAACTCTTATTCCGAGTTTTCCAAGCAGCTTAAAAGGAGAAGCAAGTCTCATACTATATGAATGAATGTACAGTTTTTTAGGTACGTATAACAGCACAGCCCCATTAGTTATCCACACTTCTCAAAGTTCTGGGCAAAAATTTTAATATAAATTCTAATATGATTGAACCCCAGTTACATTATTTGCAAGTGAACAATTTTTGCACGAAAGTTCGACTTCCTAAAAAATATGTTCATGACATTTTCATTTTTTTGCACCATTTTTTACCTCCAGTTATTGGTCAGGAAGTTTCATTCTCGAGCTAAAAATAAACTTTCTAAACTTTACTAGTTATGTAGTTACCTGATTTAAAAATAAAACTTTCTCCTTGACAGTAACAATCCAATCTTACCTCCCACGTCCAATTGTTGTCCCCAATTTTCAATTCTTAATGCACGCAACGTGACACCCATTTTAAAAAGAATTGCTATCCAATTCCAGTCAACAAAAAGAGTTCAAAGTTTGAGAATGTGTCCATTGTCCATTTGTTGGCATTTCCACAGCTATTTGATTATAGTCGTCGGAATATAGTTTGTAAGGTTAACATCTTATTACTCTTACCACTTGGTTCCCAGAAGTGTTTTGCGCCTTAGTTTACTGCTTTACTTGAGATCAAACAAAACTACTGAAAACTGTGTGGGACAGTAGCAGCATCTCTGAAAAACAAAGATTTCTTTCGTCATTGATGGACTCAACTTTCACTTTCTCACTTTCTTTGTTTTCGAATCTTGACAATTGGATACTGTCGAACAAAGTTTCCTCGTCGTCAGGCGTCCTCGTTGTCCTCAGTCAGGTCACATCAGGAATTGAATTGATTCATCCTATCAATCTTCATCTGGTCCAAGTAAAAATCACGTCATGGTCAAATTTGAGATATTTACAAATTCTCATTTCATAAAAAAACATATGAAGGTATAGAAATTTATTCATGTACCGAATTCTATTTACAACATTAAAATTTCTTAAATCTTGAAAAAACACGTCAATTAATTACACATGCCCACAATAATTACTACAACCGAACCTATTTCTCCACCTCTACGCATCTACTACTCAATATCATTCTTTACGTGGGTAGTCGATTGATAAATGTAATAAATTTCAATTTGTACACTAGAAATTCCAGCGCAATATGGTTTCATTTTTTATATAAACGTTTAAAACACCAGAGTACGTACATAAATTCCAGTTAGTTCAAAAGTTCAGAGTTCTTGGTATTGTAAATGCTACTTGAAAGTTTCACTGGGTAGCTTTGCAAAGATCTCACGGCTTCACAATTTCCACAAGTTAATTTCTCGGATGGCAGGGAGAGAAGTCTCGGAACTGGGCGAAGAACAGGCTTCCAAGCGTCGCAGTGAGACAGAGCAGGAGCAAGAACGACCAGAGGACAAAACGAGGGGATTTGGGGCGCTTTGAGCCAGTCGTCGTCGAGCAGGAGTCGCCAGTTGGAGAAAGTTGATTCACTTTGAGAACGAGGGCTCGAGTGCCTCCCACGCTCACGCACATCACATCAAATGAAGACCATAAAAACACCACCACCGCCGACCCCGACTATCTCCTTGCCACACTCCAATCTCCACTAATTAATTTACTGAACTCGGTGCAACTGTGAGTTACATAACCAAATTACATCTCTAAATTAACGTCCAATTACCTGCAAATTGAAATCTGCTTTGACGTGGTCATCGGGGTTGACTGGAGGAAACTGAGATTTTGTATTAATCACAATTTTCCTCCATCCCCGGTTTTCAATAAGTGATTGACATTTACATAACGAGGTAATCTCACATATGCACATATGCATGTCGCTCTTGAATCAATTGTGTCAAACCAAACAAATACATTAGGCAGATATACGCTAAACCATTTAATATAGGTGAACACAAGCAGAATTGCATTGTTAGTACATAGTGCGACAAATGTTTATATAAAGTCGAACGTAACAGCCAGGCATATATGAATGTATGTAAGTAACAATAAGCAGAGTCTGACCAGCGGATCCATGGTCAATGTATATCAAATGTCAGTTTGCTTTGCTGAATCCTACCTGGCTGACTAATTTAATCAGCTCGGGAGGATTATGATTATCGCGACATCAACTGACTCACAATGATGAGATGAGAGTCAACATAAACCATCCTCACCTCCAATCTAAATAAATCCATATTTAATTTAATTATAGACGAGTTAACACCTTCTCAACCAAAGCTGGGATTTGGGGATAACTGTTTTGGTGATAAACACTTTAATTCAAAATATCCTTTCGTCCATGTGCGGTGCTAATTTTCAACACTAATTACATTGCCCTTTCGAGCTTGAGACAAGTCATTTTCTCGATAGAAAGCGGCGCTCCGAAAAGCTGTTACATTTCAATTAAATTAAAGGTGACTTCTTTGCTACTCTTGTCTTTTTGAAGCAAAATTTGAAGTTTGTTTGAGTAACATGCTTGACGGACCGGAAATTAAAGTGTCGCACTACTGCTGCGTCTAAATCTAGGAATCTGACCAAATTGAATAAATCCAGTGAGCCTGACATAACTACTCTCGACACAGAGTAAGGCAATCGCTCTCTCTCTCGCTCTCATTTCTTTATGTCAAGTGAACAAAATTAACATACAACTTTTCAACCTTTCTTTTATGTTGTTAAAGCAGAGACAGAACTTTCTTTCTTAGAGGTGTAAGTCAATTAGCTCCATTGTAAATGTCTCCGTTTTCATTGAATAAAGTTTCAAATGAAGCATCACTATTTACATATTCTTTATCGGGGCGATGATATTATTTTACGTGGAAAATGGAGACTAGAAAAATTCGCCCTTTTTAAGGCACGTCCTCGTGAGAAAGAATGTTGAAAGACTATAACACCACCACCGATCCACCTACACAAAGACGTGATGCAAACGTGAATCGTTTTTTGGTGCCAGTCTGTTGGTACATGCATGCATGGCAGCCAGGGTCCTTTGACTGTTTCCTTGGAGGATTTCTAGACAGGGTCATGTCAGTTCAAAAATTCTCCAAATTTTTTTTTGTAGATTTTAATGTTTGAGAATATGGACTATTTTTGCTGGGAGAACTTGGTTGTCAAGAAAAATAAAATATTCTATAAAACGTCATAAATGCATGCGAAAAATTTTTACGTACCGTTTTTGATACCGATCCTAGTTCAATTATTTTATAATTATTTTAATTTGCAATTAAATTAAATCGTTATCATTTTACGACGGTTTATAGAATATTAAATTTTTCTTGACAACCAAACTCTCCCAGCAAAAATAGCGCATATTCCCAAACTTTAAAATATGTAAAAAAAATTTGGAGAATTTTTGAACTGACATGACCCTGTCTAGAAATCCTCCAAGGAAACAGTTAAAGGACCCTGATGGCAGCGAAAAAGAGATTGACAATGTCGCTGTCTCATTTAACTGCATGGCCACTTCAGATGTTGCACAGGATTTTCTTGAATTTTTACCAACTGGTTTGTCTTTTCAGAATGCCAATGGAACCGTGAGAATTTTGCTGAGTGGTTGCCCAACGCTGAGAAACCTGGAAACATCCTGAGAACTGCTCTCTCCTTCCACGACCGCAAAATGAAGGAAGACCTTGAGTGAGACGACGAACCCTCAAATAACCTCCTCCTCCGGAAACAACAGAACATTTACAGACGACTCAATTTAATTTCGGAAATGTCCCCAACGCCATTCCGTTTTGGGAAAATATGTGGGAATCAACCCTTGTGAACTTGTGGTCGAATGGAAACGAAGACTAATTTGGTGACAATGAAATATCCAGCATCATACCAAAACTCCCACGCTTACATTTATCGAAGGAGGAAGTGAGGAATGGGACAGAGTGAGCGAGTGAAAGACCTCTTGTGTAAGGACCACGGGAAGTTGAAGTATGTATAATTTCCATGAAAGTGAAACATACCAAGTTTTGTGTATGGGTGACATAGATGAATTTTATCAGGATACTCCATTTCTGAAACATTTTCAAATGCCATACTGCTGAATCTTTATGTATGAACACGTTGCACAATTCCCATGACTTTACCACATTGGTCACCGGATATAAAATCCCATTTTATGCCAGTCTCATTTTATGTCAGTGTCCGTTAGTTTGTCAAATGATTTGTCATCTACCTTCTCCTACCTAAAAAAGGACAATGTTCTTGTGAACCACCAAGTTATACTGAACAATAAGCTCCATTTAGTTCACCACCATTAACTCTAGTGTGTAAACTTCTGAAATGTTGGGAGCAAGAATTTCGCAACCATTTTCGCCGCAATCTGCATCGACCATAGCCATGATCTTACATAACAGAACATTTTCGCCAACCACAACCCCCACTACTTTCTCCTCGCCTACCTCCGCCGCAGAAATCCTGCTTAGCTCTGGGCTACAGTTGGCTGCGAACAGTAATGATACGGGGTTTTCATCAAATGGAAACTCGACGACCCAAAATGAGTTGCCGCTCGATATGCAGTTTAATGACGGTCATCTTCTTTCCGTCATTGTCTACTCCATCCTCATGTTCATCTCAGCCATTGGGAATTTGTCCGTTCTCAACAGTATGATCAAGTAAGTCGTAACTGCTAATTAGGCGACAATTACGAATGAATACAAGTAATTTTATCGCAAATATTTGACATTGGACTCGGATATTTACATCACATAATGAGTTGGACAGTTTAATGATTACTTGATTTGTCTCGTTAGGATTTGTATAAACGTGTTAGTGTGTTTCCCATTTATTTATGCTTTTGTTGGTAGATGCACATCTTAATTACAAATTTGGCGAGGTACATTGCAGGCAAATATAATTCGTACTTTTAGCATATAACCAATTTATTATGTATATTTATTATTATTCCAAGCCAGTTTCGTAGGCCGATAACTCGTTCTATACATAAACGAGTGTACATTTCAAGACACTTTCCTTACTATCTTTTTGAACATTGAATAAACGCATTCACTTTATTCGTTTTAAGTTATTTTTGGTTAAATTGTTAGTTGCATAACTTGCATATGCATTTATGCATTTTACATTCGTCATGCAAAAGTTAAACTCATTAAAAATTTAAAGACACGTGTGGGTCAAGTATGCTGAAATTGTTGCATTAATGTCTTGAAATGTCATAAAACGCTTGGGCAAAAAAATGCGGAATCTGACATAAGTTTCTGGTTATGGACCTATGGTATTTCTATTAAATCGATATGCGTAGTGGATTTAAGGATGGAAATTATAATTGTCGTGTGCTAATTCCTCAATCTTGGTTTTTCTGAACACTCAACTGTTGATCCAGGAAACATCATCGTTGATGTTGAGTAGTTTTGGCACACAATTGGTCATCAAAATGTATATTATTGTCTTTCTCCAAGCTAGCTACGTACAGTATGTAACTAAATTGTAGATGCAACGACATATTTTTTATTTCGATATGATCCCACAATTTCTAAAATTCCGAACTTCGGGAACAAATGTCAAAAGTATCAACGGACAATTTCCGTTTCGTCGATTTTTAATGTCACACACAGGTCAAAGGTCAGCATTTTTTTAAAGATTCAAAATGAGAGGCCAAAAATAAAACTCCATGGATAATTTTTTTGGACTTTCCAATATTTTTTATTGGCTGCGGCAAGGCCTCACGAAAAAAATGAGCTATCGTATGACCGTGTACGATTTTTTTGACGCCCACAGGAATTTTTCGCCCAGGACAGTTTGGAGGTCTAAAATCGTGACCGTGGCGAAATTCAAACAATTGAAATATACAAAGGCATGTATTCGATGTCAATATGGTATACGATAGCTCATTTTTTTCGTGAGGCCTTGCCGCATCCAATAAAAAATATTGGAAAGTCCAAAAAAATTATCCATGGAGTTTTATTTTTGGCCTCTCATTTTGAATCTTTAAAAAAATGCTGACCTTTGACCTGTGTGTGACATTAAAAATCGACGAAACGGAAATTGTCCGTTGATACTTTTGACATTTGTTCCCGAAGTTCGGAATTTTAGAAATTGTGGGATCATATCGAAATAAAAAATATGTCGTTGCATCTACAATTTAGTTACATACTGTACCTACGTACCAACACTGTAAGATGCGCATCACGACACATTTAATAGGTTGACGACTAGAGAAAGCAAGACCCCATCCTCAATCAATGTCAAACTGCTTTATTGCTTTTACGAGAAATAATGTTGCAAAGTGGGATGTTTCCTCTGAGCTGCTATTAAGTATTAATGGAGTCCATTTATTGTCACGTTGCACGAGTAATTTGTTAACACTTGGTGGATCTTTGCTCGTGGGCTCTGATGTGGGCTTTGTTATGTACTAACTTGTCATTCTATAAAATTCGTCAAGCTTACCCACGCAAGCAATTGCCATAAGTTGCCTGAATTTAGAATTTGTACATACAAATGTGTTTTAAACATGGTCATTGGGGAGTAAACCGCAAAATATGCATGCTCTTCTTAAAGTATTTTACTACGAACTTCAGAGTTATTACCAGCGTGCAGAACGATCCAATTCTACTGACTACTTTGAGAGGAGATCAGACAAATCGGACTATGCCTTATAATTATTCAAACGTTTGAAATGTTTTCTCCGAGGAACAAATTAAAGCAGTTAACCCACGAAAAATTAGAATTTCTTATACATACTTACAGCAAAATATTGCTTGTCGTTGCGTTATGTAGCCCTTATCCCTATGAAACATAGTTAGATACATACGGTGAATCCACTCTTTCTCAAATTACGACATCTTAAGGAACTTGTTAATTTTTTATTGCAGGAGTACTTCGTCATTCTGATTATATTGAGAAGTCAAAAATTAGAAAAGTAAATAATTGCGTGGAATTTGTTTATGAAAAGTTTGGAAACGACAAATAAATCTCCAAGTGCCCACCATGCACACATAACACAAGCCTATTACATGCATAATACACACTTAATATGTACTTATGTACAATTTTAAAGGTTTATGGCAAACCCCACATAATTCTGACTTATTAAGTGACTGCAAACTAAAATTTGTATGGGAAATAATTATTACTAATAATATGGGCTGGTTCTTGCTTTCTTTGTATTGCGTAATAATAAATATACAGCTATGCTAATGAGCATAGCAGTTTGGTAACAACTCAAGTAATGGCTAATGTCATAAAAGTTTGTTAATTTAATAAAAGAATATAGCTCATTAGTTCTTTTTTGCTTTTTGGTTGACTCGCAAAGAAGGCTAAGATGTTGCTTCTCCCATAAATTTAATTAAAAATAGACGAATAGGAAGTTTCTTAATATCCTGAAGAAGAGCAGGTGTATTTAGGAAACAAAAAAATAACAGAATTCATAATCATGAACTCTTCCTTTTCTCCTCTTTGCTCTAAAGTGAGCCAAATGATATGAATGTTTAGGAGATGGAAATATGCTTAAATATGGATACTTAAATATAAACTAAGTACTTAGGATCGGACTACTTTGAAAAGTATCCAATTAGAAAGAAGGTTCGTCTAATGTCACAATTTTCTAATATTTGTTTGCAACCTTTCTCCCTAGAATTCGGATGAAGGCGAGACTGAACCGGGTGAATCTCCTCCTCATGCACTTGGCCATAGCCGACCTCTTTGTCACATTCCTGATGATGCCGTTGGAGGTAATTCCTACATGATACATAATAATGACAAAACTACTTTTACAATGACAGGAAACTTATTATACGCTAAATATGAACATTTTGAAATAAGTAGGAGGCAATTTTTACTTCTGATGGAAACGACACATCTATTTTGTGCATATGTATACTCCTAAACTACCAGCCTGTCAGTTCATTTGCATAAATCTCACAATGCCCATTTCCGGCTTTATGAGCTTCCCATGTTACATAAATCTTCCGTACCTTTATGCAAATGAACTGACATGCTATTTTAATTTGAGATTGAGAGCATATCAGGATTAAAAGAACGTCGCCTTTGGCATCAAACATATGTAGGAAACTATTTATATGACTTCTATGAAGAATTGTTGTTAAATAAGATTCCCAATTTATTCATGTGTAGACTTGCTTGACGTTTAATAATGTTGATGAAGGAAATCAATAGCTACTCCAATTTACACCTAAAAGTACGGTATTCATGTGATGAAAAAGTTACGATTCTGCACCTTTCTTTTGTTTTTCTTTCCATTATTTTGTAAAATATGTGCATGCAAATGAGTCGAAAGAAATCGCTAATTTATAAAGTTTTCCAAATAACCAACTTCGCGCTACCCTGTGCTTTTGAATGTTTAATAAAGAAAGTTGTCTTTTCGCAACTTTATTAAAACCACATTTTTTCGTCGGGGATGCTCTTACAATGTCCATGTCTAGAAAGTTGGTGGTCGAAAGTGGTAAATATAAATTCAAAACTTTTACGGCTGAAGTGTGAAAACATGTTGTTCTTGATAGGTTTTGACATATGACTGAAACTTTGGGAGGTCAAATGTATGTATGAATGAACTTGTAGAGTGAACTTTCTCCAGACGACATCTTATCTAACTTAATATTGCCTAAGATCAACTTACAGAAACTTATCTCCTTACTCCATGTGAGCAGTTGTCTATAGTTCAAAAACACATACGTAAGCTGTAGTAATGTACGGATTTTCACCAAGTATTGCTACATAGTCGATTCGAATCTTGAGTTACCTGAACTTTCTCTTCTCCCTCCGACATTACTTTATTTAGCCAAATTTAAAATGATGATGTGTTAATTAACGTGGTACAACTGTATTAACTCCACGTAAGCGTTTAGTGAAATGAAAATATATTTACGAAAGTTTTTAAACTTTTTTGTGCAAGAGAATGTTTGGGATTGTTCAAGCATAACAAAAACGAACGATGTGTCGTCTACCATAATATAAATAGGTACATTGTCAACTGTAACAAATATTTGAACCAGAAGGAAACTATGCACAAGTACCAATTGCACTTGAAATGTGGAGTATATAATTTGACACTATTATTCACTAGAGTTCCTTTAAAAGCTAAACTTTTTTACAGATCGGATGGAACATTACAGTGTCGTGGAAGGCTGGCGATTTCATGTGGTTTGTGCAATTTATAAAATGGTTTTCTTTCTCCTTGCCACGTAATTTTATAAGCTTGTATTTCTTCACAGCCGATTCATGTCATTTTTTCGCACATTTGGGCTCTTCCTTTCCGGTTTTATTGTGATGTGCATCAGCTTCGACAGATACTTCGCCGTCCTTCGACCTCTCGCATTACCGGAAGCTAACAAAAGAGGACGGCTCATGCTGTACTTGGCCTGGGGAGGCAGTTTTGTTTGCAGTCTTCCCCAAGTAAGTCTTGCTCATTACTCAGACGTTGTCCGCCCCAAGATTTGCCCACGCACAATAACTTTGATGAGACACGGCTATGACATATTGGGAATTATTTGCAGTCTTACGTGTTTCACCTCGAGCACCATCCCAAATTTACATGGTATTCTCAGTGTATCACCCTCGGAACCTTTTCCACTCCAGGAGCGGAGTTAGCCTACAATTTTTTTGGCTTCACGATGATGTATGGGCTCCCGTTGGTGGTCATCGTCTTCAGCTACGCTTCCATTCTCTGCGAGATTTTTAAAGTGAATGCACTTCGAAAAAACGGTAAGCGAACGAAGAAAGCAGTTTACATATCAAAATAAAAGGAACTGAGCTTTATGCATTAAACGACGCGGGTGCATTGGACATTATTCCTCGTAATTTTGCACCCCAGTGTTCTTAGACGTTCTTTAGTATCTCGTTCATGAAAATGCTTGTTTAGTAAGTAGACAGATCAACAACCCCAAAATAAAATAGAAATATTGGTACTAATTCTGACATTGACATTTTTATTTAGCCTCAGGTTCTAGATATGTACTTGTTCAGAGAGTGCATAAAATGTACAGATACAAAATCTGGAGCGTTGGTGTTTAACCAAAACCTCCATGAAAATTATATTTACTTGAGAATCACTATATGTCATCTACGTACATACGCATAAAAGTGCCCTCATTTAAAATAAATTCTTTGCTACTGCAAAGTTTAGTCAGCAAAGAAATGTCCTATAGCCTCCGGTTATCTCCGCAAAAGTCAAATGTAGTCAAATCACTTTGAGAATTTCATGTCGATTGAAGTCATAACGATGATGACGATATCGTGACAGAGATTTGACTTGGCATGTGTTACTGGGACACATTATATTCTGATTTTGTTAATTGACTTGCCTCGAAAATTGAAAAAAAGTTCCTAAAACAGTTTGATTTATATGTATATTCGTTTTAACTTTTCAGGCGAGGAGCTCCGACGTTCGGTAAGTGTAAATCTAATAAATTCCTGTAATGACATTTAATATATTTAACAATAGTCTATATAGTAATTGTATTCCTCTATTTATTTTATTTTTTAACGAATTTCAATTATTCTGGTACAAAATTACTCAACCACATGAAATTTACCTTATTCTCCTGTCAAATATCAATTCAACTCTTTATATTTTTATAACCCTGGAACTTTCGCCCACTATTTTCTATTCCACTAAAAAGTTGAGAATTGGGTGTCACTAATGAAACTAAATTTCTAATATGTTAATTTCAGTCCATGGAGGCTTTAACTCGTGCCAAAGTGAGAACTTTGAAAATGACTGTCGTGATCGTTGCTACTTTTTTCCTTTGTTGGACACCTTACAACGTCATGTCATTGTGGTAAGAAAATGTAGATTATAAAATGTAGTACTGCTAGTCAAAATCTAGGTCCAACTAATTGTAGTATGCAAATACGTCTAAAATGACGTCTTAGAAGCACATGAATTTTTAAATTTGGAATTTTAATGCATTCTGTTTGTTGGGCTGTATCAAATAAGTGCAAATAGTCTATCCACCCACCGTTGGCCAAAAATATCTCCACTACTAAAATTATTGTTCGGGTCACCTAATTTATATAAATCTCACTATGCCCATTTTCGACGATACAGCCTTTCCATGTTGAGTAAGATAGGTCTCTCTCTTTATCTCTCGCTAATGCACCAAAATATTATGCAAATGAGGTGACATACCGGGAATTCTATCTAGACTACATGTCTGTATGTCAGGAAACCGAGAATCAAAGTAAACACGATGGCTCTGTAACAGGTATTTCAACAGAATAAACCAACATTAAGAGGGTTAGATTTGTTGAGAGAGAAGAGACCACAAATGAGAGACTTACAGAATCTGAACATCCTGTAGCAACTTGGGAAATAAATTGTACGACAACCTAATTAGGACAATCATCATTGGGACGACTCGTGCACAACGGTGAACCTTTGTTGGTTTAATACACAAGCCAATACATTTGATTGCATGATGAGTCCGTTGAATGCAGTAATAAGGGATAAGGGAAATCGTCAAGCTCACAGGCAGGATCAGTAAAATGTGGGATGAATGAACCAAAACTATGCAAACAGTAATTGGCTGCGGTGAAAGAAAGCAGATTGCGTATGAACCGCTGATTCATTTACTGTCGAGTGATTAATGCACTGTTGTCTATGTTTATGCCATTTCATAAAATTTCACATCGCTTTTAACCCGGACCGTTTCCGACATTCCGGCCGAATATTTGCTTACCTAGAGTAAACTGCAATGTATAGTTAAAAAATGCGGAAATAGTAGTCGGATATGTATATACTTCCAATGTTACAGTCATTAGTCGTACATAAGTTTTAATACTCCAGCAACTTAGTAATGCCATTTTTACAATTTCAAATATGTACATAGCAAGCTGAGAATACTATATCGGGTATATTCAGTAGTGCAGCAGTTATCACTACAAAGATGTATATGTACATACTGCAAAGATTCACCCTTTGATGTAAATGGGTCCTTGACACAAACGTTGCCCAGATTGATCGACACAATCATTTCCTCCAATCGTGGTCAGACAGCAAATAGTAATGAGATGAGGTTTAGGAAAATTAATTAAAGGATCAAAATAATCTATTCTCAGTATCAACAAGTAAAGTATCAACGCGGTCTAGATTGATATTAATCATTTAATTAAATTAATTTAGACAGAGTTTTATCGATATTTGGCCTGCGGTCTGCATTATTCTATACGAAATATTTTAAATATAGTCAATGTCAGTAATACATGCAAGTTTAAAGAAGTACAATAATTCCAATTTCAGGTATTGGTTCGATAGAGAAAGTGCGAAAATGGTGGATCACCGAATTCAAAAAGGTATTTTATTATAAATAATTTGCTTACCTAATTCGATAATTATATAATTTTAATAATTTTAATAATTCCAAAGGTCTTTTCCTATTTGCCTGCGCTAACTCGGTTAGTTAACTTAATCTAATGCATATTTAACTTGTGCATTTTCAAAATCTTTTTATTTCCGCATTTCGGAATTCTAGTGTTTGAATCCTCTGATTTATGGATTATTCCACATCCGGAGTCATCAAAGGCGGAAAAGTGAAATGCGGATTCGACAAACTCTGCTCGCCAACAATTGTCGACTGGAGCGAATCGACAGGTTAGATTTCTTGGGCGATGATGGTGTTGTTGGTTTGGAACTCTTCCAGCAGCAGTTCCAGTATAATCGTAATACTCGTAAACTCAAATCAAATGAGTTTGCGACAACCAACGATGTTGTTGGTGTTAATTGGCATCCGCTCCCTTCAGGCAACCTCCCGATTTCATTTTAGGATTTTTCAGTGGTTAGTTTTCTTTTGTTTATTTTACTTTCTTTTCTCGCCATCAAATCAGGATTTACTTTCACTTCTTATTATTTTGCAAACCTTGGGACTTCCACTTGTACCAACGCATATTTTGTACATGGTATGGTTTAATCATCTCTCATTCCTTGTGCATACTTGTACTTTTGATGCGTGAGAGTTTCGCGGAAAATTCATTCCATTATAGGTACGAAATAATTTAAATGATGACCTTGAAGCATCACGTGGTTTTCTAGATAATTGCATGTTATGTTTAATCAACGTAATTGGATATCATTATAAAATCCTGTGAATTTTTCTTGCTACACGACAATTTTCGCGGATTACAGTAATCCAATTCCAAGGTTGCAAGATATCTAGGCAATTTCGGAAACGTCGCCAGATCGACTTGAGAATAATTGGAGTCATTTGTAAAGCTCTGGAGAAAGTTCAATTTTAATAATCCCAAAAATGACTCATTGTAGTTGTATGCAGCAGGACACGTGTCTGCGATTTGATCCATATTAATATTCAAGTTACACAGTCAAGTCACACTGTGTACGTCTGCACTTAATTTAATTGGGTTACACTCATCATACATTAGCTTTTGTACGACTGGAAAATCAACTATGAGCTTTATTCATCTACGTAGACCCAGAAGGTTTCGTTACCCCATGCAAACAAACTAGCATGATTTGAACAAGCATTCGTCGGGTGATATGATATTTTAGAACTTTCACTCTCACTACATTTCTCCGCAATTATAAAACGACTTTCCCCAGCGATGAATAAGATAAGGATGATTTAACACAAAATCTCACCTCACCCCTTTTGGTATCTTTCTCCGAAATGCACAATTACTGGCAAATCGTGACTTTCACCGCACTTTCACCGCACTGCATGTCTCCACCACCATGAAACCACAATGCTGCACCCTGTTTGTGAACTCAACTACGCCTCTAAATCTTTCTCTCCTCCCTTGAATAAAAATAGAGTAAAGTAATGAGAGCACACATTCCTGTAATTGCCTCAATTTAAAAGTAACCATCTCTTTATTGTTGGCTTGATAGGCCCCCGTACGGAGTTCGAGTTCGCTGGAAGCCCCGTGATTGTCTCTGCTCTGTAGCTTCAGGATCCAGCAGTGATAACTCGAAGCTTCCTCCGGGTCACATTCCCATGGTTAATAGAAATCAAAACCACAACAATCAAGGTCACAGACATCGGCGTGGGACAAGATCCACTGCAGTTGACAATCTGTATGGGAGCCAACGTCGAACGAAAACAACAAGTCTGGTGCCACTTACATCCAGGGAGTTCAATCGACACGTCCCCCATACTCAAGATGGTCTCAAAGTTCAGAATGGTCTCATGGTTGTCAACAATAACCATTTGAATTCCACCAGCCCGACAAACACCACGTCCTTCACTCTGGGTGCCGGCAGGGGTGCGAATATTAAGCCAAGAAGAAATATTAGTAGTTTCGATCCGGAGGAGGAAGACAGCTCTGCCCTTTGCACGCCCACTCCCCGATTTACCCGAAATAATACTCTGGGTGATGCAAGTGTAAGCAACATTCAGCTCGTAACAATTTCTTCACCCATGGAAAAAAATCACCATCTCAACAATAGCCTGCAGTTTGACTTGGATTTGGAAGGAGGTGGTGGGAATATGTGATATAGAGCTAGCGTTGAAAATTTCATCTAGTTTTCCCCCATACGACTGGATATGTACCAATGATGATACCCTCATCTCCTACCTAACGAACCCACCAACGATTGAGACTATGTACACAACAATTCAATTTGAATTGGCCTTGCGTGTTTGAAAGAGAATTGATGGCTTCGTAATGTGTACTCTGGGCGATTCCTTGGTTTGAATTAGACCTTGAGTCTAAATCTCTGTCAGACATTTCATTAATTAATCAATTTACAAGTGAATGGTTTCATGCTGCTTTGCCATTTGCAAAAATAACAGCATAAAATTATACGTGTTTAGTAGTTATACGATATCAAAACGACACAATTATCAAAGTTTATCCTCAGAATTGCCCGTCTTCGTACCTATGTCCTACACACCTGGTCTAGCGATAAGTCTATTTACTAGGGTCATAACTCTAAGGCACGTGCAGAAGCAGTGGGCAGTGAATGGAGGGTAATGTGTGTGTGGCATATCTATCTGGCCGAATTAATCATCCTTAGCTAGAGGTTATACACCTTGATTAAATACATGACTTATTTTGACAGGTTCAAATGACACTCTTCCTTCCATAAATACTGGGCTGCTTGGAGTAACCCAACGTATTAATATTTAATTACTCAACGCGGAATCTGGAGTGAGCCAGAGAGGTTCCAAGTGTGTAGACACGTATAGGTTCGACTCGATCATGGACCAGATTCTGGTCCATTTACTAATTTGTACCCCTACTCAGCTTTTAGTGTAATTAGATACATGTTTGATCCCATTTTGTAACAAAATAAATTTATATACTACACAAGCAGGAACCACACATTTCAATGAGTGAGTGAGGTTTTCGAGTTAACTAAATAAATTACACTTTCACAAAGAAACCACCAACAAAATGCTCCTAGTTTGTACACTATAGTCATGTTATTTTAAGTCGGGTAGTTGGTCTGTGATGATCGTTTTATGATAGTTTCGTTTCCGATGGATGCTCAGTATGGGCAGCGTTATTGCTAACATCTAAAAATATTTTTATTACGTCATAAAATGAACCGATTAACGAGGAACATTTCGGTTCAATCCCACCAAAACTCTCTCTCTTGTTATGTATATGTGGTTAGGATGTCTGATTGATGTTCATGTTTCCTGTACCTAGTCGTATCTAAGTATCTGTATGGTGTTACGTGTATAGCACAACTTTATGTACCTGTAAAACGAATTCATGCCAAAAAGTAAAGTAAATAAACAAATTCATTCATGTTTTGATCCACACCGGGCAATACCGGCGACTTGTTTACATTAGCGAAAGATGTTTCCCGACTTCATCAAATCTAAGACTGTCTCAGAAGCACCAATCTTTGCATATCCTTGGGCTGCTTCCAGACTGGAGTTAACTTATTCGCTTAACCTGCTGCCTTTTACGGCTTCAATAATTTATTGATTTGTTGTATGCATTTGATTCGTTTCATATAAATAAAGAGAGCGGTTCATACTTTTAGAAAAGTTGTTAAGATTTAATAGAATATCATTACACGAATATCGCTAAGTGGTTTTTTGTGATTTCTCTTTTACCCTGACTGACGACATGAGAATCTTTTTTATGATGCGGTTTTACTACGGAATGAGGAATTTCTTCAAGTTCAGTTTCAGCATTACGACAATCATAATGCGACAGGCATAAAACCCCAAAATTTTTACTGCCCATTCTGATTTCATTGAAAGATCTAAAAAATCCATCCGGAATTTGAGTTAATTCGCGGATAGGAAAGCTGTCAGCAAGTAATTTTTCTTTTCAAAATGCCTGTTAAACAAAATGTTATCAATGTTTTCCAGCTGACGAGGAAAAGTTTCATTATCTCGGGATTAGTGATCCTTTCTTTGATCCAAATTGGGAAATGCAATTTAAAGAGGGTGGCTTTCACTCTTCACTCAACCAGCTCCGATGAAATGCTTTGAATCTAATCCATTCGAGTATTGCAAAGGTGACTTTGTTAAATTAATCTCTTCTAAATAGTGGGATATGCTTATGTACGCTGAAGCAATACGTGTTGGTTCGAGCGACACAAATTCAAGTCGAGAGTATAGAATTAAACCGGGTCAAAAAGCAGTCTAGGAGATCGAGATGAAAAGAAGAAGACGACGACGAAGCATCATACACAGAAACCAACTATAGCTTAAATACTTGATCAAGTTTGCACACAGAAAAGCACGTTCTTCTCTCTGCAGATACGAGCAACATGGTGGAAGTGATTCCCTTTCTCCGACTGCTTTCACCACCCATACAACTTAGCCAATCTTGGTCTATGGTCATTTCAGTCGTACCCACGACCACCACCACTGCAGCCACTCAACCATTCATGCCAGCGACGAACGATTGAAGAAAGATATTTACAGGGTCCGTAATCTTTGAACTCTTTGTAAATACACAGTTTATATTCGATTTCATTCTCAAGTTTAATCACTTCCTGTATCATCCATATAGTGAGCAGCACTATAAATATGTAGGATAACTGACTAATTCTGTGATCTTATTATAGCAAGAAGATTAAATTGTAGCACATTTTATTCCAAAAGTGCTTATATCCATATATTTATATAATATGTAAGTCCTGGTGAAAAAACAAGCAACAAGTCAGCTCAACGAAAAATGACACACACACATATAATTCTTGATAAATGTGAAGCAGTAGTCAAGAAATAATAAGTTATGGGATGGGTTCTTGGTACATCTACAAGTTAAGGTGCTGAAGAAGAGAAAGATGTGCTTACACATTTTACAAGTACTTAAATACTATACAAATATTATAACATGAACTAAACTGCCATTATTTATGATTAGTTGCACACATACGTTAGCAGGTCGAGCATCGCATTGACTTTCGCCCCCATTATGGGAAATCGAGGAAATTTTACGTAGGACTTGAAATTACGACTTAACTCATCATCCAATCATATTTACTAAACTAGGAACAAGTGCATGAAGAATCGGCATGTGTCGAAGTTTCGTGGAATCCACAGTAGAAGTAATGTTCGTTAGTAATAATACGCTCATTTACGGGCTGCTAAGCACTGTATTTTAGAACAGGAGGATTATTTAATCGAGTGGGATCAAATGACTTGTCTAGTCTTGCATTAAAGTTTGGAGAAAGTTGAGAATTGTGGACTGGACCATCCACTAATGAATCACTGAACTAGTTTCTAAGTCAATTTGATGGAATTTGTTGCTGAGCACTGTGATTTGCGCGATTACCTCAACTCAGCCAGTCTCTCAGTTTTTCTCGGAAAGTGACTTTTCTGAGATTGTGTGAATCCATCCTCCATTTTTTGTGATATCACGAGCAACACAGTGACAGTGAATGAATTTCAGATTAATTCAGAAATGAAGTAGAAAAAAATGTTACCGAGCATGTTGTGAGTTACACAATGAGCTGAATTTCATAATGAAACACAAAACAGAATCATCCAGGAACTAAGTAAATTTCGAATACGCACTTTCACTTTCGTCAAAAGGATGAATACTTAAGTTGAACTAAATGTGAATTCCATGTCCAGTCCAAGAACCAGCTCATCAACCTGAGAATGAGAGTCAAACTTGCCCTTATAAGACCGTTATGTCTGTCCGTCCATCCGTCCGATAACTCATGAACGAAAAGACAGATAAACTTAAAACTTTTAATATATACTCCTAACGTCAAGACACAGGGCGAGCTTCAAAAATGGTACAATAAGTCACAAGGTCACGGCGCCAGGTCACAGATCGTGATTTTTTTAAAATTAGAGCAGCATTATGTGAGGACTCGATTATATTTCCAAACACCTATCCAACGGAATATGTCATTTTGACCTGCGGTGACCCGGTGACCGTGAGATTTGAACGTTGAACAGGAATTTTATACCCCAGTGACCATGTGGACGAAGTCAAACGTTACATATGTTGAAACACATTAGACGTGTCAATTTTGACAGATTTTGAACTAATGTGATAATCATTAAAGTTTCACTCTTTGGTTGCCTGTGTTTCGAGGGTTTATTTTGATATGAAATGTAAAATTTACGCTGCATTCACCGAATGAGAACAGAGCAAAGGTTTAAACTCGACAACCTGGAAACAAGGCCTATATTTACACAAATGTTGATGACGTATATGTAAGGTACACCCCGAACTATTACAGGATTGCGAGGAGAGGCGGATAATTAAAAGCAAACACACTCAAGCTACATCAACTTTATTCAAACTCTAAAGCCAAACTGGTTGGAGGATAAAGACTTTGGCATAATTATTACTGTCTCCAGTTCATGAATGACATTATGTAATACACGACATGTAATTATTTTTTGCTCAATAAGCCTTCAAGAACACTCAACTCTGCTCTATGTGCAAATGCATACTTGCAGCTTCCAACAGTTTCTAGCGTCCACCAAAAATGTTGACTTCCGAGGTGTACAATTTATTTATGCATGGACGTACTATTTATGCTGAATACAGAGAAATGATACAATTCGACTATTAAGTCGAAATAAAATTAGGATTAGTCCTTGATCAGGTAGACCACCCGTTATTTATAATTAGTCATATTTTAGATAATAATTCCGTATATAAATATGTACATAATTTAACTCTGCGAGTCTTTCGTGTCGGATCGACGTGAACCAATAGACTTTAAGTTGAAGGGAATCTTTGGAAATGATGTTTGGGTTATTACGAAGCAGTTGCGTAATCAAAATCAACACACATTTCGATTAATTTTAGTCAACATTATTCAATGTTTCAGTCAATAGCACGTATCTGGGAGCATGGTAAAAACCCACCAACGCAAACAACTTTTGTAACCACAACCTTGGAAGCTCAATAATTGAGATATTAAACTTTCTCCCAAGGTTAAATAAAGTACAAAGCCAGAATCAATGCCGAAATGAACAAAGCAATCCATCAATTTTCGAATAATAATAAAATTGATATATATAAAATACTCATTCATGTTCCCAAAGTTTTATGTATACAGCTCTATCCGCGTTTATGACAGAAGGCGTAAATGATGACTATGGTGTGAATGATAGTTTCATGCATTTGTTTATACGTGGAAATAACGCTTTCATTGTCTGTATACACGTATATAAGCATGTCTTTTGCTTTATTAACATGTTGTTTTGTTGAATAAAATTTACTTACTTTCATTGTCCCCATTCACTAACTTTTTGTTGCTTTCAACACTTTCTCGCCTAATTATGTACATTGGAAATTGGGACAGTCGTCCACTTGGTTCCAGCCGAAAACATGTATAGAACGCTTCTTTAACCTTGAGAAATAAATAGTGCGACTCAAGTCTCGCCTCACCAGATAGCTGATTGTCATGTTAAGACTATTTATGTAGTTGTTGGGAAAGGTAGCGACTTGACTTTTGTACGCAACTAGCCTTGAAAAAATGGGAGATTTTGCAAGTGTACAATTTATGGTAAAAGTAATGATAATATAAAGTTCGAAAGGAATCATATTCAATTTTGATCATAGATTAGGTTATCTCATCAGACGGAGATGAACGTAAGTATGTATGAACGTTATATGTAGAAATAAGCATCATACATGAAAAAAATGAGATTCAGTCGGGACATGAATTTTATATTTGCACGAATGCCTACATCCGAAATAATCACTAAGCTTCGACTAGCTGAGTAAGACATTCTTGGACACTTATCAATATCAACGAAAGAATTTAGTTTAGATTGATACTGGTTTTTTATTTGTTTGATTCACTTTTAAGGTTTTGCATGTACGTGGTCGCCATTTACAAGGGTACCAGTGATTTTTATTACAAATACCACACAATAAATTCGGATAAATAAATATGCACGGTATGGCAATCAATCAGCGCAAATTCCTCGCATCACGGCACGGTTTCGTGCATGATAATGGTTCCAATGTTCGTTTCGTTTCCAAGTTCATTAGGATTGGTATGAAATCAAATTGAAGGCTTCAAAATGATATTAAAGTCTTCTGCGTGGATGAAGCCCTCCCAGAAAATTGAGTCAAAATCATCGTCGTCAATGTCACTCGATCGTGGTGAGTACTCCAGCTCCGAGCAGTCCAACTCGAGAGCAGTGTCTCTCAAAAATGGATTTTCGTCACCAGAGTCGTCGGGGTCAAACAAATTTTGAAGCAGCGACATGGCAGATGGGGAATACTCCAAATCCGCTCCTCTGGAGCTAGTATTATTGTAATTGTTGCTGACAGGAGCTAATATGTCGTTGTGGGAAGAAGCACGAAATTGGTTTGTGGTAGACGTTTCGACGGAGTGATGAGATTCAGTTGTTGAAGACGAAGAATTACGGCGAGAGCTCGCGCATTGTGTAGTCGATACACCTTGTAGCTGGAGGCTTTGGAAATAATGAGAATAAAACAAGTTAATCCACCCTGCATGGATTATCCAAGTCGCTTTCCTCGTATTTTGACAGCCGTTTCGTAATTTAATGCCTATTAGTTGGTCAGGCTACTCTCAAGAGTTGCAGGAAAGCACAGCAGGCATGCACGCTTCTCTGACTTCTAGTAAATATTGAGCCATTTCACTCCTAAAACTAACAACCCGGGTAAGAAGTCAAGCTACAAGGCGTATGTCTAATAATCATAATACAAAGTTCATACAAATGAGAACAAAGAACGTTGAAATGACAAGTCTACAAAAACAAGACATGATTACTGACGTTGATTGCCTTTCTTCGATGTCACCTTTACAACTGCACCCTACTGATAATTTTCTCTAATTCTAACTTGCTCTCCAACTCTGCCTCAGTCGAAGAAGAGCATACAAGTCCATAGAGATTTCGGGGAATGGAATATGAAATGAATACGATGATAACAGTGCAGTCTCAAATAGCCCGAGTCAGTCAGTCATTCGTTTCGTTACTTAATTTCTAAAGCTAGTGAGATTACCATTTTCGAGACCCCCTGACCAATATTTTAAAAGTGTCATCGTTATTATGCGTCAATTTTCCTGTATATGCAGCATGCCAAAATTCGGGCTTTCCCCGACTGATTTGTAAAACCAGTACGGATCACCTTAGTGGACAATTTCGAGAAGGTTACTTCGTAGATATCCTCTGACTTTCACCTTCATGCCAAACTTGAGGTTTTTCCGAATTTTCAAACATCCGTGGACGTCACGCAGATAACTGGGTATCTCCAATAATTTATTCCTAGTGTGCTCATGGAATTTTGGAAGATTTGGGACATGACCAATCCCCCAAACATTTACCGCTACGACCTTTCCGAATAGTCTACACCAACGATCCCAACCTATATGACCCCCACCTGTCAACCACTTGACAGATTTTGCTCATCTTTGAAATTTACTACTCATTCGCCCAATACTAGAATACGTGTACCAGGATTGAAGTCAATCGGACAGGTTTTGCAAGAGATATCGCAAACCGGACAAACAAACACGACAAGTGCATGAGGCCTACTCTGACTTAAAAACATTATTCAGTTTCTGATGTGGATTCAACAATTCTATTGCATTTTGATATGCACTTACCCAAAATCTGAATTTCTTTTCAAAAAATGAATTTGTTCACGACGTATCTGGTCCTTGGAGCAGTGGACTGCATTTCCTGCAGATGCGTGATTTCATTTGAGTTTTCAAGATTATGCTGGTTTTGGGTACGTTACATTTTGCTTACTAAATTTCTTGGAAGTATCCATTGAAGTTTCCTCCTTTGCCGAAAATTCACTTTTCTCTGAAATATATAAATGGCTGTCATTGACTTGACCGAGAGGAGACGATGAGGATTCTATATAATACGAAAGTGCCTGCAGATAATTTCAAAACAAATTACGAAAACTGTACTTGTATATTTATGAACAGAACCAGGTCGTCAAGAAGGTTAAGTGCATATACTCGTGCCCTCGTGCATACATACATACTTCAAATTCAACGTTCACCAGGTTTTTATTGGATAAACTAATGATTTTGAAATGCAAGTATCTCAATTCTCAATTCATAAAACTTTCAAGTGCCCTTGAAAGTTTCATTTGTCTCGTCCTGAATTTTGACATGTAAGTCTACATATATTTACATATGTATGTATGTAGAAACTTTCCCCTCTCTGTGAATGGTTCTCCAATTGAGGAAATAATGGATCGTGAGCAAGTGTCACGTATTTATGTAAGTACGTACGTACGTTAGCCCTGCAATGTCAATAGGCAACCAGAATTTGGGCTACCACAATTTTACATATTCAAACCCCTTGAATCGCAACTCGCGTTTCTCTATTATTGTCATGAATGAGCAGTTCATCCAACTCTGTAAATAAACCACTAACAAAAGTTGTTTTTCAGACTCATACCTGTATTTTCAGCTGCACGTACTTGTGCTTGGATGGAATGATTTCTAGACTCCAGAAACATTTTGTCACTAGTTGACGTCGTCGTCGATCTGATCCAATCCTGCACTCGTTGCATCGGACAACAACGCCAATTCCATTCTGCTCGTTCTTGTTGAACTGATAAATTGAGATTTTCGTCACAACTTGATTTTCTTTCCACGCCACGCTTGTTAGCCTGTTGGTTTTTGCTTTCACCATCAACATCACTTCTCAGGAACTCGACAGCATCCTTCCTCGTTCCAGAAATTGGGCTTATCAAAAAAGGATTTTCTACACTCTGTTGATGTTCTTCATTTTTGGTGTCAAAGAGTGAATGACAGCCAACGCCAGACGTAGTTTCTCGTGAAAGCAGAGCAGACATTTTATCTAGTAGGAAGTGATAATAAAAGCTTCGTACACATGTATGTAGTTGTTGCTTCCCATGTTGTGTGAGAATATGGGATTACGAGATGAATGACTAGTAATTGTTTAAACAAGCAGGTGTATTGGGTGTTTTTGACCCACCTGATGTTTCCGTAGGCGAGTTCAAGGCCTTATCTGCAGCCTCTCCCATAACTCTAACGAACCAAGTACTAATTATTTCAGTCAACTCGTGCTCTTGTGCCTGTTGTAATTGGGGTGGTGGGAAATTCCCGACTGCTGTGTGTGAGACTATTTGAAAGTCGTCGCCGTCGCGTCGTCGTGTTATTTCATTTGAAAATTCTCCCAACCACGATTGTTGGCCCAATCCTCGTTGTCTGTCCCAAAGTCCACGAGCCGTTGGGTGAGGCTGACTAATCCTACTTTGTTCTTCCTCGTGGCTCAATGGGACTGAATGGTACAAGGTTTGATGGGAAGTGGTACTATGAGCGTCATCGGTTCTTCCTTCTAATGAATGAGTGGGTAGTTTGGACCTAGTTTGACGTTTGTTGTCTGGTAGCACGTTGAGCTCTCTCATATCATTTCCATTGATACATACTTTGTCAATAGTAAGTGTATTCGAAGACCTAAAAGTTGAGCCATCATCTCTTCCGCCCGTTTCATCGTCAGCGATGCAAGCCTCGAAAGAAAGATTTGAGGATTTTCGAGCGGAGGATCGGGGAAAGTTTACTTGTTCCCACTTGTCATGGTTTAGGTGGATTTGACAGGTGGATGATTCATCAATGTCAATAATTCTGATGGGAATATTATTGATTTGAGATTGTGAACAATCGCTTTCGGTTTTTGCTTCCGTGCTACTGCTCTGTCGTCGTCTCGGAGTCCAAGGCATCCTGATTTCTGGAGGGAAAGTAATAAATGGGAAAAGTGAGACGCAATGAATAAAATAGCTTAGGTCGTGTCATTGCAAGCTAATAATAGTACCAGTAGTAACAAAAAAACAACCGGTACCCTATATGTATAAATATGTATATGAATGTACATGCACCCGTAGGTGTAGATTAAATGGCAATACATTGCCGAAGTGTCACTCAAGCGGTAATAAATATTTGCAACAAACGTGCAAGTTTTCAAAGAAAATGTGCATAATAAAACAGGAGAGTCGAGACTGGAATTGAATGAAAAATGAAATCCATCCATCATGTTTCTTTATGTATATAAATCATCTCGAACCAAAATTGTAAGATAACATTATGATCACGCACCCTTCTGGCGTGTCTCAAAATATATTCATGCATTGGATCGGGTTCGCCCTATTTGAATTCCATTCCTTCATGTAATAACTTACCATCAGCATCTACTTCCTCTTTCAAGTCCTCGTTGTAAGGCAAAGCTGCAGCTGGTGTTCGTATTTTGTGATCCTGGTTGTTCGAAGAAGAATGTTTTATACTTTCATCATTTTGATCTTCAACTCGACCTCGCATATTTTGAGATTTTGAGTAACATGAATTAGCATCTAAATTGGAGAAAGTTGTAGCGATAGTAGGCGAGACATGTGCCGATGCAGGGTTCTCATTCTCCCCCCACATCGTCCTCATCCTCACATTACCTCCTTTGTCCTCGCAGTTTTCTTCGGAATTGTTGGAGGAATATGCATCAGCTACACCTCGCACAGGTTTGAAGAATCCCTGTAATCAATAAATGGACTTATTCGTCAAGGGTCTTCATAAAATTGGATTGTCCATCAGTGGAAATTAATGTGCCTTAAATGTTTGGGAAGTGTTTCCCTGCTCATCCTTCATTAAGTTACCGTCCAGCAGGCACCACTTGAGGTTGGGGAGCTTGCGTAATTTAGCACACACTTCTTGTGTCACTGTGATCAAATTGCTACAAAGCCGAAAGTAACGAAGTTCCTGGAAAGACAGCAAGTTTTTTAGCTACTGGCCTTAAAGTTTCTCTGTAAAAAATAAAGTTTTGTGACAACTGCTTATTTTGAGTTACGTTGGACATTTCAAATTCTGACCTGAGCTTTCACAAAGCTTTCTTCAGGTGGTAACTCTTCCACTTGGTTATTATCCAGGTTGAGGTGCACAAGGGTGGGCAAATCTGAGAAAATTGTAGGATTTTGTGAAAATTAGGTGTCATAAATGGAATGGAATAATAAAAATATGTAGCTTTAAAACTTATTACGGAAGAGTGAAAGTGGAATGGACTGGAAAATATTGCCACTCAGAGAAAGTCTAACTAGCGATTTGAGTTCGCCAAAGTTAGAAGGTAAACTGTCAAGCCTGTAATTTAGTCAGGTATTTTATCCAAAGTTGAAAATTGAGTAATGCTGAATTGTAGAATTTCATTTCATTACTGCGAACCTGTTGTTTCGCAGGCCAAAAGTGTGCAATTTTGAAAGGCAGCAGATTTCCGGGAGTATTTTATCAGTACATGTCATTCCAATAGAATTTGCCCAGAGTTCGTTTAAATTCAAGAGCGAATATACAACTTCTGGTAGACCTCCAAGCAGTTGATTGTACGAAATATTTAGTTTTCTTAGTTCCTTCATCTTTTCCAAACTTTGTGGGAGGTTGCTAGAATATTATTAAAATGATATATTTATATGATTATCATGGAAAATGGCATTTCCAATCATTTCTTGGAGCATTATTAGTCGTTCCTCTTATCAATCACCTCAAGTTGTTGTAATCCAAGCAGAGTATTTGGATATTGGGCAGTAATTCACCAAAGTCGGTTGGCAGAGATTCCAAAGAGTTGTGCTGAAGGAAGAGCTTTGTCAAACTCTTGTGAAAGACTGGATTCATTTGAACCAGTTTTGGAGGCAGGTGCCCCATTTCCAATCTTTTCAAGATGAGCTGTGACCTGTTGCCACTCTCCGCCTCATCCACGGCCACCAGGGACTTGATGTTCAAAAAATACTTCACCAGGGCTGAGCACATGATGTTCAGTCACCTTCAGTTCGAATACTTTATTACCAGAGAGGAAAAAAAAGACTTTCACTCACTCCATTGTGTTGAAACCTATTATTCGCTTTTGATATTCGAGATTTGTAATGCTCAACAGTACTCTGCATACTATTTTTGTGTAGCGTTAAAATGTCCTTGTACGGATGTTAATATGTATGCAAAAAATTGGGATGAATATCAGGAGATTAAATATACAGTCATGACGACTTTCAACTTGAAACAGGTTCGGTTTAGATGTATTCAAATTTTCAGAGAAAACATGGTGCTACAAGAGGTGCATACATACAGTAAAAATTTACGCTATGTTCATATACCGCTAATAATATGCAGGCACGTTTATATTGGAGGTTAACAAGGAGCTTGGGAAAGTTGAGCTTAAATCTGAGGTGTTTAGGAGCTCGTTGGTATTTATTTAGGTTAGTAGGCTCCCCGAACAACAAATTACTTTTATGTTCATCAGCAGTAGTGTTAATAAAAGAGCAGGTCCAACATAAGTAAGTGGAGTTTGAAGAGACTCGTAATGAGCTTACCTGGCTGATTGCACTAAATCGTACCGTACGGTTTATTAGACTTTATAAAAGTTCCTCTAGTGTGCAATTTCCAGAAACCTTCTCAATGGCTTTCTCCTACCAATCGTTTCCTGTACATATATTTTTTCTCAAATTGGCCTCACTTTGGTAATAAATAAATATACATGCTTTGTGAACTACGGAACTTCCTTAGTTATTACAGAATACCAATGGTAGATAGTTGTCCATAATCCATTAATTCGGTCAAAGGGGATATTATTTTTTATAGCATACATATTTATATGCACAGATGCAGTATTGATATATTTGTATGTACATAAAGGTTGTACACTGAGTACACTTCTGTCAGAATTTCTTCTTTTATTAAACATTTCGAAGTTTAACAATTTAGAAACTTGTCAATGAAAGGGTAAACTTTTACCCTTGACTGTAGTAATCATTCAAAACTACAATTTCTGTTAGTCCTAAGAGGAGAAAGGTGCGAAAACTTCAAACCGAATGTAAGCAGAGGTCTCGTCGTCGTGGTAAGTTTTAAACTACCTGAACTACCATTAAAGTAATTGGGTCGGAACAGGTAGAAGAAGGAACCTTACTTCCTTCAACACAATGCACTAGTGAAAGTTCGTGCTTAGCGTTTCAATTTTTATAACAAAACGAACTGCACGATGACATGATTTTGGTTCTTCCAAAGATTTTCCAAGCTGAAATTGCGATTGGGAGCGTGCAGAAGAAGAATAGCGAGTGTTGATGATAAAAGCTTTTGATTTATTTTATGCCACAGTATGCACGAAATATCTGTACTTACAAAACATACCTTTAATGTACTATGTACATGTATAAGGACGACATGGACGATACACAAGAAGACTTTACCCGTAATTGATCACAGCATCCAAATAGTTTCATGAGTTTGGTGAACTTGTAAATAAATATGTGCGCCTCCAATTTGGGAATAATAGTGTCACATTCTTTCGAATTTGACGACAAAGGTCACATGTCACAACTCCCTCCATGCCTTCCTGACATTGGCCGCTGGCTATTTCCACCCCCTCATCGCTTTCTCCATCCGCTCAAACGTCAACGCGAGTCAGCTTATCAGCTTACTTCGTGACCGTCATGGCAAAAATAGGGAAATCTTGTACATGAACTCGACATATATCATCGTCTTATTATTCACTTGTGCAGAGTTACGCATATATTTCATGTATACTGTTAAAAAATTCTATTATCCAGTTAACATGAATTAATCATTGTGGATGTGGCTTGTATTCTGAGAGACAATTCTTTAGATTTGCATTTCGCATGTACAATTTTGGAGATTGTATTATTAAAAATTTAGGATGGCACTGTGATACATATTATTTTTATTTTTACCTCGAAGCTCATGAAAAGAAAGTCCATCCCTCATGGTTAAGAAGGGCGAGCCCATACCTGCCACCTGAACGCGAGTCAATTTTGCAGCCAACCGTCCCAAAGGACTCTGAAGCACTTCTGTCCTAAAATTGAGTTTGCTCGTCCCATAAACATGCTTCCATTAAAGAGAAAAGCCCCGATAAGATTAACTTTGGGTGGAGAGAAGACTCGAGATCTCAAGCCATTAGCTACCAACCACCAGCACAGAAATTTCATGACCTTCAAAACCTAGTTGATTACAAATTAATTTTTACCTCCACGTGTCATTCCTTATAATCATGACATAGAAGCTCATGGGCATCGACCGATGAAAATAACATCCACTCCGGTTGAAAGGTGTTTAGAGAATTTATTGTTGTATCGGACCACAAAGTTCCTCCATGTAAACCGCCTTGCCATGTCCGAGCACATTTATTATGAGGTTTTTTTGTGAATCTCAAAAATGCAAAGGGCAGATTTCGAAATTTCGGTGGAGCTAAGATTTTTCCATAATGATGCGACTCTTTGGCGTTAATGAATCATTAAGAATGATACATATTTATATACATATGTAGCATTATAGATATTTACATACATACAAGGTTAAGGGAGACGATATCTTTCTAATTTTAAGGAATATTATTGCTCACAGAATATCGTAATTTGGAGAACAGTGGTAATCTTTATATAAACAAGGCGTTATTGACTCAATATTTTAGTTTGTATTATGCATGGATAGGCTTAATCCTCTAACAAGTATTAACAAGATTGCTAATGTGTATTCCTGGAGGGATTGTTTTATGAATCTTGCAAAGATAACTAAGATCATACAGAATTTTCAGAATGCAGAATTTTCTCTTTCATACTCAGCGGATTTCTGATCGATGGAGACATTATAATTTGATGGCATATAAAAAAAAATTCCTCTTGATACGATTTAATTTCTGAATGCTTATTAATACGAACAATTTTGTATGTGTGATGTAACGTAGCGCTCATCGGTCTTACAAACCGATACATTTTTATTAGATTGATTGGTTGTTCATTGCGCATCATAATTTATTACAGACAGACCTTAATGATCGATATTGGTTATTACGAAGAGGGTACATGATAAGAATTATAGTTTTGTCTTTTTTCACCATATTAAATGCTTACAACAATGAAATATACGAGGTTGGCCGAGTGAGCAATATTAACACAACTTAGTTTTCTGGTCGACAAACGTGCCTATTATCTGTTCAACAGGACCATAATTAAAGAACAAATACTGAGAACATCGGTAAACTTAAAATACGATTTGTCACAATATTCATTCAACATAGTTACATATTACCTATTCACTACATCGAAACACGTTAAAACAGGTACATACGAGAGGGGTCAACAAGTAAATAATTAAACTAAATTATGATCTAACTGAATGTTTAGTGGGGTACTTGTAGGAAACGAATACAAATACCGTGGTGTAGGCGAACTCAATGCTTGAAGCGAACTTTGGGGGTGCTGGAACATCTCTAGAAGGAATGACTTCGTGACAATATTCACCGCCTGTGAAGGTGCCAATGAGGCCTGAAATAATTGATAAAGATCAGTGAGTGATTGAAAACAACAACTTTTAAATAAAATCAAGTATTATCCCCGCAAACCGCATGGATATTTGATTAAAATAACGTGCTGAAAAAATTTGCTGAATTTCTGGGGGGGAGGGGACAATGTCCTCCGCTTCCGCCGCCATTATTTCAAATAGTTCGACTATGATTACATATCTATCAGCATACTTACTTGTGTTTGGGAAATGCTTCCTGAAAAGCGTCGATTCCACATGACATTTACCACCGTGCATGTTTGCGCCTCTGCCATTACAAGCAAACATGAAAGCAAAGCTATCTCCATCCGGAAATTCACAACCTTTCATCTGTGGGAACAACATCACAAAATAAGTCACAATCTAATTCCATCCTACAAAACCAAATTAATATGGTCGTACTTCAATTAATTTTTCTTCGTTCCGTTTACTAATTTTTGTGTCGTATAAGCCGACAGATGCTACATTGACGTTGTCGTTTCCGCATATAATTAGTCCAGCCCCAATGGGAACAAAGTCCCCTTGACAAACACTGGCCAAATTTCTGTAGTGTGCACCACCACCCAGTGCAACATGCGGGTGTCCCCTAGTAGTTTTAACAACAAAATATTTAGAAAATGGTTAGGAATATTATGCGTAAAGCAAATGATATAATTTATGGGATATTTTAAATTACTTTATATACTGAAACACCGCATCCTTTAGTGCCCCAGCCTTCTGAACTTGCGTATGAAACAGAACAATTGCTTTCACATTGTCTGTTGGTTGAATATTCAAAATAGTTTGGCAGTTTTCTTGGTCCACCTGTAAAACAAGATTGAAGCTGTTTAGATTAGATAATTTAAAAATAGATATCTGGTTTTACAGGACTAATTTCACACCCACCTTGCCCTTGTACTTATTATTTGTCTCCTTTGTAACCTAATGTAGAAAAGGAGATTAGTTATCTACAATATTTCTGAATTATTCGCACCAATTTGCAAAACAAACCGTAAACATCTTGACAAATAATCCAGCAACTTTAGGGATCCTATTAGCATACAAATTAATGAACCATTTGTTTACAGCCTAAACTCACTTCAAGTTTTTAATTTTGCTTACCTCAACCCAGCTACCAGCGGGACTTTAAAACGAAATGTGTAAATTAAAAGGACGTCATGCATACGTTTCAATTAATAGATCACAATTAATACATCCAATGTCCGTACCTTCACAATTTTCCATCTCCAATGAAATGGGTTTATCCTTCACGGATCCAACAATGCCATAACTAATCATCACAAAATCCATTACCCGATTAAAATCTTTGTTGTTCTCGTTGATACAATATGAGTTGCAGAAAACAAGTCAGAAAGCATACATAATATGTTCGTGTAAATAATAATAGATATGCACCTAATCGTCACCAAACATGGAATAGCTCTAGGAATTTCGGAAAGGATTATTTTCAATTTGGTGATATTGTCTTCGTCTAGAAGGTCAATAAAAATAAATAAATTAGTATACAATCAAAATATAATAATGCAGCCAGCCCTTAACTAAGTTACCTGAGGGCATATACTCATCCACCGCCGCAGTTGCGACTACAACCATTAGCTGTGGTTCAGAGAATGAAGCATTAAAATCTTTAATGATTGCCGACCTCAACTGAGGAAAGAGAGGGCTGTCCCAAAAAATAATTATTAGTCTTAAAATAAAAGTGGTCTAAGCTGCTACATGAATAAATAATTTTTTACCTCCAACTCTGTTCTTGTGTCAATTCTTGAACTGACGGGAAACCAAAATCAGGGGCTGTGTCAATAAACCTTTGACATCTGTTAAATTAAATTGATACGGTAAAACATAAGAAAATTGAAATGAACTGTTAGACTAGAAAGACAGCTTACTCATCGGAGATGGAGCAACCATTGTAGTATTCGAATACTTCCGATGTATGATCCCCGTATGGATGCCATAAAAATGTCTGAGCTGCATTTTTTCTCTGCTGACGAACTACACGAGCAACTTCGGACCATGTTCGACATACTTTGGAAATTGAGAGAAGATCGCGGATTGTAAGTTTTTCCAGAATCCCCTTTACAATGGAATACTGCTGGACGAAAACGGGACAACCAGCTTGGTCCATCTCGTTCTCGAACATTCTTAATTTTTATTGAAAATCGTCAGATTCGAAAAAAATCGATATGATTTCAGCGACGTATTAGTATCTGAAAAGTATTGGCAACATAATAATACAACCATGTTCACATGATTTTCAGTCCTTACGACAGAGAAGCATATTCTAATAATCAGGAAATTAGATACATACTATACTAATAACAATGTTTTGATTTATTGTGAAACTTACTTTTAAAACATTGTCCACGAGCTAGAGCGGTCACTGGTTACAAATTATCGGCCAATTCTAAATGCAGAAGGCCAAAGTCTTATATTATTATTGCTTCTATTGTTGATTTTCTGCAGTGTTTATAAAATTCGATCACCTGCCCTGCTGTCTGTCTACGACTTGCCTTTGTCCTTGTCCGAGGTTGAATCCGACTATCCGATTCGGAAAGTCCCTGTAGCTCGTCATCTTCCTCCGGGGCAGTCTGACCCCATCCGATTTGCATCTCTCCAACCCTTATCATGTCATGCAGTCAGATAAACGAACCGTCAGTGGTCATTCCTGTCGTGGTCATCGAGATTACTTAATTATGCTGTCATGTAAAATCCAAAATCCAAGTTCAAAATTATGAAGGCAGAAAATGACGGGGACCAGGTGCGCGTCTCATCTTGGTATGGGACTCCCATAATGGGAGTCTGGGAATGAGAAAGCATGTGCTCGACGGCTGTAGCGTGCTAAACAAATCTCTCATCAATCAAAGAAATTTAGCCAAATCAACTTTTTTATCCTTTGTTCTTAGAGTTTGGTTTTTATTTTGGTAAGTTTTTTAAATTACTCATAATTATGTAGACTATATAGGTCGTACTTTATCTTGTATATTAGCGATGGATACATTTTCTAAGAATGATTTGTTTTCTATTTTGTTTTGTTTAGTGTATAGACGTTATAATAGAAAAACATGTACGCAGCACCTCGGTACGCCAACCCATTTGCGCCTGACGCAAAGCTTGAACAACCACCGACAATAGCTGCAGCAAGGCTACAAGATTTCAGCTCCGATCACCCCCCAGAAATTCCTCGAGGTAACATTCACAACCGTCCCCCGAATAGGGGAAGAGGTGGTAACAACAATCGTGGAAGACAGGCTGCTCCAAAATCACAAGGGAACAGCAACAACTGGGACAATCCTGCTCCTTACCCACCAAATCACCGTGGTTAGACACAACTATTAACTCTAGTAGTATAAATATGAAATACAATACTTATCATGGCGATGATACTAATACTTATTCTTTTAATAATGCTTTTAGGATATTCCCCCCGATCCCAACCATTTTCAAATTTTTCCAGAAGTGGCCGTGGGCACCCCTACCACGCCGGGCCACGACCGAAAAATGCTTGGCACAACTTCCGTGGTCAACAGGATAATAAATGCTATAATTCCAATAGCCAGGATGAAAAAGATAGTCCTTGGATGACACCAGAGCTTTTGAAACTAATACAGGAGAAAGATGAGTTGTGGAAAGTTTGTAATGATACCAGATCTGAAGAAAATCACAGAAATTTCAAAATTAAACGGTAATTAATATAATTCAATTTATTAAGACAATCAATTTGTTAAAGTTACAATTGAAAATCCCAGACTTTGCTTAAACATCTCAAATATATTAAAACAAGTTATATTTTAATTTAGGTTTGAAGTTAACATGGCTGTGAATGACGCCAAAATATTGTTTCGCCAGCAGGTACGTACGGATATATGTTAAAATATTGTAGAATTGATGAACCGTATGTATATAGTGCTGAGTACTCCTAAGTGGGGTTGATGATTTAATGTCAATTAATTGGTTTAAACAGAACCCGCAATTCGGTCAGTACAGTTCGTACACTCAAGTTTTTCGGCGGACGGTTGCGAAGCCAGAGTTTTATTGCGACCCTTGTGAAAAGGAATTTATTTCTCAAGACCAGTTAGAGGAACACAAGACTGAACATATCACGTGCAAGTATGATAAATGAATAGATTTTCTAAATGCATAAATTGAACTACGAACTGATTTAATTTTGAATAACTTAACTTTTCTCACACAGACTAGATGGGTGTCAATATACTGCTCACGTTAAGCTTGTCATGAAACACATTGAACTACAACATGCTACCAACTTATTTCAAAGAATTAAAGGATACGACACTCCTGAAGGCGTAGAAAAGTGGAAAGAAGAGAGAAGGAAAAACTTTCCTACTCCTGAAAATACTCTCAGGAAAAAAGCGGAAATTGCTGAGAGGAAGGCTCGAGGGGATATACTTACGGCAAAAGAAGATTTCCCTGGAATTGAAATATTCAGACACAAGATAGTTCCAGAAGAACGGAAATCCAGACAATATGGTGCAGGATATCAAAGTGATGGAAATGAAGAGCTACCGTTGAAAATGCGGCCAGGAACAATTAGATTCATGAACTTGAACAAAAGTCCTGCAATTCAACTTCACAATTTTTACACTGATGTGGTTGTATCAGATGATGGAACGCTTTTGGGATCCATGCGTGAAACGTGGACAAGTCTGAAGAATAATGATGATTGTAATGAAGAGAGTTTTACCAAGGACAAGTCTGACGACCATAATGCTGATGAGGAGTTCAACATCACTGATGATGAAGATGATGGGATTGTTCGCCGTCAATCTGTAATTCTGAAATCCCAAACCAAGGAAATTGTTAATGCAGATATTGCCACATTTGCCCCCCAGAAGAGTACAATCGTAGAAGAAGACGAAATGACAGCTATTGTGAATAATAGTGGCACCACGTCAAAAAGTTTTGGACTGGCAGGACTCATAGGTTACGAATCAAGTCCAGACTCTGATATTGAACAAGAAGGTATAGAAATCTGTCCTTTACTTTACTAAACTCCGTTTCACAACTGGTGATATTACCGCATGTAAGAGCAAGGTAATCTCACATCACCAATTGTGAAACAGAGTTTATCTATCTCGTAGATGGTACCGTTTTGATAAGTACATATATCACTGTAATTGATTGATTGATTGATTGATTGATTTATTCAGCATAAAACCCTTTCAGGCATAATTGCCCATAGAGTTACAGAGTTAAAAAAATAATATATATGTATAATATCGTTATACACATTATCACTGTAATTCGCAGATGGAGAAATTAAAAGTGGCGACGAGGATACAAGTAACCTGAATCCCGTGAACGTTCCCACTACCCCTTCGATATATACTGAAGTGCTTAGTAGTAGTATGGTTTCTGCATCATTATCTTCTGATGACGAAGCACCAGATGAAATTCCAACTGTAATTTCAAAAGAGGTGGACCGTCCTACAGCGAAGGATAATTCTCCTCCTACAGATAAACCAAGCCTTCAGGATGTCAAAGACCCTAATTCTAAACCTTGTTGGAAAGATGAAAAACGTGCAGACGGTAGAAACCGGAGACTAGGAAAGAGATCTGGGAAACAATCACAAACACAAATGCAAAGAGCTCAAAGTGTTCGACGAAAATATACACTTCTTCAACGCGTAAGTATTTATTTTGTTTTATTTATGCTATATAGCAGCTCAATCATTGAATGTTTACATAAGTAAATAACTATTTTTCAGCTACTGGCACCGGATATTAGAAGGGAAAAGAACATGGTGTTACAAGTTTGCCGTTTTCTCGTTGACAGAAATTTTCTTGACCCAAACAAACCAAAAGAAAATTAGTCAATGGGCAATAACGGTTCTCTATTAGATAAGTAGGACACAACTGTAACAGAGAGATCAACGGGAGGTGTGAATCGAGTTACAAGATTCTTGTGTACGAGAACAGCAAAGACAATGAATTAATTATGTTGTTCACGATTATGTGCCTTGCTTTTATTCCTAGTGTATAACGAGGGAGTAGTAATTTTGTAAGTCACATTTGCGCTTTATAATTTTGACTAATTAGGATTTATAATTTTATCACTGCCTTATTATACATTTTCCTTTTTCACGCAATAAATTATTATGTACATGTTTACAATGTTTCATGAGTTACAACTGTTTGTGTGAGTTTATAATATCGATATTCCAGAAATCTAAGATTGTGGAACATGCATCCTGTTTTCCTTGCGTACGGAATATGCATCTCTCTGTAAAGTAAAAGTGCATTATGAACGGTAGAGTAGGTTAACAAAGGAATAATAGGAGAGCAGAATGCAGGAAGGACTGACTAATCCTAAATGATTTCCCCCATTTGTTGGTAAAATGGGATCGTTCTACTGGAAACAAGCCGTGACGATTCGGTTGGATTTGCATTTGCATCAACAACTGACAACAATGCACTTGGAAAATTGGTGTAAAAGTGATTTTATGCATTAAGTGAAACTAGGGATTTGAATATGTCTGTATGCAACACATTACTCGGCAACTGCACTTTACTTGACGACACATGCCATGTATTATTGAACATTGTAACGAACAAATCAATCAATTCTGCACAATCAATTACAACATAGTTTCAAGGCAGTAAGTACAAAAATATGATAAACACTAGAATTGATGTTACATAAATAATCTTTGAAAATATCACAGCTTGAAAAATTAAATTAATTAATTTCTATTCATATACTTATGCATACATAAAAAACATGACTAGAACAGGATTATACAATAATTATTATTGCAAGTACAGACAAAATTGAATTTTTCGTGTATATAGTACAAATTGCACTGTACAAGCGTGTATTTATACTAGTAATATCGATAATGAGCATTGTTAGGGGACGTCTCACTTTCCTCACAAAAATTGTTGTAGCTCACATTGCTGGAAACTGAATCTTCCTCCGAGGTTATAGTAGTTGAAGAGATGCTCCCATGCTGTCCCGTGGGGCTGGCTCCCATTATCATGTTGGCTTTGTTGTGGAGGAGTTGGTGGTGGTGGTGGTGGTGTTTTGGTGGGAGGTGTTGAAATGGTGGATAATTGTGGTTATAATCGGCAGAAGTAGTGGGGTGAGGGCTGGATGGTGTCGCAATGTATCGATGTCCCAGACCAACGTCCGGCACGTGTCTCACAACCCCATCCGAACATGGGCCGATCCCCACAAAAGTGGGGTGTGCAGTGTCGTTGGTCAGCCTTGTTTGTTGTTGATAATGGTGGTAATTTCCACCTGGAGAAGGACTCATGGGTTGAAGAGGATGTGTTTGTGGGAAATTGATACTGCTGGCATTAGCATCAAATGGGAATACTGGATCCCGACAGTTCTGGAAACTTTTCCCCACAAAGCTGCAATTGCTGGTAGGTTCATACCCATCATGCTGTTCGGAATCCAACGGTGGTGTGGCAGGTCGCGTGGCATTTGTCTCCAATAAGTTCCCCTCACGATCCAAAACTATTCTCACGTTTTGAACCGTGACAATGTACTTATCATCAACACGTTCCAATTCCCCCCCACAGCTAAGACCGATGGGGGACGTTATGGGTGGTGGGGATTGTGGGTACCCATCTCCATCGACAGCAGCACTTCCGCGTAAGTTCTTAATGACCAAGACTGCTTGGGTGAGGGCAAAAATGTAGTTGTGAGCAAACCTGAGGGTCTCAATTTTGGTGAGACGCTGATCTTGTGGCATGGCTGGAAGGGCCAGACGCAATTTCTCTAAGGCATTGTTTAGCAGGTGCATTCGGTGTCGTTCTCTATCGTTGGCTTTCGCTCGACGAAATTTCTTGAGACGTAGAACGACAGTTGGACTTTTCCGCCGTTGTCGACGACGACCACCGTTAGCAGGACCACTGCTACCAGCTCCTCGGTCACCATCGTTGGAGTTTGTGGAAGAAGCACTCGTAGTTACTTCTCCATCCTGCAGATGAAAAAGTTTCTGAATATTTTCAAATCGATTTTCAGAGAATGGTGTGACTGGATGATCGGAGGCGGAGGAGTGGTGATGATATTTCTGGGAGTGCATGGAAGATTCTGATGAAGAATTGTCCGAGTAGTAAAAATCACTCTGAGTATAACTCATATTGTTTTTAATATTAATTTAACTTGTATACTTAAAGTGTCTCAAACTTCCTCAAAAATAGAGGTTAATATATATATGTCGTATGTATGTATTAAGCTGGTAATCTTCAAGTTTTTTATTATTATTATTCACTTCTGCCTAATTTCACTACAAGATTTTCCACGCAGCTCAAGTCTCAATTTGTGTGTAATTCGTGACTTATTGTTGTAATCTCGATGTTGTTGATGACGATAATTAAGTGAGCAACTGTTTGGTGTTTGTTAGGTCGTGTGACTTGACATTGTCTGACTTGTTGTACCAGCAATGACTAGATTTGGCTAATTTAATACGACCGAGACGGAGGTTGGTTGGTCGCGTGGACTCACTGAATGACAACCGGATGAGATCTGATACTGAATTTGGTGAAAGTGGGACACAAATTGTGCGACAAGTCCAACCCCAACCAAAGTCGGTCCATTTTCATCTCTATTCATCCAACAGCAGCAGGGTTCATATTATTATTATTACAGTCTGCAATATTATTTATATGCATTGTTAAGGAGTCCCGTATTCATTGGGTCCGAAATATCGGGACGGAGTTTGCTCGTTGGTTGCCTTTCCTTCCTCCATATAAAAATAATTATTATCATTATAGAGGAAAAAGGGACTGGTGGGTTCATTCAATTCTGAACCCTTGTCATATTTCCCTGTGTAAAGTAAGCAGGGTTAGACTACTACCCTCCCTGCAGTGAAAGAAGCTGACGCGATGAAGGGCGAGGTTTTACCGAATAAGGGACTGACCATGTAAGTAGTCGAGCTCAATTCTCCCCTCCTCGAGTTCTGATTTATGGCAGGTTACTTGTTTCATGGGGCTTTTATAATACGCGATATATTCCAGCACTACAAAATGGACTGGAATTATCCTCTTGTTAATCTGGTTGCTCAGGATTGCTTTTCGGGCACTTTAGGGCTTCGCTACTTACTGCGACTTGTAAAATGTACCCTTCGCTTCGCTATAAATGAAGAACGTGTCATTCCAAATTAGCACGATTAAAAAGATCAAAGGCATTTGAAGAAAAAATTTAAAACGTTTATTATATGCACTGCATGCATTTTGTACAGTAAACTTTACCAGTTTTCTGTATCGAGAAAGTACAAGCTTGAAAATAGGTGAAAATAGTACAATATTATTAAGCATTGAACTTAGAAAACGCTGGATATATGTGACCGTAAAACTGTTCAAATAAAAACTTACTACTTTGAATAACAAAAATTCTGCATAGGAGCATTGATTATTTTTCATGGAAAACGCCACAAGGCAAAATATCGACACAGATTTGTCGAACGACCATCAAAAATGCAGCCAGGATATTTCTTAATCCCCCAAATCAAACAATATAAGCTTTCCAAGCTTTTACTGGTTTCTACGTACATCTAAATACTTGTCTGGAGTTTAACATCGCCTATTCACAGAACCAACAAATCGTGATTGATTGGAGCTGATCTTAGTACTAAAACTTCATTGTCAGTTTGACATTCCGAATTTTTGGAAGACCCATGGGCGACATCAGTTGAATGCATTGCGCAATAGAAAAGATAACCCGATAAATCGTTGTTTGCGTTTATTCTTGAGCATATAGACTCACGGATTCATTCATTTCATCGTTTCGTATAAATTTTGTGCATGTGTTAGACGACATTTTTGTCACCCACCCCTTCTCCATTTGACTGAAAAACAACTGTCCACGCATATGAATGTATGCATGTATGCATGCACGTGCACTTTGCCATGAATGAATCAATTTTCTTTGTCGGGGACTAAATGGCAATAACAAGAGAGACTGCATTATTTTCCACAATTTCTCATTAAGCTTTTGCACTCACTCCTTTCCGGTGGTTTATGGTATGTCATTATCCACTTTCAACCCAATCGTAATTATACACCACATTTATGTATATGTCGACTGAGTAGGTCTCAACTGGTGAATCAAATCCATGTGTCCAGCTGCCGTTCCAGTCCTACCACTCCGAAGGTGATAATTTGTTTGCCAGAAAAATTCGTATGACAATATGGCATATCTATGTACGTGCATCGTAAGTCTGAACTTTGAACCGATCATCTCAGGATAGAGGTGGACAAGTCGTCTCAAAGTCAACAGAATTATCGGAAAGTCGTGAACATGCTTCGCCATTAAATGGGTATGGCATTGCGTGTTCTTTCATGTTTGCATTGGACATGTAATGTTGACATATTCATAGACAAAATTCCCTTTTGAATAAATAATATCCATTCTTTCCACTTCGTTTCGGGCGTGTAAAGATGTAAAGGTTGTCTTTATCCTCCAGCATAGTATGTATGTACATATGTGCATGTCGTTATGTACATCATAGAAGTGTAGCACGCGTACATATTAATATTTATATATTACTCGGAACATCTTAGGTGCATGTTTCTTGTACCTCACAAGATATCGACAAAAATCAGTTCAAAAGTTGCATGAAAATCGATCTATCTATATCGATATATGAATCAGATGTTGCAGAGACATTGGACCCTTTCGGGTCGTATTACTGATAAAATCATGCTGATACTGGTACCAAACATCCATCAGACCCAGATTCAAGACCCTTTTGATCACAATCAAAGTTGAATTTCAAGTGAAGTCCCCTCTTTTTCGCGTCCATGCGTTTATTTATACATATGAATACATAGTCGCTCTGGTCTGCGAACTGCAACCAGACCTGATCGTAAATACATGTTGGTAAAGTAAACGATCCGAATCAACCCTGTAGGGATTTTGACAGCTTGGCTATTCAAATAAAAATAAAATTCAGACCAGTGTAGTCGCAAAACCTATTCATTCTCTACAAAGATTCACATTTGTTTTGTCAGATAGAGTTCCGACCATTTATAACCGAGCGTCTAAGCGATCTGCCAAACTTCAGTCCATTCTATTTCATACTCATCAATAATCAGTCTGATTTTAACTGCATGCATGAATTAATTAAACAGAATACAAATTAATCTGATTGAATTTCCATTAATTTTATGGTGTCTAATTTTTAAGTGGATGGTAAAATCTCGACACGGACTACTTGTGAATCAGTAATGAATTGATTCTGTTAATTTTTCTCCAAACAATAACATTATTCACAACAGAGGATCCCGTTGAAATCTTGGGAAGAGTTCTAAATATTTGAATAAAGACAAGGATTACACTAAACACGACTAAAACACATCGTTCACTATAAATAGATGTAGTAGACATGTAGTGATGTGTATGTAGATTCTGGTATCCAACTATTACACAAAGTCACCGGAATGGGTGGGATGAATCAAATGATGCCAATTCAATAGGAATGATAGATTCGCATCATTTATTTATATAGAAAAGTATATAAATGACATGAACACGAATTCATTTATTCACTCGGCCAAAGCTTGGCATTCATTGTGTCAAAAGGACATGATGTGCATGCATCCTCCAGCAGTAATATTTCCAGAACTAGCTATTTAACAAAACGAGCCATTCCCCGACCAACCGGCTTATCAGACCCAAGCGAGGAAATGATGAAGAGCATCATAAATTTGATCAAGTTGGATTGAAACTCGAGTCAAAATAAAAAGGGTTCCTGCCATTGTGCCCACTCGGACGAGGGAGAAGAAAAGAAAATAAAGCCACGCTTACAGAGAAAGAAAGGGTTGCTGCTTGCTGCCACCATCGTGAAGTGGCCACCTGTCCTCGTTAAAATAAATGCGTATGTACATATGCACACGGTATGTATCCCCACTTCTGTGGGGATGACCTTTGATAACCCTATGCTGACACGATCCTCTCAATATTATGCACACACACAGTCATCTTCAAATAAGTATGTACATAGTTCTGGAGATTGTCCAATATTATTTTACGAAAGTGATAGTTTTTCAAAAAACGCAAATGAAATGAAAACATTTGAGCATTCATGAAAATATGGAACATTTATCCTGAAGATTATAGTAAAAGCGTCGTCTGCCAGAAAGGCAAAGTGCCTTTGGGGGCCCTTCAATATATAAAACACGCTAAAAACCCTTTCCGTTGAACTCGGGTGTGTGTAATCCCAAAGGAATCCAAATCCTTTTTAGTGCACAATACAGATATAACTCGTTGCAGTGAATTTGTAGCATTTTCACGGGTTAATCTAGATTATTGGGACACACGCTCCCTTCGGTCTGTAATTTCGCTTTAGACCATTTTAACCGTAATGAATAAAAAAATACAAACTTTTATTGGTTTGATCGGTAGAATTTTATTAAACTAATGAAACGAATACGGAATTAATTTAAATTCATGCGTGTCCAACCATGAAAACAGATCCCGTCGCGGTGGAAGGTAATCCATAATGTACATACATTTGGCATTGGATAAGAGTTTATACATATTTAAAAGCCAAAGTAGTTCCTGTCATCGGACAAGGATTACATTTTCAAAGAGTGCTCAAAGGGTTGGTCCCATTCGAAATGGTTCTGGCCGTGTCATTTTTAATTGCCATTTTTTTGTGGACGTGAAATCATAAGCACCATATGTACATATATATGTACAATATATGCATTTTGGTTGTATTTCTGTAAACTGAAATGTCACATGTATTTTCAATTTCTAAACTAATATGATATTTACAATTAATTATCAACTTAACTTTGATGTACAACTCATAAAAACGGGACACCAAGAAATCCATTGCTAACATTAAAATTTGCACCGCAACTCCCAGATGGAGCAAACCCAGTCGCAAATCCTTGCTGGAAAGGAAATCCCAAGTTCATTGTTGGTGGTTGTGAGGACATTCCAACACCAGGCGAAACTTGTCCAAGTCCTACACAAGCGCTCAAAGCCGTTTGCAACTGCTGAACTTTGGCGAAATAAGCGTTCTGCATTTGCCTAAAGGATTCTCTTGCTCTCCCAAGTTCCGACTCCAGGTCTGAAATCTGCAACAATTAAAGATTTCTTTCTAAGAGTCGGAAATATACTTGTGAATTAATAAATGTCGTTCTTTCGAAATCTAAACTGTTGCATACAATAAGACTTTTTCTGCATGTAAATTACTGAAGGAAAAATTCATCACCATTATCCGAACAGAACGGTGGTACAAAGGATAAAGCACCTCTCTGTATGTAATGCCATTCATTCAAGTGGGAACAGATTGGCTTAGCCCATAAGTTGGAATTGCATTTGGCTGTTTACCAAAAGCTAAACGAACTATTTTACGGCTAGGTCATACTTGTGTCCTCGCTCGCATTTTATTTTTATTTCATTGAACTTGATTCCGAGGGGAGAGGATGAATGGATACTCTTCAAAGGGAGAAAGCCATTATTGTCGAAGCACTGGAAACACCTGCCTCTCATCAACAAAGGAAAAATACACTCTCCGTCAGTCTCCAGTTGACACTTTATACTTTTACTCAACAATAAAACTTGCTTTACTAAACTAACTAACATCCATTCAAACCAATCTATCTAAATATATACGCACATAGATATTACTTGCAAAGTTAAGCTCTATTCCACAGAAAATATGTAATTTTATCTGATCTCTAAACTGTAAAGTATGTCCACATTTTATGTTCAATTCAATTTTTTAGCTGCAAACGTTTTTTAGCTGGATATGTACATATGCAGCCAAAATTATTGACACGAAACACGCGACTACTTACATTTTCTGTTAATGCGTATTGTATGATGATGATATGGTGGTGAAAATTAACTGGTGAGTGGAAAAACGCATTAAATGTGAAACTAAATTACTACATGGAGCGAAGCAGTTTGATTTAGTTATGACTTTTATTATACTATTGAGACTGAAAAACATTACTATCATTACCTTTTTGCTCCGTTGAACATCCTGTTGCTGATAATCCTGTCGGATTTTTAATATTTCATTGCAAGTGGTATTTTTCATTTTAGTCATTTTCTGATCGCAGGATTCTTTCATTAGAGTGATTTGGGTGAATGCTTTCCTGAAATTTATAATTAAAAGATATTCTCGTAAACTTATCATCCTAGAATTCCCAGAATACCCTAGATTTAGTAAATTTGTATTTGTGCTGCACAAATTGTGCACTCCAAAGATTTAGGTTCGGATTCCATGAAAATATTTTTGAGTGATCAACAACCACCAATAATATGAAATTATCAGTATGAATACCTTGCAGCTGCCGCAGATTTGTTACTCTCTTCCGTTTTGGACACAATTTCTCTTTCCAACCTGGACACCTTTTTTTGCAACTCATTCACTTTGCTCACGGACTTAGCCTCGACATGGTCCTCACAATCGTGTTCTTTCACTTCTTTGCTAAGAATGCTAAGTTGGTGTTCTAAGCTTGAGATTTGCTGCTCCAGATCCCCGTTGGACTTTTCTTCATCTCGCAAACGAAGCAGTACGGCTTTCTCCGTCTCTTGCGTCTCACGTAATTGCAGTTCCAATTTGTATCTCAGCTCAGAATTTACGTCCAGCTCGTTCCTCTGCTTGGCGATGGTTTTACCTTGATCTTCTGAAATTTTTTGTAAGATCTGAAGATTGTCAGTCAGTCTCTTCAGTTCGTCCCTGTGGTTATAGTAGGATGATGAGTGCGATATATGTACATACCACGCTTGCATACACTGAATTGATAATTTTTTAGAAATAACCTTAGTTCTCTCTCTTTGTTTTCTACAACGGTCTTCTTTTCTTCGTGATTTTTGTTTAAATTTATTAACTCTTGTTGCAAAAGTTCCCGAGTTTTTACCAGTTCGTGAATAATTCCCTGATCATGCTTCCATTGTTCCTTCAGTTTGTCACGCTCTTGTTCCAAATGTCTAGTTTTCTCAATATTGTCCTGGTTTAACGACCAAAACCGCTCTCTAAAACTTTCTTGGTGAGATGCAGTGCGATTCAATTTTTCAACCTTCTCCTCCAATGATGCATTTTCCTGCTGAAGTTGACGGATATCTAGGACGTATTTCTTGGCTTGATTTTCCTGGACTAGTTTTTCATTTTGAAGTGACAGTATGAAAGATTTAGTCCTTGATACCAGATTGGTTGCGGCATCAATTTTTGTTGACAAGTTAATTCGCTCTTGTTTCAGTGTCAGATTTAACGACTTTAACCGTTGTTCTTTTTCTTTGAGCTGGATTGAGAAACTTTGCTCCTGCTTTTTCAATTTCAGGTTTGAAGACTTTAACCGTTCTTTTACCAGTTGAAACCTAAAGTTGATAGTGACAAAATAATTGGATTGGAGAGATGAATTATTAGAAGGGTATTATTAATTTTTATTATACACATCCATGCATATGCACACCTTTGAAAAATTTGTTGCAATTTTTGCTCAGTGTTTCCCTTCTGTTCATTCAATTGTGTGATTTTTTCTAACGAAGAATGCAATTCATTTCTCAATACGCCTTCTTGCATCGTAAAGTTTGTTTGAGTTCTTTCCAACCAAGAATAATAGGATTAGAAAGCGGTACTAAATTATGTATACAAATGACACATACATACATATATTTGCATACTTGTGAATTTCTGACTTGTGCTCGGAGTTACATGCTTTCAAAATTTCAACCTCATCATCCAACTCTCTATTATGCTTGATCAGCTTTTCTTGGTCAGATTTTAAAATTATAAGTTTGTTTTGATATTCGGCAACTTCATGGATTCGACCATCTTTTAAACGGTTTATTTCCCTTGTGAGTTCGTTGTTTTGAACCTAACAAGGTTAAAATGCATAACGTTATAATTTGCAACGTTGAAAAATTGACTAGGTTAATTAACCTGCATTCCAGCTATTCGATTCTCTTGTTCTACAATTTGCGAATGATAACCCTGTAACTGATTTTTCATTTCAAGCGTTCCTTCCAGCAAATTCCTTTTAACTTCTTTTTCCCGTCTTAAGTCATCCTCCACCTACACAAGCATATTGCATAGTAAATACTTCATGCTAAATGCTGATAATGCTGGATGGTTAATGGTTATATCATAACCTTTTGTAAACGGATCATGACAATCTTTGCTGATTCCTCAATATCACGACACCTTTTGCCCTCGTCCGAAAGGTCTTCATCCGGACCTGCAAAACTTGCCTTTGTGAGCTTCCGAGTCTCGACATTTTTATTGAGTGCCCCCTCCTTTATAGTTTTCTCCCGAACAGAGTCTCTGACGGGAATCTCAACTTCTTCTTGAGCAGGGTCGTGTAACCTGTCTTTGGACTTTTTGGTGCCGGAGACAAGCCAATCATCGTTAGTGGACATGAGAATATCACGAATTGTGGAAATCAGATTTATGTCAGACTCTAATCTCTCAATTCTTTGCTTAAATGCCATTGTGTAGAATGTTATTTTAATTTGACCGTTTCTCTTCTTATGACTTATAGTTTTGCAAGCATAACTTATAATTAGTTTCATAGGAACAAAGGAGAAAAGAACCAAGTGAAATTTTACGTATGCATACTAATAATATTTATATATATAATATAATATATATAATAATATTTATAATATTTTTATATATTATTAATATAGAAAAATAGGTAAGGATCAAGGATGAGGATGAATTGCCATACTGGTCAGATGATTTTTTTTAATGATGACACTATTCAAATGATTTATTTGATAATAAGAACGCTATCTGAAATTCGGCCCAACTCAGCAGCGTCTACTAAAATACTACTATTGTAGTTTTCCCTCTATTTAATACAAGGCTAATTCAAAGCTGCACTAATTATAATAGTACTGATTATACAATAATAATACAAATTAATAATGTTATTAAAAATTAATAGTTAAAATAATACATGGGGATAAGTAAGAACCACGAGCCCAGCTCTGGCCTCACCAGCACCATCTCACTCCTTCGCAACCAAATTTATTAGATCAAATTTCGACCGGTTCAGTAGTAGATTATCACAAAAAAATACAGGACGTATTATATTTATCTACATTATAAGCTGGAAATGTCTGTTGGTAACGGAAGTGAAAGTTATTTTCCGTGACGGAAGTGAAAGCAGGGAAAGTTAAATTTCAAATGGCGCGAATATTCAAAATAAATTAAATTCAAAAAAAACCTACAGTGCAGACTCCATATAGCCCGAGTCAGGGACATAGTCCCTGAATCAATAAGTCAGAGCCCACTTCTAATTTTTTTCCGACCGACATAATATCACCAACTTCCGTGTTGTGGATGGTTAAAAGTTTGTTAGATAGTTTCTACTATTTGGTACCAAATTTTTGAATTAGTTACAAATCATGTGACTTGACCACCATGACCAGTGGGCTTCTTTAACATCATGAAGTTCTAAGCTGTATGCATGTACTATCCAACAGTGGTTTTCACTTTTTCAGCCTCCATATCAAATTTCAGCTCAATATAACGATTTTGAAAAATCAGTATGGGTCACCCGATAGGGTCACTCTGGTTGCACTTTGCTCACTTTTAACTTCATATTCTTTAATTAGAAGCCATTAAGTATCATTGTGCCGGATTCCATCTTTTTAAAGCAATTTCTAAAAATCGGTATGGGTCACCCCATAGGGTCGCTCCTGATAATAATTTTACCAATATCATATCATATTCTTTCATTAAACCCCATAAGCAACCTCTCCACCAAATTTCAGTTCGATATGATGGTTTTTAAAAATCGGTATGGGTCACCCCATAGGGTCGCTCAAGATGAAAATTTTTCCAACTTGAAGTCATTTTTATCTAGTAGGAGCCATTAGCAACCTCTGTGCCAAATTTCAGCTTTCTACGACAATTTTGAAATTTTGGTGCATAAGACCCCACCTACTCCGATGACCCCCACCGGTCAATGACTGGACCGATTTTGCCCATCTTCGAACTCGTTTCCTAATTTTGTCCAATATGCATGTGGTAAAAATTTCAAGTCAATCGGTTCAGCCGTTTTGGCTCTATCGTGCCGGACAGACAGACGGACAGACAGACAGACGGACAGACAGACAGACGGACAGACAGACAGACGGACGGACATAACGGTTCCATAAGCCCTGACTCGGGCTAAAAATTAAATGCCAGAACCTGCGGTACTCTTTGTGGCTTATTTATGTGGGGGTAGTGGTTATCTGAGGGTGGGTGGTTATCTAGGGATGGTGGTTATCCGGGGGTGGGTGGTTGTCTGGGGTGGGTGGTTATCTGCGGGTGGTGGTTATCTGGGGGTGGGTGGTTGTCTGTGGGTGGGTGGTTATCTAGGGAAGGTGGTTATCTGGGGGTGGGTGGTTATCTGCGGGTGGTGGTTATCTGGGGGTGGGTGGTTGTCTGTGGGTGGGTGGTTATCTAGGGAAGGTGGTTATCTGGGGGTGGTGGTTATCTGGGGGTGGGTGGTTATCTGCGGGTGGTGGTTATCTGGGGGTGGGTGGTTGTCTGTGGGTGGGTGGTTATCTAGGGAAGGTGGTTATCTGGGGGTGGGTGGTTATCTGGGGGTGGGTGGTTGTCTGTGGGTGGTGGTTATCTGTGGTAGGTAATCTGATGGTGTTAGGGCCAAGGTGTCAAATTCCACTATCATTGGTGGTACAAGACTTCAGGTGGCCAGGCGGGTCGCCCTCAGCCGCGACGAGCCACAGGACTAAACCCCATGACGGATGAGCATTGGTGGTCTTGGTGGGCGAGTCGCCCTCAGCCACGACGAGCCACGGGACTAAACCCCATTACTGATGATTATTGGTGGTCTTGGTGGGCGAGTCGCCCTCAGCCACGACCAGCCACGGGACTAAACCCCATTACTGATGATTATTGGTGGTCTTGGTGGGCGAGTCGCCCTCAGCCGGGACGAGCCACCGGGATCAAATCCCATAACGTCTGAGCATTGGTGGTATAAGATTTCAGGTGACCAGACGGGCCGCCGGGCCAATGTCCAAAATCCAAGTTTTTGACATGGAATCGCAGCAAAATGGGCCTGATAATTCCCGATAAATAGAAGTTGACTAGCTAGGATCGTTAAAGCTTCAATTTTCATTATGGCGGGCAAGCTTACTAACATGAGGTTTTATTGCAAAATATGTCCAAAATTAATTTTAAATTAAATTACAGAACGTGTGGTACTCTCTGTGGTTATTTATCCGGGGGTGGTGGTTTTCTGGGGGTGGTGGTTATTTAGGCAAGTCGGTTATCTAGGGGTGGGGGTAGTTAAGTAGTGAGAGTACACGGCCCGGCCCTCCTCAGCCCAGCCCAATCTCATCTCATAGTTAATGAGTAGTACACGGCCCGGCTCGGGCCGGGGCGGCTCGACCCAGTCCAATCTCACCCACAGAATTATACTACTATATCTAGAAGACGTACTGGACGAGCGATAGTAGCCACCTTATGAGCGCCCGTCGTGGTCCTTAACCCAACTAAATAATACACTGGTGTATTGCACACCAGGGCCACGGGTTGTTGTCTCGAGCAATTTAATACACAGATGGGTATGTGCACCACCGTCGCTCCAGTTCAGACACTTCTCTCCAATCTAAACTAAAGACAGGCACCTTGATCTCACCTCATAGTTAATGAGTAGTACATGGCCGCGGCCCACTATCATATCGACGATATGACTATTCATAGCGACGATTGCCGATATGCTGCTTGCGCAACGGACAAATTTCTTTCACTTCCGTTGGCATCAAATAGTTTCAGTTAATAAATATCTACAAAAGATTTCGTTTGTGGAATTTTGAAAATAAAATCAACTCGCGCCCGGCGGGAGACGGGCTTATACGCTAGTTTAGTATATTTTAGTTTAGTCATAGTTCTTGCTATTAAATTATTGATTAATGAGCAATTGCTAAATTGGAGAACAGTGCTAAATTGTTACCTGACCATGTAATACTCTCCACGGAATATATTGATCAAGTTCGATTTCATTTTTACATCTGGAAAGAAGAGAAGATTTATTGGTATGAAAAAAAGTAACTTTTATTTATTGGTATAGATCCATCAAATCATTCCGCTACTGCTGCTTTGTCTACACTTTGGTTGTTAATTTCTTCAGGTTACCTTGATGTAGGTTTACCCTTATTTGGATGGAACTACTCCAATAAAAGTGAATTGCAAATAAACAAGACATTAGACGATGGCTGTCAAAGTGAACCCAATCTGCGCCACATATCTTCTGGATAATCCGAAAGAACTGTTAGAATGCTTCTCACAGGGATGGACTTACCCGAACCGCCCTATTTTGATTAACAAAAAGTACCCGTACAAACTGTTGTAAGTATTATAACTTATATTATAAGCATTCGTGCAAGTAGTCCACTGCATTTACATCAGTAATAATGAAAGACGCGTTCCTCTTTTTACCACCAGGTACGCTATCAGCCCTGACGATTTTGCACTCCAAATAAACGACAGAATTTCGTCTGCTATCCAGTACCAGGTTAAGGAAGCTTGTAAACGTCACAAACAAAACGTTAAAATGTATCGTGTCAAACCGATCGACATTGCTTTCTTGGTTGACATGCTTCCAGTGGTTGTTAGAGATCAGCATGGGTATTTTTATCACTATTTTTTATCTAATTTATAATACAACAAACTTGAGACTTGTTGCCCACGGTTTACATAGAAAATATCATCGAGCCGAAATCAACAGCATCAATACTGAAAAGAAGAATGTCTGTGTGCACTTTGTGGATTTGGGAGAAGATGGTTGGGTGGCGGCAACGACCGTGTATCCGCCCTCAACCGACCTTCTGCGTTACCCAAAGTTGGCTTTACTGTGTCGCTTGGCTCAAGTAGTGCCCTTTGGACGGATGAAGAAATGGAGAAAATATGATTACGCAAAGCTGTTCGATGCGAAGAAAAGTTCCTACTTCAGCATCTCCATTGTTGACCGAGGGGTGCACCAGGTGTACTTGGAATGTGACAAGCAAGATATTGGGTATAAAATGGTCATGAACCTTGGACTTGCTGATTATGTGCCACTAATCTGCGAGTATAATAATAATGATGGCTATGCGAATCGAGGTAGGCAGGAAGTTGGAGAATATTACATATAATAAGAAATACAATGTACTTTAGCATTAAATTAAACCGAATTACTTTATTCATGTCCAAAGCAGCAAAAAAGATGCTGGGGAAGTACCCACGATATGATTTCTGCGACTGGATTGGACAACAACTTGCTGCATTTGGGACTCTAGTTAGAAGGGTAGGCAAGAATGGCCATATCAAGATTCACCTTCAGCTGGATTCAAATATTATGCAAGTAGTAAACGACATGCTTGATCAATTGGAAAAATTCCCTGACGTACTACAACCATGAAAATATAGCTGATTTAGCTAATTTATTGGCAATTATTGAATTTGTTATTAAGAGTATTCTCGAAATTGTATTTTTTATGTATACAGTACCTGAAAAATTCGAGAGACTTTGCAAAGGAGGTAGGAGACGCTGTTCTGGTGCGCCATGGGGCTGATAAAACTAAATATCGGGCAACAATATTTCAGAAATCGGGATCTGAATATTTGGTGAAACTGGTGGACTATGGTGACTTTATAAATGTAAACGAAAACGATGTAAGTGTAGTTGTCTGTCTTGCAGTAATGTTCCATTAACAATAAATGAATATTTGTTGTCATCAATCATAACTTTTTACCTTTGTTAAATTGAATGGATGCTACAAGTATTGTTGGGATGTTGGTTTATATAGTTGCTGTTGATTCCCCGCATGTTGGTGAGCGTCCCAGAAGCAGCTACGCCGTGTTATTTGGCGGAATTACTTGCAATTAATCCGACTAAGCAGACCGATAAACTAGCAGATATGCTTAATGAATTGATAACAGAAAAAGATCTCTATTGTCGCATTGGATTTGTAGATTACATTGATAGACAAGATCCATGGGACGCTCGAAAGTAAGCAATATTAAATAAATAGAAATGGCTCTTGTTTTGACAGTTTTGATCGTGATATAAGCAGAAACACCCAAAGATAAGAACCTAATTGTATGTCCGGATTGTTCTTGCATCTTGCAGATGTATTGTTACCCTTGAGAGAGAAGAGGATGGAAAACCGTTCAGCGAAATTTTGCAAGTTCCCAAAGTGAACCTTTCTCAGTCATATACTCATCGATTTCCAAGAGTTAGTGAGAGTTTGGCAGCAATGCTACTTGGGTCAGATTCGGCCTATTTTCCTGGCGTAAGATATAAAGGATTCGTCTCTTGTGTGGTGGACCATGAATCTGTCTGGCTTCAGCTGGAAGGGGATGATATTCGTGCAGAAGAATTGACTGTGGAGCTAAACGATTTCTACTCCAAATGGAGTGATTGTTTGAAACTTGATTCAGATGCACTTGTACCGGGCATATACGTTGGAGCTCAACAAAATGATGAAGATGATACGAGGTTTTATCGGGCCCTAATAACAGAGATTTTTCCAGACATGAAGAAGTACAAAGTCATATTTTTGGACTATGGGAATAACGACGTCGTTCCTATCGGAATGATGAAACCGTTGCCCGCTTACTTTTGCAAGGATAAATGCTTCGCTATCCAAATAGCTTTACCGTTAGAATTTCTTCCGGAAGCGAATCCAGACACATTTTTAGAATGGATTGCATGCTTGAACAATGCTGAAGATCTTTCCGTGTACATTCAAGATGTGGATGGAATTAATTTTGGGTGGATTTTTTCAAAAGAAACCTCAATAGCTCATGACGTGGTCAGAAATAATACGCATCTTGTTAAATTGAAAATTCCCTGTGAGAAGCTTCCCTTTGAAGTTGAACCACAACTTTTGGAATTCTGATGTGGTAATACAACATCTCGTTTTAATTGAAAATTATTATGCATTAATAATTTATGCTATATTCCTGCTATTACTATTTCACATATTAATGCAATGCTCCTGAATTTTTACTTGTTTATTTTCCCTTTAACTGTATTTCAAAATCCCAGTACTTACAAAAATATTACATTACAATCTTATCTGCACGTGTTTTATGTTTTACAATAATTCATTTTACACAAATGTCCTGAAGCAACATATGGAAGTACATATTCAATTATGTAAGTAGACCACAATAAATACTCATCATATCAACTAATATCAAGAAGTGTCAACTACTGTCAACGGTTAATTTTCTCTATATTAGACCCATTCGTACGCATGCATACCTAGTATCTAGTTTCCTTGCATCCTGAAATCACAATGCATCTGGTAAAGCTTTACAGCATGCATTTCTGAGTGGAGGTTGTATTGTATGCTTCAAAATTGCTATCGAGTTGAATTATGGTCAGGCGGTCAGGGCTGAATGCGGAACGAGCAATAATAAATAAGCATCTCTGGCAACATTCATCATGAGCCTACTCGCATTAATATTTTACGAGCAGGAAAACGATAGGATAAAAAAACTGGTCAATTAAATCCACAACGAAACGAACCAGCCAGAAACAATTCAGTCCAACGAATAAGCCCAGCAGACAGAAGGCAGAAAGAGATCAGAAAGAGATTGGTTTTGTTTGGCCGAAATTTGCAGGGAAGCTCTTTATCAACTCAATAATAGGTCATTTAAAACGAGATATGCTCACATTATTCTAAAAACGTGTGTCATCTCCATTCCATCCATCGGAAAATCAAAAATTAATCAACCTGCTTCTCATGCAGTCATATTATAATTGACGGGTTTTGAGTTTGTGCATATGTTGGTGGTGCCGTGGTGGCAGAGAGAATAGTGTGAGCAAAAAGAGTTGAATCGAGGAGAAAGTTTTTCAGCTGCTCCTCCGTCCCATTTACCATTCGTCTGCTTTTACTATTTATACTCCCAAAAACTTACAAAAATTGGTGGGGTATATGTGAGCGTGAGCGTGAACAGTTTTTTATTAAGAAAGTAGGGGCTGTGCTTATCATACTTAACGACAAATTGAACAACTTGTGGAGATTGACAAGACTTACCGGGTGATTTCTAAGTTTCTTATTTTTGTATAGAATAATATTGTCTATCTTTAATTTCAAATTTATCTCTGCGAATTGTAATTTTAATCTACACTCCATTTGTGTAATACCCGATTTGTTATACTTTTATATTAAACATAGGGAAGTACTTTGAACTTGAATGAGTGGACCTATTTTCGATTTCAGATTCATTCGGTGATCGATGATCGATGAGAAAGCAAAATACTGACACAAATGGACCAGTACCAGTAAGCCAATCTTAGCCAACTATTCTAATATTTTTTTTACTAAGGGCCAAGTACATTTTCAAATTTCTCATTTGTTTTTGAAGTCAACGAGCGACCTTAAGAAGACTGATCGTCGTCAACACGGAACGCTTTTTCTAAAATACGTGTTGTAACATTAGCTCCCAGTTCCGGCCTTCCGGTTAATTCAATTCTACAGAAAAAGTTGATCTCTGAAGCATAAAAGACAAACACTAATCACTACTTCTACACAACCAATGACATGCTTAAATAATTTGTTAAAAAAGTGGCACGTGAACATGTTCGACTGATTAAACAAATAAATCTTCTTCAACCTTGGAATCATCACGAAGATGGTAGCTGGTAAGAGAATTTGGAACATTTAATGGCACAAATGTATTGAAATCACTTCAAATACGGTTCTGACATTAAGTTTGAGGGTAATTAATGTACCATTCATCATTAAGATTTTGATTCTGATCAGTTCACAGTTGTGTGATTCGCTCATTTTTCATGGCATGAGAGAAGCTTTACCGGGATAGGGTGATATTTAAAAAAATCCGAAAAGTTCCATGGGGGGCGAGTGAGCACGGATAAACATCATGTAATGCATGAGTGTCTCGCAATTCGGGTGCGACGATCAATAAAATTCTGGTGGAAATGCGCGAGTCACTCACACTGTTAACAAGCTAAAAGAAAATTGTTGCTCCTTTCTTGGTGTGGTAGTAGTAAATCCTCCTGCAGGGAGAAAGGAGGGCAGATCTCCCAGCTCTGCTTTCTCCGTTAACATAATACACAAGTTTCACTCTTGCACTTATTTACCTTTAGTAAAAGTTAGCCATGTGATGCCCATTAAAATCTGCAACCCTGAGATCTCACCTCATCTTATCAATATATTGACAATAAATTGGGGGATTGATGCCAATCAGGATTGATTTCGTTAAAACTGGACATCACTATATAATACCATTATGATAAGCAAAGAGTTTCATTACAAAATACTGTTCTTATCAGTTTTGTCTCAGTTCAAAGTAAAGTGCAGATTTAATTCCATAAATAGTGTATTATTGTAACTGATCGATGTTGTTGGGTCAACTATGACCAGTCGACGAATGACAGTCAGCGTGATCTGATCACTTGAAATAGATGCATCGGCTTAGAATTAGTTACAGTTAGCCTTGATGGCATCCTTTGTGAAGCGATGTTGCTGCTTCGAGATCCCAGAGGATCTTGTCGAATCGGTTGTGTTCAAATGTACCAGCCCCAACTGTAAGCTGTAGAGTGCTGCAGAGAGCTGTTTCTTTATTTAATACATTTAACAAATGATTCTTATTCCGTGTTATCAATATTACAGGTTGTTGTGGGTGCTGTGCACCAAGATATAAGAGATTAGTCGACAGTGTCTTCCCACGCGGTGTCGAGGTAAGCTTCAAACATTGGAAGAAATTGCATGTATGCAATGCATACTATGCATTGGTACAATAATTTATATGACAAACTTTTTTCATATTATTCACAGGATGGGCTTGTTAAATCTAATATGGAGAAGTTGACATTCTATGTCCTCAGCTCCCCAGAAAAATTAGATCGGGTTGGAGAATATTTATTTCAAAAAGTTAGTCGGGATATATACCGCAAGAAAAATGGGTTAGTTTTTGAAAATATAGTTTATTTATGCTCACCGGTTTAATTTTACTAATCTAGTTATATGTTATACAGTGCTGTGGTTATCGGGTAAGTACATAAAATTTACAGTTTAAATTGAGTAACTTGATGGATTTTTTGACGACTTTACCTATGTATGTACACTATGTTAAAAATCGACTTATCATATAGTGTGGAGGCAATGGACCAACTTCTGCAAGCATGCCACTCACAGAGTTTAAACTTGTATGTGGAGAGTTTTCTTCGTATGGTTCAAAAACTTTTAGAATCGCCAGATCCAAATTTTCAAATTTTAGCAACTCAATCAGTAAGTTATAACAATTTATAATGAGTAACTCGATTCTTTCCATCATTATTATCAATATATTATATATCGTGTTCCTTCTTTCCAACAACCAGTTTGTTAGATTCGCATCTATTGAAGAAGATACTCCATCTTATCATCGTCGCTACGATTTTTTTGTATCGAAATTTGCCTCCATGTGTAAGTCAAACTTTTGTAATGCAGAAAATATTTTGCAAATATATTTAATTATTTAAATTGAAATGAAGTATTATAATTTATATTCATGACTCACTAGGTCACAACAATGCGTCAAATGATATACTCAGAGCGGAAATACGAGCTGCTGGAATTAGAGGTTTAAAGGTTCGTAATAGGTTACATATTTCGTTGTTTGCGTACCCCGTGAACCTCATTCTAATTCCTATATCAATTAAATTATAATACTGTTCTAGGGGGTAGTTAGAAAAACTGTATCCGATGAACTTGTCGAAAATATTTGGGAATCCTCGCATATGGAAAAAATAATCCCTTCGTTGCTCTTTAATATGGAACAAGGAAGGTTAGTCAAGCTCAACGTTTTCATTTTGCTTTAACGTTGTACATCTTTGTTGAAAATAAAATATATCAATATTCTGATTTTTAGGAAAACGTTAGTAAAAGACGAGAATGATGCTGCTACGGAAAACTCTGGAGAAGATGAGCTGGATGCACCAAAGTTGGCAGAGAACTGTATGAGGGACTTGGTCAACAAGGCAACTTTCGGACACGTTAGAAGCATAGTAAAACCCGTTCTTTAGTACGTCTTCATAAATCCATTTCACTTGATTACTTCCAAGATATTTGTAGTTGTCTAGATTTGATGTTAAAACTAATTAAAGATAATAATTGTCGTTATATTCTGTTTTCAGTCATTTTGATGTATTTGAACTATGGGTGCCAAATGATTTTGCCGTTCACACATTTCGAGTTATCATGTTTTCAATTCAGGTATAACATATTTGTATAAACATACACAGCAAAAATACTTATCAACTGCGAACTACATATTTCTTGATTCAATATTTTTCAGTCGCAATACTCGTATGCCGTTATTGAGACTTTGATGAACCACATGGAGCAGCACAACAATAAATCAAATGCGAAAATAAGAACAAGTATGGCGGACGTGCTTGCGAAAATAATCGACATTGCTGCTGGTGAAAGCGTTGGCCCGTCAGTGTTGGAGATTGTCAATGCAATAGTCCAACACTTGCAAGTGTCCACGAAAATGGAAGGGGTTGACGGGGACGAAAAAGCATATCGTGAAGGTTCGTGATTTTTTTAGTTCTCTCTATAGCTATTATAGTGATGTGCAAATAACTGTATGTTGTTGACATATGCTGCAGGTTTAATTTCAGCACTAGGAGAATATGTTACTCATCTACCAGACTATCAGAAAATAGGTAAGATTAAAGTTATAACCTTCATCAATTTGTTTTCTATAACTTTTGATTACATGCATATATCGTTTTAAACATAGAAATTATGAAGTTTATCATGCAAAAGGTACCATCCCGGTCCGAAAGTAATAGATTGCTCCAAAATATGCTCCTGAAATCTCTTCTCATGGTAAAAAGAATTTATGAACCTCTGGGAATTTCGAATTTATGGTGACTATTGATATCATTGTTTTCGTTTAGGTGGGATCTAAGTATTCTTCAACTTATTTAAGTACAACATTTCCACTGTCCTTCCTTCAGCCTTTATTAAGTGAGTTGAGATTGGTTTATGCAAATTGTACTATTTAAACATTTCGTGTTTTTATTACCCATTCTACAGCCCTCAGTCAAGATGATGACCCAGAATTGCGATTGCTCGTACAAAACATTCTTCATACTCTCATCGATCGAAGACGGAACAGGGAAAAACTTTTATCTCCAACGTAAGAGAGTAACTGAATCTCGCTGTGATTTTATGTCTATGAAAATTACATCAAGCATCCAATCTATCTGTTCACTCAAGTGAACTCTTTTGTGCATAATTTAACGATGTGCACGTTTCACTCCGTCCGTATTTTATCGTATGCAATTTATTCTCATGGGTTTGTTAAACAAAATGGTATATCAGCTTGATATATACAACGTATTCATTACAATTTCTCTTTGGTTGATCATCTTTTCCTAAACTCATACGTACCTATACATGAGATATATTGGTGCATATAATAAGTGTACCTAAAAATTGCGTATGGTTGGAGTAATAATTCTCCAAATTACAGGTTGAAGCTTGATAATCTAGACCGAGAGCCATGCACAAGGACGGATATCCTGTTTGTAAAAAAGAATGGAGCAGAAATATTTAGCAGTATGTTCACCAGCTTGGAAAAGACGAACAATGGGATAAAAAATATGAATGCAGTCTACACCACTGCAGCTTTATTTTGTGTGGAGCTTTTTTGTGAAGATACTCTGTTTGATTTTGTTAGACTAATAATTAGTTTTCAAGATTTAGCTATTACTTCGTCAGTGTTAAATGCGGCACAAAAAATTCATCTTCACGTCATTGCGCTTTCGTTGTTCACCCTCGTTGCTCATTTATTGCCAAGTCTGCAGGATTATTGTAATAAGGTAATAAAGTCCAACAAATAAATATAAGCATTGACACTTTATCCACTTTAAATTAATAACCAATTATTTTTTTTATTACAGGTGACAAAAGGGAGAAGGGAACATGCTATTCATCTTCTTCCCCCTCTTAAAACCCGATATGAAGTATATGAACCATCAGGTGAGAAATTTTTTGGCATAAATGTCCAGTATTAAATTCAATTTAAAATAATAGAACCATACAAGCACATATTAGTAAAAACAAACAAGTTACCCAATAAATTTCTACATGATATTCCCATCATTATAGCCTTTGTAGGGCTGGGGAACTATATTTCGGTTTGGTTATGTATACTTTTGACACCTTCAAAATATAATACGGTGTTTTTTTGTAATTAGATTCACAAAGCATTCCGGACCCTTGTCTCATTCAGCAAGACCAAGTGTTTGATGTTCTAAAAAAAGAAGGAATAGAACCCTCCAGCAAACCGTCGTATTCTTTTCCACGCCATTCTTGGGTTGATGCTCATATGCAGTCCAGCACAGCTCCTGACCTTAGCTCCATCAGTGTGGAAGTAGATTCTGGGTATGCTAATTTTTGTAAATTTTGTAATTAGCAACTTAATTGTCTCATGATGAGATTGGATTAAAAAGGCAACATAAGCCGACTTGAGATCATCAATATTTATAATACCATTAAACTGCATCGTTTGGAATAGTTCATTTACTTAGGGCTTCTCTTCGTCGTAGTCTTCCTGTATAACATATACCTGTCCAAACATTTCTCCAATCAAGCTTAATAGGAATTGTCAATATTTTCCTTTAAATCCAAATATTTTTATTTGTTTATTATGTATATACCAACAATTAAATTATAATTAAATTATACGTCTTCCAGAGCTTCTACTCCCGTTGGATCTAGTAAGGTATGTATGTACATTTAGTATCAATTAAATTAAAATTATATTTTCTGATTTATGAATTAAAACTTGCAGCAACAAGCCGAGGAAACTGTTATGACTGTAGACAGCTTAAAAAATGTATTGAACGAGCCTCCGGAAATAAGAAAAGAGTTGGAAACTCAGAAACGCAAGGATTTGTCAAATACTTTTAAAACGGCTCCCTTTGAAGACCTTGTTAGTAAAGCTGCCGCACGAGTAAGTTATATACATATTTGTTATTTTGGTGTCTATGTTAATATATTTTTATAGTTTTCACAATCTATTATGCAAGGAAGTGATAATTTTTTGTTTTACGTGTTTTAGAGTGGAAATTTGCAAAATAAGTTGTCAGAGATATTTACTAAAATGTCGGTAGCATCGTCTCCTACTTCGGCTAGTTTAGAAGGAAACTCTACAAATCGGAACAATAATTCAAATTCCCTTACTCTTAGTAACCATCATCATAATCACAATCACATCGGCAATAAAGTTCAGTTCCCTCAAATTTTTCAATTGTGAATTACACATAAAATATTTACTAATCTTGATATGTATTTATTTAATTGTAAATCGAGAATTTGTCTGATATATTTATTTGTATTGTCTTATCGTTAAGTAGATTTAATGCATGTAGCTTAGCTATGTATATGCAGACTGCAACATTGACATATTACGATTCATTCCTGTTCATAACTAGACATATAACCCTGCGGGATAGGTGTTATACAAAATGTTTCGAATTACGTAATCTAAATAAGGGTATATTAACAAAGCTGAAGGTGCTCCTCAAAGCCAGTGTATTAAAGTAAATTAAGAAAATAGGAAAGAAAATATAACAATATAAATATATCTATCTACAATGGAATTAGGTTACAAGTATACATTTAGATACATGTCTTGAAATATGTATATTACATCTTCGCTGTGCCTAAATATCAATCCAATTATAATGACTTGAGTAGAATGGAAAGGCACCCTGTTAACATGTTATTACTACACTTGCCAGCACAAATGTCCACCTACATAAATAGTCTTTTCATAAATACATACATTCACCTTTGATTCAAGTTGTGTCAGCCTTATATCCATCAAGAACCTATTACTCATCTTAAATGACATATTATTCAATCTCAGTATTATGTTAGTGTTAAAGGGGCTTCCTGATTATGATTCTAATTAATGAGGGTATGTCTTGCAGTCCTAAATATTTTCGAAATCAGCAAATTTCAGGGATACTTTTAATCAAGAAAACTTTTTTAGTGTAATTGATAATTTAATTTGTACATCTGATTTGATATGAATCAAGTAGTTGTCAAAACATTAGCCTCTATAAATATTAATATATACATATATACTTGTATAGCTATATATAATGTACATGTATTTTTGTGTCTAGTTTAATTTTGCAGTTTTACTCGAAACAACAATACCGGTACAACTCTGACAAGTTGTACGCAGACGACTACACCACTATAAAATCATAATTGAAGACCCCTGAATTATTTACTTAAATATGAAACTATTCCTTTATATAAATATCATATATAGAGAAATTATTCCCATGATTGATTGTGACGTACCTGGACATCGACATAGTGAACAAAAGCTATAGAATGAAAAATAAAATCCAAATATGTATGTATAATGAAATAATTCTGACCTGCATCTTCACAAGTATTTAGAGGCAAAATTATGATTTTGTCTTTCATGCGTTTGCAGCAACAACCACACGAATATTTTAGAAGATGGAGAATGCATATCCTAAATTTAGCAATCTGCTCATCACACAACGAATGTCTGTATTTACACACTTTTACGTTGTTCGTTGGCTCATTCCGAGAAAGAAAAATCCCGACTTCTTGTCTGTATAATATTATATTGATCATTGGTAAATTGCATGTCTGCTTAATTATGATGCAATAAAATGGAAACTAATTACGAAACAGGGTGGAATTTATATGAAATTGTATGTACATTATTGATACAGTGCTTTAATTAGATAAAACGACTTTAAAGGCCAAACGTATAATGATTTTATTATTTTTGGGAGACTCGACTGCATTCTTACAATGTTAATTTCTCAAGTTCTTGTTATTAAAAAATAGTTGTTAAATATGAAAGTAAAATCCCTCCCCCACTGTTCTGCGAAATTTTGTAAGGACTGAGTTTCTTTAGCCAACATATTCATTTATTATTTGCATGAATTTGTATAGCACAGTTGTCTTGTATAGTTTGTTCATTTCGAGCAATCAGACTTACTACCAATCAACAGACATATCCATCTGCTATATCTTCTTATCGCAGGAGAGCCTGCGGACTGCGAAATATACATATTTGAAGCATCGTATTTTCAAACCTTGCTCATCCTTTCCTTGCTTTCGTTCCGTTTTGGCAGCCGACCGAAATTTTTTCTGTAAACTCATCGACATGACACACTGCATGCACTTGTCGTGGACTAACTTTCCAACTTCATTCACTCGATTTTTTCAAAACTATACTTTTTACTTGGTATGATTTTTACGCCAGGATGATGCTTAACGGAACATCTATACATTCACTAACATCTATCTCATCTCAGTCTCTATCACTTCTCTTTCCGTTCTTGTTGTTCTTTTTTCTTTCTTTAGCTGCTCTTATTATTTGGTTTTATTTCGTATAGTTGATTCAATTGCATTCTCAGATTATGCATAAATGTGCCTTTACCCCAAGTACAGTACTACATAATGTTTGTTCCAAACGATCCCATCTTGCTGCCCTTGAAACCGTTTTGCTTTAGCAGTATCGCTGAGTTAAGTAGTGTGGTTTAGTTGGTAAAATCTTGGTTAAGCAGATTGTAACGAATTTTTCATTCCTCAAATTCAGTGATTGCATAGATAGGCTGTAAAATTATCGAATATGCGTAGAGATCAAGAAAGAAGTTACCATTAAGTTTGTGATATTTATAATTATTTATACATTTACTGAATAATATTCAGTGGGCTGCTCAAGATTTTTCGTCACGATGAATCGTATGAAACGAAGTTCCAAGTCACTTCCTCCACAGGATGTAGGAAATGGTGGGGAAAACAGTGTTGAAGGGCTTCCCCCAAATGGAAGAACAAAGGAAAATAGCTCCAAGAACTCTGCTGGGTCTGTTGGTGAAAGTTCCGATCTCGTCTTGTCTTCTGGCTCTGGAGGAAAGAAGAAAAAACACTCCTCCTTCTTCTCCAACCTCTTCAAATCCAAGAAAACTTGCGTTCTTCCAAGTGAAAGTACAGACAAAGGTGGTGTCGCTGCCGGAGGAGGTGAGGGTTTGACCTTGTCATCCAGCTATGAAAGCGTCAATAGTGTGGACACCACGAGCAGTTTTACTTTTGTTAGCTCCAAGAAGCTTCGGGGAAAAGGACACAAAGGCAAACGGATTCCAGTGGATGATGACCAAACTGATCGACCGAGTTCAAGTTGTGAGAATGACAGGCCCAGTTCTGCGGTTAGCAGCAGTAGCAAGGGCAGCACTTTAAATAAGGTTTTACCACCCTATCCCAAGAAATTGGGTACTTTGAGTAAAATCGGGATGAAAATGGGACTGAAAAAGAAATACAACTTACAATCGTGTGAATCGTTGGAGCACATTGCAACCCTTCCAAGACCCAATTTGATACAAGTTCAGGAAAAGATGAAAAACAAGAGAGGCAAAAAGATCACATCTAATTCTTCAGTTGAACAAGGTGCAATTAGCTCGGGTACTGTTTTGGAGCCTGCACAACAGGAAGAGACTTTCACACTTGATGAAACTACATCTAAGAAACCTGAATTAACTTCGTCAAATAAAATGGATGAAACACTGGATACTGTTAATACCCCAGCATCATCTTCTGCATTACAAAATTCTATTGAAATTAAGCAGAAATCGGACGCCAAAGTTTCAATTCCAAAAAAATCCACCCCAACTCAAGAACCTATTCCATCAACTTCTAAAATTTCCGAGCAGGCATTACCATTGAATCTCCCTTCAGGATCAGGATATTCCAGTGATCCAAACACGTGGAGCAGCAACACCGCAAGAAAGAGGCGTGCCCCAGTTCCTCCAAAAAAGTCTTTTAAGCCCGATGTGATTCAAATTCCAGGTGCAACTCACCAACAGAAAAAAATTGACGAGAAAAATGTTGAGTTAAAGTCAGTGAAGCCCTTGGATGAGAATGCGATGGTCAGCTCGGGAGAACGGCAGTTATCCTACCCGAGTGGAGCACTTCGCAGAAATAAATCCAAGGACAAGGCTCACCTTCGCCCTTTCTCCTGTTCTTGCTCAAACTCAATTTTTGCCCACCACTCAAAGTACCAGCAGTACCATAAACAAAGTTGCAATGATGGATCACCTCATGAATCAACATCTGCATCAATTTTCAATTCCAATACGCTGGGAAGGACGCATGTCAGAGGCAAGAAAAAGGCACCTCCACCTCCGACTTCCGAGCTTGGTGAAGAACATGTAACGAATAAATCAGGAAAACCATGCATTGTGCCCAAACTTCGTCAGAATAAAAATCCTGAAAATCCTTACGGAAATCCATTTTTGGACGAAGATAGCGATGGAAATAATAATGAGATGGATCGCGGAGCTGTCGTGGTTTCTTGTAATAAAGAAAGTCGTCCTTGTATGTCTGAGGAACCAGGACAATTATCCGCAGCTACAATCTCCACAAATTCCTCAAATGTGCCAAAAAGTTCTATTGTTACGTTAACTTTATCTGTAGTGACGTCGTCTACTTCTTCGTTGTTTGGAGGCAGTTGTACCCCGTCGTCATTTTCTACCAATCTTTCTACCAAGCCAGATAATGGCAGAGGGGCATCTCAATCCAGAGTTGAACCAGTAGTAAGTGGTACTTCTTCAGTTCAGACTACGTTGGCCACAACTTCAGTAGCGACGACCTCGACGACCTCTTCCATTACAATTACAACGTCGTCTTTCTCCCAACCGATTTCCAGTAGTAGTGCGATGAGCGAATGTGTAGTGGCTGAGGACCCGAGGTCCAATCAATTGGTGGGAAATAGTGGTTCTGCCGAGGATGATGAAATTGCTCAAAATCTTTTAAATGACATACAGGAAAAAGAACAATTAGCGTCAGTTCAAGGCTCACTTTCTTCTAATTCGCCTTCTGAAGTTAATTCATCCGAATCGAGTCCAATAACAGTCTCCAAAGTACCAGCATCTTCCAGCTCGAAACGAATATTCAATTTCTCCAAAAAGAGAAGCTCAAATTCCCACTTGCAAGCCGAAGAAACGATGACTCAGAATAATAATGATTTGGAAACATTATTGAAATCTTCACCCACGTTGATGGCCCAAGCCATGACTGTAGATAACCAAGTCAAAGCTCACTTGCAAGATAATGCTGGCGGTGGTGGTAGTTGTAATAGTAAACAACAATCTGCACAACCGTTGAAGACCTCTCCTTCACTCAAGTCCAAAGAGAACGCGTCCGAACCATCATCATCAGCGTCGTCTTTGCCACTTTCTCCCAAATTATTTTCTCCCTCTGACGTTGCTGCTCCAAGGCCATGGTACAAAAGAGGTATGGGTAGCTCGTCGTCAAAAAATTCCTCTGGGACAAAATCTCCTCCTATAAGGCCAACTATTACGCGTCTCCCAAAATTTTCAGACTTGGATCGCGAAGCACAAAAAATTGTGGAAGAAAATAAGAGAAAGTCGGCCGAAATAGCATTTAACCAAAACGCCAGGGATTTGATCAACATTTTCAATACAACATTCACAACAACGGGTTCCAGTTCGACCAACTCATCGTCCTCCACTATAACTGTATCAAGTACCACAAATAATAATAGCAACAGCTCTGTTTCGGATAATCTGCACCCTACGTCCTCTGCAATCATGTTTCCAAGTAGTTCAACTTCAGCCCCACAGACGACAAAATATCCCAACACATCCATAAAATCGGTCAATGACCAAAAATCTGTGGTTCAACTGGGACAAAATAGCCAATCAAAATTACCATCAACTTACCCTACAGAAACAACTTCAAATATTACCTCTCGTACCACAACAACAGCCAATCACACAACTCCAGTTTCGACAACTGGAATATCATCGAGCTCAGAAGCACGAATCAACAGCAATACTGCTGCAGTAAGCTCAACCGTTCAACAACGCTTTTCCCACAGTGTGGAACCTAGTACATCATCTGCGGTATCGCTGACCCAAACTTCCACAGTTAGCGCTGCGTCAAATTACACGTCATCGACAACAACAACTCCAGCTCAAAGCATTTCGAAACTAAGTAGCTCATCAGCATTCAAACCAATCAAATCTTCAGTAATGGGCGAAGCATGGTCATGTGCTCGGTGTACATTGAAAAATCCATCGTGGCGAGGATTATGTGAAGCTTGTCATAGTCGAAAACTCGCCACAACAACGAGTTCACCGGGCATCATTACAAATACTTTGAGTAATACGAGTACAAAAGTAAGCACGGTGACCTCATCCATTTCTTCACCAACTATGACACAGACAACAGCTACTTCAACCAATAATAGTGCACCGGCAACTAGCAAAATAAATTTGAGCACAAGCGTCGTGACGCCAAAATTAGTTGAAACGGTACCCAATGGTACACAAATAACAGCAACAAGTCAGACGACTATAAAATCAAATTTGACAACGTTTCAACAACCAGTAAGCCAGCAGGAAACACTAGCATCTGAAAATTTGCTTAGTCATCATCCTACCAAAGACAATCTGCTCAAATATGAAAAGCTTGATGGAATACAGCTAAATAATGACACCGCAAGTAACCTGGGAGAGGTTGATAATGTGGACATTGAGAAATTGCGACAAGTGCGACTGGCATTCTTTGCCAAAGATGATAAACAAGTGCAACCTCACAATATCATTAGTCCTGACACGTCTTTGAAAATGAATACGGCTTGCACTACCGAACCCGAAGTTCAGACAAAATCTGTAAATTCTAATTCAATAATAAGTAGCCAGAGATTTGATGATGGCGAAGATGATTCAATTGATTCATTACTATTCCTTCCCAAAATTCAAAATGCTCCACAAAGGCCTTCTAAAAATTTTAATAAAAATAACGTTCCAAATAATAAAGCTACAAACTCTGTTACTTCTGTCCCACTTTCTCCATCAGACGTTGGGCCAAATTTTGAAATTCTATTACAGCCAAATAACTCAGTCCCACAACAATGTTCCCCTAATAATTCCATAAATATTACGCCTCAACCTCTTTCTGTTCCCAGCTTTAGATTTCGACCAATGCTCGACCCCATCTCAGAGGCGGATGCAAATTATTACGGTGCTCTGTGTGGTGATAACCGCGTCTACCAAAATTGGCAACAACCTGCTCAACTTTTCGTAGAGACTGAAAGTTATTTGGGTACCAATGCTACCAATGATAATAACATTAGTCATTTCAACATTGGTTGCATCTCACCAAATCTGCACAACACCTCCGCATCTCCTCGCCCTCACCCAGTTTTGCACATGAGACAAAATATTGCAAACAACCCAGTAGAGGAATCGTTGGCCTCGCCACCATGTGCTAATTTTAGGCTGCTGTTCTCTAACCCCGTTCAGAAGAGTCAGAACAACGACAACAACGACGCTGGCATTTCTGCTGCCACTGCTGCTGTTGCCTCTGGTTTTGATCTAACTTCTTCCAACGGCAACTCTCAATTTCTCAACTCGGGATTCACTTCAGAATCTGATACTGAAGTGGACTCTGAGATGGATAGACACCATCGTCGACATCACAGGGAATATAATAATAGACTCAGAGACAATAGGCATTGGAATGGTGGTGGTGGTTCAGATTATTCAGGAGAGAGAAACTTGTCGTACGACGACTATCGAAGGTTGGGGGCAATTCCCAAAGGATACTACGGAGGTGGTGGGAGTGGTTCCAACAGCGACTCTGGGAGGAGAAGATATGGTGACAGTAATAACAAGAGCCAATTTGGAGATGAAGAGGATTCTCGCTACTTCAGTGGTACGTATATTAATTTATATGCATGTGTATACCAGTGCTATTACATATGGGTCACGCATGTAAGTGACCATTATATGTGGTATCCTTATGCATATGTCGTCACAGAGTCCTCGGATAACTCCATGGTCGATAATAATCCACTTTTGGCCAACAAGCTCCTTCGAAAACTTGAGTGGGCAATTACTCATGGCGAACATCGATTGGCAGCATCGCTAGCACATGACCTGGCCCTTCTAAAAGTTAACTGTTTGGTCGATAAGTCTAATGCGGATCCAATTACGTAATTCCAATTCTGATAATATTTTTGTGAAACTCTGAATTACTAACAAGTCTGTCATGCATATATATAGAATCCGAGTGTACGTAGAAGACCGGTTTATGCAACAGGGGCCATTTCTCGTGCAAGTATGAAATATACATGTATCTACTTACATACCTTTGACATGGTCATAATCCTTAATCCTCAGTTAATATTTGAATTGCTATAGGTTATGCCCAACATGACACTGAAGGATCTCAAGAGCAAAATTGAAGGTACTGGCTAAACTAATTAGTTCATAAATATTACTTTCCTTTATCACGACCAGAAAATATTTTCCTTTCAATCTTGTCCCTGTTCGAGAGCTATAAATACGGAGCATGTTGTGCAGCTCCGTGCTTGTCTTGATTTGCATGAGCTAGTTTTTGTTTTTTAAGTGAAATGGCATTCATGCAAAATTATAGGAGACTGGGGAATTCCATCGGCTTTCCAAAAGTGGATATTAGGCAAGAAAATGGCGGATGATGATCATATTACACTGGCCAACTACGATGTGGTTCAAGATACGATGGCGTTTCTGTATTTGGTCACTCCACAAATTGAAAACTCACGGCCCAAGGAGAAAGAGATTTCGCCTCCTCCTCCCCCTCTGCCCAAGAAGCCAAATCCAGCCAGCCCTGCTGCAGTTCCACCTTCACATGGTTCCGGAGAAAACACGTCAAGGAATCTCCAAGTTCGAAATTCAGCAGCAACCCCAATGAATCAATTGAAAGCATCAGCCAACCCAACACCGGCAGCAACGTTTTCTTCAGTAAGTCCAACAAAAGTTGCTTCCTCTGCTCAAACTGAGACTGTCCTGACTTCTAATAATAAGGAAGCAAAGAAAAGTCCTTTGGTAACCCCTATAGTTGAAACTAAAGGTCTTTCCAATGGTCATAATGCACATACAGCAGGAAAAACAGCTCCCATCTCCTCAGTTGGACACGCCACCCCGTTGTACCAAAGGCCGTCATCGCCAACAAGAGGAGAAAAATCTGTACCTACAGGGAAAATTGTTCCAAAGGAAATTAGCGTAAATTTGCAGACAGTGGCAGCTACTCATAATAAACAACCCAATCAGGCGAGCCTCGGTTCTGAGCCAACAAAAATTTCCAGCGTAAATGTTCAAGCTAATTATCCGATATCAAAATCAATTTTGAATTTAGAGACCCCAGTTCAAGAAACCCGAAAGACTACCAACAACAACGTGCCACTTTTGCTACATGTAAAATTAGAAAATTTGAGACAAGCTGCAGAACAAGCATTTAGCAAAAGTTTCCCCTTGCAACAATCTGAACCCCAAAATACTTTTGACAACAACCGTGCGCAACAAATCGGGAGAAATCCAGTGGTTCTGAACCCAGGTCAAAAACTAGTTCGTTTGGACCAACAAGTGCCTTTGAATGCGACTTCTTCGAAACAAATTCCTGCTGGTGGTAGTCGGAATACAGCTAACAAAACATCTCTGGAATGCGAAACATCCATGGGTCAAAATAAACTAAAGCCTATGCCAACTGTAGAACTAGATCAAATAAGAACGACATCAGCAGTTAATTTGAAAGATAGTGACAGTCGAACCAAGCCACCCATACAAAATCATGACCAACATAAACACACAATGTCATCCCTTAAAATTGACGGAGCTTCAAAAACAGTACCAGCTTCATCGACTATAATTCCAAAGACTGAGAATAGAGGTAACTCGTCACCTAAAGCTACCAAGCCACCATTACGTCCTGACAAATTAGAACCAGTGCCAAAACCACGCAGCAAAAAAACAATTCCAGTGGATACTGATTCTGAGACTGAAAACGTAAATGTGATACCTCAAAAAACTGTTGTTGATACTCCAACATCTAGCACAAAGGAAACTTGCAAGCCGGAGAAAGTGGAAGGATTTTGCCAAACCACGTTACCATTTCCGGGAATAAAAAATCCCAGTAAAGCCGTGTGCGAAAACGTAGCTTCCAACTTAGAAACTAAGGAGAAACGTACTGTGTTGGAACGTTCTCCAATTCAAGGGTCAAATCCTGTTTCGCCACAATCTCCACCGCCACCACCGAATGTTTTAGCTGAGATAGCGACGAAGAATGTCAAAAAAGAAGCGCAAGTAAATGAAACCACATTCATAGTTGCAAACGTTCTGGTATCGCCAATAATTAACAAAGCACTATTTGGGATGAATAATGCTTCACTAATGAGAGAGTTATCACCTCCAACCAGATTTCAGGACAACATTGACAGCTCCATTAGAAAAGAAGAAGTGATGCCTCACCAAGAAGATGGAACATCGTCTTCAATAACGAGTTCGATCTCCTCCACGGTTTCGACACTTAATCCTGAACCCAAAATTCCTAGCACCCCAACAATTGTGAACAATGCTGCTAGTGCACCTTTATCTGCACCCACTCAAACTTCAGTTACCACATCGCCACTATTGCCATCTTCTATTTCTTCAACTGCAGCGCCTGGTAATTTTAACCTCAACCAACCAAAACTCTTTAGAGTACCCTATTTCATGCAGCAAGCAGATAAAGGTTCTGGAAAACAAGCATCGCCCCCATCAAAAGTTAAGTTGATGGCAGAAAAGTTCAACTCCAATAATTCCACCAGTCCAAAGACGGAAACAAGTTCTTCGGGTAGTCAAAATAAAAAGAATGGCGTTGTACCAAAACCTGCGATATTCTCATATGATGGAAAAGAGGTAAGTGCATGCATAACTTTTTGAGAGGCTATTACTTTTATTAATAATTTATACTTATTTGTGCTTAGAGAAACTTTATTTATTTCAGAGCAATATTCAAACATATCTGAGCATGCTGCAAATGATGGAGAAACAGGATCTTATAATGGCCACAGATGGATTTGAGTGCAAAGTATGTCTTTCACTCGTACCTCCTGGCGATGGAGTCACGCTACGAGATTGCCTACATAATTTTTGCAAGTAATTTATAACATGGATTTGAAATTTAGACTGTAATTGGAGACGGCGATTTCATAATTTACATATTTATCTAGTTGCAAGTACTCAATTATTTATTGGCTTTTAAAAATTTCTCTGTCTATGCAATCTATGTTTTGCAGGGATTGCTTAATTGGAGCAGTGAACTATGCTGACGATTCTGAAGTGAAATGCCCCTTTCGTGATTCTAACTATAGTTGTGATAGTTCCCTGCAAGAAAGAGAAATCAAGGCTGTGCGTATTTATACATAATTGCATGTAACAATTAAAGCTCTATGCATATGCATGCATACGATTTACATTATATTTAAAAATGCAACTTTTGTTTAAAGTTGGTGCCTGCAGATGTGTTTGAAAAATACTTGGCACGTTCAGTAAAACTAGCAGAAAGAAAAATGATGAACACTTTTCACTGCAAAACTGCGGACTGTACGGGATGGTGTATCTACGAAGACGATGTAAATATTTTCAAATGCCCCGTCTGCACGAAGAAAAATTGCATCACCTGCGCAGCTATTCATGAAGGGATGGACTGCAAGCAATATCAACGCCAATTAGCAATAGATTCAGAGACTGATGAAAATGCAAAAAGTTCAAGACTCATGCTCGAGGTATTTACGCATAAACAATTATACAGAATGAATGGGTGATGTGACATCGTGCTATTATATATGTCTTACTTTAATTGGTTAACAGAAAATGATTCAGCGTGGTGAAGCATTGGAATGCCCTGCCTGTCAAGTCATCTTATTAAAAAAGTGGGGGTGTGACTGGGTCCGCTGCACTTGTAAGACCGAGATTTGCTGGGTCACACGCGGTAAGGATGGTCACATAATACTGCGTTTACTAATTCTAATCATAACTCGTTTTGGTCCATGGTCCATTATGGGCCATGGACTATGTGATGAAATAGCCCATCGATAGACGATAGAAAATAATTTCGAGCTATGATTCTAATAAGTGAATTTCAAATTAGATTAAGCATAATGTAACATTACTGTAATTATAAATGGAAATAGGTTTACGGTGGGGTCCAAACGGCAAAGGTGACACCTTTACAAAAATATTATAATTACAATTATTATAATTATAATTTATTTCATAATTTAGGGGACACCTCTGGGGGGTGCAAATGCGGTCTGAATGGAAATCGTTGTCACCCAAAGTGTACTTACTGCCACTAGAATTATTACTTTCGTCACTTTGAGACTCAAAGTTTGAGTGCTATTAATTTCGTATTGTTTTATTTAAATACATGCAATATAAGTAGTCTGCTAGCAATTAGCAGACTTGTTCGTATATATCTATCTACATAAACATGTACAAGTTCTGAGAACTTAATCCTCACCTTACAGTGGAACCAACAATAAATGTTTGATTTATAAAGTGACTCGTCTCAAGGAATGAGTCTACCTTCAAACTTCTACACCACTAATCATAAACCAAAATATGCAAGCCTGTATAATATATTAGGTATTCCATATGCATATACATAATTAATTAAGCACTGAACATTCAGATTCAGTTCATTTGATTTTCCATGAATATCTGTATTTGACCATCATCGTACTAACCTGTCATGCATGATTCAATTGATATTCAGTCGTTCTATAATTTCTGGAGTTATATCCAAATGCCAACTCAGTGTAGATTAGATTTATATCATCATTCATGGTAAATACATAATCAGTCAGCATGTTTCTCATTTGTCAATTTCCATGCACAAAGGCTGCATATGTATCTAAAAACAATAATGCGAAGAAAACATTTTCACTCATCCTCCGCTGCTGCAAGTCTGTGCACCTCACAGTTGATCAACTAATTTGTTCTACATATATAACCCTCCGGGCTCCTGAAATACAGTTTGATTGAAGTTGCGAATGTGTGGATAAGATGGAATCGAGTCAGAAAAGTGGTCAACAGAATCAGATAACCACCAAAAGCAGAACCCTTGCAGTCGGGCAGTCATCACCTGAAGTAGCAACAACAGCAGTCAAATCCATCCCGACTGCCGGCAGTCAAGCCGCCAACAAGACTGCTATTAATAAAGTGAATTGTCAGCAGGTTGCCAAAACCGTCGCAGATAAAAATAGGACCACGATTCGCGCACCGACCTTGCCCCATAGATTTAGAGTTGCCCGTCAACAAGGAGCAGGGTCATCGCAACCCGCACCTCGCGTACGTGTTCCCCCTCTCATCTCAGTCATCTCACTGCCACCCCCGCCACCTGGACATCGAACGCAGGTGTCCAAGGAGAAATTAAGCAAATCAGGGACAGGTTCACCAGCAAATTCAAACTCTGGCACTAATAGCAGTGGTGCCGCCGGGAAAAAATTTGCTGGCCCTATTGCCAACGTTACCAATCTCACTAATTGTAAGCGCATCAACATTGATAACAAGAAAAATACAGCAATGGAACCATCAACATCAAGCCGGCAGCAGCAACAACAACCACAGCACGATATGAAGACTCGAAGTCAAAACAATAAGAACAATAACAATGGTCAGAAAATTCCCGTGAAATTAAATGCCGGTGACGGTATAGAAGGAATGGGAAATAGAAATAGCTCATCTGGATCTGACAAAGGAGGTCAAAATGAGCCACCCTTATTAGTAGTTGTAACTAAGGGTCTTCATGACCTTGGCACTGACTATGAATTAATTGATCTCACCACTCCTCCCGGATCGCCCCTCCCTCTCGTCCCCCAACGCATACAAAATAATAGTGTCAGCAGCGCTTCCGGTAGTAAGGATGGGCAAAATAAAGTTATTTTGCCTCCCATTCCTCAGCTTCTGGAGGCCGATGCCAGCAAGGTAATATATGCACATTAAATTAACATATTTAACCCTGACATACAAGAAATGCATAACAATAAATAATAAAGGGTCTTTCTTTGCACCCTTAATAATCTTTAAACAATCGATATTCAATTGCGCATAGGTTGTGACCTTTGGCAATGAAGACATTCCATTAATGTGGAATATGGAAAGATGCAATTGTCAGTTCTGTGGAACGGATCTCATGGCTCAAGAAGGTTGCATGCTGAATAAATGCCTTCATGTATTTTGCAAGTATAGCATATAAACATTAATAATAAGTTACATACTTCATTTTTTAGAAGAAAGTTTATTAAAGTTTAACATAATTAATTTTGTAGGAGTTGCATCAAGTCCTCGATAGAACTTCAAGGTGGATTGCAAGCTAAATGTCCATTAACTGACGGTGGGGCAAACCAATGTTCTGATTTTCTTTTGCAGAAAGAAATTATTGCTGTAAGAAAGCGATGCTAGTAATAATGATAATTGACATGCCCTCATATTCTTCCTCTAAATAATCCTCAAAAAACTAACATAGTTGCTCATGAATTTATAGGTGTTGACTGCGGAAGTGTATCAACAATATGTGGAGCAATCCATGAAAAATGCTAAACAGGGTAACATCTTTGAATGCACAACTCCCACCTGTAAGGGGTGGTGCGAGTTTGAAACAGGACGCAAGATATTTTTGTGTTACTTGTGTGCAAAACCGAATTGCTTGGAGTGCATGGTAAATATGTGTGTAATTATACAAGAGTGGTGTCATAAGTATAATTGTTTTGGTTTTGTTTTATTCTATCTATTTCTTATTAGGCGAGTCACGAAGGTATGGATTGTGTAGCATACAAAGCCTCGGGAACGTCAGCTGTAAAAACGACGAATGCTACAAGTAATACTCAACAAAATGGATGGGAACAACTTCAAAAATTGATATTTTTGAGAAATTGGGTCAGTCTTACATACGTATTACATATATCTATGTATATATATTAACAACTGGAATATATTAGCTGATTAATAGTATTGAAAGCAAGGGTTTGATTCATTTCTTTAAATAGAAATTGGAAAATGTTATGGAGCAATTGCAAGATGCAGAGATTTTTATCACTACAATGCTTTTTGACTGTCCAATATGTATGTCGGAAGTTGGGGTTGGTAGAGGGATCATTTTGCAAGATTGTCTTCATATGTTTTGCAGGTAAGTTTGCATAACCAACCACTATTTATATATGCATATTACATCATGTCGGTATTCAAGGAATGCTTTTATTAGTAATTAAATAACGTCTTTTTATAGGGAGTGCTTGGTTGAAATGGTGAAGCATTGCGATGAGCCAGAAGTAAAATGTCCATACATAGATGCCAACCTTTCGTGTGTTAATTATTTAAAGCCAAGAGAAATCAAAGCGGTATGACTTCTATTGACTTCGCTGAGCGAAGTTCGCTCGCAATAATGAAATTCTGAAATTATATTAATAATTTTGTCTTCTTTTTAGTTGGTTCCTAAAGACATTTATGAGCAACACCTCTCTCGTTCGGTTGCTCTGGCCGAAAATGCAATGGTGAATTCCTATCACTGCAAAACTCCAGATTGTCCAGGCTGGTGTGAACTGGAGGATGGAGAAGAAAATCCCAGAGCAGACGTTTTCGAATGCTACGTCTGTAAAAAGAAAAACTGTTTAAAGTGTAACGTAAGCTAATTTAATTTATTTTAGTTATTTTAATTTACACGAAATTGCTATGACCCCAATTTTCACATCAAATTGGTCAAAGTTAATCCATGGCGGCATTTCGTGTGATGACTACAAGAATCGTTTGGTTCAGAATGAAAATGAAAAATTATCCGAACTAGCTTTGCAGGTACACTATCTTATTTTTCCATAAATTAATTCATTAAGGGTTTACATCATGGGGTTATTCTGTTTATTTTTCTTCAGAAAATGGTGGAGAGTGGGGAGGCCATGAAATGTCACAAGTGCGGATGTGTGGTACAGAAGCTTGTAGGTTGCGACTGGCTGGTATGCTCAAGATGTCGTTGCGAATTATGTTGGGCCACGAAAGGTACGTCCAGGGGGTATCAAAGACTATGAATGTTTGTGATTTAAAGCTCGTATTAATTACGTGTAACATTGTCTCCAACACAAATGTTCAGAGTTTTTTAATGGTGATTTCATTTTATTATAGTAGAATATACATCTAATTTTTAAACTAAAATTCAGGACCTCGATGGGGACCAAGAGGAAGAGGTGACACTACAGGTTAGTACGATGATGGTTAAATACAGATATTCATGGAAAATCAAATGAACTGAATCTGAATGTGAAGTGCTTAATTAATTATGTAACAGGTGGTTGCAAATGTGACCTGCGGAACGGAAAACCATGTGTCAAAACTTGCCAAAATTGCCACTGAATTCATAATACCTTTGCATTAATATTATACTGCAACGCAGTCGTGTATCTTTAATTATGATGGTGTATTTGTTTTTATAACTTAACGTAGTTTTTCATTTTTTTAATTTAATTTTTTATAATTGAAGATTAACTTCCATCATTTTCACAACAATTTTCGGACTTAGATAACTGGTGCACATTACGATGTGTAAATTGTAAAAGAATTATTGAAAATCTTATACAAGCTCTTCTCCTATGTACATGAATAAACTTTGATATGTGACAATTATTTGAGGGATATGCAAAATATTTATTAGACTTTTGACATAAGGAATAAGTTTGAAGATCGGGCAAGATCGGTCACCAACTGAAAGATGGTGTCATTATTTTTGAAGGTTGGAGTTGCCAACTTTTGTAAGTCACTTATAATCAAATTTGAAAGTTATTCAAATCTTTGGTGGCTTTAGGATGGCATTTTATGAGCATAGCACTACCCAACATACTTTTTTGGGGAAACATTCTTGACTCTGGAATTGGATAAGTAGAATCACTGCAATGCGTTCCTTGAGTATATAATGAGTGGGTGGGGCGAAAGTGATGGTTTTCCATGATGAAATCCACTCCCTGCATGCACAAATTATTTTACTTTAAAAACGGATTGGGGTCCAGAACCCATATCCAACAACCATATCTCATACCCATGTCACTCGCCCCACCAACATACTTATTAACTACAAAAAATGTGGCTTGTTTGACGCCAAGCCAATATCTACTATATTGAGTAGAACGAACTACTAATCTTAGTAGAACGCTATTCTACTAAATTAAATCGTACTTCACTAAAATTGACTTATCTCAAGTAGTATTGGCTCAATACACTAGAGCGAAATCAGTATATGCAGCCAACTAATTTATCATTAAGTATGTGAAATCAGAATAATTTTATGGCTTCATTCAGCTTAGATAATCATGTTGGAACTTGGGGTAATAAGTTGTTGCAGTTCTTGATCCCACCCGCACCCTTAAGGGAGACTAACGTTACCTAGATACTTAACCTTTTAAAAACGGATTCCACCAATAAGGTGGAGGGCGATTTCGATCTCTTGGCGACGGACTACACCAATAAGGTGTAGGCCAACTTTTTCTCGTTGGCGACGGATTCCACCAATAAGGTGTAGGCCAACTTTTTCTCGTTGGCGACGGATTCCACCAATAAGGTGTATGGTTACAGAATTCCGTTGAGACCGGGCTACATCAATAAGGTGTAGGAAAAAATAAAAATAAAATGACCGAGAAAATTTTCTCAGTTCCATTCTTTCCTCCTTATTTGTCGTTGGTTTTTCTTCAAGCCTGAACTAATTTTTTTAGAGTTTAGAGTTGTAGTTGTAGTGGGGGGAGGAACTCGGAGGAAGTGCATCAGAGGTCACGCCGCGCCCCCGAAAAATTATCCAACATTGGCGCTGCTAATAAATTGGTCGGCGTTGACCTCTGACCTGTATCATGTTGTAAATATGATACAGTTCATATTTTTTTAAAATTATCACAACGTTCTCTTTAGCTAATATATTCGCAATAGTGTCACCACCGATCGGAACAAGTCACAGAACACTGAAGGACAAAATTATAGCTAATAACTTGTTTAAAATATAAAATGCATCCCAAAATCAGTGTCATCAAATTGATGACATGAATGATGACGATTTATTCGTTTAGTTTATTTTTGTAGTACTATCAAAATCAAATCCGATCTTTTTATCAAAATTAATATCGTGTGTTCATTTGGTTCAGTTGCAATTTCATGTTAAAAATGTATTATGTTCTAATTTTTGTTGTCGAATCAGTTCCAGGTCTCTAATAAATCATAACTGCATCAGTAGAATATTCAAAATCGGTTTGCATTAATTCAGTCCCCAACTGATTTTATCACCGCCCCACAAGTCGGTCTCAATGGTATTCTGCCCCCCAGTAAATCCGCCCCCAAATGCAATAGAAACCATTTTTAATTCCGTTTTTAAATGGTATCCAGGTCAAAATTAATTAGTTTTTATAAGGTTAAAGCCAAGCAATCGTGTCATCTGACGCAAGGTTGCTTGACAACTTTAGTAATAATTACAAGGTTGCGACAATCGCTTCGACGACTAAAAAACTTCCATTTTCGAAAACCCTGGTACCTTTCGGAACCAGTGTGCGTCGCACAAACTGTCGAAACAAGAAACAAGAAACAAACCGCACAAAAATTGTCAACACTCATATTTCGTTCCCTTGAAATAATTTCTTAACCATGGATACAAGAATCAGCGCAGTTGTAAATGCGAAGTCGGCTATTCCGGCGTTCCAGCAGAAATTTTTGTGCTTTAATTACCGTTAGCGACGGCCGCAAATAATTAGCCCTTCAAAAATGAAGGTTTTTGAGGCTCTCGAAGCAATTGTCGTAACCTTGTATTATGATAAAGTGTCAAGCAATCTTGCATCTGACGCATGTAAAAAATAATCTAAAATAATTTATTACTAGATGTCAATCTATAGACATATCCCTCACAAACGACAATTTGTATTTGAACATGGGTCGTAAAAAGGAAAAGGTAACAAAATCTGGGAGCATTGCCAATCCTTCATTGTTCAAAAGAGAAGACAATGAATCCAGTATGTTGGAGGACGCTGCGGCAGCTGTGGGAGGAATATCCCCGCCAGAAGAAACACCACCCTTGGCGGTCCCGGAAAATGGTTCCGGAACTGCCAGCTCTACTCCCGGTGGCCTTGATACAAACGTTGATGACGCTACCATCGAGCTGTGGAAATCTGTATTTAACTTGGAAAAGAATCGGACTTCATTTTTCGACGAACTTTTTGCCAAAGGATACGTGGTGGATAGTTTGGAAGTGATGAGCAAGGGGTCGAAAGCCGGAGACCACTTTATTGAAGCAGAGGAGGAAGAGTTCAGCAAAAAAACAGAGTACGGCCGCGTCGTCTTCAAAACAAAACACGTTTATACCGGAAATTTTGAGGATTGGTACTTTCACGGTCAAGGTCGCTATGTTTGGGTAGATGGTACAGTTTATCAGGTATGAAGTGAAGACTGGTAGTACATATGATGGTCTAGTATAATTAGAGAGAGAGAGCCACATAGGAGATTAGGGCTCTATGACCAATTACAGAAGTACATTTTTGTCAGGGAGACTTTGTGAATGGCGTAATGCATGGGAAAGGGTCCATACACTGGCCGGATGGATCTGTCTACGAGGGAGAGTTTGCAAACGGTGATCGGGCCCCGGGATGGAACGGTATGCGGATTATTTATTGACCAAATGCTCGTCTAAATATCAAAACAACACTCGTAGTCTACTCCACATCGGAAGGATTTACATACGCTGGAGACTGGGCTAGTGGACTTCCCCACGGAAAGGGCAAAATTTGGTACGACCCAGCCAGTGATGACACGGACTATTACGATGGAGGCTGGGCTAGTGGACTCCAGCATGGATTTGGAATTCGACAATATTTCAATGGAGATAGGTAGATCTTGAAGTAGTACATGATCATTTGAATTTTAGTACATACATGTGTGTATGGGTTTAACTGAATAATTATTTACAACAAAAAATGCAGATACATTGGAAACTGGGAGAACGGTGAACGCTGTGGTGACGGAACCATGATTTGGCTAGAGGAGCGTCAAGTGTACAAAGGGAATTGGCGGAATGGGATGCCAGATGGAAAGGGAAAACATATTTGGTACCTTGAACGCACAAACTGTCACGTTTATCCGAGTCGCCACGTCTACTTTGGGGATTGGGTGGAGGGCAAACGACATGGGATTGGGAAAATGGTGTACCCTTGCGGGTCCACGTACGAAGGTCGATGGAAGGGTGGGCAGCGACATGGGAAAGGCGTCTTCTTAAACCCAGCTGGAGCACTAATCACTGGACTGTTCAAAACGGGTGATCTCATTGGTGGGTGTGACGTGCCACTTCATGCACCAACTTATGACTGCGACTTTGGTGGACTAGTGGAATTTTTAACGGCCAAATTCAAGCTAAAAGTTGAAAATGAATTGAAGGAGGAAGATGACTTGAGAGAAACTGTCATTCGGTACGCATTGATCCTTTTGTGACATTTGCGCACTTTGTGATTGTGCTGTGCATTCACGTCAGCATATTTATTTATGACAAACCGTCTCATGAACAAACTATATTTTTTCGACAAAATACTACTTAGGTTTATTGAACCACTTCGACAATTGTACCAACGAGCTGGGGAACTTGGTCACAGTTGGGGAAACAATGGGTTATTCCCAAATTGGCTAAAGTCCTCCTCAGGATCTTCCCATCGTATTCCAAACCATCACGAGCAAGGTGTTCCGCCTCACATGCAGTCGAAAACGGACAAACCCCCATCGCCGGATGGGATTTACCCCGTGACTCGAATTGGACTCTGGCTGCTCTTGAAAGACTGCCCGCAACTAACCAAGGATGCAACACTTGCATTTTTTGACAAACACTTTAGTATACCCCATTTGACATTTATTAAGTAGTTTATGTATATTTTAAACTAAACCAAAGGTTATTCTTCTTAGGCGACACTCCTTCCATCTCTTTTCAAACCCGACACAATCCGTTTGAACCAGTTTTACTTTGGCAATTTCTGCAGTGCTTGGTGATTGTTGCAGTGTCAATTTACTTGGAAATTCCTGATCATAAAAGAAGACTGAGATACCCTCAGATTAAACCAAGTGAGAGACCACAACCACGGCGAAACCCTCGGCATAAATCAATGCGTGATGCACAATCTGACGGAAAAGGCGACGATCCCAACATGAGCAATTTCAAAAAACAAGGTTTGTAAATTAAATATATTTTCTGACCGATATTGCCACGATTTCTTGGAAATTAATTGCTATTCTGTCCGATTTAATCAGTTCTCAAATTACCAACGCGAGTATCTACGTGGGATTCAATGCGTGATCAGCTTACAAGTAATACGTAGAGCATGTGACACAAATAAATACATGTGTAACACCACGGAAAAGTGTATTTGAAACCTAACTTTTTACTCACCCATATAATTTACAGACCATGTTCATGGGCACCACGTCCACTTGGCCAATAAGTAAGTCTTGAATAAGTAAATTCAGTGCTGAATAACGTTCATGTTTAAAAAAAGTATGTACAAACTTTGCATCCAGGAAACAATCACGTCAATCGCTGGGAAATTCCTTACAAAAGCGCAAGTCCATGTTTCCAATGACAGAAGAGTCCGCTGCCAAGGGTGGAACTAACAAGAATAAACAGTCAGTCACGCAACACCACGGGCACCACCATCATGGTCTTAAAACTTCCGATAAAAACAGTAAATATATAAATCTATCACACAAACTCTTGCCATTTAATGAGTACCAGCATCACATGCATACATACGCCCAATTCGTAATAAAGACCCAAACATTGGAGGTGATGAAGGGACTGATGAAGAAATGGACGATGCTGACGCTGGTAATACACGACCGGAAGATATGGACCGTGAAGAAGATGGTGGTGGTGGTGGTGGTTCCAATGGAAGAGCTACAATTGTCAAACTCTCTGCCCCAGGAACATTGCCCCACACTGTTGAGAACAGAAGCTCCAAAGTCGGCGTTCTAGATGAGACTGATGACGCTCAGAAGAGAAATAAAGATGATGTAGAAGAAAAGGAGAATGGGAAATTAATACGGAGGAAAAAGTCTGGCGATGTGAAATCAGGGAAAAAAACAAAAAGTGGTAAAAAGGGCCAGATAGATGCGGAGATCGAGGATACCAAAATGAGGACTGAGAACGAGTGGGAGGAAGAAGACGAGGCGTCCTCAGACTCGGGCGACGATACGCTATTATTATTTGACCCGGAAAAGCAGACAAATAATAAACCATTCAGACTGACCGTCAGTGACGCTTTTGAAGCGTTCCTCATTGAAAAGTTGTTCCCTTGCCTTGAGTTCAACCCAGGTATGTACATTATTATGTACTGTCCCATCTCGATTTTCTTGCGAATAGTCTTAATTGATGGATAATTTAAACTTTTCCAGTTTTCCATGTTATCTCTTTTCATGAAAAATTGTGAATTTCAATTTTGGAAAAATTTTGCCAATTTTGTTGCAATAAGACAAAAATTATTTTTTTGAAACCTTTTTTGTACTGCTTAAAAGAAGTTTAACATTTACATTTTGTTGAAATTTCAAAATACGACGAAATTCAAAAGAAAACTTACCAGATTCTCGAACTTTGAAAAAAAGGCAAATGTTTTTTTTCTATACTGGTGATCACTAGTGATCAGCATGAAATTATGGACAGGTATATAATTTACAAACTTTATTTCATCATTCCGAATGCTTTTATCTATAGCATTAGAAAAATCGAACGCTTTGGTACAGCTTTCGCCAAATATTTCACGAAAACGTGATTTTGCACTGCATGTTCTATGACAAAAGTTTAAGCAACACTATCTATATAAATTTGTGTTCTCTATAATTTTGTATGTTACCAAAATAGGTAAAAATCTACCCGTGGTTCCCAATCCGTTACCACCACTGAGGGACATGTTTGATGCCTTTCAAAAATCCAATGGGGGAAATGAACGCATATCTGCACCTGAGTTTATGAGAAGTTTGCTCCCTCATCGTGCCCAAAGCAATCCCGATGACACCATCTTCTGGCATCGTTCTTCTGAACTTTTGTCAGCAAACGTGAATCTCGAACAAATGTTTCAGATTCAAAAACAAATATTTTCTTTGGATCAAACGGACAGTAGCTCATTGCTAACGACTAATGTGCGATTTGAAAATGGTGATAACGACTTTCTTGGTGGAACCCACGTATTATCCAATAAACTTCAAAGTCAAGATGGTACCACCCATTTTATGTTCTATTTAGAGATGACATAAGCCGCTTCAACATGATCGAGTTATTAGTGTATTGAATATTTTGTATGCAGAAGGAGAGAGTGCAAAAGAAGCTGTGATGGAATTCATAGCGGATCCACTCCCCTTTTCAGAACAGGACTTGCCTCCCGAACCGTTTTTGTGGCAAGAGGAGCCAAAATGCATTCCTCTACAGTAAGCATTCCCACAACATGTAACTAACTTAATTTAAATCAATAATCCAATACTAAATGATACTTTTGTTACAATTGTAATAATATCGGAAATGCCATGAAATTCGTCCGCTATATATCTATATTATATGGCCAATAGTAGCTACTATCTCTAGAGATATATATAGTAGTAGAAACATGTACTCTAACTTAATTTGCACTAATTGGATTTCAGAAACCCTGGCAAGTTGAACCCAAGTCCGGATTTGACTACTAGTGACATTCTCAACATACTTCGGACCCTATATCCGAAACTTGTAGGAAAACCTAACGCAACGAATGTGGAATTTGATGCAAGTTAAATTAAAGCTCAGGATTTATCCCTACTTTGAATTTCCGGACCTGCTTTCAAGTTAAGTTTTCTGAATTCCCGAATAGATGATTTTCTGTGACTGGTTATGGGCAATTTCGCTCGCCGCTAAGCTAAGTGCTGATCGAGAGATGCAAATCAAATTGGCACCACCCCCACCACCACCTCCTCCTCCGATGGCGACACCCAGTGGAAATATTAAAAATTCGCTTGCTCCCTCTGAAAAAGACGAAGGCCCAACAGTAACTATAATTCCAACCCCTCCAATTCCACCGCCTCCTCCCCCAAGTCAACAAACTCAGCAAGCAACGGTGGGAGGAAACAAGGGGAAAAGTCGAAAAACAGATAAAATGGACACAAAGAATGGAGACAAAGATAAAGACGGCAAGGATAAAGATGGTGATCGAGCTACTACAGCATAATAATAGAGGCATATTTGCAAGGGCTTTCTTTTCTAAATGAATCAGGTATGTATAAATAAATAGTGATCATAGCTAATAAAATGCGGTGACAATAATAATTTCAATACTAAATCGACTACATCAATTTATTCAATAATAATTTGTATTTGATTTATAAATACAATCCAACAAACATATACATAGTATTTATGTACATAAGGCACATTAATGGAATTTAGACTCGACTTAACATACTAAATTATATATCAGACTATTCTTTGATAGATTATTAAATATTAGTATATATCCTAAAGATAATTTTACTATCTGGGACTAGTTATCCAGTTCAGTGTCATTACTAGAACTAACTACCTCTCCGTTTTTCGTCCTTGTTTGATTAATTTTCTTCAGTGCAGCCTCTTCTTTCTCCATTGCTTCTTTCACGTATTTGTCAAAATCGTCCAGAGGTCGGTAGAATATATGAACCATTTGGGATCCAGCAAACATTGATAACATTGCTGCCGTCGTGAATCGGATATACTGCCCCCAAGATACTCCCGCAGGCATTTTAATTACGTGTCCAACTAGACTATATGTATTGTACTTGTATGATTGAGCTCAACGTTGGGTTTGACCATTAGTTATTGACTTCTGGTCCTTGAACAGAATGTGTTATTGCTGCTGCTACTTCCTCTGCACGTCGCCGTTTATAAGTTCGATCTAAAAGATTATAAAAAAAACATGAAATGCAAGATTTCAAAATGTGGGTAATATTCTGGGTACTTTTACTTGAATAAGTCAGCCACCGATATAAGTTACAAATATTTTTTATACATTGATATTATATTATACATTAGTAGTAAGTGTTAAAATAACAGATAACAAGTCCCACATTTCGAACACCATTCATTTGAAGCAAAGAGTTGCAAACAAAAAGTCTATTCCCCGTCTAGTCAAACAAACGACCTCATACCCAATAAACGAGACTTTCCTTGAAATTTGGATCTGGAATCTAAATGAATAAACAAAGGATTGGCAAGAATCCATATTACTTGCTTGCTTTAGTATCATTTCCTTAAAACAACCATCAGCTACTTGCTTCCCTGAACAAGGAACAACTCACACGAGCACACACAACAGGCCATTGCCACGAGGAGCTTCTCTTGATTAGCTAATAATTCAACCTTGGAATTTCTTCCTGAATATGTCCAAAGGTTCGAGGAAAGTGAAGGAAAAGGAGGCATCTGATTAAAGAAATGCTGATGCGAATCCATAGCTTGATCATACTGATTTTAGAGACAAATGTAAAAAGATAATCTTGCATTTAATATTATTTACGAGTGCAAACGAAGGTATGTAAAAATGTCACAGAATGATAGAGATTTTTTCATCTCAAACTGACGTATTGTACAAATAAAAACATGCATATGCTAACATTAAAAACTACCTTAGATTTGCAACTACATGGACTAATTACCTCTCGTTCTGAAGAGCAATGCAAGAGTGGAATCAATCAGACATTTCTCTGTTTGATCAAATTAATTACTGTCCTGCTCTGAGACAAAGGATTATTCATATGGACAAGTACATATTATATTATTTCTTCCTTGTACCGTGTCGCCAAAAACTAGGCCAAGAAAAGGATAGATATTAAAGATGCTTTTTATATCAATATCGTTTGCACTACTCAGGTGCCTGCAAATCAAGCGGCGAGCACCAATAAGTAGTACAATTAACATGATATTACATTTCCATCCTTCCTTAGGTAAAATAAGCCCAATATATGTTCCATTGCATCTCACGGTTGATGAAAGTGTCCACTGTTGGTAATATCGTCATACAACGAATCTTCCAGGTTCCATTAGATTCTGCAACGTTCGTCACTCTACCCAACAGTGTCTAACACCTAACATATAGTGGTGTGACTGAACTGAATCTCAGTCACTCGTTTGATTTATAGAAAATCACAAATTTTCCATCCAGGGTCCATTAGATTCCAGAAATAGTAGTAGTCCATCCGTTGCAATTTCGTCACACTGGCAGGCGCTACTATTTGGTACCTGACTCAGCTAAATATAAAGTCGAAGGGACCTAAGTAGCACCTCCCAGTATGACGAATACATGTATGTGTTTGATCCAGCATCTTGGTCTTATCAGGATAAATGCGTCTTGAACCGGAAGTAGAGCGGAGCTTCTTCTCACCCGCTTCATCCTCAGCGTCCATGTTTCTGTACTTGAACATTTTCTTGCAATTTGCATCCATTCAACTAAAGTTAATTCATCATTATACATTAATATTGTGTGGTACCGGCTTTTCCATTAAACTCTCCGGACTTTAACCCTGACTGATATGACGACCTATCCATTAACAACGAATGAACGGGAATGAACAGCCGCCCCAACCACTACCTTCATCGTCTCCTCAACCGAGGTTTATTACACGTATTAAATTTCATTCATTAAATTTTATGTAAACGCTATGACGCTACCATGCATGCATGAACACCTCACTTGTCGCCTATTACAGACTGACTGGCCAATGCAATTTTTTTTAAATGAATGCTCCCACGCTCGCCATTATTTTTTCCCTTTTCATGCACCTACTTAAATCATAAAATAATTGCAATCATTGCCAGCCATAACCTTTCATGCCTCTCCAACAATTGCAACGTTCCATTCATTTGCATTGGAGTAGTCGCCTAATAAAGTACATGCAATTCACCCAACAGTGTCTAACACCGCGACATATAGTGATGTGACTGAACTGAATCCCAATTCAGACACACTGCGACTGCTTGCTTGGCGACTATATAGGATAATACGATATTTGGGTTTTATGAGAATTGTAGGATAATGTCCCCCATAATTTGCTGGTCAACTGACACCAAGACAGCAGTATGAACGGGGAGTAAGTACAAGTTTAATAATAGGCATGAATATGAATGTCATTGCCACTTGAGTAAAAAAAATAATAATTGTGCAAATCCAAACCAGCTACGATGATCCATGATTCAACAAAGAGGATTGTCCAGCAGCATACAAATTGCATACAAGAATCCACGAGAAATATATGGTATGAAGAAAGAAACGACGAGCACTTTTAGCTGCAACAACCACCTTAAACAGCAAATCACTGGCAGGCAGTAGCGACCGGCGAGTAAAACAGGCCATACGAAACGAGGAGTATATCTAGATTGAATGTATGACATGCCCACGATACCATAAGATGATTGTGGGGCAACGAACCCCCAGTGAAACCATTCAACACTTTTTACTTGGCGCAGCTAGCCTGCCTAGCAATAGAATAGCTCGTCGGCAACCAAGTCATGAGTATCGACCAAGAAAGAATGCAGAATGCACTTCACCTACCACCACGACTTTATTGCACTACACGACTGCTCCGCCTGCCTGAGTTTGACTAAAAGTCAAACCATGCAGCTAGCAAGTAGGCAATGCAATTTTTTGCCAATTTGGTTCGTCGGTTAGTTAGAGCCTTACATCATCGTCAGCCAGCACCAAGCAATCTCAACAAACCAGCCTCACGTCAGGCTGCAAGTGCTGAGAGAGAGAATAAATGTACTTATGCGGTAGACGTCCGTCCACTCTTCAAACCAAACCACATTTGCTAAATCAACCCACCTTAATACTTTACTTTTAACGACGTGGATTGGATTGGTTATACAACAAATAAGGAATTTCTGCCAACGTTCAAAAGGAACCATCAAGTGAAAATTAAGGTACTTTTCCAACTGCTAATAAACCCACCACCACTAAATAACCGACACGACATTCCTCCTCCTTCTACTTTTCTATTATCCTCTACCCACTTTTCCAAGATGTTTCATCTGAGTCAAATTATTCTGCATATTAGGTACAACCACTTCTACCTGACCGAATTTCTTCGCCGTATGCAATATGCAATAATGCAATTCTAATGAGCACAAGGTAGAAAACTACGAAATGATTAATATCGCGAAGAATGTTATAATGCATGGACCCTAAGTAAATGTACCCAATCCGTTTTTTTAAGAATTGGATAGCCCAAACTTAAGCCAATCTGTCGGTACACTTGACACAGTAAAACGTTAGAAATTAAACCGGGTTGTGTGAGCTGAAGTAACATTTCCAAAAGGCAGAAAAGAGGTTTAACTGCACTAACACAAGGACCCAAGTCTCTCTTATTTTAATGGGAAACCGAGATTATGATTATGCATTGGGATCCGATTCTTTGCATTGTCTCAAACTCTTGCAAGCAGCATCATCAGAGAACTAGAATAAATAAGGGAGCTGGGAAGGACCATCAAGTGAGGGCTCTGTATTGCTTGCATAGCCATCGCCTAGGGCAAGAAGGGTCTAGACAAGCCACTTCTGCAGACAAACAGACCCTTTCGAGTCTTAATCAAGCAAAAAAAATCAGCTTTTTCTAGCCAACTAAACTCTTGTAACTTACAGCCGCCAACAATTGTACTGGTACTAAAATAGAACCAAAATTCATCTTTCCACTTGAGTGAAAACTAAAATGAGCTACCCATCTTCATGTATGTCCAAAGTTTCCTTCACTATACTGCCTCACAAACGAACGAGTGGACGGAGAGTCGGAATTTCCAGAGCAGTCAGTTTCCTGTGCATTTTATTACCAGGTCTAGACTGTGGACCAGACTCGCCCAGTCGGTCTCTTTCTGCTGCCCTGCCCTACCCTACCCGGCCCTTCCACTCTCTCTCTCTCTCTCTCTCCTCTCCATCTTCCTAAGGCTCTCACACAGACTCCTCCACCGAAGTCAAACCTCGGAAGAAGCCGAGTTGTATTCTACTCTCTGAAGAAGGGTGTCTGCTGCTGCTGCGGTGTCTGGCCATAGCTGAGGCTCAATGACTCACCCTTCCTCCTCCCTGCCTAGGTTGCATCGCCCTATTTCGAGTCCAGATGGAGGATTCCCTTCGTCGTCTCTCTCTCCCCCCGCTTGTTGCCAAGCAGTTCATTCCTCTTGCCTGGCAACACACCTGAACAGACCCCACTCAAATCAGTCTAAGCCAGTCTTTCTTTAATCTCGGATTCAAACTCAGATACACATTTAACAGTATGGAGAAATAATGTTTCACGTGAAGTTTCACTACTGCATTCGAATGTAAAGGACCGATAAACTTTCACCACACACTTTCCCCATGGTCCTTTCCTCTTGTGTTTGTCTCTCCTTCTTTGGTGAAAAAAATGGTTTTGCTCGTTGTAAAATAATCCATCTACTAGATTATCTGCCAATTAAACCAAACTCCAATATGGTCAAATTAATATAATACTGCACACCTGTCGTCGTTCAGTCGGATCACGAGTCCACGACTGATATCGGTGCCTTTCTTTTTAGACGGCGAGAACTGGTGAGATGACGACGAGGATTGCAGCAAAATTGCATTGTCGTCTCGTCGTGTAGAATGCAGTTTGTAAAATGCATTCTACAAAATGGAGACACTCCTCTTCAGAGAGCCCAAGCACCACCAACAGAAATAATTCCCTTGTTCCCTGACTCGCTCAGACAGCAGCCATATCGTCGTAGTCATGGCTACCCCCTCTCCCTTCTTTCTGTCTCTCTCTCTCTCTCTCTAATCCACTGCACCAACCAACAAAACTAACCAATGAAACTACACTCAGCAAGCCAAACTGTGAAACTGAATGTCTCTTCGTTTTCCTCTCTCGTCTGTGCCTTGAAATCAAAATGATGACGAGAGTAGACTCCCCTATATAACCTGACCAGACGACAAGCCCTTGTCTTTTTTTTCAATGAAACTTGTCATATAAAGTTCATTTCTAAAGTTCGGAAGCCAAAAACTCGGAACTTTTCCTGTATTCCACTAAAAAAGTCGTCATAATTCAAAGCAAGATGCCACTCTTCAATTAAAGGTTCTATTTCCGTAGACGAACAAAACTACTACTACTATACTGTACCAACCAACCCTTTTCTCTCTCATTGATTTTTACCATGTCGCTCTTTTTTTGTTAACAAGTATGTAAAAGTACGTACAACCACCTAATAATGGGTGGAGGAGAAAACTTACAGAAATTGACTTGTCCATTAACGTCCCACTTGATCATGGAGAATTCTAGCGCAGCTCCGAGAACAAAAAAGAACGGCAGGAACCGATACATTCCCAAACGATTGTTTCCAGGAATCCGATCCAAAACCCTTCTGATCCAGGGAAGGCGAGTCACTCTTCTCCCACCCATAACAACCGAGGGGGGCGGTGCATTGAAAAGTGTGGGGGGCAGGAATTTGAAAACTCGAGTGAAATATGCGAAAATTTGGAAAAACGGTGGGCGAGGTGGACGAGGACGAGAGAGCTTTGCGAGAAGGACCAGAGTCAGAAATGGAGTGGAGAGAGAGTGGGATTGGGTTGGATGTGGATGATGATGAAAAACGGTGGTGGATGTCTAGACGTTGTGAGTCAGACACAAAAAGAGTAGCGAGTGAGGGATAGAGAGAGTCGTGGTGGCTATAGCGAGCCAGAGAACAGAGAGAATAGAGAGAGGGAGTCAATGCCTTCCGCAAACGGGACAAGCACTCATCTCGTCATCGTCATCATAATTGTGCTGTGTCATTCCCCTTACTTACCCACGGCCGCCGGGTCATTGTGGGTCGAAATTATCGTGATTTCTGAAATACGCGCTCTAAACAACTTCCAAGCCAAAATTTCGACATTTTCATCGTTTGACCTCGTCCCTACGGTCATCGTAGGTCAAAATAGCCTGTCCCCAGTTATGCATTGATATGTTAGACCTTGCAAAATATGACCAACTTGATTCCCAACATGACCTCGTTGTTATTCAAAGTAATATGACCTCAGGTCCCGTGACCCTATTTTTGACAGATCCCGTAAATACTTTTAAAAAGCCGGGTTCGGTAAGCGCTGAAATTCGTTTACCCTTTCTCACAACCGTCACACCCCTACCACCCAGAAATCTTGTAATTTGGCTTCACTTCAAAAGACTTCAGAAACGTAGTGATACTACGTTTAACGTTGCAATTCAAAATGTAGCATTAATCGGTGACCGTTGACCATGATTTGCAGGTAATATTAGAACTTACTTTTCGAGCTCACCGATATCAACGAAAGTTTCCTATTTATTTGCATAAGATTGCAGATGACAAGAGGCAAGATGAGATTAAAAGTTTAAAGTATTATGGTGCTAAATGAAGTATTTAATACATCTGGCTTAAAGACCCCGTCATCAACTTCCCGATAAACGGTGGGTCAAGAAGAAACTGTTACAGGATGGCGATGATGAAGTTCTACTGCAATTTGTACTGCAATTTCCTCCAGTTTAGTAGTGATTATATAACTGCACTGAGGAATTGAATACTACATTGCATACGAAGGAACGGAATGTGTGATCGTTCACCCCAACTTATTAGGACGACGACGGCTGCTTGCCACAAGAAGTGCTGCTCGGTGACTCGGTACGGTGGGTATGCAGTATGCAGTGCTTCCTTGAATAGTCTGAGTCTCCGACTGTGAGTCCATTACAAAATTCGACTGTCTGGGAATTTGTACGTACAAGTATGGGCGTCGCACGACGGACGAACGTCCTCCGTATAATTTGACCGTTAAGAAAGGGACCCAGTTTTCAAAAAATGTCACTAAAAACTGCCCCTTCATCATCTCATCATGACCTCTTTAATGGGATTCGATGCATAAAGCCAAGCTCTCTTCTCATAGTCGGACACCTGCTTGCTTCATTTTCAGTATCAAGAATTTCAACTTTAATGATCTTTAAAATCTGGACGAGTGTGAAATGCTTCAAAAGCTTTATGGCCTACATGGTTCTTTATGTCCCGATTTCGATGAGGGAAACCCTATTAGAACTATTAGAACTGTGCACTGCTCACAACCGTGGGGTATAGTTAAATAGTATATATAGGTAGTCTAATATAACTATGCCAGAAGAAAAAGTCGCTATAAAGAACTTGCCCGTACCGTTCCTAGGAACCCTAATATGTAAAACATATTGGGAGGAAACGAAAAAGTCTTATACCCACACATGAGAAAGTTAACGTATTATTAGGCAAGTGTATAGCACACGCGAATAAAGTGCTCTGAGGAGTGTTCTCTTACATCTTTTCAACTTTCCATAAAACGATATGAAATTTTTGCAGCATTGTGCAGTCAGTCCTCCAGTCTCCTTTATTAGAGTGAGAGGAGGTGTGCCCAAATTCATTTATCCGAAATGGAGTGGCAAATACCTTTATTACCGGAAGTACCTTGCTTGGAATATTCCATGTATCATGCAGTTACTTACTGCACTCAAACCACTTCCGTTCTATTAAATTACAATATGCAAGACAAGAAGACAGTCTTTGAAATTTATTTCAAAGTTTTCGTAATTATGACGTGTTCCAAGAATTTTTGTAAGACAACTTTCCAAATGAGAATCTTCCTTTGTTAAGGAGGGCTTCTTTATTTAAGGGGGCAACAATGGACACATGTAAAAGACAAATCTATATAGTGATTGACAATATATGGGAATTGCAAAATTCGACAATTAATTAATTACATAGTTGGGTTTTAGTTAGGTTTCAGTACAGCAAGATAAAATTAGGTTGTACCCAAATGGTCTATTTGCATCCTTCTGTAAAAAAAGACTTCTGAACTCCATTGTGCACAGTCTTCCCCGTCTCGACTCTGTCCATGGAAGAGAAATACTTACAAGATCTCTCATATATGGACTCTGTCAAATGTCTGGAGAATCCTTCGTTCAGTGAGATGGGAGAAATTGGTGAAAGCATGGACGTTGTTTTCTTCGTTGAGAAGAAGAGGGTGCACATATTTGACTGACTAGGAACGGTCTTATCGATAGGTACATATTTCATAACTCGTAACTTATATGCAACTCATATCAAAATTGCCAAATTCAAAGATCATTCCATTGCCTTGTTTATTAATAAGTGCAAAAAAATTTCAACCAGGAATATACACAAGTGCATGAGAGATGCTAATTTCAAACATGTTCTGCCAAACAATGTGGAAAGGGTTACAACTGCAAACTTGGGATATATCTATCAATCGTATAATTACGTACTACCAGCAGCAGTCTCTTTCTCTCATGAAATAGGCCCGTTAGTTATTTCAGATTATTAGGTGGTGATATAATATAGCTCACCTTCTTTTCAGTCACTCATCCTTCCTTCCTCAACGCTGATACCGTAGAAACAAAGTCTGCACTTGTTTCATGGGAAAATACTCGTCATCCACACTTTTGTACTTCGTACCGTAAAAGTCCCACGAGTGTGTATAACAGAGAGTCAAGTCAAATAGAACCAGACTTGGGCTCATTCATTTCCATTTCATTTCGTTTTACGAATTATGTAGGAATAGTAAAGAACAAGTCGTCGTCTCATCTTGGGAAATTCCAATGTCCAACAAGCGAATGAAAGATCGGCGACACTTTAACAAATACATGCTCAAAATTAAATAGCACTTAAGTTGAGCTCCACCCATCCGTTACAAATAAGAATAGTATTCCGTCTGTGCGCTTTTCTGTCTACGATCATTGTGCTTTTTATTGTGTATCTACGTATAAAATGTAACTGATCATCACCCCTTTTAAAGTATCAAAGTATACATAAGTAGGGCACCTGCATAGAAATTTTATCTACTCACTTTTTTAGACAAAAGCGCAGTAGGAAGCTATACGAGTGTTTCAAAAGCTCTGCATGCACATGGTGCAGAGAAGCCAAATGGTAACCGCAACAAAAAGCTATTTACCTATTTTACCCAAGAATTTTTGGTCAAATTCGGTCACACATTTTTCCTTATGCATGCATGCACTTGTACGTGAATGCTGTACGTATGAGCTATACATAGCTGTACATACATATGTATAACTATTTGCGAGTAATTATTTCTGGGCTGTCGGCTTCTTAATTTAATGCTAATGCTTGACTTCATGGTCATGGCTTCGTTTAGATATTCGCTATCTCATCTCTCGTTATTACTGCTTGGTATGGTGCATGCATGGTGTGTATTAATTCGATATATGCATTCTCTAGTATCTCTCAATATTTTACCATTGAAATCCACAGAGTTGCATACAAAATCACTGAATGATAAATATACATAAGTTTCTCAATTTTTATGTCGAAAAAGTATGTCTACCTCTCAATGAGTATCCACATAGGGCCTTATGATTAAAAAGAAGTATGCTTTTACTTCAAATTTCCAACCACAAAAAAATCTACCAGGAAAAATTTAGAAGTAAACGCATTTATTTTTATTCATAACGCCAAATAGATTACACACATGTACAAATAAGTAGATACTCATATAGACTCGTACGTATGTACATCCTCATGCATGCATTTCAGCTATGTCTGGGTTAAATGCTTAAATGTTCTATCATAATATACCTAAATACCTTGATCTGAATCTTCTGCTGATTCCCATCCATTGCACATAAATATTTCACTCTGCTGCGCATCGGCACATGACAAGACTTATTTGAACGGTATTACCATGATAAATATGGCTAAGCCATGTACTTTAAACGCATTTATTGTTATAACCCCTCTTCCTCTGGGGGTTATCGTATCATTGTATTTTCCGCAATAATATATTGCAAAATACTTATAAAATACACGCAGACTTAATAGAAATATTATAGACAGAAATAATGTCCACAACTGATTTTTTTAGCTCTGGGAATAATGCAATGTCCAAAATCTTTAATTCAAGGGAAGGCTTTGAAAAACAAATGGTGCATTCTTTTATGTTTCCATTCATTTCCATTGTGTCCATTCATTTCCAACAAACTCATTCAATTCTTAAATGAAACCACAACTCTAAACAAGAACCACAAGGCATGCAATCAAATAATCAGCAACATGTACTGCATCCGGTTAAAATCTTACAACAAGACGAAATATGAAACGTTATGTAAGGGTAGATCAGTACTTTTTTGCATGCGTATTATGTTACATTCTGGTTGTTGCTGCTTAATTATGTGCAGTGCCAGTCTTTCCGTTAAGTATACGAGTAATTTGATACTAAAAAGCTTGCATTTTGTCAGTTGTTTCATTGCAAACTTTGCCATTATAAATGATACATGACCATGTCTCTTTGTGCACTGGAAACTTGAACTCTTTGAAAAACCATGAATGAATCAGGTCACTTGCATCATTTCATTACTTGTGTTATGATGATATGTCAGAAACGGCCAAAATATCGTAGAGATTTTGCTATTAATCCAGAGTAATCCAGACCAGAGAGTGTACGACGGAATGATCGTCATGGGCACACATGCTAGAAAAATGTCAAACTGCGTTGATTTGCAAATCAAGAAACAGCGAAAATCTAGCCAGATAAAGATCAAGAATATTGTCAAACATTATTTTGCGAGAAGTCACCATAAAATGCCTGGCATTATTGAATATTGTATACATATTATGAGCAAGTGAGCATGATCGTAAGCCTCGTTCGTAAACCCTAAACTAGAGACAGAGTGAAATTGACGCCAAACATACATACAAGAACGGTACGAGACGACGGCATTAAGAAAATGGAAGGTCAAAACGAAAATGAGAAGCAGCTCAATGTTGAGGATTATGAGCTGGCACAGAAATATTTTGATAAACGACGTGAATGGCCATTCCGATGGGGAACGAGATGTCTTCGAGGGGGTGGTTGGAACTACAACCCGTGTGTGTTCGACAGAACTGGATGGTCTGATTATAATTATCTGTCTTTTCACCCTCCTAGGCCATATTACCAAATGATTCTAGTGTATGTAATATGCATGCACTACTTTCAGGGAAAATGTTTACCTGAGCCAACCCTACGACTATGACGTCCGAAATGATCCAGTCTTTGATTTATCAAGATCTACTTATCATCGTTTAGGGGACTTGGGGTTCTCTTGGCCTGAGCCCACCACTCGAGTATGTACTTATATAGTAAAACCTTAAATTATTCAATTAAATCAATGACGACTTGTGTAATTAATTATAAATGACGACAGGAAGCAACTCGTACAGGGTACTGCGGACCCGACAGCCAACACCTGACCCGTCCTGGTTCCCTTCGATTTCCTGAAAATGATCGCCGCCCAGAACCTGCTTTCCGTACTCATTTGACAGACCGGACCAGTTTGCACCACTTGTACACATTTCCTTACATTTACTTTACGCTATTCTCATAATGAAAAACACAATGATCATTGTCAAATTAAATACGTAGGCGAGCGGATCCTCTGGAGGGAGTGCTTCCTTATGGGAGACAAGGGGACATGACAAATGCTAAAAGTGTTATGCATCGAGATTTCAAGTGGCGACGAAAGTGCTGCGCTGTAAACTGCGACAATATATTCGGAAAATGTCTTACGTGCCAATAAGTGGTGAATGAATGCATCATATCTTTACAGACGAAACCGGAAAGCAGACCACCAACCTATGAATCCAGAGTGTATCGCTTCCTGAAAACCGATCTTCACAACAACGAAGATATGGTGGACAAAGTCGTAAAGTTTAGAGTATGTGCATACATACACATAATTCTTATGATTAATAATAAATACCTAAATACACAAAAAATATTTGAATACTACTTATAATATATAAGCACTAAAATTATCCAAGAACTAATTCCCGCGATAGGATGAAGACGTTGTGGATGACTTTAAGAAGCAGGAGCTTCTCAAACTTAAGAAAGCGTATTACTGGCCGATAAGTCCAATCACTGACGAGCCACTTGGGGGAAGACTTTGCTACTATCCAGAAGATCCTTGTGTCGAAAGTCGCGAGAAGATTTGGCCTTTTGTGAGTATATGTAGCCTCCATGTTTCAAGTCGAGCGTAGATTAGTAAGATTATGGATGGATGGACTGTGAATAATTAATTTAAGGACTGTCTCTAACTTGATATTGAACTTTGTTTATAGGGAGATAACAAAATTATCGACTGTGATAATCCACTTATAATTCCTGACTGCAGATGCCAATTACTGGCTCATGGTCCAAGAAAGCAAAAGACTTCTAATGTGAATTGGAAATACAACGCTTCTACTTTGGACCAGCGATGGCAGACTGAAAATTGTTGCGAAGAAGTGCCATATCGCTACGAAGACAATACACCATCAGATTGTTGTTTTTGTAAGGTTAAGGCTAAAGGGCCAGCTCAAGAAATTCAAAATATCACGTGCCCTCCTAAACCTCCTTGTCCTGACATTCCATCAACTTTGACGCAGTGCAAAAAATGAAATACATTTGAAATAGTTGGAAACAAATTCAGTCCATGATTCTTTGTAAAAAAATAATACACAGTGCAAGCCAACAATCTACATTTAAATGTCTGTCATTTGTATTCACTTTCATTTCGCTACATAAATAATAGATCTTAATAAACATATATTTCCACACAATATTCGACAGGGATTTTAATAATGTAGATACATTTAGACGCTTCTTACACGACAAAGCATAATTAATAGCGCATTAATTGAAAAATATTTCTCTACCAATTTTTGTCATGTCGCTACGTTTACGGGAAAAACTTTTTGTTATTAGAAGCATACTCTACCAACATGGGACACGGAGTAAAGGTCGCACCATATGCTGATTCATATTCTCTCATCTTTTTAACCAAATTCCCTGCGCCAAATCTATCTACCCAGTGAAAAGGGCCACCTGTAAATAAGGATCACATTGTCAATTTGTCACGGACATGTCAAGCATTTAATTTTTTGACATTTTATTTGCAACACCTGTAAATGGAGGAAATCCTAACCCAAATACAGCACCGACATCTCCTTCCAACTGTAAAATTCATAGAAAATTATATGTTGAATGGCCCTGTAATTATAAGTTACGTATGCATAAAATTATTATTCCATTTGTAACTTACAGGATTGCGAAGGATTCCTTCCTGCAAGCACAAAACTGCTTCATTTACAAATCTCGAAGCCATTCTTAACTTGATATCTTCAGGTTCTAAAGATCCCTTTGCAGGAATCTTATTTTTGGCAAGTAGGTCGGTAGCGGCAGGGTTAAGTGGTCTTTCGCCTTTATGACCTGAAATTTCAGATATTTGTTTTAATTAAATTCTTCAAGCTTTTTTGTCAATTCGTTCATGAATTAGATATAGGTAACTATACCTTCCTCGTAAATGAAAAATCCCTTCCCTGATTTTCGTCCTGCAATTAATTTTAAAATTTACACGTGTCCTTTTTGAGTATAAAAACATTGTCAATTATGCTGTCAAGACTAACCCAGATTTCCTCCAGCAACAAAATCAGTAAGTAGATTTGTAGGAATACCACCGGTGAATCGATCGCCAAAAACTTTAGCAAAATCCTGAAATAAATACAAGCGTAAAACTTTAAATATGGTACAATATATAATATATTGAGACTCAAAAGAGAAGGGGGGAGGGTGTGTAGCTCTCATCATTATTTTACCTGAGCAATATGACATCCCACGTCAATTCCAACTTCATCAATAAGGGTACAAGCTCCAACTGGGAAACCGAAGTCAGTACTCAATTTATCAATTTGCTTAGGATCAATCCCTTCCTATAAAAATAAAATTCATAAAAAGGCCATTGGAAACATGCAATTAAGAATAGTTCATACCAAAAGCAACCTGGTAACTTCGCTTGCATATGCTCCAACCAATCTCGTGGTATAGAATCCCGGTCCATCCTTCACAACAATAACGACTTTTCCTTGCTTGAGACCGACCTATTAAATATAACCAAACGAGAAGTGTAAAAAAAAATCACGCATTTACTTGTTTATCACAAGTTGTATGCATGCATTCACTTTTTATAATTGTGCATAAACGATACCTGTACAGCAGATGCAATTGTGTCTTGAGAAGTCTTATCTGTAGTGATAATTTCCAATCTGAAAATAGTTCAGCTTAGTTAATAAAGACCACAAGTTAATAAGCAAATTAATACATATATGAGAATTACAGCATCATTTTATCTACAGGGCTGAAATAGTGCATCCCAATAACTTTTTCAGGACGTTTGCTTGCAGCAGCAATTTTTGTAATTGGAAGGGCACTAGTGTTGGATGCAAAAATGCAATGTTCTGGAATAACGGCTTCGACTTCCTTCAAGACTCTGGAAAATAAAACACCAATGGTTAAAACCAAACTTAGCATACAAATTAAATTGCTATTTTCTATAGTTATTTTCTTGGGATATATCAGTGCTTCTTAGAGGTTAATCTTGGTGTGGAATATGATCATAATTTAAATCACAATAGAACACTCATCATTTATGAACAGTTTGTTTTTAAAATATATATATGCATAGGATGAGAGGTGTAACATAATATTTGACATACTTGTGTTTAACTTCAATACTTTCAAAGACAGCTTCAATGACCATATCTGCGTTTTGGAAGTTTTTATAGTCCAATTGAATTGATAAATTGGAAAGATATTTCTCCATTTCGGCACTATAATAAACATTGAAGAATATTAAATTATTAGGTTAAGAACATACAATGACGATACATTTGTTTGCATTGATGCTTACGTGGTAAATCGCTTTCGTTTCACTGATTGCTCATAAGCTTTGGTAATTTGATTGTGGCCACGAGAAAGACCGGCATCTGTTGCGTCCTTCAAAGTAACGTGATAACCCTTGTCTAAGGACACTTGACCAATACCAGCACCCATGAGCCCGGCACCAATTATAGCCAGATTTCTAATGTCAATAAGAATAATGCGCACTTATTGTTGTTGTTTGTTAGATCCGAAATATATAGGCATTATAAATATGAACTGTTGTAGAGGTTGGAAATAGAGTAAAACAATGATTTTAAGCATTGCATACACAAATTATTACACCCCAAGTTAATTTCGCACTATCATCCCCCTCCTTGATTCAATTTTTACTTATCAAGGAGGTCTACCAAGTGCGTTTCTGTTAAATTAATACCGAACATGATATTTTAATGGAATTCTTTTATACACAATTGAGAATGCAAAATTACTTGGCAGGCCTCTTTGGTTCTCCGAACGCGTTTTTCTTGCACTCTGTTTGTCCATGGAAAAGAGAAATGAGACCACGAGCTTCAGGCGTCATCGCCAATTCCCCAAAGGCTTTGGCTTCAGCAGCATAACCGGCCACGGCCCCTTTGTCAAGTCCAGTTCGAACAACGTCCAGAATTCTTAATGGAGCTGGATACAGTCCCTTAGTCTGTTTCATCACTTTCCCTTTGGCAGTTTCAAAAACTTTATTTTTTACAAAGTTTGTACTAAAAGCAAAGTCAGTGACTCGATCTGTTAAAAATGTTACATAAATAATACTCTTAGTTGCTACATTCGAATAAATAATAACATAGAATAACATAGTCGTTAACTTACCAGTGATAGATTTCTTCTTCCCAAGTTTGATTTTTCCACTAACAATATCAGCAGCAGCTTTAACCGCTATTAAATACATACAAAGGAGATTTTATTTTTAAAGTAAAAAAAAACAATGTATGAATATATGTGAAAATATGAAAAAATATTTGACCTACCCACATCTTCCAAATACTCCATTGTTCTACAACCATAATTTGTCGTTTATGGTATTAAATTCATATGAATGCTAATGCTTCAATATCAACGCGAGTATAAATATAATTGGGTATACCGTGCTTCGGGACTATCCAATCCAGGGCCTAGGGGGTCCACAAGTTGATCGACAATGCCAAACTTTTTAGCTTTATCTGCTTTTAATGTTTTTCCAGTGAGCATCATGTCCAGAGAATTGGGCAGTCCTGCGAGTTTTGGAAGTCTCTGAGTACCTCCGGCACCAGGAAGAAGACCCTATTAAAAAATAGAATTAAAATAAAATCTATTACTAACTAATAATAATAATAATTCAGGAATAACAATTCACCAGCATGACTTCAGGAACGCCCAGTCCAGTCTTTTTATCTTTAACAGCTATTCTATAGTGGCAGGCTAGCGCAACCTAGTTGATAAGATATTCTTGTTTTAACTGTATGCAAAGTATAATTTAAAATGTAATATGGTTGGCTGGTTATTATTCATTGCAATATTTATCACACACCTCTAAACCTCCTCCCAAACAAGATCCTTGTATAGCAGCAACAATCGGTTTTTTAGAGGCAGCGATTCCATCAAGGACTGGATGGAATAAAATTAAAGTTAGATTAAATTGAGATCTAATCAAAATGGGATTCCTATTTACTTCGGACCGAAGAGTACTTATCCCGAATAAATAGGCCAAATTTGTATTAAACTTACCTTGCTGCCCTTCACGCGATTTTGTTTCTGCCTCATTGACTGTTTTGCATCTATAAGATTAACAAAGAAACTTTAGACACGCAATTTGTACTCTAGTGACCTAATAATTTGGACGGTTGTTTAAAAATTTGATATCAGTGCTTCTTAGAGGATACTCGTGTGGTGTGGTATATGATCATAATTTCAATCACAATAGAACACTCATCAATTATGTGCATGAGGGAAGGTTCATAAATGATGTCGCGCTGCCTATATTGTATTAGCCAGCGTGACATAATTTATGGACCTTCCCTGAACTTAATTGGCATATCTTTTAATCAGTGAATAATTTCACTACTTAATATTTTACCGTTCGAGCATCATGATATCAGCTCCCGCGATAAAGTTTCCTGGTTTTCCTGATATCACAACTGTTAAATAACAAAAATAAGATATCAGTTTTCCTTTCACTTGAAGAATTTCTATACATTTTATCTTTAATCGAAAAAATTATTAAAGCATTGCAAAAAATAAATAACCTAACCAGCAGCAGTTATCGATGGGTTTGATTGAATATCCCGCATAGCCTCGATAACCTCTGTCATCAACCCTTCATTTAAGACATTCACCTAACAATGTAATAAATAAGCGTTACAGTTCATCCTTCTAATATGTCCATTATCGTCTTAAATAACTTACCCTTGTGTTTGGAGAGTCTACTTTAACAACTGCGACACCGTTTTTAATATTTACTTTAATATGTGATCCTAGACTCATGGTGGAGCTTCTAGAAAATTGTCGTCGCACTGAAAAAAAGTAATGTCGAAGTTATTATGTAGTTAGATTCAACTTAACCACCACCCTCCATACAAATTAGTGTAATTTCTTAATTTAGCTAATTGAAACAGGAAAAATTGTAGACTAATTAATAAATTACAGATCTAAATCATTAAAAACTTACAAAGTGCCAGAGTAGATACTCCTTTGACCGTTCTGGTCACTCGATACAAACCCATTCTGGCAATTTCCCGTTGAAGAAATTAGTGTATTTCTTAGTTAGTATTAATTGGCCAATTAACGATGAAGACTGGACTTTTGATGATAAGAAGAATCAAATAAGTAATGCAATGCAGTGACTCTTTTTAAGCTGTTGTTGTGCTGTTGGAGAGTGAGCCGGAATGAACTTCGAACTCTGCTCATCCAAAATTGAGACCGCGATCCAATGCCGGAGAGATCCAATAATAATGCCAACGCTAATTTAGATGTCGCCCCAATCTTCATGCTGCCTCGTAGTCGTAGGCCAGCGAATACAGATCACTAATAGAAGGATGAAGATATGGTTATTGTTTCAGTATAGGGAAATGGGGTTTCAAATGCTGTGATTGGCTGACGGTTTTTATGGGCATCCGCCCATAAAAACAGGGCCGTGGCACAACTCAATTTTTCCCAATCTCAATTTCCCCATTACTTGGAAATCTCACTCCTTTCTTGGAACCAAAATCAGGTGTCTCCTTTACCATCATTCTTGCTGCCAAACTCGGAAAAGCTGAGTAATTAAAAGATTATTTAATATCCTACAAATTAATTTTCTGACATCCACTCAATTACATAAATCGCTTCAACTCACCACAAGTTAAGCTCTAAGCTTCAACTCTCGGTAAGTAGTAAAAGAATTACTATTTTCTTTCAACAGTGAACGGTGGGGACACAAATATGGTGGTGACACGTTCATTTTTACGAGTGATTTGGATGTTAATTTATTGCGATTTATTGGTACATTTTTTTTTTTTTTTTTTTGACAATGTTGGGTATTATTTATTATTAACATAAACATTGATAAACTATGAAATTGGTACAGGTAACTGCTAAGGACAATTTTTCATCCATTAATTTTGCGACCTCTCTGCCGTGCCCCCACCAGAAATCTGTGTCATCGCCGGCCAGCCTGGTAAATAACAACTTTAACTGGATTCTGCAACAATAAGGACCAAGGAACTTGTATTTCGTAATGCACTATATTTTATTGAAGTATAGACTCATCAATTACCATTAGTTGTTGTTCGTGACCTGGTAACAGTGTGAAATTGTCGGAAACTTCGTTAAAGTTTTACAAGATTCAAAAATAGTTTCTCATATAATGAACGGTGAATACACATATATGTACAATCATGTATGGTGAAAACACGCTCATTGTTGGAAATTAAGTTCCACTAAATTTATTTTTGTGAATTGCAGATATAATATTTGTGCCCATTGTTACTCAATATTGTGACCTATTGCCCCTTCCTCCACCAGATCCGTGTCTCCACCGGTCAATTTATCTGATCTATCAGTGTGCGTTTATACAAAGCAAATTCAAACTATATCTTCACACCCACTCTTTCGCTACCAATGAGCAGTCGATAACTAAAATGTATCAATTTTATTACAGGTTCACCTATTTGGCCAAACAAGGGTACTTAAATAATGTGACTTTGTCAAGACTATTAAAAAACTTTCAAAACTTCGCTTAAGGTAAATTTTATTTTGATCTTAAAAATAGTTTCTTTCCTCTAGAATTAAAAGAATAATGAACGGTGGAGACACATTAATATGGTGGAAACACGTTCATTATTGCAAGCAACTGTTACATCAATATTTCCTTGTTATTTTGTTTAATTACAGACTCATCAATTACTATGAGATATTGTTCGTGACTCGGGAATAGTGTGAAATTCTCAGGAACTTCAGTAAAGTTTACCAGGTTCAACCATAATATTAAAATAATAGTTTCTTATCTCCAAAAATTAAAAAAACAACGAACGGTGGACACACACATGTATATGGTGGAAACACGTTCATTTTAATTACTGATTCGCCTTCATGTACTCAAATTCAGTGTGACTTTATCAAAACCTTCTTCAAAATCTTCTTAAAATAAACAACTAACGGTGGAGACACATAAATATGGTGAAAACACGTTATTTGTTTCAAGCAGGTTTCAAATTACTAATTGCTTGTTATTTTTCGCAGGAAATCCAGTTGCTCAAAACATTTATTTGAATTTAATAAACCGTCGTTTGTCACGGTCCGAAATATAAAGTGTTGCGGTACTAATTGTGATAATTCTTGAAACCAAGAAAATCGTAATTACTCCTTTCTGCCAAAGCGTCAGGTACAACTTCCGATGCAAAATAACTCATTTCTCTCATTCTTTTTTCCTCTGATAGCTAATTTTAGTTTTTTTAAAGGTTCCAGCAGTGGTGTAAAATTCTCGACATCGATAAGGAAAACGTATCACCTAAAACTGTCGTTTGCAGCAAACACTTTTAGCCACCTTCAAGAAATTTCTCAAAGAGTTTTACCGACCTCTCCACCCCATTTGTGTCTTCACCATTGTCTGTGTCTCCACCGAAAGGGGGGTGGGTTAATTTATCCTTTATATGAACAAGAAGATAAAGATTAGAAATAAGTTTCACTACAGTTTGAAGTAGAAGAACCAGAACCACATTCAACTGTTTCCATTTTCCTTATATACTCAAGGCACGAAAATTATTGCTACTATTTATAATAAAATATTTTGCAACCGGGAAATTATTTCGATGTTTGGTTATTACGACAAAGTTGTTTTTATTCGTGAAGATGCATTATTAAATCTATAAACAACAAAGATGTCTTATTCACATTAGATAACAATTGCTTCAATATATCAATATCAATATTGCCGGTGGATACACACTTTCAGTGGTGACAACACGGCGGTGGAGTATATTTTTTTAGTTGTTATTTAGACGTTTGTCAAACGTAAAGTTAGTAAAATTGTATTTATGCTAAATCAATTTTTGTTGCAATAAATTTGGTTGTAAATCTGCATCACAACAACTTTCAGTTTTTAATTAATTATTCGAACTTAGAAAGTCGCAAAAATTCTCCATTCTAGATGACGAAAATCTGTACAAAAATTAAGTCACATTAAATCCTGAGCATGGTTGTAAAACTGCTCTGACATATCTTGTCGTTAAACTTACTTAATAATTGATGATGGTGGGTGGGTGTGGTAGACACCGAAGCACGAAAAACTGTTTTTTTGTTCTGGGACGTAAAATATAAAGTGTGATGAGAAGAGATGGTAAAGGGTAAAGTGAGACGGATGGTGCGCAGCGAGTGCTACGGCTTCATTTATGCGGCATCAAAAATACATGGAGAAATTTGAACTGCGAACCAGCCAATCACATCATTCCAGCCCCGTCCTATACTGAATAACTAACATTGGAACTGTTTATCTCTATAGGATACCATGATCGTTGGTCGTAGGCAATAGTCCCGTCTCACATTTTTTCTGTCTCATGCAAAATTGATGATCAATTTTACTGTTCCACAGTATCAATTTCATCACTTGTTGCATATGGTGTCATTGCCATATCCATTTTTAAAGTTTGTTAGTTTTGTCCGGATAAGAAATGATAGACCAGCTTGTGGTGTGCGTGTGTGTACACCTGTGTAATAGGAGCCTAGTTGATTGTATATTATCTGTACTTTGTTTGACACAGGCTAATTTATGCAGGAAAATTAAATTTTGCATAAATGAGTATACGTCAAGGATAATATTAGTACATATCCAGACACGTCCACACCTAATTTGACGGAGGCCACCAGCTTTATTATCGGCGTGCTAACTTTGACGCACCCTAATAAACGGATATGCAAAATTGACATCCGTTGCTTGGACTCATTTTACATGGTAATCTCCTGTCACTTAACATGCAGCATACACATTTCGTTAGTTGCAAAAACAAAGCTCGGCTTTTACCAAGCACTATTCAACCAACAAAACGTCGACCAACCGCTCCGGTGAAAACGGTCAGGCCGATAAAATATTGATTTGATATGTTGAATTACCTATGTTGAAGTCCGCTTTATTTTAAAAACTTTTCTGTTAGGTGATGGATCGTTTCTTGTAAAGTATTTTGAAGCTTGTACGAAAATTTGCTTAAATTGTTCACATATGCAATCATGATTATATTGATTATTATAGTAAAGATACATAATAAAGATAATATGGGCGATATCATTATTATTCTTATTCATAACATTTTATCTTTATCCTTTTGGATTTGCATAATTTGTTACCTTGCGATTCTAATATGATGGGGAATTTGAGAAAATAGTTTGATTAGTTTATTATTTAGTCACTTGACTGTTCAAGTTTTTGTGGGCTTATATTGCTTTCAATAAGGTATTGTGCTTTCGTCTTCGGAAATATTTTGCGTTCTCGCTAGTGCAGATGTATCTATTTACAGCACAAAACTTTCATTGATCAACCCCAATGACTTTCATTGATCAACCCCAATGACTTTCATTGATCTCATTTTACATGTTACAAATGCAATAGAATGGAATACTGTGAACAAGAGAGTATATACACGAATATTATGCATATTTCATGTTAAACCTTTATCCAACATGCAATGCATGCACATGCACTACATAACGTAAAAGTTTTTTACGCTCTGGGTTAAATAACAAACTCGATCGTATACATACAGAGTGGATTGGAAGTTGTGGAGACACAATACAAACAGAACAGAAATTCTGTTCTGTTACAGAATAGTGCACGACAGAATAGAAATGTCAAAAGTGTGACACGGATAAATTACAAATTATAATTATTTATCATCAGCATTCCCCTGATTCCTGAGAGTGACACATCATTGTGTAATCGCATTACTGTATCTTGGTTGGTTGGGTAAAGTAATAATCTCGAAGCTACATATACTCGTTATTTTACACAATAAAATAAAAATACTAAAAATCTGCAATGTGGGTTAGCGATGGGAGTGACGAAATTGTGGTTGAAGGGTCCCGGGTGGTCTGTAACGTGGGGCCTTCCTCTGGCTCCAACGTCTACAACGCCCTGTGGAAAGAGGGGGGCGCCGAGGACAAAGGAATCCTGCAGGGAAAGGCATATTGGAAAATTGCTCTCCAAGACTTAAAAGAGGGGAATTTGTTTGCTGGGGTCAGTGACTTGGCCAAGTTCAAGAAAGGTTGGAGTTGCAAAGGGCTATTGTATGGTGGCAACCTGTCAAATGGAGGATGTCTCCTTGTTGGAAATTTTGGACCATGGTTAAAAAACAACGATGTCCTTGGAGTATTTGTGGACGCTGATGAATCCAAAATTAGGGTGTATTTTGATGTCAACGGGACTTCAATGGGCCTTGCATTTGATGTTCCAAGGCAAACACTGGGGAATATTTATCCAATGCTGCATTTTTCTGGATCTGGTTCAGCGACGATCCAAAAAGCTACAGGCATATAATTAAAACAAGCTCTTTAAATACTCTACGAATTTTGTGAAAGTAATTAGAAATTCTGTATGTCTAGATTTTCCGTCCATTACTAGACAAGAAGATAAGTTTGAAGGTCTCCTGGGTCACTGGCGATATTCCTCCGGCTCGTTCGAGGTTACGGGAGGAGATGAGCCCACGTTCGAAATTCGAGGAAGCCCTACCGTATACAAAGGGAGCCTCCGAGTGGTGAATACCATTGGAGTAAGCATTACTCGAAATGGGCCAGGTGAGCCCTTCAAGGGACAGCCAGGGGCCTCAACAATGATGGGAGGACCACCCGAGTTGATGCGACTTGAGAGTGAAATGACCAAGCACGTTACGGGTACTTTTGTACTCGGCGAATCGGGACAATTGGTCATCAGCGATGAAGACAAGACTTCCAACTGGACAAGATTCAGTCCTACCAAGAGTCCGGTCACTGAAAATCCATTTCAGTGAAATTTGTACCTTTCAATGGGACGAGGATACATTTTTGCAGGCATTTTTCACAGTATTAACAGGTCAAGCTTGGTCATTTGTTGGTATTGCTCGTGATAAATTTGTGTTTTATTTTAACCAAACCATTGTAAAATGTAATACTATCACTATCAACTATCAACTAATGGAGTTATTAAAACGTTGCAATCTGCTATACATATTAACCGGTATAAAATTATAGCCAATTATCAATAAAATATTCACACAGTAATTCTTGATGTCATTTTTTACATCGTCTTCCCATAAAAATGATATTATCACACTGTCAGTCAGTTTACATTGTAATTTGTACGTTTACATTACACATTAATTGAAATTATGATTCATGGTCATTAGTTTCTTGTGAATAAGAGGGAAAAAGTTGATCTTGTGGAATAAATCTTCCCCTGCAAGGAGAAATCCACACAGCTTCCGCATCGCGAAAATGGATTCGTTGCAATCTAGCAGAAAAGAACCATAATAGCGCCCCATAGACTAGGGAATATTTTTGTAAATATCCCAGAAATAGTATGTGTTGTCCCGTGCAGGTCGCAACAGCAGAAGCAATGAGTACTTGACCAACAACTAGAATAATAAGAGGCACATTGTTCCAGAATGGTGATAAGTTGGGTTCTTTCCAACAAAGAAGTCTAAACCGTTTGTCCACACAAACGGAGAGGATGCACACGAAAGGAATGTGGAACCAGAAAATCTAAGTCGGATTTTTAAAAAAATTAAAAGAATTATATGCATATGTTTGTGTCGAGGTCGGAGGTATTTACATTATGTCACAAAATGATTGCACAAATCTATGCGATCTATCTGTCTTACCTGCACACAGCCGTCAAACACATAACTGAATGCGGCAGGAAGAAACGTTTCTTCGACAAAAGTTCCCCATGCAAAGGCGACTCCTCTACTTCCATCCAATAGGTAATCAAAAGACCAGGGTCCCAAGGTCAAGTACATGGGCAAAATGACTAGTGGAATGAATAGCTTGTTCACTGTAGCTGTGACCCAAAATCCTCTCAAAATAGCGGTGCCACATTCTCCAAGACCGGACGTGATGCCTCGAAGCGATATGTAGTGGCCTAGAATATTGTATAAATTATGCTTCAGAATATATAACTATAGATTGCATAATGGATTCGTCAATATACAAATTATAAAATGTTTACAAACATTTTACTAATTTATGCAGAATTCTCAATCCAATTAAAGGTAACACTGTAGCAATGGAGGCAGCAAAGTAAAGACCATACGGCTGCAATATAATTGAGCTGTTTAGACCACTTGTAAAAATATTCTGCAATAACGTAGTGCAAGTAAAATCTGTACCAGGGATACGGCGTTTATCATTAATGCTAACCGACCCAAGAAACTGAATGACATTGAGCTGTCATCAAACGCAAAGAAATGCGATGTTACAAACTTTCTCCCTGTTTCATCCGATGCTGAAATCTATGCCATAAAAACGACATAAGATTACTTATATCATCCGCATGGAATTTGCTTATCATAATTAATACCGTTATTTCGTGCATTCCTTCCAAGTATATACTTGGATTCCATTTCAAAACATATAGCGGTCCATTTATATGCCTGCATTCGGACCTTTCCCCATCGTCTATTTGTACTGTGACAGATTGAATTTTCGCCGGAGAAAACACCAAAATCCTAAAACCATGCAATTAGACATTAACAGATAAGTCCATAAGAAGAAGACTATGCTATGCAGTATTAAAACAAGGCCAAAGGTAAAATATGACATAAAGTACATACCTAATGTGAGTAGATTTCTTTGCAACATCCAAGTCTGCAGGGTTATTAAATAGTACATTTTTTGGATTGGTAACAAGTATTATAGGCCAAACATTATGTTCTACGTCGGTGAATGTAAATACTCCATGATCAAAGACACACACACGAAACCTATGTGTACAGACAATATGGAATACTTTTTCGATAATATGGTCATGCTGAAGTACCTGCGACTTATTTTAAAATCAGCCAATTCCAATTCTAATAAGCCACTGTGCTGGACAGTGTACATGTGTTCCGCCATCCCATAAGCCGTGTGTAAATGTCCACACAAATATGCAGCAGCTTGACTCATCAAATTTCGGATATTTTGATTGGTCTTGGTTATGATGAAAGACGTTGGATAGTGACCAAACCATATCGTTCCATTGCTTGCTCTCCCAATTTTTTCAAACTCTTCCAGCCGAACAAACTCTTGCTCACTGACTTTTCCGTAAAAGTTCCAGGGTGCTTTGGGTCCCTGAATTAGCAAATGGAAAATCGCCACGTAAGAATAATTTGTTGATTGATACACAAAAAAGTTATTTATGACAATATTTTGCGCACTGACCGGTCTTAAGCCTGCGTTCACAGCAATGAACGAATATTTTTCAGAAGGATTTGACCATTTTTTCTCACTATAAGGGACGACAGTGTGCAAGTATGAGCCATTTTGGCGTTGCCCTTGAACCGAATATTTTCCATACAACCCGGACTCGTGCTTGTGAACATTGAAGTTATCTGTTAAATACAAGCAATGACATACAAAATATGTCTAGTCTTCTATGCGATGCGTACAAATTTGTGTGCATATATGCATAACTGTTTAACATGTTTTAAAAATTAACCGTGATTTCCTTTCATGTCCAACCACAACGTTTTGTTAAGCACTCCATTCTCATGAAGCGTTTGATTGTAAATTATCCATTCTTCCTCAAACTCCTTTGTCCTCATTCCATCTTCATATTTGCCATCGGTAAGGTCACCAGAGGCGATGACAACCACAGGTTTTATTGTATCGATAGTCGTGTTGCAAAATTCACGAAAAGCCAAAATCCTACCTGGGTCTTGAAACATGCTGAGATGGATGTCGGATATCTAGCAATTAGCCAGCAAAAGTTTAAAATTAATATTCAATAAAGTGTGATGATTTAGTGACATATCAGGTCAGTGATACATAACTGCATAATATCTGTGTACATACCTGAAGAAATATGAGAATATGAGCATAATTTTCGCCGATTGGTAACATTTTCGTATTTCTTCCCTCAGTAGTTTTCCCGTTGAAATAGCTTTTGTTATAAAGTGCTTTTACACCATCATTCGCAATTGAGACGGTAATAACGTCTTTGACCTTGCCCAGAAATATGGCGACGCTAACGATGTAAACTATTATGAACACCGTAACTATTTTGCTCATGACTATTTGAGTTATGCTATTGATTTTGCATATCTGCGTCTTCTAACCTACCTAATAAATCATGAAATGAATCAATACACTGCACGTAGAATTTTAGTTGTATAGTAAATGACACAATGTTGTGGAATAATACGTGTGTAATATTTATCCCCGCAGTAAAAGCTCAAATTGGCATTGCAGATTCTTGACCAATGTGAAACTGGTGGATTGGTTACAGGTTAAGGATGCTTGGAAACAAAGGAATCCTCGTTCGTCGGTGTCTGAAAAGTTCATTTCTTTAATTTTCTGAGATAATTTCCAAATATCAATGAAATTGTGAATTTTCTTATCGTCTTAGATTACTAGTAGATGCGTAGAATTATTACCAATGTGAATATTCAGGTGAATAACATTATGAGAACTATATTTTCAATTGCATTTGGTTTTTATTTCCGATACAATTATCGTTCATCCTAAGTTAAAAAAAATTACAGTTAAGCTACAGTTAAAATTCCGAGCTACTTTAAATTATTAAAATTCCATTCCATTCCATTTAGACATTTTTGTTGTACTGGATTAAACGATACTCTATTGATCGTTGTTGCACTCCACAATTATGTAATTGTTCATAACTGGATGTCAGATTTATCGTGGTAAACTGGTGGGTAGATGTATGATACTAGGGGCACGGTGATGAAAGTGGTGACCAACGCCATGATAACCATAATTGCAAAGGTACGCTGTGAAATTACGTGGGCGTCGTAGCCCAAATTGAGAACGATAAGTTCGACTAGCCCTTTACAATTCATGAGACACCCGACAGTGATAGATTCACGCCAGTTCATCTTGGTTATCTTTGCGGCTAACATGCATCCAAAGATTTTACCAAAACATGCCACACAAATGACGAGGAGGACAATGGCCCAGCTGAGGGGATCGTCCAGGGATCCGATAGAAGTTCGGAGTCCAGACAGGGCAAAGTACAAGGGTAGAAATAGAATAGATACAATGTCTTCCAGTTTTTCGGTGATGTGGAAGGCAAAGCCACCCTCGCGTGGCATGATGATCCCGGTGAGGAAGCCGCCAAAGATGGCATGTATCCCGATGGCGTCCGTGATAAAGGCAGAGACGAAGACGATCATGAGGGCGAGGAACATCATGACATGAGACTGAGTGCCGTCGCCAGATCTTCGTAACAGCCAGGCGAACATGGGCCGGACAATGAAAAGGAGGAAGAAGGAGTATCCCAGACCCATGAGGAAGACGTAGAGGGCGATGAGACCTGAGCCTGCGTTGATGAGCGATATGACCAATGCCAATAAACACCAACTTGTAGCGTCGTCAACCGCAGCAGCGGAAATGGTAATGCTGCCAACTTTCGTCTTAAGAAGCTCCAACTCTGTGAGTATTCTTGCAAGCACTAAACACAAATTCGTCTGCTTTAGTTAAATTGACCGATGAGACTAAAGGAATTCATTACCTGGGAAAGCAGTGATAGAGAAAGAAACTCCAAGGAAGAGAAAGTATTTCGTGAAACCATTCTGATGTGAGGGTGGTTCCATGTATGTGTAAAGGATGTACGAAACACCAGCACCCAAGGCGAAGGGAAGTGCCATTCCGGTCAGTGAGATGGTCAAACTGTTTCTTAAACTTTTCTTCAACATCCGAGGATCCAATTCCAGTCCAACAAGGAAGAGAAACAAAACCAATCCAAAGTTTGACATGAGGTTGAGAAATGGAAGCGATGGTTTGGAAAATATGGTGTCAGAAAAGTACGGAATATGTCCCATACTATATATTGCAATTACATAATATTAAATACACATGTACTAAAAGATATTCGCATATTTATTTTGAAGGATTCTACGTTGGTCATCCATAAAAAAAACAATAATATGTATCTCAACGACAATGTCGATTTTAGGGTGATTTCAGACGAAAGCTTTGTATGCTATAATTTTGAAGGTAATGAATAATACTGGACATATTAAAACACGAATTTGCCAAATAATAGTGTGAATCGCCTTTAACACTTGAACACTGAAGGATCATGATAAACTTAGACTTACCAAGTTGGACCAAGTATGATACCCGAAATCGTCTCTGCGATCACAGCTGCAATGTGAAATAATGTGTCATTGCATGATTACTACAAATATGCATGAAAAGGCGATATTTATTAGCTTGCATACCAGGTTGTTTAATTGGTGAAAGGAAAAACTTGACGAATCTTGACATACAAACAATTACTACAAGTTGCACAATAAACGTTGGCAGTGGAGCAAATGGCACGAAAACAAAGGGGTTTCTCCCAGATAGAAATCCACCTTCGACGATGCTCTGATTATTGTGGTCATCTTCAGCGTGAAATAATAAGGGCGCACCTGTAGCCAACTGCTTGATAATTCCAGATTGGTCCGACATGTTCCTGGAAGTATTTGTGTACATGACATGTATAAAAGTTATTCAAAGTCGATTATAAAAAAAATCAAGTATTTGAACGAAAAATGTGTTGGATCGAAAAATGTTTATAGTGATGCGTCAACAAAATATCTTCGAATTTACATAATTTTTATAGTAAGGGGCTTTTTTAACGGGGTATAAATGATACACTACTGCTATTTTTGTGGCTATATAAATTTTTCCGTCTATTGTCGAATAATTTTTGTGTGTTTGTAATGGTACATCGGTATCGTCTTACATGAATAAAATAATATAAAATAATGTCAACTTACTGAGAAATGTACATTTTCCCCGTTTCAAAAATATTGTACGACTATATATTGACGATTTAATGGAGCTTCAATTTTGCAGAAATAAAACTCAATTAACTCATAAACAATTTATGTACAAAACACTGATTTACAAGTAATAATGTCGTCCGACTTTGGCTGTTTCTACTGGACTGATGTTCAAAATTACAATTTAGATAGTTTGCAGGGCCCATGAGAAGCTTTGGTAGGCAACATACTTGGGTTATCTATACAGTATCTACAATACTGTGACGATAATTAAATTAAAAGGGTATGAACTCTAACTAAGGTTGGATGTACATTTACTAAATATGCATGTACATGCATATCGGTGCTACATATGACATATCGAAAGAAACTAATAGGACCATTCGTCATCTACATATGTACGTACATAAGCATGTGCGTGGTGTCCAGAATTAACTAGTTAATTTGGACTGGAAATTCATAATTCATTGAATAATGATATTGTCACTAAACACCTTAAATTCATTTTCTCACAAGGCGCATGTGAACTAAAAACTAACAACTAAAAAAAGTTTTGGACAATAATGAAAATATGTGTACTTAATAAGTACACACATTTGTACATATACATGTACAAAAAGCTACCGACTATAAAAATTCCAACTTGATGGCAAACAATCGTAACCAACTATACCGTAGATTATAACCTATACCCACGTATATAACTAGGGAATTTCCAAGAATATATATGTAGCTATTTATCTAGCCTACTAGGTATAAATATGTATACCACATGCATAATCCCCATAGTTTACATGTGGCATTTATTTACCTCTGCTGGGCATTAAATTCGTCTAAGATTTCAGTTCCAGTTCTAATTTTCCAAGAATTTAAATCGTTCACCGTAACGGATTGGAATGCACCAAACCGAATCATCTTGGAATCTCTATTGTCTCAAGCAGTGCAGAACTCTTATGCTGCCACACCCAAGCCAAATTTAGAATTTATAGTACCTGGAAATATTTCAGCCCATTTTCTTCTTCTTGTTCATGATCGATAAAAGAAAGGCAAAAATGGCAAAGGATGAATTGATGGATGCAGTCGAGCCGCTTCAGTGCTTCTGCTGCCCTTGTACATGGTAATTGTCATCATCTTTTTGAGATTTTAGCCAAAATGCAACTTCAGCATTTACTTACTACTCTATTATTCTCACTCAATATAAATATGTGCATATAGCAATAAAAAATGCGATTGTTCATACTTGTATCAAAATGGTGCTGCCTTATTCATTAATGGGGATCTTCACACCTTTAGAAGACCGGAAGGGCAATTTCATATGTAAACTAAACAATTGGACATTTACGACTTGAAAATAAAGTAAAACTAATTGGATATCAGGAATAATTCTATTGTCAATTCTATTGTCACTTCTCGCACAACGTCTTTTTCTTTCTGATTGCCAAGTTATGTAAAATACCCCAAAGTGTCACAGACAGGCTAAACTCATTGTTATCTCCATTAAAACATATAGTAATGGATGATTAATGATTTGATGTTGTTTGCGAAAATATCCTGAACTTCTTGTACACATGTATTTGTGCGAATAATTGACCACGATATTGGGTGATTTGCTGCATTACATTGTCTCACAGACATATTTATATTATGTCTCCAAGAGATAAGCGCTACCCTTGGGCATGGGATGATTCTGTCACCACGTCCCTTGGACTCACAACTAACCCGATCCTGGTACGAACACTCGCGCATAAAAAAATCAGGAAATCAGGAAATGTGAATATTGGGAAGTTTTAAGCAGGACAATAGAATCGGGTGAAAGGAGTGGAAATGATACAATTGATTCATGTTTAATCGTCTCGATTGTATGCTCGTTGTTACCCATTAAGCATTATAGTTGCCAAACGGTAGTCAGTTACTCGTCCGTCCTCCCTCCCTCCCATTATTGTTAAAGATGCATCCATTATTGCCAACCAGATAGGGTTGGACGCAATAGTAGAATGACTTGAATTGAATCTGAATGAAGAGATCTGAGGCTCAATCGATCAGTTACTCTTCAGGCTTCAGGGGTGAAACGATAAACTTGAATCTCATCCTTTGTTGACTTTGATACTTCTTAAGGAAAACGAAGGAATATAAAGATTGATCTTCCAAATAAGAATCTTCTCCCTAAATAAAATTATTCACTGATCTCGCAATTGATCTTGAAAATTTGAAAACGTAGCTGTACGACTGCGTTCTTTTTCACTCAAGAGATCAAGGAACCTGTCAACCCTCCCAAAAGATTTTTGATTTTATTGGTTTCCATTCAAGTGGAAACATGATCAAGTAAATCAATCTGAACTGCGTGGGTAGACTCCTCAGTTTATTTTGCATGTATGCATCTTGTTATTTTTAAAGTGCAAATTTTTGGTTGATTGATTGTAAGAAAAGTGAAGTTTTTACTACTCGTGTTGCGTATTTATATGCATATCTTGGAGTTTTTCAGAAATTGAGACGAATTCTTGTATGATTGAGTGAGAATTGCTCACTTAATTTTTAATTCATCTCAGCTTTGTGTTTATCGCTACTTCATTGAGGAACAGTGGGAAATGCCTTCTTTTATGGCTGTTTGGTGTGGTTAAAGTTGGTGACTCTTGTGGTTCGGTTTATTGGTTTGTGTTTACCAAGATTGATTTTATGCTAACTAAGTATACGTGCTGGTTGAATTCGACTAATTATGGCTGCGGTGGTGAAAATGCGACTGAGTGATTTTCTGTGTTTTTGGTTCATCATCCAATCTTCCAATTGTAATTACTTTCTTTTATTTATACATTAATATGCATTGATGTGGATTTAATTAGACGAAAGAAATATGTCTCAGGAATTGCTGCATGTCTCAACGGCCTATAACATTCAGGTCGTTGTTGGCATAACATGTACATACATTTTTATGCAGCATAAAGTTCATGAAATACAGAAATCATACACATGTCAAAATCAGTTGTTGCATCTCAGTTTTAATTTAATCAATATGTCACCGTATTGAAATAACCGCAATTTGGAATATACGCGTTATGAAGATCTTACCAAAATGTGCGGTTTTGTGGTCGATTTACAAAGGAAATTGAATCCGTCCTTATGCATTTGATTGGATATTAGCTGACCTATTGTAGTTACTTTTTGTAATCTTGTTTCAATTTATATTACTACAAATGTTGACTTTACTTTAACATGAAGAAAATTACCAACAGAAAACAAAATAGTGCAACTGATGTTTAAATGCATAGTTCTACGAATATGCTATGTACTCTATATAAATGATATCTACACAAAAAAATGATTTTTTTTAAAATTTCAGGTCAAATATTAGTGCCGTTGAAAGCGGCATTAACAGAATGTTCAACTGGGATTGAAACCTTTGAAAAAGTGACTGGAATTGAATTGCCCCCAGAGGAAAGAATCCCCCTGTACTCCAGCACAAGTGGGGTAATCCTAGCAGATTGCTATAACCGGTAATTATACGCTAGTATTGGGTGGTGCATAATAGACGCTAAAGTTGTCTGCACATCGTTAGCACTTTCGTTGGAAATATTACAGTTTCCAAATCAGTCAAAACTTGACAAAAACACTACAATGCAATAAATGTTCACAGAGTATAAACTTTCATAATGTTTTTGTACAACCTTCATAGAATTTCATGGATGCAGTTGATCCATGCAATTACATTCTTTTCGATTTCTACATCAAAATCATCTTCAATTTCTAAAGCTCAAAGAACGCAGAAAATTGAGCGAGAAGTTAAAGTTAAAAAAGCAAAAATTGAACATGGTGATGGTCGTTCATATATTTTAAGAACACTGTCAACTGTGCTTAATAAGTACAGTATTTGGATTTTTATGTATTTATAATGACACATACACACATTTTAATTTACAGGTGCAGATCATCCTCAAGCTGTTCAGCATTTTGGATTGATGTAAGAATGTTTTTTTGCTACCGATTATTCATTTAGAATACAATGTCTTCAGAAGCAGTGCAATCTTAAAAAAACCTACAGTGCAGCTTTGCTTAGCCCGAGCCAGGGTGGGTACAACTAGAATTTGTTTACCAATCTTTACGCCAAAATTCAGCTTAATTGAGTGATTTTGCAAAATCAGTATGGGTCACCCCACCGGGTTCCTCTGGGTCAAAATTTTCAAAATTGTACATCATAAACTCCCATTATAAGCTGCTATCGACTTCCATACCAAATTTCAGCTTAATTGGACGATTTTGAAAAATCAGTTTGAGTGACCCCATAGGGTCCCTCCAGATAAAAATTTTCGCAAATTCACTTCATATCTTTTCATTAGAAGCCATTAGTTACATATTTACCAAATTTCAGCTTTCTACAACAATTTTGAAAATTTGATGCATAATAACCCCACCACCCATATGGCCCCCACCGGCCAACCACTTGACCGATTCGGCTCATCTTCGAACTTGATTTGTCTTTTGGGTAGATATAGATGTGGTAAAAATTTCAAGTCGATCGGTTGAGTTTGAAGAGAGTTATCGCGAAGACAGACGGACGGACGGACAGACAGACAGACATAACGGGTACATAAGCCCTGGCTCGGGCTAATAAGCAGGATCCGCTTGCATTGTGAATAATTTGATCAGATGCAATATAAACTAAAGCAAATTCTGTTTATATGCAGTACACTTCAAATGCCTGTTTCCGACTAGCCAATCCCAAGTTTACGGATAATAATGTGGAAGTAGATGCTTCAAAACCATCTTCATATTTTGAAAGACTTTGTTTACAAGGTAAGGTTTTGCAACATTCAGTCAATGGTGCGGTTGCAAATCAATTCGCATTCGACCAAGTAAATATTCTCCTTGTAATTTATATTTTAGCAATACTTCAATTGCCTAGAGAAATTTGCATGGGACTTGTTGAACTATTCATACAATGGCCAGAAATTAGAAATATACAGACAGACTGTCTGACAGCAAGGAATTGCACATCTGCAAGCATACCTTATGTACACATCTGCCTGCCCTAACAAATGAAATGACCAGGGCAGCAGCTATAATCCCTAAAACCTGATTTTCCACTCAATCAATTTATTTTAATTTCTTTACTTCCAATTCAAACTTCATCCCTCGTTGCATGCAACTTCCCGTCTTTTTTTTGAGCAAGATTCAGAATTAATGCACTTCTCACCGAATAGTGTATCATTTCATCACAATCACAAAACTATCTTTTACCGTTGACTCACCTCATACAATTTTCAACCCTGTTATTTTAAACCAAGCTATAAATCAAATTGAACTCGAAATTTAAATAGTTTCAACACGGGTATTATATTGTTGATTTTTATTGTAAGTGTGCATAAATGTCGTGCATAAAACGTGCAAATTGATCCGCTGGAAGTTTTGAGAAAAATTACATCATATTAATATATCATACTACTTTAGGACAAGGATCAGGCAACGCATTTCTTTCAGATTTAATCCAATTAATTACAAGTGCGTCGAAAAAAACCAATGAAATTATACTAATAATGAATTGACTACTCTCATATAAAGCCAGATTAACTGTGTTTCGATTAATTTTGATTTCCCAGTCGCCGTTAGAAAATCCTCCCCCACGCACGCACTCGCACTGCATATTAGCCATAATTATTTCAAGACACAACCAAAAAATACAATGACACCCGGTTATTGAACTACCCTTAGTTATTCCCATGTCAGCTGCCATAAAATGTACTCGAATCTTTCAGACATATGCACATATAGACGATAGATAATTCTGATTAAAAATTTGTCCAGACTATTGTAAACAATATTTACATGGGTATGCAAATGTGCTGATTTATTTTCAGGTGACATTTGCAGCAAAGCTTGGGTGACAGAAAGAATTCCGTAATTTTTTACACGTTTCTCAAAATATAATCAGCAATTCCAAAATTATAGTCAGCTTTAAACATGTTTCAGGGGACATGAATTGGCAGGACATGACGATGTGATTATTCGTAGCGTGGGTAGTAGAAAACGATGTTCGGAACTTTGTTTGACGGATAAGCGGCTTCCTTGTCGATCTGCAGATTATTGGTAAGGAATGATTTTTTCACGAGAAACTTATTACATATGCAACAGGTAATTGTGCATGCAATCATTGTTCAAGCGAATACAGATTAATCGGTTAGTATTTTTAGTTGTAAACTTGTCATGCTGCCACAATGCAACGTGCTTAATTGCAATGAGTCCTTTGCTCAATATTATTGTTTACTGCAAAAAATTCAAAGAAGACCCGTAGTCTATTTTGTACTGTCGGAACAAATAGTTTACGGGTACATACATAACCATGTGCATATGTGCATGTACTTATTTATGTACCGTTGACCAGCCAATGTTCCACTGCCACTGCTGAATTAGGTCAGATACAACATGCTTTTATATAAATTTGCCCAAAGTTATAGAGTGTCGTGTCAACAGTGTGTATCTATTATGTCCTAAGAAACGGGTTATCAAATCAATTTTCATTACTCGCATTCAGTGGCAGTCAATTCGGTGGCAGTCATAAGCACAACAATGCAAATTGACTCCCTACCTCGTTGACAGCTTCTTTTTTCGTTAAGAGATTTGTTTTACACAATGGCCAACTCTTGTCTGAAATCACAGGGAGTCCAGAAAGGAATGTCGACTGAGTCGGGAGAATCGCCGAAGTCAAGTACTATTCGAATTTAATTTAACGTTTAGTCCTTTGAGCCCCAATTAATATAAAATATCCATCACAGCCCGGTTCCCTTGTCAAGTCTACGAAGGAAGTGGAGTACATCGAGAACGCCTGCATTGGTATGTCCATCCACCACTGTCTGTCTCGACCCTTTTCTCATTGTCCATCAAAAGGAAATCAAACAAGGGTTGATAATTGCTTACACTAGCTTTTTGTTTGATGCTCGTTTTCCACGTGTGACGTGACTTACTTAATACGTAACGCCATAACACAGTCCAAGTAATGATATTTTGACAAGTATGTAGTACTTGTCAAGTACTACTATTACTACTTTGTCTATTGTCTATGTAAAAATGGGTAATACACACGTAACTCAAATAAGTATGCAAGTGTGTTTGTGTGCCAAGTAATAATTTCTGAACCCTAAAAATCCAAAAAGGTTTTATTATCCGAATTATGCTCTTTATACAAGTATGTAGAAGTGTGTCCTTTAGTTTTTATGAACGATTTGGTATTTTTAAGATCTGACTTGAGTAACAACCCTCAACTCTCAATATGATTTCAACATTTGATTAAATGCTATGCGATATTAGGCATTTCAGAGATTGAATAATTGGAAATTCTATGTCATCTTATTTTTATTGCACCAACTTTACTGCGTACTTAACTATGTATGTATTATGTATGTCTACAATTTACTTTTATACACAGAACCGATCTCCACAAAACAAAGAGATTGCGAGTGGGAAGTTATGCATCGATTTGAGTTTCCTCTGTCAGATTTTGCGACAAAATCAGAAAACCTTGAAGAAGTACGTAAACTCTTTATTTTGTAAATCACTATGTTTGCGTGAAATTCAACTTTGGGAGGAGTTTCCTCTTTAATGCAAAGATTACAAATTCATTGTCACATTTTATGGATGGGTGAATGAAATTAATGAATGACTCGTTGATTCTGACTTGATTATTTTATTCCAGTGCCAAAAAGCTTGCGAAACATATACGGCTTTCACATGTCGATCAGTTACCTTTGACATGGTGACAGGCCTTTGCTTTTTGAGGTGAGATATCAGATTTGCTCGGAAAATACATGTTATCCATAACGTCATGTTTTACAGAATTTATTACATTTTTCCAGTGGGGCCGACATGTCTACTACTTCTCCAAAGCTGCTCAAGTCTCATGAGAATAAGATCTATGCACAGAGGGTGGCCTGTATCGATAGTGAGATTTTTTTAAATTTTCCTACAAGCATTCAAGTAGATTTCTTGATAGAAAATGTTATTTAAAGTATTGTGTAAAGTAGTTACATAAATTCATGTTAGCCTTCACCTTTAATTTTCTGGTGAATTTGATCATCTCCTCACATGGTTAGAATTTGTGAACGGATGTAAGCCATCTTCATCAATTGTTGTGCTGAAAGTGGGTAAATACGTTTAGCAAGTGCAGAACGATAGATTTCACGCTCAGCATCAAGCATTACATGCAATTAATTATATAGGTATTATTCCGTAAAAGAGGTCTAATTAATCTCGTTTTTATGTACACAAAAATCTTCAGTGTCCTTGGTCCAACAATTTCATAAAAAACAAGTATTTAGTACGTGGATTAAGAAATCAAATAATTGTAAAGTTAGTCTTTAGTTATTTAGTACATAGTTCATAATGTAGACCAGGATTCAAATTTATTTGTCACAATTAGGTATTATTAGTTCTAATTTAATAATGTCCTTTAATAATAGTGTCCTTGGACTGCAATGGTGATAATATGGTTGCCAAACTCAAAACTCACAGCCCATTCTATGGAAAACTTTATTCATCGGCACTCCTCCCAGAATGTGAGGTTTTTGGTCACGGTAAATTGTTCACTTCTTTGGAATATCCACTCAACGGATGCGGGGTCTACAAGTAATTCTGAAAGGAATATGTAACAATATGCAAATAATTAAAGATTACGTGCTTATGTATTCTTTATGTGTTTCGATTTTAGAGACGCTGATGGATCGTTTGTAGGGAATTTAATAGTTCAACAGCATCCACTTATCCAGAAACGCGGCGATGCTGCCTTTCGTCTTGTCTGTACATTTCCAGAAACTAATCGGACTGTGACACAAAAAATTGCATTTGAAAAAGAATCCGAATCTCGCCTGGTGGAAGCAGGATCAGCTCCTGCGCCCATACTGGGAATTGCCGTCTCGGTTATCAATGCCACTGCCAAGTCCCCTGCAGTTACCCTCAGGATTATCGACAGGAACGGGAATGACGTGAGTGGAGTCACGTTGGGAGATGAACTCTACTTCAAGGTACTCTATTCAATGAAAGTTAGTCTTTAATCACAGTTTGACATTTTGTTGATGTTGACTTATTTTTATTGATTTGCAGGTAGAGGTTGAATCTACAAGTAAGCCTTATTAGAAGAATAGTATGAATACATGAACGACTTTAGCTTAAAATAATACTAAAATTGTATTATATTTTACAAAGGTGCGTATGGTGTTTTTGCGAGAGACTTGATTGCTCGAAGTGGAACAAACGAAGAGGAATTAATCCTCCTTGATACGAGGGGTAATTTACCATTCATACACTTCTCATTTTAAATTCATAATGTGAAATACAAAATTATGTTAGATTTGAGGAAAGTATGGAAAAATAAAATCTCCTTATCCATGATTCCACAGGTTGTCCGGAAGACCCAGCGATATTCCCCCATCTCAAGAAACTTACAGATGGGTCGAAATCTTTGAAGGGGCGATTTGAGGGTAACGTTAAATAAAATCAGTAAAAATTGACCAGAAATGTACTAGAAAGGTTTGAATTATTTTAGCATTCAAATTCACGAACGATGCTGTCGTACGATTCCAAGTTTATCTCCAGTTTTGTCGGAGCGAGTGTCCACCGGTATAAAACTAATGCTTCTCTTTATAGAAAAATATTAGGATGGTTATGCATTTTCTACTAGCCTTACATACATGCGTATTGTATGGGCACCAGACTCATTCGGCGTGGTTTTGATCTTAACAGATTCGTTGTGACGGTGAAAATTCTCATGGACGAAGAAGACGAGCAATGGCACCAAATGCCGAGAAAGTTGAGTTTATAGAACTGCAAAAGGAAATCATTGTAACTGGTCCAATAAATGGACCAAAGTCCAAGATGCAATTACCAATGAGCACCAAGGGAGATGACGAGAGAATACACCAGAAAGGTATCGACTTTATTGCCCATGCCGCAGACGATAAGAATATCAAGTTAAAAAAATAATGTGAGATGATTAAAAATGAATTTGACTTTCTAGACAATGGGATGGTTATCTGTACTCCGAAGAACCTAATGATGGCAATGATAATAGGATTTTGCCTATTTCAAGTCGCGATAGTGCTTTGTTGTGCGGCCTGCATATGTTACAAGAAGGACAAGAAAGGCATGTCCCTTCCACCATCAGAACCAACTTATCGATCCTCCGACGTCTACTACGCACGGCCATCTTTAATTAGTACGCTTCAATCCATTAGAAACTCCAGACGCTAGTTACCAATATAACGTAGATACATGTTCTGATAAATAGTGGGTGGGTGTCAATTTGTATCAGTTGTCGGAAGGTTTTGCCAGTCAACGTTCCTTTGTAATCATATACAAAAACCATAAAGTTGCATGTAGCATTAGCTTATCGTAGTATCCAATTTTATTTTGTCTTCACTGTGCTATCATCAATTAATTATGCTATGGATTATTATACTTGTTTGTTGGAAGATGCAAGTATTGGTGGGTTGTGTTGTTAATATTAGAAATGAATTTAAGCAATAATTATAAGTTTCCGTTAATACAATTTATTGAAATCAACTGAATGCTAACAATTTAAAAAACATATAAGAGTACCGGGATGGAATTTAGAACAAACCAATTTTGGTTCGGTATGATATTGAAAATTACAATAATTATTAGTGTCTTAATACTGTTATTTTAAATAAGAATATTTTTGATGCCGTATCAGCCATTTGCCAATTTACAATTAAGTTTCAATTAAATTTGGAATCACAATAATTAAGATTGAGTTATACATAGGTTATTTTTTATTACTAGTGCATGCAGTATGTGCTTCATATACCCAGGCGAGGAGTCCAGTCATGTGGTCAAAAGTATTTAGACAATTAACCAAACTTGCCTTTTGATCCTTAATTGAAATATCGCCAGGTTTCATTTCTTCATTTCCAATCTTGACACCACATTTTAAATTTTCAAACATTCTCTTTTCTTCGCTCTGTCTCTCCTTCAATAAGTGTGGATCATTTAGTTCTTTCAACTTTAGTTCATAGTGAGCCCTTGATAAATTCAGTCCTTGTCGTAGGGGATTTAGCAGCGACTCTTCAATCTTGGGAAATAACCCTAGAATTCCAATTATCTCGTCATGTTTGTCGCGATGAAGAAGATACCGCAAAAGGTTGAGGGACGCAACAATTTGATTACTGTGTTGGGAAAGATCAGTCGTAACCCCATTCTTTAATTTACAAACAGACGCAATCAACCGGGCGCCGGAAGTCCCTAAGAAGCATTCTACCATTCCTTTTTCATACTTTGGATTTTTATCATCGGCTGCAATGTGAATAAACTGCTTCAACTCTGTGATCATGAGTCCCACAAGGCTATCACTCGGAATTGTATTGATGACATATTGAATCAAATCATGTTTTCCTTGGGGTTCAAAAGTCGATAAATATTGCTTGTAAAGTGTGTAAGATTCGTTTCGTATAGTTGCATCCTGACAATAAATTGCCAGGTAAAAAAGTCTTTCTATGAAAATGGTGTGGACATTCTTTTTGAGCAGGTTTGCATCCAAACGATGAGTGTAATTAAAGTTTCCATCCGGACGAGGAGAGTTATCACAATAATGTATGAAGCAGTTCGCAAGCCGGATTGCTTTCTTGAGGGCCAGAATGTTGCCAGTATGCTTCAAGACAGTACTCACAGGGTAGAGAATCATGTTAAACATATAAGTCGGACTGTATACAGACGTAAATTTTTGAACGGGAAGACGTTGATCTACAATCAAGTACAAGTAACTGACTATTGAACTCATGTGGACCACTACTTCTTCTTCATCGTCTTCCTCACCCTCGCTATCCTCGTTGACATTTCCCACTAACGACGAAGTATCATTATTGCCCTCAACTTTTTTGTTCTTTTTTGACAGCATTGGGTTATGATTCACAGCATTCATTCTTCTTTCAATCCATTGCAGAAAGTCTAGCGGAGATCTGTCCAGCACAAAAAGGAGGTTCATTATTTTCTCTGCAATTATTCGAGCATCAGTCTTGATTTTGGGGCCAAGCTTTGGATCACATGTCGTAGTTTGTTCTTTCCAATCCAGATCAAAATGTATTAAAGGGATGCCTAATAAATCCACCAGATAGTCACGCAGGTAGTCCCGTTGTTTTCGAATACTTTCAATCATACTGATGTCATGGGAGGAAATTGCCGTCGCCGCATTAACCTCTAATTCTTTCACGAATGGAGTATAAAAATCCAGATACTCTTGGTAAGTTTGTAAAATTGGTCGGATTCTAGAATCCTGCTCAAAAATAAGAGTTTCATCATTCGTCTTATCAGTTAATGAAATCTTCAGTTCGTCCGGAACTTGACGGTAATATTTGACATGTGACTTTAAGGTAGAGAGCACCCAGGAGAAAGTCTTTTCTCTTTTCTTTGGCAAGTTCATCATCACAAATTGCAGGGACGGCAAAAGGCAAGTAAATTTATCAGAATTGACAAAACGCTCTCCTTGTTCCAAAAGGCAAATCAGAGACTCCTTGGGTTTATAATTGTGAACTACATGATGCAAGCATTGGGTGCAAGCTGCTACCGAGTCTTCATCTTCTGCAAAGGTCAGACCGTTTTCGCAGAGTTTGGTGATAAGATCCATGCCTTCGTTTCGAATATGAGGGATATTCTCTAGGCTGCACACATCTTCCAAAAGCTGGGCATAATTTCTCGTCCCCAAGTAGCTTTCTACTTTGTCTGAGAGGAATGTTGACACGGCCAGCATCATGGATATTTTGTACCAACTATAAAAACCACATATTTATGTATTTTTGCAATCAAAACACTCATAGATCGCTATTACTTACAATTATTAATAAATTACGAATCCAAACTTCTCATGAGGCCTTGTTTATTATAATTTACAACTTTTGCAATTTGACTACCTCTGTAATAAAACAAGACAATAATATGATGCTATGAAATGTACCAAATTATGACCAATATTTTAAACAAACAAACGAACCTTTTCTATATAACTATTATAATCCCGTTTTCCACACAAACATTTTTATCTTGAAAGAAAATTGCAAACTGACTTTCATTCATTGCTTTAAAAAAGTGACTTGGTTGGTTGGCGCTGATATTTCGCTGAAGCAATCGACGTTAGCCGAGCTCCTCAGTCAGTTGTCCGACACCACCACCGTCAAAAGGCACAGCAAATAATATTGTGTTGACTTTCTTCGTGTGAGTTGGGAAGGGTTTTCACATTCCGTTCAGTTCTGTGTGGAATTCCACCCAGCCAGACTGTCGATATTTGTAAACATCGAAGATGACACTCTCCTTGGCCTGCCCCCTTTCCCCCTGAGAGGTCACAGGTCACCAGAACGGGGAAATTGGTGCGAGTGAATTTACATATTGGGCAGGGGCAATTCTGAGGGGTGTAAAATAAGAAGTGACTCATCCTGTTGGTTGGTTTTTGTAATGACACATTATTATTTACAAACCGGAATGAGACTTGGTTCGATAGTCATCGTCAAAAAAGTTCGTCTTTTATAAAATGTGGAAAAATATGTCTTTCTCTGGGAGGTGAAACCCGAGTGGATTCAAAATTGAATGTATTGTGCGAATCAGAATCATTCCAGCGTCAAGCTAGCTGTATCCAACCGGTGTTTTATTTTTAGTTCATTTCGTTTATTTTCAATAATTAAAACTTATTGTTGAGGGAGTTTTGATATGATGCAAAAGTTTGCAAAAATGTGAACAAAACATTGCTGGTTATGGTTTAGTGATTGTGGTGGTGTATGTTAAGGAAAGTCCGCAGGTTCCTTCCTAACACTAATTTTTATAAACATCACGGCCGGGATCACTATATTTGAGCTAGATTTTAGAGAAACATTTAAAATCGAGTGAAATATGCCTTCGGGAGGATCTGTTACAATGACGAAAGAAATAAGTGGTATGAAAATTTTTTTATAAAAGATATAGACATAACATACAAGCAGATTTCTGCAGTTTGGATCTGCTGACATAAGCAGAATAGATAATCTGCGCTAATTAAACGGTTGACAGGAAAGCTCTTCAATTTCCATTTGTCTACTTAATTTATTTGACCGAGTGATATTGTATGTGTGAACGTATGCATGCATATCACGACATACAGAGCAACCCTGTTAATGAACCAGTACAATTAAATGCAAGCAAGTGAAAATGACCGACTATATTTAAAATGAAGGACAACAGTCAACAATGCAGTTTGATTTACTCCTTCCGCAACAAGATTATGTACTAATAATACAACGCCAACTTTTTATGATGGAAATATCTTGTTATCATATACGCTGGGTCGCGTATAAAAACAAGAGCTTTTTTAAAATGCAACTTTCTCTTCAAGGTGGGGATTGTTCTTTGGCACGATTGTATGCATACTACCTATACTACTTGTTAATTAGAATTAACAAGTTTATTAGGCCGCATTGACAATGAAATAAATACAACTATAATAACGTTACCAATATTATTTGAAATTTATTTAATCATGTGCATGTATAGTGCAATCAAATTTTAAATATGCAAAATTTCCTCCACAGCTGCGTGTACTTGCATTAGTTTTGTTGCATAACGGCCTCTTTATTATATGTTCAAATTCATTTTACTCCTTTGTTGAGTGTCCTTTGTACGATTGGATTGTTCCATTTAGACCGAGTGAATTACGGCGGCCGACAGATTATTCGTTCAGAGAAAAATGTTCTGGGACAATTCAGACTCTTAATTGATATATAAGATTTATTAAATGTGGTCACATCGAATTGCAAACTTATTATGGTCTGTGCATTAAAACGGAAGCCAATTTTGTAGGCGTTTCTTATGATGAATTAAATGAACGGACTACACTCGGACTCAGCATACTTTCTCGAATGTATTTATTTTTCAAAGTTTTTGATTTATGTAAATGGGTAATGCATGTGCAGCTAAAGATAGCTGCATAATATTCCAATCTAATATTTGGATTTTTTGTCTACCTATGACGGCAGTTATAATTATGTAGGACTTACTACTTTAACTTTCTCTCTCCCTACTCCTGCTTTGTTGCAACTTAAACTAACAATACTGAACAGTGCACTCATGCTTATTTTTCATTCATGAGAAATTTCACTCTTCACTTGTAATACATCAGTATCGTTTAAGCCAATATTGCGTACATATATTCGGCGTGGTATTTAGCGTGTGGAATACTATATATTTCATTTAAGGTCATACCACCATGTAGAATTTTTCACAACCTATACAAATGCTCAGCATTCTAAATAATTATTTTACAGGGTATAATGACAGGTATTAAATTAGATCAACTTAATCCAGTAATTTGGTAAACTAACCAAGAAATGTGGGACTTTCTTATGATCTGGATATCTTGCTGGAAATTTTGTTTGCTAAACTATCGGGTCATTCCACTCACATTCCATACACAAACAGTCTAGATAATAAATACCATTACATTTTGACCGTATGCGGTTGATATGGTTAAAAATTTAGTAGCCCTTCCTAATATGTCAAACTCACCAAAATAAGTTATGATTTTCATAACATTTCCTTACATATATATATTTAGGAACGTCATTTAAGAAGCTTATTAATGTTGTAAGAGTTCATTAAGGATTACAATGTCTTCAGCGTCTACTTAAATACACATATATATTACGAAATTGCTGATTTCATAAATCGTTCATCGTGCCATCAGATAATTTATTGTCAAATTATTGGCACATATAAACCAGCAAAAGGGAGTGTTTAAATAAATATCGTCCATTGCTATCATTCCTTTCTTAAAAGTTCAGTGTTGTAAAGTCGGACCATCTAAAATTGACGAGTGACCACCCAACATCAATGCAATTGTTCCCCATTATCGTCCTGATGTTTGTCTTGCTCTTGACTATTACATAACATACGCCATTATATTTTGATTGCGTATGCACAACTGAAGAAGCCACATTACGATATATCCATGCTCAAGCTTTCAAGAGTTGTGAGATTTTGTAATCTTTGTCATTTCCATTATACCTAGTACGGACAATTGTAATGACCAACGGCTTCCGGGCGCCAAAAAATTAGTAGGAGCTATGTTAGACAGTTGTAGTATTTTTTATTGAAATGCCCATGCAATTGTCTATCAGAGACCATGTTCCAAAATTTTTTGTGACCCGAGGTACTAAAATGACAGATCGGATAAAGCGACGTGTTGCAATTTTTCGGAAACATTTTGGTAAACATAGAAATCCGGCATTTTTCAATAGCTCATTAAAAATCGGAACTAATCGCAAGATGGTCGGCCGTACCATGAAATGATCCACTAACATTGGCGGTGTTGATAACCGAAAACCGAGTTAAAGGGAACGGTCAAAAAGGTCACAAAAAATCACGAAGGCGCGCAATACCTGCATTCGGCTGAATTCATGCCGGATCCTAAGAAAAATTTCCCTACAAATGAACGGTCCAAGTAAAACTACGTCCCTGGCCCCTAAACTCGACCTTGGACTTATGTCTTTAAGATGTAAAAAGAAACACTTGCTAACTTCACGCCAAGTAAAAATAGTACCCTTGAAAGCCGGGCACTGAACATGCGGTACGCGCTTGAAAAATGGAAATAAGTATTTTTCAAAGGTAAGTAAACTTTTACAATAAAGGCCATATAAAATTAGCAAAAGCACTTTGTCCACACCCCACCACTCCATATTATTCATTAAATTTTTTAAAATATTAATCGGACCCACCATCCAGATTCTGTGATTTTTTTATTCGACGTAGATTGGATTTGGGCAAAAAAGTGAATTTTCTTCCTCTGGGGGTCAAATTTCTTGTCAACAAGTATTTTTTGAAGCTATAGAGCGAATGGAAGAACAAGATGGACCACACTCTATTAAAAATAGCTGCTAGATATTCGAGCATGGCTCAGGACCTTCAGATAAGGCCAAAATAGTAAAAATCGGGTAAAATTCCAAAATTTCGGACTCCATTTCGGACCAAGAACAAAATTCACTGCCGCCGAACCTTAACCTTCCGGAATATAACATGTGGCCCAAACTGAAGCTAGATACATGTGCTAAACCCCACACAAGTTTGAAATCTGAGAAAAAATCTATCGCTTAGAAATGAAACCAATATGCCTTGGAATGAGTGCGTACCGCGAGTGAGATGTGGACACAAAGACTTCGGGCTCTTGTAGCTACAAAAGGAGGAAATTTTGAAAACTAGTTAGTATATTTTGAAGGAAATTTAATGGGCTTTCTCGTGGTATCATTAGTTTTTCAAAATTCCATCAACTGGGTTGGCTACATTAATTTATGCATTGGTCACTACAATTGTCCCTACCAGGTAGCAAAGTTGTTACCATCTTTATGATAATTATATGGTGCTGTATATATGTATTTCAACTTGGTCCTTGAGTTGTGTTTTGCATATATGTATGTACGTTTTACTGGGAGTTTCAGAGTCCCGGAGCGCACAGCCAAGGTCAGATTCAGCGGTACTGGTATTATGCATAGTCGAGGTTGGAGAACATCCTAAACTAGTAGATAATCAAGTATCAATCAACCCCTATCTTGGTGTAGATTATTGTGCAATATTGTTTTGCTGAGATTAGATTGTCATGCTTTGTTCCGCCTGGGAATTAATTGCGACACTATTTTCTACATTCGCCACAGACTTTCTCCCTGGACCCCGATGGCCGATGCAACAAATCCTCATTTATTTACTGGACATGCACGAATTTCATTTTATTATTACGATCAGTCAATCATATTATGCCAATTTCCCTATGCATAAAATGGTAAAATGGATACATGTAGAATGTAGAATACACAAATAATAAATTACTAATTATTTAATGATAATAACAATTGAAAACTGTCCAATCATTTGACCAATTTTGCTCATTTCGGCCATACTACATTTACATTTGTGCAATCTTTCCTCGATTGGACGAGTGAACTTATTGCAGATGTTTGACAAGCACACGGACAAGATCATAAAGCTAAAAAACTCTATAAAATTTACTACAAATGTTATGCTAACATTGAGTGGAATGGAAATTGAAAACTGAACCTGTCAAGTCAACTGATATTTCGTTTATTATGATTGAAATAAATGTATTTTACTCCTCAGCCAACGAATTAACTAAGCTAAATTTATATCGCAGAAGGGATTAAGGCTCTGCTGGGCAAGCACGTGCGAATTCTCATGAAATGTGCCGTAAAGATGGAGTCAAAGGGTGACAAAACCGAAAACCGGATTCTTGTAAGTGGAAACATTTGAGTTATTATGACAAAATTGGTAAAGTAAAATTTTGCAAATAATTGAGGTATTTATATATTAGAGCATACTACTCTGTACGTGGTTTAAAAATTAATTTTCTCCTTATTAATCTTCATGAGTGACTGACGTAGCATGATTGATAGGATACGTGCCATATTGAAAAAAACTCAACAGATTTTTTAATAAACTACACATGCAATTTGTAATTCTATGTATGTATTTATGCTTCGTGGAACACTTAACTTGTTAACTTACAGAAAACTTTGATGATGAAATGTCTACTATTTGATATTAGTGAAACTGTTGCTGCTGTTGCAAAAAATTCTGGAGCTTCCTTTCAAATTGTAGGACTAATAAGTAGAAAACACGTCTTGTAAATTCAGTTGAATCCCACGCAAGGCATACTTGTTCACGCAATTTCTGACGTGCATATAAAACCTTCTTTGCCAATCTAAGGCTCGCATTCCCGTGTCTTCGTGTCTGTCAGTCCAAAAAACAAAGCACGAGACAAGCTGGCAATAAATCAACGGTTTCTACGTAATACAAACTATGCAGCCAAACAGTAATTTCATGGAGCTTGGTTTGTTTTTGTTTCGCTTCTCCGAGTCCAGATTCTCCTTTGTTGCATTCCGTTTCAGTTTATCCACCTGCCACAAATGTTTACATTATCGCTTGCGTGCCTAGTCGAACTCACTTACTTCACAATACATACATACATGCATATACATCAATAGAAGGTAGATAAAATTCCGTACAAATTCCATCTTCGAGATTACCCGGATATGGAATAAAGTTCGGGATTCATACATATGGACATGAGCTCTCTGGTTCTGAGACCCAGCCTAGACTAACATATAGACTAAATCTTTGCAAAGCTATATATTTAGCTGTACTGTTGCATACATATGGAACACGCATTACATAATATTATATAATGCATGATACGATGAGTTGGATTGTGAAATGTTGCGGGCATTTTCACCAGTTTCGAACAAATAGATTGGCTACTGTACAATTCATTTGATTACTGGGCAAGACCAAATTGTTCCCATTTGGTCCCCACTAATGCATTCCCGTGCAAACAATTCAATTTACTCTTCTGGATCGGCATTCTCAACCCCGATTAGATGAATTGGAGAAAGTAAGAGTTCGAGTGGCCGTCGAGGAGATACACAGGAAATAGAAATAGTACCCAAACAGACAAACTTTCATTGAATTGTGTTTGGTTCATGGTCTATTGACAAGTGAACAATATATTTTTGTGTGTTTTCAGGTGTTTTGTCCATGTCGGCTGTTCTGCCTCAAAGTTCCTCCTCGAGTAAGTTACCAATAATTTTTTTCAGTATTCGCTGTTCCTATTCACAATGTGTATTGAAGTCGTATAAATGAAAGTTGTGCAAAAAAGTGTAATTCAATCACTAACAAATTGGTTAAATGTCAATTCCGACGATGTTTCATTTTATTGTAAATTTATGAAGCTTATTTTCACTTTTGTTGTGCTATTATTGTACGATTTGCTTACTATTATGCATAAACAGAATATACAAGAATCAAATTTACAAGAAATTAAATTATGAATTTGTGCAATTGCTAGCGTTAAGCATCAGTTTCTGAATTTTCTTGTACCAATAAATAAGGCAGTATACTTAAACGCCAATTCAATTCAGCCCAGTTTCATGTTCATGTACATATGTCGTTCCACAAGCGATTTCCGCATCCATTTCCTACACAAAAAGCTTTCCCTTTCTTATCCCCACTTCCCCTCCAGTCATCTTGTCATTCTGGCTGGAGATTGCTCCAGAATGGTAAACAATGAATGACACTAAATGACACTAAATAGGTTCGTTCTTATGGTTCAGCAAAATGTCATTTTTACATGCAGCTTACCCATGTCCGACCTCGATTTTACAATTTCACCAGTAACAACATTAGGTTATTGTATGTCAATCCGAGGTTTAAGGGGCAAATTTCTCGAAAGTCCTACTACAGTCGTACCCAAAAGTGCTAAGCAAATAAACTTTGAGAAACGTGAGAACCTGGAAACAAACTTAGAAATAAAAGCCAGATAAATTCTTTTTCACATTTAATATCAGCTCAAAGGGATTTTTCGGTGTACTGCTACTGATCCAAATCGTCATGTTAGCTTTTTGTTGGCAGTTGGCAGTATCATTTCCTGTATTTGTTTGTTTCAGTCTTTTGTGATCATCAAGAAGATTGCGCTTCCCCATCATCTCATGCAATGGACTTTACTACATTCTTTGAACCCTTTGATGTTTTGCTATTTACACCTTTGAACAACTTTCACCACTAAATACACTTCCCTCGTGAAGAATTGCTTTCACCAGAATAATAACATAATTTCTTTGTTTCAGATCGATTTCCACTTTCACTACTTGGAAATTCAAGCCATAGAGAGCCGAAAGAATAACCAGGTAAACCTTATGAGACATATCAATTGACATGACGCCTATAAATATTGTTAACATATTTAGTTAGGTGATACTGGTACTGTATCGTTGGATGAGAATTTTGGGTTGTATTTTAGTACTATGCATATTTGTATTTTCCATCTCTCTTTAAACTTCCCCTCAAGCCTACTTAATCTAAAATCTAACTCAATCAACTCTCGTTGGACGAAACAATTAAAACATAAGGAGCAGATTTAGGGAAATTGGCTTTACAAAGGTAAGACTAGACCCAAGTTCGCCCTATTCCACCTGGAAAGGACGAAAGAATGTTTTTTATAGAGGTTGAACACCAGAGAGAACGAAAATTGTCCAAATTTTTCTCCAAAAGGGAAGTACCATCCATGAAAAGCACAATTTTGATTTTAACAATTAAAAAATGCATTTCTACTTCGCAATTAAAAACACATTTGTATTTTGTATTATTGTAGCTGGTCCTGACTGCAAATGACAAGAGTCACAGTTTTGTGATACCTGATCCCGAAAAAGTGGAGATTATTGACAAAATGATTGTAACTTTGTTGACTGCATTAAACGAAACATTTCCAGGAGTTCCACTTTAGTAAGTCGACAAATATGCTTTTCACTCATTTAATTTTTACGTTTATCAGTAGTAGCATGCATCCAAATATGCTATACTAGAAAATAACATGCATGTTCCTCATAATTTGAACATATGTATGTAATACATACGTACATATATATGACATGAACTTAGCCTCTTTGTTTTATTTTATTCTCAGTAATTTAGTCCGTAAGATTGACGTGTTTCCGACTCAAAGACTTCAACACCTGGACATCTCATTTGATGGGGGCAGTAGTGGGAGTGGTGGGAGCATCAGCGGTGGTCTGACTTCTGCCAGCTCAACCCCCATGCCATACCCCAAGTCCAAGAGCACCTCGTCTCTTGAAGACAACGCAAATTCAACAAGCACCACCAATTTAGTCAGCTCAGCTAGTTCAACATCCGGTTCCAATCTTTTACTCTTCGGGTCCAGCTTTGTGGTTCCAGGGTCGGTGGGGCCTTGTGGCGGATTCTCTACTCAATATGCGTGGATGTGCGATTTGTTGGGCCTGCCTTATCGGGAAGAAGTTTCGTGGGTACGTTCAGATAACCATTGAGTATACATTTTATTGCTTCTACACAATTAGAAATTGATGCCGTGACTTTAAATAGTGTAGAGCAGTTATGTTGTCCTTTTCAGGACTAAAATGAATTTTCTGCCCAATTGAGCTTATTCGTGAACTTGAACAATATTTGCAGCGTTGCTTGTGATTCATGTGGCGTTCCTCATTATATTTTCTACTAGTGCATTTTGACATCTTATAGTGATTACGATTGTCAAGCAATAAATGATATTTATCCCAATACCCATATCATTAAATTAAAACAAAAAACTAAATATAAGACTAAAGTTTCTTGGAGTATGCGTCACAACATATTTACTATGATTTATTACATAGTTCGCAAACGGTATGATACCAGGGCGTGTTATTGCATGTGTGCTTCTTGGATTCTGAGTAAGTAGATGTCATAGCATGATTTGTGATCGAAGGCGGTTTTGCTAATTTTTGCATATAAATTTGGGACAGTGCACTCTGAAAGTTCAAGTGGCTAGTGAGGAATTGATATATGTGTATCTGTCTTCTGTCATGAGTTGCCTGTGTGAACTGTTACACATCTTGAAATTCGTGTTTAATAAAGAATGAGACCGAAGAGGACGAAGAAAAGATAGGGAAAGATGAAAGAAACGAAACAGAAATTTCTGTTCCTATTGCAGAGCATAATAAAGTTCTCTATATATAATAATAAATAGCCACCCATCATAAGCATGTACACATGAGTCGTGTTTTTTTGTATTTTATAAGGGAAAGTGTTCTTGGTGAAGGTTTCACTCTTGATACAGTCGCAAGCACTTGATTAGAATCTTTCAGCTTTCCCGTAACTTCTTCCATAATATATTTATATTAGTTATGCCGTCTGGGGTAACATTTGGCAAAGCAAAATAGTGTGCGTACTGCGTAGTGAGACAGATACACTGCAGCCCTTTACAACTCTTCTTGACTTGATGCCCTTTGTTCTCAACGACATGGACAAAATGCGGTTTGGTATCGCATTTTTCTCGCTGTCTGTTCTGACCTGGTTTCATTTTTGTATCCGAGTGAAATTCGGTGAAAGCTGATACACTGGATACTTTTAAAATTTTGAATTATTTGAAATGGCTCATATACTACATACTGTTGTATATAATGTAGACCACAACTTAAATGAACCTACATACATAACAAAATCAGTCGAATCACTCGAATATGCATTCAAATATCAAAGATTAGTGGCCCATAGGAAATACGTTATGCAATCAATTGTAAATGCAAAAATTACAGACAAAAACAATTAACGCTTTCTCAATGCCAATTAATCGAAAAAAGTTGGAAGTCATGTTTATGTTATGGTAGAGGCGTTGCTGCACAAGATGAAAGTGCAGGACAGCATTGCATTTCTCGGTTTTTCTATACCTTCCCCTTCATGGACCACTATCAACTATGATGAGATCGAAAGCGAGGGTGGGTTGTGGCGATACCGAATTTAATGGGAAATTGGGTTTCAGTGTAACTTCCCCTCCAATTTCTCCCCTCCAACAAAAAAAAGTTGACTTCCTTTGCTCCAAGGGTGAGGGTTCACAGTGCTCAAGGAGGGTAGAGTAAAAGTCAAGCAGGCAAAGTCTGAAGTGGTACATATACATATTTATAGTATTGCTGGTCATTTGAAAGCTTAGGAAAGGCAGAAAACCTTTTCATCTCAGAGGTCGTTGAATCTATCTATTTTAATAGTAATGATCTGTACTTGTGTTTGCCTGTGTCGTAGTCGTAATCATTTCATCAGCTGCTAAAAAACAATGGTGTTTCGTGTTTATTAAACTGGACCATCTCAAACTAACGCGGTTGTGAAAAATATTTATTTAATATTTCCACTAAGATTATCCTTTGATAATTTTATAATTAGTTCTAATTATAATCAGACATCTCCTGTGGATTTTGGGTATAATTGCATAGTTGATTTTAGTTTAAAATTGCTACCTTCCAATGAACCACTGTCATTTTCATCAGGGAGAAATATGAAGAATTTGGATTTTAAAATCTGTTTAATGCAAATAGTCATTCTGAGAAGAAGTAAAAATATGTGTTGGCTAACATTCTAAACCTTACCTAACCTACAAACTTTGTACTATGAAACTTATGGGTTATATGTAGCGTTAAAATATATGTGTGTACTATACATACGTGGCTTCATTTGATGTCAAGGAGAAAATTTATGAAGTTGGTAACAAAATTACGTTTCAATTTCCTCTCCCCCATCGCACGGACTTGTACATTTATCTCATTCGAAAGTACGTGTTTGGAGATTTGAGATCACATTTGACATTTCTGGCAACTGGCTTGGCCTGCTAGGTTGAAAATGTCAATTTAATAATAATAAATACGCAATTGGATGCGAACGACTTTTGGCTAGAATTTGAAGGAGTGAAGCAAACATATAATCCTCTTCCTAGGGTTGCGTTCTAGGTATTAACATTAAATGTAAAGCCCCCAGAAATATAATGAAGAGGAGACTTGAAGATGAAACTCTGTCATTATTGGAGTATGTTAATTCTAAACCGTGTAATAATGCGGACATCGCCCTGTCAAAACTGCCAAGTGTCAAATTCTTGACGATTTGCATACATATTCTTTCAGTTTTATTCCTTGTGTAAAGTTGAAATATTTCATCCACGATCAACGATGTTTACTCAGATACATGGTTTGTTGGTTTAAGATAATACCTTTATTATGTTACCAAAATAGTTGGATTGCTTGCATCTGCTGTTTTTTGTTCTCAATATATTATATTTCATCGTCTAAATCAGATTTCGCGATATTGAGTCATGTGATATCCATCAAGTAGTTTTATTTTCGATTAACATTTAGTTTGACTGACAATAATCTATAAAATAATCTAGAAATGCATATAGGCATAATCTCCTCACTTAAATCAATACTCATGCAAAATTACAAAAATCATGTATTTATTAATTAGGAGAAGGCTATTTTGGAGGTGGTAAATTCCCTTCATGAATCAATGACGAACTCGGTAGACAGCTTGACTCCTTTAAAATGGGGAGTTTAAAAATTATGAATGAATGAGTGAACGTTAATGCAACTTGAACGGGTCCGTTCCCTATTTGGGCTTGGATTTAGAGACGAAAGTAAACCGCTTCGAAATTTGGGTGTGGGCAGACACTGTTCGCTCACTCGTCTTCAGGTGATTTTCTCGTCTTCGATAATATCCTTTTTCACTCGTGCTGATTTAACACCATTTCAGAAGAAGATCACCGTATACGCCTGAATTCAGCCAATATTCCGCAAATATAATATTCCACTTCAGCCCGAGAAGAAATCCAGTTTTTGCTACTTTTAATTCGTACACCATTTTGGTGGAATTATAGCAATATCTGTTGCATATTATTAATAAAACCTTTTAAATTTTTCTCTACATTATCCATTCATGTGAATATTTCATTGGTCTGATCGTATGTAATTGAATACCCAAGTGATTTTCATGTTATTTTGTCCGTTATTTGGTTACGTACGTACTTTAAAGGCGTGAGATCATTCAACAAGAAAAGAAAATGATATTACGACGTCTTGAAAACAGTATTTTTCAGATTTGTGTATAGGGACCAATGTTAAAATGGGACGTATATTCTTCATAGAATTTAATAATATTTAACAAAATTCTTGTCTTCACTCGCTGTCCGACGCTGTCTAGTCCCGGTTTTACCCTAATTGCAAAGTTCTATCATGTTCAACAATCAACTGAACATGGTGTAATTACCACTCTTTGTAAGAACAAGTGGATGAAGGCGAATAATATTGAATAGATTAGTTGGACATCGACTCAAGGAAAGACAAATCAAAATTGAACTTTTATTTTAGAGAAAAAATAAGATAATAAAGCCACACGGCGGGATTTCACACCTTTCTTGCCTCCATTATATCTGTCCCTGCGTCTCTATCTTCAACAATAATGGTATCATCGTATCAATTCTCGGTTGTTGTTGTTATTGAATCACTATAATCTCGTGTTTCTCTGCAAGTCGTGCTTTTTGCATCTCCCGTTGGGTAGAATGGATAGATGAACAGAGTCGAGTCGAAACTAACGGTTTTGGTTCGTGAGCTTTTTCGCTGTCTTAATCAAGGGTGGTAATTAATTTGTTTTTGCTAGATATAGTACACCCAATAAAAGGCATGGTTAAAAATGGAAACGACAAGTTCTAGCCATATTTTGCTGAGATTTCATAACAACTTGCGTCAAGTGTAATTATTGCATGCCATGCAATGTAATGTATGGAATTGTCCTGCATAATATACATACATAGATAATTCAGAATATTTCAAAAAAGTTTTGAAAGCCATTTTTGCCTAGTTTGCTTCAAATTCGCACAAACTCATCCTGTTCTAACCACAAGTTTCTAAATAATACTTTCTGCTTGATACCAAAAAGTAAGTCAAGCTTTTTGTATCACACTCCAATAAAACGACGAATCATACCAAACGCATCAACATAAATATATATTAGATATTGGCATTAGTAATTTTATTTTAACTCTTTCTTGGACTCCTGCCGAGTATAGCACGCATAATAAAATAACTCAAACAATATGTAACATTTATCGTAGAGTACTGAAAATTTTTCTGATTGCATAAATTCTCCTGAAATCATGACCGATTACAAAGGGCTATATAATTATTAATATGCATATTAATTTTAAATTTCGGATTTCGTTTGCCAAAGTTGGATAATGGCCCTTTTACACTCGTGATCCGATTCGCATATTTGGAGACAACAAGATCAGAACATATAAAGCCGTTTTGTTTTTTGTTTTTTGTCAGAGTCAATCAGAAATCTGGCGATTTACAAGAAGTGACACCTTTCTCATCCCATTTTGAGTTTTAAAATAATGAAATTTGCGAGATATTTATAGTTTTGAGGAATTTCATCCGAAATTCAAATTTTTTACATGATTTTTTTTGTGGAATTATTTAACATTATTGTTAACGAA